GTTCATTTTGAAATTTGAAACGATTTCTTTGCAAATATCAATTCATTTAATAATTCAATCAATAAAAGCCATTTTGTGCATTATAATAATAATGATAGTTTTGTGTGAAGTTAACAAAAAAAAGTAACGATAATAATGAGGATAATAAAGGTCACAGGGAAGTGAAGGAAGGAATAACATGAATAAGAAAAACTAATAACATGAAATAAGAATTGATGATGACAATGATGATGGAGAATGAATTCAAGTGACAAACCATGGCTTAAAGCTCAGGTTTAAAAATTCATGTTCAATGAATTCTAGAATTACTGTGATTATTATTCAGCAAAACATGAGATTCAGAGTTTCATGGAATGTGAAAGTCAAATGATCAGTTGAAGAGTGAAATTTTTGATGAACACAAAAAAAAGAGTCTAATTATGATTCCCATTTAATTGGGAAAAGTTAAACATTTGATATAAAAATGTTAATCAACATTTAAAGCTCTTTTTCATGGAAACTGTAAAATAACGATTCTTATTATTTGCTGTGCAAAAGCTTAACAAAAGGTTATATTTATGGTTCCTTATTTTTTTCATCCTGATTCAATCATAAATAACGAGAAATATTATTATCATTTTTGAACTTTTATTGTTATTTTATTTTCTCTCCTTTAAATTGTTTCTTAGTTTTCGGGTTGAATGTGAAAAGTTTATTATTTTGGGTTAAACACAGTTTACTGTAACATACAAAGAGAAGCCAATTTATCAAGGAATTTCATTTTATTCATTTCACTTGATATAACATTTGTTTATTTGAAACATTTTTTTCTCTTCTCATTTACATTTGGTGATAACCTGAACTGTTGTTCAACTGTTGTTCATGTTCATTGTTATCATTAACGGTTCTCAATTGATGGGAACACCAAACTCATCATTACCAGTAAACAAGAGTGACAATAGCAGTTGAGTTGTAATAAAAATGGATTGGTGTTAATGTGTTAACAGTTAATATGTTTTTGTTTTGACCTTTTTTCACATTTTACTTGCAAGTAGTCAGGAAAGTCTAACAATCAAGTGTTATTATATTATTTTTATTATCGTTATTGATTGTATTCTGTTTACAATAAGTGTCAATGAGTCTGAAAAGCTGGTTTTCATTTGATATTATTAATAATCTTAAAGAATCTATTCATGTTGATCAGAGTTTTTCTTCTTTCTTCTTCTTCTGCTTCTTCTTTCCTCTTCTCATGTTCAATCTTTCATCTTGAGTTGAGGTTATCGTTGAGATGAATGAGCAACTCATGATGGTTGATGAAAAGGAGAGTTTGATTATCTGATCAATTGGATGAAGAAGGTGATGAAGGGAAGCTTGGTTGAAGGCATGAGAACAGGGGAATAAAGAGGAAAAGTAGGAATAAACTAATAAAAATGATTACTCAAATAATATCAACACAACTGCTTGGCTTATTGGCTAAAGTTCTGGTTAATCTTGTAAAGGCTTTAATGCGTTATGTTAAATTTCCTTGAAACAATCAACATTCATGGTTACAATTAATCTTATCCGATTAGATCGTCGAGCTTTCTGCCGAACAAGCAACTCAATTGAATGCTCTGTTTTCAACCCATTTGGGTAAATGTTTATCAACATTCAACATCAACATTCAACTTTACCAGTTGTTAGTTGATCAACTTGCTTGTAATGTTTATTAAAATTGAATCAACTTTTGCTGCGATTATAATGAAGAGTGGAAAATTTGAAAAGACAAATGTAATTAATTTAACAACAATTATTCTAGTTTTGCTTGGATTGTGATTTAAATTATGGTTAGGTGATGGAGTAAACAAGGAAAACCAGAAATGAACCAGATTCTGTGTTGTCCTCAAAATGTTAACCAGTCATTAACTCGACATTTACTGAGACTTTTACATTATTAACATTTTAATCACTCGCACTTTCTTTGATTATTATAATTATTTAGACAGTGATTTGAATGTTCAACTCCTCCCAACTGGTTTAACCATTTTTTGCCTAATTTTATTTTGATTGTCAACATCAAAGTTTCATTGTAAATGTCAATCCATTAAATTGTCAAATGGTCATAATAACAGGTCACTTGGTCGACAAAACAAATAGCCTGAACATGCCAGAAAAGTTGGAATCAACAGTCACTCAGCACTGCTTTGAATTTCATTCAATGTCTTTGATTCAAATCGTGCAACATTAACAATTAAGTCTAAGTTGCATGCAATGGCTAATTGTTTCATTAAATGTTGTATCAAACTGGACTTTGATAACCTTTTGTCTTTGCAAATCAATTTGACTCATTTGCATTCATGAACCAGGAACAGTCGAGTAAAATGAGTTTGATGATAACAAAAAATCTTGATGAGTCGATGGACTCAATTGGAAAAGATATTTTCCATGTTTTTAACATGTGAAAGAATCTGAAAATACTTAAAACTTTGTTCTGAATCTTTTGAATCAAACAATTTCTGAGCTTCTTCAAAGGTTCAACAAAGGAAAATTTTCAATGACCAAAGCTGAAAATTAATAAACTTGAAATGAGTGAAAAAGTAATATCAAGTGAAGAATCAGATTGATAAATGAAATTTTTTAGTCTCCCTTAAAACACTTGAATCTTTGAACTGTTAATTGTAAATATTTAATATTAAATTTGATATTGATCAATGAAACGTTTGACTTGAAACAATTGAAATTATCTCAACTTTTATTGTCAAGTTGTTTACTTTGGTAAATGTTATTAATAACATCTAATAGCATTGAGTTGTTGAGCTTTAATACAACTTGTCAGTGGATGTTGCAATTATAAGGTGAATTGGTTGAAAAGTTATCATGAAAATTACGGATGGAAAAGATGAAAAGAAGATGAAAAGAGAATGAAAAATATTTATCAAAATATGTTGATTTAAACGGCAAGCTTATTCATCAATCAAAGTGAAAAGTGTGTCGTTGAGCCTCTCTTGGGTATCCAATGAACCAGTTTCAGATGATATAAGATAAACATGCAAATTTCTCATCCTTTCCATCATCACTATTAACTGTTTGCTCATGAAAGAAGCAAAATTTTGCTCAACTTCAACTCACCTGTTATTCAGGTTGATATTGAAAGTCAAATTAGTCTGTGATTGAGGTAAAAGGAACCATTGAAAGGTTGAAATTAGCAGCAATATTACATGAATGGAAAAATCTTGAGACTATTTGCTTGAACCAGTAAATCATTATTATTAATATAATGTTGGTTACATGAACAAAAACATGCATTTCACATTATCTGACTTCTTCTTTTTTTTACCTTCAAACCCTAATTCAATGCTAATCTTAATCTTTCAGTTTAAATATTAGTTTAACATTAAAGTTAATCATTTATTGTGTATTTCACCTTAAATATAATGTAATTATGGTTTAGCTTTCCTTCCATAATCAACATCAACTTGAGTTTCAGTCATGATAACAATAATAACATGATAAGCAAGGATAAATAGTTGAAAATAGAGACTGAATAGCCATGCATTGTAATGGGTTACTCTTGGCTACTGACAAAACCAAATGCTAAATGGATTGGAAAACTAATTGTCTTTGAATGTTTCCCTTTTTTTCATAATAATAATGATATGCTCTTGATTGATTGCTAATTGTTTTCAGGTTGAATGAGAAAGAATAAACAACCAAAAAGTAAACATTAACAATTTGTTCAACTGAAAACAGAGAAACAGGGAAATTCTGATGGGAAAGAGGTAACTTTGATATTTACAAAAATTCATTCAAAGCTGTTCTCGACTATTCTTTGCATTGCTTTATATTAATTTTCAAAATCGACAGCTTTGATGGACAACTTGAATCGATTTTCAATTTTTGCATTTCATTTTGCACTTAAATGTTCAGAAATTAAGTTCAAGGAAAATATCAAAATCGCTTCGCTTTAAAATATTGCAGAAGTCATGAGCGATTTGAAGCTTCGTAGCTTTAGTTTTGATGTGAGATCAATTTTTTATGCTTTTGTTTCAAATCTGAAACATATTGCAACCTTTCGATTCTTAGTGTTGATAACGACAGATTTTTGCAGATGGATCATGATCGATATTCAGAATAAATGAATTTGAAAAGGGAAAATTGTCCAACTCTATTGGTAATACATCAAAGACAAAATGATTAACTCAATTTTTACCTCAAATGTAACCATAATTACTGGTAAAGTCAGGTCAGTGTATATACACAATGAAAGATTTTGAATGCAACTACATTTATTAATAATATAAATATAAATGATCATTGAGACCAATGAGTATCAATATCAGTAAAACATACTCATCAGAAGCCTGAAAATGAAGATACAGAGATGACGATGATGAAAATGATGGTGGTGATGACTGTGATAAATAAATAGGTTACTTTTGCTTCTAGCAACATTGATCCTTGATTTTTGTGTCTTCTTTTTTTTCTGGCAACCATTTCTGTCCTTTTGTTTTCCTATTACTCTCTCCACTGACTTTATACATATATATTGATAATAGCAATGCTTCAAGGCTTCACTCACTCTTTCAGTTCAACTTCTTTCATGGTTTTATCCTCATAAATTTCATTTTACCTCCCAACAGTAACCCATTCTCACTCCCAGAATATCGATTATCTATTCTTGGTTATCTCTTTTACTTCTCTATCTTTCCTTTTTTCCAGTTACTCTCTTTCATCTTTACTTTATTTCAACTGCCATATTATTGTTACTAGTTAGTGAATTGTACAAACAATCAAATCAGTTGTGGAATGCATTAACATCTGATTCTCAATGAGAAGATTATTTTGGCCAACATTTTATCATAATCCTTTCATTTCATTTCATTAAATCCTTTTGCTTTTTTGCTTCCTTTTGCTTGAAAAATTTGAATTTTTCCTCATTTTGACTTTCCTTCTTTATGATGGCTTTTTTTACTATATTGATTGGAAGAGAAGCTAAAATAGAAATAAAAGAAAAAAAGAAATGAAAATTAAGTTGAACGAGATTCATCACTGAAATCAATTTCCTTTTATCATTTCCTCATGATCAAACCCAGAAACATTTGTGAGTAAAACATAATAAGAAATGGCAATTTATCACTACAATCAATTAAATCAATTAACAATTAACATTCACCGAAAGAAACAGAAAGAAAAAACAAATTCCACTTTGAGCTCGTGAAGACAAGAAACATTTGGGTTTAGTGAACACAAATCCAAAACCAGAATATGCACTTTGATTTGATTAACGGTATTAAGCAATGCACATATACACATTAAATCCTCTGTAATGGTCAAATGATTTATCCTCGATTGATTGTAATAATGATTTTTTTGCCTCCTTCTTTGATTCCAGAAATGTACCCAAAGTTAGTGGAAACAACGACCAACCCAATGAAAGGGTAAAAGCTCGTAGTGGATCTGAAACAGCTTTAGGTAATTTTAATCCATCTTATCGATTTGAACAATTAGAACACGACCATTCACTTTGCGAACGGGTGATTATTAATGTGAGTGGAACCAAATTTGAGACCCAATTAAGAACGTTAAATTTATTTCGAGATACTTTATTAGGAGATCCACTTCGTCGGCTTAGGTGAGTAAATCTAAATGAAAATGGTGAAAAAAAGAGAAGCAAAAATAAATCAAACAGAATAAACAATTATCTAAATTGTTTTGGAAACAATATTAGCTACCAGAGATCATAATGATTAAATGAAGTTGATTGAAGAAATGAAAGTTGAAAGTAATGCAGTTTCATAGCAAATCTAATAATTATTGATCAAATGAAAGGGTAACATTGAATTTTCAGTTAACAGCTTAACCAGAGTTACATTTGTTCAACCTTTCATTTAACCTATTGTATCATAATTATCCTAACGGTTAAATTGTTTCTACCATAATTATCATTATATTTGATAATAATTGCATTGTCTTGTAACCATTAGAAATCCAAAAATATATATTATCAACTTTCATCTAAAAACGGATCAATTGTTTAGCCCATTTAAGTATCGATTTTGAGAGGATATTTTCTTAAAAATGGAAATTATGGTTTAACCAGAATTGGCCAGAATTTTCGAACCTGCTATCGATCAGAAAAATTAAATTTAAAAATCATCTGTAATGATAAAAACCCATTAAAAGCTGCAAAACCTAAAATAATTGAAAAAAAACAAAAATATTAGAGTTGATCACTTCTTTTCTGGTTCAGTTACCCACATTTTTGAATCTGGTCAGCCACATAAACTCCTAAAATTCACCAGTTAAGCTATAAATGTTGAATTAATGATACTTAATGATAAATCACTAAAACAAGAAAGGGACACAATTAAATAATTAACACTTAAACATAAATTAGTAAAACCAAAAGAGTAATTAGTAAGACATTGACTAAAAAAGAGCGCAAAAAAACGGTGAAACATATGCAATTGAAAGAGCGCGCGATTTACGAAAATGAAAAGCAAATGTTGAATTGAATTAATAACAATTGTTCTTTTAATTTTTCTTGTCATCTTTTAATTTAGATATTTTGATCCAAATCGAAATGAATATTTTTTCGATCGATGTAGAATAGCCTTTGAAGGTATATTATATTATTATCAAAGTTGTGGTCGCTTAAGAAGGCCGGGAAATGTACCTTTGGACATTTTCGTGGAAGAGGTTAAATTTTATGAACTGGGTGAAGAAGCTCTTGAAAAGTTGAAAGCTGATGAAGGTTTTGCTGCCGATAAAGAGGATCGTCCACTGCCAAAAAACGAGATTCATCGTAAATTATGGTTACTCTTTGAGCACCCTGAAAGCTCTCAAGCTGCCCGAATTGTGGCGATAACTTCAGTCCTTGTTATCATTGTATCAATAGTAATCTTTTGTCTGGAAACTTTGCCTCAATATAAACATTACAAAATTTTTACCACTTTGGACAATAAAACTCGGGTTATGGAAGATGATGTCCCATCAACCGATAATCCTTTCTTTATCGTTGAAAGTTTATGCATTGTATGGTTCCTTTTGGAGTTTTCAATTCGTCTTTTTGCTTGTCCATCAAAAATCGAGTTTATTAAGGTAACAACACACACAAATCTAATCCTCATTTAACCAAATAACCTTTAATCTTGCTGCAACATTTTACGTCCCTTAATCTCGTTTAATCCTTGAAATCGGTTAAATTTTAATCTTCTGTTTCATTCATGTTTATCTTGAAAATAAGAGGATTAAACTGTTTTGTTTTTCAACCTGAAATTTTAATGGAGTTGCAATGTTTTTCAAAAATTTTACCTTTTTGTTGAAATGGCTTCAGGTCAATTTGATGAAACACTCAATTGAAAGGTAAACAGAAATGTTAATTTCCTGTTAATTGAACTCTTAATTGAAATGGAAAATAGAAAACCTGAAATTCTTACAAGATTTTCATTTTTCATCATCAAATCTATTCTCAATGTTGAGCTTACAGTCTAGTGAAATGAGTGAAAGACTAGAAAATGAAGTTTCCAATTTTGAGTCAAACATTTTATCAATCAAAACAAGTGCTTTCTGAACAATCTTGTCATGCATGAAGAAGGTTTGGAGTTTGGAAAAGAAAGAATTCAAAGTTATCTTTTTTTCGACAGAATTTTTGTTCATTTTCTAATTTATTGTACTTCTGATGATTGGTTTATGTTTCAAATGTTTAAAATCAAAGAAATTTTTGTTTATTAAAAGATTTACATTGAGCTTTCAGGAAATGACGAATTCCTTTGGAAATTCATTTTTATGCTGATTTTTAATGTTTCACCGAAAGACAAACATTCTGTTCTAGAATTACCTGTTTCTAATTTTGGTGAAGATATTTTAATGTTGAAAGAACTGAACTGAATACAAATGATTATCGATTTGGGTTTTCCAATAAGTTAATTTATTTCAAATGAAATGTGAGAAAAGCATATTCAGCTGATTAGCAGGGAAAAAAGATTTGATAGATTCACACAAAGCATGGAATCAGTTTTATGTTTTGTTAAGATCAAGTTTCATTGATATTACATGACCATTGGTTATCTGACAATAGCTTATGGAATGTTTGAAATCAGTTTCAACCTTTTGCCTGGAATTAATTTGAATGTCAATCATTTGAAAGGCTTAATCGAGTTGATTACCCACTCTAAACCTTTTGAATGGTTAAACAACTGATTTTTGATCTGCATTTCAACCTGTTCCATGGTAATTCAACATTATTAATAGCTGTGTAATAATAATGATAAATGATGAGTTTGTTTTACGAGGAAAGAACGCCGAACAGAAGAAGATGTCAAACCATTTTCTTGGGCTTCTTTACGTTTCATCAACACTTGAAAGATGAGTTTATTTAAAATGCTAAGTTTTCCCTTCATATTATATTATTATTTTACATTTGACAAAAGATGATGAAAAATGATAAAGACAAGATGAAGGAGTGAAATAGGGTGAACCATGAAATTTGAAATTGTGAGGGGAAAGAGATGAATGTTGAAGGGAAAGTTGAAGATGGCGAAGGAAAAGCTAAAGGTTGAGTTAAGGTGAGTTGATGTTTGAAGAGTTTTCAGCCTCAGATGATTCAGTTGAAATTGGTGAATTGAATGGTCAACAGAATAACAATAACATGAGATAAATCAATTGAATAGAAGAAAATGGAAGAAGAAATGAGAAAAAGAAATGAACTCAAAAGGATATTTGATTATTTCCATCTTCTTTTTGCATCTCGTCAGGTAGTCAGTTTTCATCTTGGTCTTCCTTTACATCTTCATTTTCATCTTCATCTTCCTTTTTCCTCTTCTTGTTTACTTAAGGTAAAAGGTAAGACAGATAAATACAGTAGATTCAGTTGGATTGACATGGAACTGACATTCTGATTTTATGGATCAATTGTTGAAAGGTTGACGGTCTTTTCAGGGTAAAACTTTGATCAAATTGTTTGAGTTGGTCTTTTTTTTCTTGTTCTTGCTTCATGATTAGGTTGATGATATTAATAGAGATGCGAATTTAGAATGATAACAATGATGATAATGGTGATGATAGGGAAAGACAACAAATTGCAGGGAAAAAAGAGGAACCAAATTGTCAAGACAAAGATTCATTTCCTATTTCAAAGTATCTCTTTGAAAACAAGTGATGAAGATGAAATCTGTTTGGAGGTTGATCGAGAAGAAGGAATAACAGAATAACAATAATATTTCTTATTCCTATTTCATGTCAGTTAAGTTGATTGAAGATAATTTCATCTCATGTCGTATCATATTGAGTTGAAAATGAAATATCAAACAAATCAAGTAAGCAATATCAAAGGTTATATAAATTGAATGAACAGAAGACTGGAAACAAAAATGAAAATAATTCAATGGGAACAAATGTTTCATTTGGTATGGATATTAGCTGGAGAGTAAAGGTTGATAAATCAAACCTTTTATTAGTCGATCTCTTGGAATCCTCAAATAGCAAATAATAGATAATAAAACAAGATTAAAAATGGGTTAATTTCTGCTACTTTACATTTAAAAATCGCTGTAAATCTAACTTAAAATTTTAACCAGTAGCAAAATTGAATACCAATCCTAATATCTTATATCTTTTGATATCGATACGCAAAGGGTAATAATTAACGGTTTTGTTGTTTTTATTTTTTTTTCATTGTTTTGGCTGATAATTGTTTCAATGTTTACTCATGGATTGGTCTTTTGGTTGGTCCTTCGTCCATTTATCACCACTCTCTTCATCATGGTCCAATCTTCAACTCGTCTTGGTTTTATTGTCCTCAGGATATTATGAATGCAATTGATTTTATGGCTATTGTACCTTTCTTTATTACATTAGGAACCGTTTTTGCTGTTAAAGATGATCCTGCCAAGGTATTTCATGAGAAACAAAATCAAGGAGCTTCACTGGCCATCCTTAGGGTTATCCGTTTGGTTCGAGTCTTCCGTATATTTAAATTATCCCGTCACTCCAAAGGCCTACAGATCCTTGGTATGACTCTGAAAGCCTCTCTCCGGGAATTAGCCTTACTCATGTTTTTCCTACTTATTGGTGTAATACTTTTCTCCTCGGCGGTTTATTATGCTGAAGCTGGCTCTGAAAGGTCTTACTTTAAATCCATTCCTGATGCTTTCTGGTGGGCTGTGGTCACTATGACCACTGTCGGCTATGGTGATATGGTTCCACATGAATTTTGGGGTAAAATGGTTGGCTCTCTTTGTGCTATTGCTGGTGTACTTACCCTGTCTCTTCCCGTGCCTGTGATAGTCTCAAATTTTAATTATTTTTACCATCGTGAGATGGATTCATCTAATTTACAATCAACTAATACTAATCATACCCTTAGTTGTCCCTTTTTACCAGCCATCGTAGGGCAAGACAGACTCGGGCGAACATCTTCCATTGACTCATCAATATCATCCTCGACAACAACCTCTTTTCACCAACAATCACATCATCACCACTACCAACAATCAACTCAAGTACATTCTGTTAACCACTCACATCATTACCAATCACAACCACAGCAACAACAACAAAAACATTCGAGTCAACATCATAAAAACTCCCAACAACCTTTATCCCCTCAACAATCAATTAAATATATTGATCATCGAAGTGATTCAAATAATTCTTTAAAATCGTCTAGGATTAATGATGAAATTGGTTTACCATCATCAGTATCTAATTGCTCACTACACAATAACACATCACCTTCATCTGCTACAGCAAATCTACAACAACAATCTCAATCATCTAATCATCATCATCAAGGCGCTGCTCGTTCAAATGAGAGCAACACTGTATCACGAAGCTGCCTAAAAGTAAACAATTGTAATTAGTTTAATTTGATATTATTAATTATTAATTATTAATCATTGATTATTGATTATTATGGTTATTATAATTATTATTATTAAAATTGTTATTTATTCATTTTGAGTGCAATATATACTAATAATAACCAATTAGATAAAAATAATAAAAATGAATCCTGATATAAAACCATTTTGCTGGACAATTCCTTATTCATTTAATATACACAAATAGATTGTAACATAATGTTAAGCTAACAACGAAATTAAGTTTATTTCAAGTGTTAATTTTATTAAATTCAAGATGTCGTTCAACTGTCAAATTTAACTAATAAGGCTCAATGAGTTTGAATAGCGTAAATTAACACTTGACTGGTTGATGGTTGATTAATCAATTGAGTTTTAATTTGATTTTGTTGTCATTTATTTCTCTTTCACTTTGTTAAATAAGTGAGAACACCGATAATCCAACATTGAAACTACTCAATGTAAAGAGTAAATCTGAGTAGATGTACTCAAGTGTGCTGCTTTGAAGCATGATCTGTCTGTTCCAAGGCAAACTACAACAGAATTGCAAAATTTGATGTTTCAAAAATAGTGAATTTTAATGATCAATGAAAAATGAAAAATGAAAGCCTCAAATTGTTTAACAATTAAAATCATCGAGACTGAAAAACAGACTATTAGAGTTTAGAAAAAATGGGTTAAATCATGAGTGATTCGGAATTGCTTGAGAGTTTTAACACGAATGATAACTAGTAAATTGTTAGGCATAAAGATTATTGGAATGTCAAATAAAATGTTGATTGAATCGAAACTAAAAAATGAAAAGACTCTTTAAAGTCGCCATCTATTGCTTAAAAGATTAACGCGTTCATAACAGTTTTTACTGATAGCAATTATTACATATTATGTTAATAAAACACATTTGTCTAGTTTTTGTTTAATCAGTACTTTGAGTATCACATGCTGGTGAAGCTTTATATTTCTTCTGTGTTTAATACTAAAATAAGTGTAAGTACCAAGAACATATTTTGTTGCTGCTCAAGCATGGTGCCAAGTGTGGACTGTCCTCGTCTGAGGAATTTATAATTCAGGTGAGTTACATTGATTAAAATAAGATGAATCTGCCATTCCAGTCTCATTGAGAAACAGTCGTCAGATAAAACCCAAAACACTTGATCAAGTATGCAAAAATACTAGTCTAACCAGATAACAACTGTTCACTTTCAACGTCAGAGAATCGCTTATTACTCTAGAACATGGGATTTTTTCATTCAGGTGGCTTAAACAAATCTGACATTACGATGGATAAATATGGATGACAATCGCACCGACTAGATCACACCGACCCATCACAGATGAAGATCTTCAAACATGCAAAAAGGTTTGTTTACTTTATTTACGCATGTTATCATCTTTGATTCATTTGATTCCAATTCAATCTCAAGTTTACTTCTATCCATTATTTATCCAACAATTTGTGAAAATCTTAATATGGTAGCTTGGTTAGTGAATAGGCCGAAATTTCTTAAAGAAAATGCTGGATCGAATTAGTGGATTTCATGTAATGATCAGTTCTTATTTGACTGATGAATCTTGAGTTTTAAGTAAAAGCAACTGTAACCCAATCAAAGGAAAGTTTACTCGATAGATTAATGATTAAATGCTCGAAAAGTGACAAAGTTAACCAAATTCACTCAACTCAGTAATTGATATCTTTTTTAAGTGCTTCTTTAACAATCTTGATCAATGTCTTTTATCTTCCATCATCTTCTATCATCATCACCATCATCATCGACAATCTTTCTCATTCTTACAAACTGAAACACAAAAAAAATTATCTGTACGTGTGTGTCATCCCATATTGTTGATTGGTTAGGTTGACAATTAATCATGTCCAAAGTCAAAACCAAAATCTTTACAAACTCATCTTTTGTTTCTAGGCTTGGTGTAATGCCAGGGATAATTGACTGACTGTGTTACTGTCTTGAACCGTCTTTTATTGTCTCCAACCACTTTATTTTAATCAGTAATGTAATTATTGAAACCAGTCACTATCAGCTTTAAAATTTCAGATAAACGGATACTCCTCTATCCTGTCATCGATTAGCATGTTGAGTGAAAATAAGTGAAAAATATCACCTTTGATGTAACTCTTTACCCGATTTTACCAATTTTTATTGAAAAGGTTAGATCCAACCTGACTAAATACGGTGCAAGTGGTTGCAAGTAAACACTGAACAAGCAATTAGCTTCATCTTGAAACATTTATTTCTGTTACACCTTTTTTTAATTACTTTCATTTCTCGTGATTTGTGAATTTTCAGCCTTCCACTAGTTTCAAAATTGGTTGATTAACCAACTCTAACCTTCAACCCTTCAACAAAATCATCACTGCTTGTTGTTTAAACTTTCCTCTTCACCATGGATTTACATGCAACTATTATCCTTCTCTTGATTTTCCTCATTACCCGGGTAAGTGCGTATTAATAGTTTAATCATAATTAAATGTCAAATTTTGATACAATTTGCCTAACATTTCCTCTTATTAAAACCCTTTGTAGCGTCTAGTAACATTCAAGTGTATTTGACAAGAATCAGATTTGTGTACAATTTAATGCATCATTAATTGTAAACCTACCTTTCGTTATCTAATAAATTTCAATTACAAGGTTCACTTTTTATCAAATCGTTAGTCCTGAATCAGTTCCTGAAAAAATAAAGCTTAAATGTAAACAAAGAGGGAAAATATTTGAAAAAACCGTTTTTTATTTGAAATTAAAAAACGTTTCACTTTTTTTTCAACCGATTTTTTCGACTGGTTTTTTCCATTCCATTGCCTCCATTTTGTTGACTGCCATTTTTATCATTTTCATCTAACATTGTCAACTATTTAGTCACTTGTTAACAAAGCTTACTCTTTGCCTCTTAATGTATCACAGGTTAATCATTTTTCCTTTGTCAAAAATAATGATTACAAGAAAATATCTGATAAATGTTTCCATTGGACCAAATCAAACTTATTTTTCTCCATTTTCATTTCCTTTTTTCCCTTCAAATAGCCTGATATTCCAATAGTAAAGTTACATGATAATCATCTTTATTCAATGAAAATACATTGTAATTCAGTCTTTCTTCATCTCAAGATTCACTTGAATGCTATTTGTATTAATCTTTTGATTAACTTTAAGTTTATCATGTAAGATGGTTAACAATGTATTATTGCTTCAATTTGATAAACGCAGGTTTTATAAGTATAATTAAATAACGATTGCGAGGTGACTTGATAGGTATATGCAAGAGGGCGAATCCCGAGTTCATTATCATATCACCGAGTGTCATGATAACTAGCGATAATCATTCACTGAATTATGTAACATGATTTATGCAACTTATGCCATTGAAAAGAGTGTACATGAAACGTAACTTGTATAACATCTAAACATATGACTTAACCTACATGTAATTATGCATTTCCTTAAACTGATAGCTTTTAACCCCCATTTATTGAATTATAATGCGCAGGTTAATTAATTGTTAATCAATATCCATCATTATGATAATTGTGAGATGTTAATTCACTATTTTGTTTGAATATTAAAACCTAAATATTGATCAACAGAGTTACAATGCATTTTGAATAGTTACCCAAAAAATTCTGGTTAGTTTTAGGAAAGTTAACCAGATTTTCTTGACTTGCACATTTTGATTATTTACCATTGCTTTTAATCAGCAGCAATTCCTAGGAATAATAAGCTATTATTGAGTAAATTGCTTTTCCATTGAGTTATTTCAGCTGATCTAAACTCAAAATTATTAGGATTAATTGTCAATTCCTAAACTGTGCTTGATCATCAGTTTGTCACTGATCATTCAGCATGAATGGTTACAATTAGTTGTGAGTATCACGAAAATCAATCGACTCCAACTTAATTTTGTATAAATCTGTATTTTTTGACCATAAAACATCAATTGACCTTAATAAGAGCATTTGAAAATGGGAAAAATTACATCAAGTATTGATCTGTAGTTGAATCATTGATTCAATCAGGTTCCTTATTTTGTCCATCAATAGCTATCATCTTTGATAATGGTCAAAAGGTTTATTGGTTAATTAATAGTTAATTAATGTACTCCAAGGCAGACAGTGAAGGTGATTATTGTTTTGACTTTGTCAACTCTGACCAAGTTTGGAGTAAGGTCATGATAAATGCTATCATGATTGCTTGATTAATTATTGGATTGAAAGATATTTGAAATTAATGAAGCCAATTTTGGGTGGAGTTGATTGTTATTAATACAATCGACTCACTTGTCTGTATAATAAGAAACTTCAGGATAATTGTGGAAACATGATTAACCTTGCAAGTGTCTAAAGTATTATCCAATGTATTAATTGCTTCTATTATTAAACTGTATTAAAATAATTGATCCATCGTTTTGCCCTTCAAATGCCTCTTAGGTTTCATTTGGTCAGAGACAGTTTCAAATTGATTGGTCTAACAATGTATTTCTCAAGGATGGACAACCTTTTCAATATGTTTCTGGTTCATTTCATTATTTTCGGGTTCCAGTCGAGTATTGGTCTGATCGGATGATTAAAATGCGTAGTGCTGGTCTCAATGCAATTCAAACGTAAGTTAATTTTATTCAAATCACATTTCCTCAACTAATAGTGTTATTTATATAATTGTTTGTTCCATTATTTAGGTATATTGAATGGCGATCTCATGAACCATCCATTGGTGTTTACAATTTTGAGGATAACCTGAATTTGTTTGGTTTCATTGAAATGGCCCAGAAACATGATCTTTTGGTTATCCTAAGGCCTGGTCCATATATCTGTGCAGAGCGTGATATGGTAATGTTTACTTGGTCAAAAATGAGCAAGCAAATGCAGTTTCTGGTCGTTAATTGAAATCATGTATTTTGTTGTACTACAGGGAGGTTTACCGTCTTGGTTGTTGACTGAAGATCCATCAATGGCATTGAGATCAAATGATTCTCGGTATTTGAATCATGTTAATCGTTGGTTCAATTATCTTTTACCACGACTCAACCCGTATTTATATAAAAATGGTGGACCAGTTATTATGATGCAAGTTGAAAATGAATATGGATCTTATTTCGCTTGTGATTTCAGTTATACAAGTTATTTACGAGATTTAATGGCCAATTTAACCAATAATGATGTTGTCCTTTTCACAACCGACGGCAATGCCCTGAGTTATCTTAAATGTGGACTTATAAATGGTACTTTTGGAACCATTGATTTCGGCCCTGGAACTGATGTAGCTCAATCCTTTTCTTATTTGAGATCACGCCAACCAAATGGTCCCCTAGTCAACTCTGAATATTATACTGGCTGGTTAGATCATTGGGCAGAGCCACATTCGGTAACATCTGATGAGTTGGTTATTAAGACTTTGGAAACGATGCTCTCAATGAATGTTTCCATCAACATGTAAGAACCCGATTTTATATTTTAATCGGATGAAAATTGTAGATTTTCATTTCTAAATTACTTTTCAAGGTACATCTCTTGATTTGATCTTTTAGTTGCTGTTATCAAATTCACTAAATCATTTCATCTTTTTAGGTATATGTTTGAAGGTGGTACCAATTTTGATCTTGGTGCTGGAGCTAACTATGGTAGCCATTTAACACCTCAACCAACCAGTTATGATTATGATGCACCATTGACTGAATCAGGCGATATAACGGATAAATATTTAAAAATCCGTTCAACAATTTCCAAGGTATAACAAAATGTGTCCATTAATATATTATAGCACTTATTGTTTATACTTTTCATTAATCTGCTTCTTTCCCTTTGTCTAGTATTTACCTGTTGGTGAAATACCAGAACCCAAAATCCAACCAAAAATGAGATTGACTGTCACAGCAAGTCGTTACCTCAATTTTTATGACCTACTTGAACTAGGTAAAGTGAAACAAAGTGAAAAGCCAATGACATTTGAATCTCTTGGTGTTTCAACTGGTTTTGTGCTCTACTCAAGTATAATCAATCGTACTCCCAGTGATCCAGTTTTACTGTCTATTCCAACTCTTCGAGATCGCGCAATCATCTTTATTGATGGGGTAAATAAATTACTCACTCACATGAATATACTAATGATAAATTATATTAACCTTTCTTCCCTAATCATCACAGGTAAGACAAGGAGTATTATCAAGAGCAGTCGGTGCAAATCAATTACCAATCGAAGCTCGTCTGGGTTCTTATTTAGCTATCTTGGTTGAAAATGAAGGCAGAATATCTTATGGACCTTACATTAACGAAGAAAAGGTAAATTTATTTATTTATTGTTCACAACAATAAATGAAATATTGTTGCTTTGACTTGTTTGATGTTTAGATTATAAAGTTACAATCGCATTGAATGGGTAATGACAAAAAAGTTTGCTCTTATGGTGAAATTAAAATCGGGGAATGATTTTCGCTCTTTAGTTGAAAGGTTTTACCTGTTTTATGGCTCCCAAAGTGTGCTTGAGATTTTAGGTAAAGAATTGATTTTATCGTTTTATTACCTTTTTACATTTCTTCGAGAGTTCAAATTGGACAAAAATTGCCCGAACCCATAAATTTGTTGATTCACATTTGATTGAAAAATAACAATAACGTATTGACACTCTGGGCGACAGCTTTTATAACATCCATTTTTCAGGTTCTCTGTGATAAATTGACCAAAGATTATATTCCAATAATCTAAATGCTTGTTTTTTTGCGAATGAGTTGAACTCAAACTACAATTGACATTTTATCCGACTAGTGATTGCAAGAGTTTAGCTTTCTGTTAATTAATCAAAAGCCACACCATTTAAAACCTGGAAATCTCATGACTTCAGCTAATCGATGAATTGAACAACTAGACTTTGTATTTTAATTAATCTGTTGTTGAACAAACTGAGAAACGTTTTTCAAATTAATATTCAGTTTCGTATGATATACTGGACAAGCTAATATTTCCCATAAAAATGATTTTTCCTTTTTTGTCAATGGTCAAGTCTCAAGCTCTATTCGTGCTGAGGCTTTGAATCAAATGTAAGCGTTAGCAATATTCACTTTATGGTTCTTTTCATTGGTTTTGCCTTGTGCTTCTAGAATTATTATCAGTAATTAGCTGAACATTCATACTCGATTGCAACTATTTAAATCGTTGAACAACTTTGCTGAACAATATATTGCTCTTGTTTCATGTTAACAGTTAATTAATCCATTTCATTTTCTCATTCGTTTTTTTGCCTGTTAAATCATTTAGGGAATAATTGGTGATGTTAACCTGGGATCAGTTACGATTACAGACTGGATTCATATCTATTTCCAAGACATGTCTAATTTCCTCATTTCAGCTCTGAAAGAGAAACCCAATAATTATGACAATTTTAATTTGAACCTAACCAAGTTATCGCCATTTCCTGATCCTCCTTTATATCCAAATATGTTTCGTAGTGTATTCCAGTTGCCCATAGGAATGAAACCTTTAGATACATTTATGAACATGGCTAACTTTACGAAAGGAGTTGCTATGCTAAATGGACACCTTCTGGGTAAATATTGGCCACACACCGGACCTCAGGTTACACTTTATGTTCCTGGAGTTTGGTTTAAACCTTTCCCTGACCAAAATGTTTTAATAATTTGGGAAACATTTGGAACAACTTCAGAAGAAGAGTACAAAGATAATTTAGTTACGATTCAGTTTCAAGAGCAATCAATTCTTGACGGACCAACACCGTTTTCAAACACTAAAACCAATGATTATTGGTTATCTAAACTTCCAAAATCAAACAATCAAATCATTGGCTAAAATGTATCTTCATTTCTTGGTACAATGTCTGAACCAGAAAAATTTAGGTAGCCTTTTATTTGTAAACAACCAATAATTTATAGCCATAATCTACCATGAATGGGTTTTCTTAAATTAAATTCATAACTTGCTTTGCTCACAAATTACAAAAAAAAACCAATAATCAAGAGATTTGTCTGAATCTTATTTTTCGCTTGAATGTGTTTTGGTGAAGCTGTTTGAAATTATTTATACTTATAATTTATTGATGAGTTTTAAAGGGAAAAGGTTGAAAAATACAAAAAGGTAAATGAAGCAACATTAAGAATAAGTTAGATTAAAAATTGTTTGAAAATGAATCAACTGTGATTCTTGCGAAACGCTTTGGGTAATTTACGCCATGAAACATAAACTTGAAGCTCATCGATAATTTCTTGTTTGCAAGATAATGTGCATGGTTTGTACATTGAGGCATCACTAAAACGAGAAAATAATCTGTAATGATGAACAAGAAAAAGTCGTTAGTTAATCAATTTAAATTACTTCTTGGCAAAAGCAGACTCACTTATAAAACCTTTGAAATTCTTGTTCATTGGTAAGTAATCGTCTGATAAATAAGTTCCAATTGATTGGATCAAGTGAAGGCAATTTTAAATCAATTAATGCATTATAACCCAATCTCCAAATGGGTCCATAGTGACCATTCAAATTGGCTTGGGTTAAATTGAAAAAATAAGTATCATGATTGATTACCATCCCTTGTGAAGTGGTTTGGTAAATCCTGTAACCCGGATTGTTGCCTTTAAATGAGGTTATACTAGGTCCTATGTAGGCATTGCCAATTGGCAAATTGTTAATTGGTGAATAATAGACTCGAAACTCGTCCCTGTGTGTGTGTCCATAAAATTGGGAAGAAATGGTTTCTCGAAATCGATCAATTATTCCAATGAAATTATCAACCCAAGATGAAGTGCATTCCCTATTGTCTGGAGCAATGTGACCCACAATTTGAACTTTATCACCCAGAATTTCAGCCTCATAAAGCTGATTTACCAGCCATTTCAACTGACCTCCTGGATCACGAGGGTCGAGTAAAGTCCATGGATTTAGACGAGCACAATAATTGGTATTTAAGGCTACCAATCGAAGGCCTGGACCCAAAGGAACGGAATAATAGCCTCCTCTGTATAAATAGAATCAAATGAAATTGAGCGAAAATGATTATGATTAGTTACAATTTCAATAGTTTTTAAAACAGTTAATCAATTACTTACATTCGTAAGGTTTCAAGAGCAGTTTCTGGAAGCCAAGTTGACCATTCAATAGCCAAAACTTCATATAACCAAGAAGCAGATAAATGACCAGAAATACCAGGAGGAGGAAAACTGAGTAAACAAAAGTAGTAAAAATTAATTTATTATTCACAATGAGACGTTAATAGATACAAATTACATTAAGATAATCATTTTTTATAACCATTTTTCTAGCAACAAAATGTTAGCTTTGAAATAAGAAATAAAAAAGTAAGAATTACATGGAAATAAGTCTCAATCAATTCTTAACTCGACAAAATGAAATGGCAATTGAAACCTACAAAATAACATGATTGAAAAAAACTAACTAACTGGTAATTAAGGTTAAATTGAGAGGTTAATATGAAATAATAATAAGATTAGAGCTGGAAACAAATCATGAATAGAGACTGTATCTCTTATGGTTATCATTAATTGATTAACTTGAAACCCAAAACAAGAGTCCCATTAACAAGAAACAAAGAGCTTGAGTTATTGGAATACATTTGTTACAGCATTTGATAATGATGCTACAAATGTATTAATGGCTTATCATAATTGTTATACCTGTTGGCAGGGAATCCCTCATGATTGCCAATTACTGGAAAAACTGGTACAGATGAATATTGTTTAATAAGATGGGTAATGTAACGAACATGGTTCAAAATTTCATTTCGACTAGAGTTCCAAATATCATGAGGTCCAATGTCACCAGTCCAAAGCCAGTAATCAACCTTTAACAGAGAAAAGACCATTTAATAGAAATTAGAGGTGAATTTTTAATTAATCATCAATTTGTTAATTCTCTAGAGAAATTAGTTTAATGTTGTTCTATGAATACATTTTTTTTCAATGTTCCCAATGTTCTGTATTCAAATTGCGTCTCCATTTTCATCACAATTAACTGGGAATCACTCTGCAGTTACTATTTTTGTACATTCAACTCGTTACCGTTAATTTGTTAACCATTAATGTTTGCCAATTAATTGGGATTATCTTGTACTTTTGCTACAATTTTAAAATGGTTCAAATTTTTGCAATTAACAATGATTCCTCTAACACTATTAAATATTCAATTTGCTTGGATTAAATCATTTCTATTCAGGCTTTTGTTGCAAATCAATCTAATTAAATTTAGAAACTATGGATATATTTAATTTGTTGTTTCCTTATTGCTAATTAATTGATGCTCGAGAAAAGCCAAAAAATGAATTGACTTATTGTTTAGCAACGTAAGCTATTCAATTTGATGTAATGATGCACAATAAAAGGACAAATGAGTGTAGATTTGGTCCAATGAATGATTACAATTAATCAAATCTATTGATAACAATTTAATTTCGATGTCATTTTGGGTTCATAATTGAATGGAATCACGACTTTCTTCAACCGTTCAATAATTATTCAAAGTGATAATTTTTTGAATTCATTTTGTTTTCAATATTTCAATCTACAATTATAATTGCTGACAATAAATTTATAAATAAGCAAAGGTTTAACAGTAAACTCATTGTCATATTGGTTAAAGCTAGTCTATCCAATTTTTAGACAACAATACAAGAAGGTAAATACAACATTCGAGTATTTAATGGCAACAATCTAGGTGGTTGGATCAATAATGGTAATGAGTAACTGTCCCTCAACATGATTAATCCTAATCAAGACGATAAATTGGTTTACTTACATCAGAGTGATGAGAGGCAATATTTTGCAGAGCACTAACTACAGTCGCAATAGGAGTATCACATTTACCATAATCACCCCAATATCCTGCTGACCTTTTTTTAAATATGGTATCAACTGAGCCACTAGTTACTGAAGCTAATGGTGAAGCTGACTGTGCTGGTGATGGTGAGGCGGGAAAAGAAACAGATGATAAAGCTGATAATATTGATGGAGGTGAAGAGGAGGACAACGAATCATCAAATGATTGAGATGGACTTGATAAAGTTTCATGTGAGCGACAGCAAACAGGTCTTCCACATTCCGCATCAGAACCCGGTGAGTAAAAGAGATCAGCATGAATATCAGTTATATGTAAGATTTTGGTTACTCGTAGTGGACCATTGGATTTGATTGGATTTGAAAAGGACTTGATTGGTTCAACCTTGTCTGGTAGATGAAGAGACCAATTGGTTTTTATTGAAGGCGAAGCAAGAGCACAATTACCACCCAATAAGGTTGAGCACATCTCATTTGCCGTTAATTTGGTGTGAACTCCAATGTAATCCAGATCCTCCTAATAAATTCAAGAAAAGTACAGATGTTATTGATTAAAAATAATGTTTGGGAACACATTTAAAGTATATTTTTACATGCTAACCAGGCTCACTATGCTGGTATAAATCAGTAGTCAAAAGATTGAATTGACTCATATTTTATCCTAAATTATCAGATTTTTGCCCAAATATCATTACAAATACTTTAAAGGATTCTTACCACATAATTTTGAGCGATACCATTACAAACTTCAGGCTTTTGAAGTCGCAATGAGTTGCAAGTTGTCCGTATTGCTGAATGTAGACCATTCTTTGAATACATTGGCGATTGATATAATTCAGTTGCCGCGAAACAAGCCATACACGAAGCTGATGAAGATATACCATTTTTCATGTCTTCAATTATCTGTTTGGTGAAGATAAGATGAAAATTGACAATTAGCTAATTATTAAGGAAATGAAAAAGCTAAATCTATTGATAATCTCTTTTGATGAGTTCGGTTGGCTTTTGTACTGGTACTAATGTACTTAGTTCATGTCAAGCAATCAAGTTGAAGCCTTATGAAAATCAAACTGAAAACGATCTCTTTTATCAGAATTTATGCTTTTGATTTTGATTAAAAAACTGGAAAGTAATTGGATTCGTCATTTTTATCGCACATATTAGGGTTCAATTGAGTTTCATTTTGCTTGATAATAAACGGTAAGTGTAACTGTCTTTTGAATGCAAGAAATTATCACAGGAAGATCTACCTTTCTGAGTTATCAATAATTATTCCTAAAAATGTTTTATCATTTGACTCAATTCCAGAAATCAAACAGCTAATTGCTGTATTTTCCAGGGTCATTAAGGTTATTACTATTAATAGATTGACTCAACATCGATATGAATAAGTAATTGAAGCAAACAATTCCACTTTTGTTTAAACGCACTTATTGGAACTTTCGCCTTTCACGGTGCAGTTAAGATTCTGACGATAGGAAACAGTTTGATTATCTTAAGCAAACAATCAATTGATAATGATTTTCTAATTAAATAAAGGGTAAACCTTCGTTGAATCAATCTTCACTTTCTATTAATATTAAGAATCATTATTTGCAAAAAGTAAATCAGTAACTGGTTCGATGTTATCAAATTGCTGATAAAATCGAAGAAACACTGACATGCTAAGCAGGATTGTAAATAACAGAAGTCAATAGCAAATAATCGAGTAATTACTTTGACCAAGTTAGCTCCAGATAGTCCGGTTAACGATGATAATGATTCTTTGAGTTTGAAAGGTAAATGAGGTCCGAATGGACTGAATATATTATTATCATTGTCATTGTTTTCCAAGTGTTTTGAATCTTGCTGGTTGGCTGGATGAAATCCGTCTATTCGGTAACTTGTTGACGAACTGGATGATAGAGGTGTTGAAGATCCAGATGAATGCCATGGAAGAGCATAAGGAACATGATGTAAATTCCAACCTATGGATGTTAATCCAGTCCAATCACGAAGCCTTCGCCAAATGGATCCTATCGAAAAAATAGACTCTGACTGAGCACAATTAACCAAATGACATTCTTTACACAACAGAAAAGTAAAAGTCACGACAATAATTAAACACAAATTCCCATTGATTGTAGTCATAGTTTGAAACACCGTAAGGTGTAAAAATCATATCGTTAATAGCACTTTTAACATTTCGGGTTACTTTGAAAAAAAACACTCTAAATGATGATCCAAGCAAAACTTAATTCCTCCGGCTTTAAGCAAACAGAATCACTAGAGATCGAAATATCAGGACACAATTCAATGTTAATTTCATGGGTTAAGTCGTAAAAGGGTCAATACAGCGACTTCTTGGTTCCAGAAAAATGTCCGAAATGTTTTCTTTTTTGTCACTTGATTTAACTGAGATCATTAACTTGATGATTATGAAAGTGAAATAAAGTTTTTCTTTAGGCATCATTACGAAAGAATGAGAGAGAAAAAGTGAGAGAGAAAGAGTGAGATGAAGGAAGAGGAAGAGGAAGGTGGGAGCTGCTGATGAGGACGAAGGAGTAATAATATTCGGAACGAGTTTAAATTTGGGTTCGTTGAAGCGCGCGACCGTCAATAGGCTCAAAGTAGGGATATGACGATGGAAAGAGTGATATTTATAAGATAATCATTATTAAATATTGATGAAGAAAAGATAAGATGATGAATGGTAAAATTGAGATGAGATGAGATTGAAAATTGTAACAAATTAGACGATTCATTAACTCTTTTCATGGTTATTCAAAATGATGTCTAATTTGCATGAGCTAATGAGTATGATGGCATTAATATCGGCTTTCATCGTTGGTTGATTGTTCAATTCAAGCTTCCATTCTTTGATACTTCTATCACGAGTCAACCAATTTGATCTTGATCAAGTTCAACCTGCAATGAAATAATAATAAATTAGTTGATTTGAATTCAGTTGATCTTGATCTGGTCCATTGATCTTGAGTCTATCCATGGAGACAGACATTGTTTAACAGAGAAAGTGGAAGTTAAATCAAATTAAGTCTTGGCCCAGAGGTTAAATGTATCAAGTATCAATATTTGTTTATCATTCTGTTAAATTCATTTGAAGTCAGTAATTCATTCTTATATCCTGCACCAAACACAGATGTAAATTATCAACTGTGAATGACTTGAGGACATGATGAGCTTGTGAGCTATGAGGTAATTAAGGTGAAGTTGGTTAAAAGTTATGGCAAGATTCGGTTAATTAAGGTCAGCATGTGAATAGAGCGTAAACCTATCGATTGGATCTAATTTGAATGATTCGACATTGGTTTGCTAGCAAATGCTAATGTGATCTACTTTAGTTTTCAGTCGCTTGTGTAATCTACTCTTAATTACTTCTTAAAGAAAAATGATTTATCCTGAATATGGTTGAGATGATAGGCGATGAGGATACGAGGAAAGCGGTGAAATTCAGTGATTTGCCCTTTTCCCAGAACATTTCTCTTCGATTTCACTCAATCTCAATTCGGCAAAAATTAGAGAAGCTTGAAGCAATCTGATTAGCAAATTTATTTTTAACATCACAACTTGACTGAACTGAATTGGTTGAAAGAAAATGAAATTGTTTTTTCACCCTTTTTTAGGGGTTCCTGTCATTTAGGCTGCTTTACTGTTCGACTCATGAGTTTGACGATAATTACAATCAACACGGTAACTTCTTATTGATTGACGACAAATACAACAGCAAGATGAAGTCAAAGAGTGAGATAATCACCTCATTTATCCATCTTTATCTTTTCTGGCCTCCGGGTTTTATTTCAACTTTCACTTTTGGTATCTTTATCAAATTCAATTGGATTCAAGTCATCTGTCCTTGGGTTAAGAATAATAATGATTGTTATTATTATTACAAACATCGCCAATAATACTCAAGGGTGTAATTCACTGTAAATTGAAGAATTTGGGAAAAGAAGAAAAGATTATCAATTTATTGAATATCAAGTTAAGAGTAATAATAAAAAAAATGTAATTCATCATCAAAATAATAAGAAAACACTAATGAATCATGCTGCTATTTAAATATTGACAGGCATAGTTGATGTTAATAAATTCAAATTTGAAACTGGTTTACAGCAAATGGCTAAACTGTCACAATTGGAGATCAAAGTGAGTGATTTAGGCCCAGATCATTCAATCAATTCATAGAATGGCCATGATTCCTAATAGCTTCTTGGATCTGTAATGAGCCAGTTTTAACCTTTGTTTGATTTATCTTTCACTGAGTTACTAAAAAAAGATTGAACTAAATGATATTAATAATTAAGATATTAATATAATTAATGTTGTTAATAAAATTACTTGCAACATCATGTAACACCTTTAAGCATTAATTGCAAACTTGAACGGCTAACTAACTGTAAACAAAAGAACTAGCATAACGAGCCGTTGATCGAATGCAAGTCCTCAAGCTTAAAATTGCTTTCATGGGAATCGATAAAGATTGAAATGACAAAAATGCCTATCAAATCGATGTGTTGTAACTCATTATGAGCTAGATGGAAGTTGGAAAATTATTGAAATTTTTACCTTTAATGAAGAGGCTTTTACTTATTCCATACTGTGGAGTTGTCATCATGAATCTCTGGAAAGAGAGGAAAATGGAAACAAAGAAAATGATTTATAAAAAGTAATTAGCAAAATATTAGCTGATCTTTTCATTATTGCCTTTGAAAAATGAAATTAAAATAACAAGAAAACAGAGATTATGGAGTTAGAAAACAAAAAGAAATTAAAAAATCCATAATGGTAGAAACCAGGTGAGTAGAAATCATCAAAATAATTAGATCCTTACTTTAAACGATACACAAAAACAATATATGATACTGAACAACAAAATAAATGGCAAAAAATAGATTCAATTGATTATTTTTATTTTGCTAAAAACCGTTGAGATTAAAGTCTCACAAAATTAAGACATTGTGAGTAAAGACAGAGACAAAATGGCTGATGGCGCCAAGAACACAGACTTTGCCTCTTAAAGTTAATTGCGTTACTAAAAAGTTCATCCTTTTTGTTAAACTGTTGCTTTTGTTTTATGCTTAAAGAAAAGGATGATAAGAAACAGCAAGATTATTTTATACAACAGAATTTTTCTTTTTGTCTGTTTAACCGGCTGTGTTATCCAATTGGCTGATATTTTTCGCAATTATATTCAACACAGTGTTGTCTCTAAAGTTATCCTTAGTTATCCTGCTTCAATCACGGTTCCAGATTTAACTGTTTGCTCGGAATATATTGATGTAATCAATTATACTGCTTATCTAACAACATGTCCCGATAAAATACCTACTGAATGTGCTTCTGTTGATGTTTCCACTGAAGATGGTTTGCGCCATTGTTTTGCTGATGTCGTTGGTTTTAATAAAATGCGATCTTTCATCTCATCAACTTTCACTGTTGCCCAATTTTACAATTTAACTTATTCACCCAAAACCATATTCCCACAAGTTGATTTATCTGCTAAATTTAATGATTCTCGTTGCTCGATCACATCTCTGTTTGCATCCAATCGTATTTGTTATACCATCCAATGTTCCTATGGCTCGCCTTTGACAATTACTCGTTATACTCTTACCGAAGGCGATCTTAAAGGTGCCATGATCGTGATTACTGTTAACCAGTCCATTGTTCGTGATTGGGAGTTCACCTTTGTTTATGTTCATGAACCCTTTACTTTTCCCTATGGATATGAATCAAGTTGGGTTGGCTTAACTTTCAACCGATTACCCTCATTATATTTGATTAAATATAAATTGATCAAAGTAGATTTGCTGCCCAAACCCTACGTAACCGCCTGCCGAGATTACGAATCTATTGGTTTTGACAATAGACTTGACTATTTTGATCATTGTATCAATCAAAGTTCATTGGAATACTTTGGGTTGCCTTCTCACAGAACATTCATGTATCCCACTTTGAACATATCTTTTCCCTCCCATCAATTAAATCGTCAATCAGCAGCCTACCGAGTCATTGAAAATAATTGTATAGCTGAGATATCACAGCCTCAGTGTCACTACACTTTTTACATTGCCTCCAATGAAGGTTGGTACCCTACTGATGACAATACTTCTAAGATCCTACTTTTGGCACCTAATGAGCCAGATCTTCACGCTATTACACTTCCAGCTCATGGATTTTATCAATTTCTCATTTTTGTGGAAACTATTCTTGGTATTTGGTTTGGTTTCAATTATTTTGGATATGGCCAAAAAATTTTCTCCTCTTTGTATGAGTATTCAAAAATTGAGCCCAAATTACGCTGGCAACAAATTAAGAAACAAATGCTATTGGGAAAGCTTGGATCAAAATCGAAGCAAGAAAAACCAAATTTTAATCGTAAAAGAAGCTCTAAAGTACAAGTTATCAAAGTGGGTCAACCTTGATTGAAACATGATTTTAAGGCGTTTGATATGTGAGCATCATCTGTAAAGATTCTTAAATTTCGAAGACAACATTTCACCAACTTTTTTTATCATCAATTTTTCAAGTCAGTTGTCATAACATTTGTTATTCTAAATGACATTGAAAAAAATCTTTATGCAATGAATACGATTGAAATACGTTTGTATCTTGTACGTAATCCAGCTTAATCCATTCGATATCTAAGAATTCTATTTTTGCTTAAACCAATTTGCTCCCTGAAGTTAAAAGATTAGTCTTTAAATAATTTCAATCCATCAAATTAATCTGTGAGAGGATTGTATTAATCTATTTCCAATAACTTCACAAACATTTGCTAGTTTAGTAGCAGCGAAATGATCAGCTTATCGTTCATATATATACATTGCGTGTCCAATACTGTAAAATTCATTTGAATTAGCGGAAGCCGTTGAATCATATTTTTGATGGCAACAAATAGCAATATTTAAAAATCGATTGGACAATTAATTACAGATATGCAGACTGTTCTGTTATTATCAAATAACATAGAGCTAATAGAAAGTGTTATAAGAACGTGAAATATCCACTAAAATTACTTGTAAATTTGCAATTTGATCTAACCCATAACCCATAAAAGATGAATTTTGCTAGATTAATCTGTGTAATTGGCTGCGCAATTCAACTGTTTGGTGTATTAAATAATTATTTCAAGAGAGAAGTTATTTCTGAAGTGGAATTTAAATTTCCTCGTGATATTGAAGTTCCTGACATCACCTTCTGTACCGATTTCATCAATGCTGTCAATTTTGATCTTTATTACAATAACCAACGATCGAAAATTCCTGGAAGCTGTTCTCATGTCAACAATAGTGCAGACCTACGAAGCTGTTTGATTGAAAAATTTACCATCAAAGAATTTACCAAATACATCAGTCAACAATACACCGTCAATGCTTTTTATGCCGATCTGATTATCTGGCCAATAAATATTTTCGAGGACATAAAGTTCTGGATCGATTCACATGAATCTTTTAAAAATCCCTTCAAGTCTGGATTATGTGGGATTACACCTTACATAAGAGAGCCACTCATGTGTTATACCGTACACTGCAAAAACAGTTCATCAACAGGAAAGATCAGTCCTTTAACCGTCAAACAACAGGATTTACGAATGTCACCAACTTTAAGGAGTATTTTGCGTATCAAATTCAACGAGACAATATTTGATCGGTGGGATCGTACCTGGATCTTTCTTACGCCTCCGGGAACTTTACCTAGAGGCTTCGAGAGTGCTTATTTAATATTGAGAAGAGCAGCCGGTAAAACAATCAATTACTACATAAGTTATAAGCGAGTACATGTTGAATTACTTCCATATCCTTTCAAATCAAATTGTGTCTACTATAATGAAACATTTAATGGAAGAACCAGACTGGAACTGTTTGAAAATTGTTTGAATCATCTATCCAACCAGAGATTGGGCACCATTTTTTACTCAACCTTCAATTCGGTCGAAGTAAACTCAACTCTTGCTTCTCCTCTACGAGAAAGTAGCCGCTACTTGCATCAATATCACAAAATTGAGAAACAGTGTTCCAAGTTAATTGATAATCCAGAATGTATTTCAGAATACTTCATAACATTAGGTTTAGGATATCAAGTACTCAACAAAACTTCAGATCAATCCACACAGCTAACATTATTAGCTCCGACTGAACCTGACTTAATAAAAAAGAGCAAACCTGCATTTATCATATTTCAGGTGTTTCTTTATGCTGGCTCAGTTTTAGGCGTTTGGTTAGGATTCAATATTGTTTCTCATACCGGTCAAATCATCTTGTTATCTGGCAATCGAGATGAGGTAAAATCAAACCCAAATGGACATCAGGACCAGAAAATTTTATTTACCAAGAAAACTGTTCGAAATCGACCTAAAAAATATTTCAAGACCATCAAGGTAAGCTTATTATTAATAGAAATATTTTTATCATTTACTGAAAAAGCAATTAGTTAATTAGCATTAGATTTTTCCCTTAGCTTCTTTATAATGATTATGACTTAAATTCCGAGCACTAACGAAACAATATTTGATAATATCGATAATATGAATAACCACTTAAATTAATTAATATTGCAATTGGAAAGCTATCCGAGAATACGATTTTAAATGTCGTTTGGAATTGACAAGTTAGAAAACACTAATTACAATGAATTATACTGAAAAATTTGAATGATTTAAACCAATTAACATTATTATATTCTTGACAAGGCTTATAAAATTAATTAATTGGCCAGGAATTTACTTTAATGAATAGGCACTTTAGGCTAAATACCTCATTAGTAAGAACTTATTTCAAAACAAATAACATCAGTTCCTCAATGATCAGGACGTGGATAGTTTCGGTTTCTGGATGGTTGATAAACAATCGAGGTTCAACATTTCAGTGCATCGATAAAAGATAATTAAAATAACGTAATTTTTTATCAAAACTTATTAATCTTGAACATCTTCTCTCTTCAGATCCAAGCCTTTGATTAGGATGCGAAAAACTTGTTTCATCCTTTCTTGGTTTATCCTCATTGCTTCTTGATGATCAACAATTGGTTGAGGATAATGTTTACCAATCTTGCAGTTAGCTTCTCTTTGTACCTTAATTGGTGCTTTCCAAGGCTCATGGATATATTCATTGGGAATGTTTCGTAAAACTGGAAGATATCGACGAATATAATCTCCTTGTGGATCCATTTTACGGCCAAAACTGACCGGACAATAAATGTGACAGATTCTTTGAAAGAAAGATGAACAGCTTAGCCACATCCAGGTTCCTGCATTAACAGACCAGTCTGCATCAATCAATAATTCATCGAATACTTTCATACCTAAATCGATATTGAAAAAATATCATTATGGGAAGAGAAAGAAAGAAAGATAATTAAAGAAAAACAGACTTCAATTTAAATCACTTTTAAATGATTAGCATCGTTTAAAGATAATTATTGGGATTAGAGATCAAATGGCCATTTTTACCTTCTTCCCAAGAGATCCAGAGGATTCCTCGAGTAAGGAAACAAACGGTTGCGTGCTTTGCTATCTGATGAATCCAACCTTCACGGCGTAATTGAGTTTGTATTGCATCAATCCAAGGATATCCAGTTTGCCCATTTGCCCATTTATTTAAAGCTTCAGCATTTGAATTCCAAGCAATTTGAACACACAAAGGATTATTTTGCATCTTATCAAAGTTGGGATTATTGGTGGCTACGCAATAAAAAAATTCACGCCACAAAAGCTGGCCACACAAAGTTAATGGTGGATTCCCTTTCTTCAATTTACTGTAAAGATTTGAAAGCTGATGATAAAGAAGACGAGGTGAAATGCATCCAAATCTGAGAGAAAGAAGGAAAAGAGAAGGAAAAACAAGATTAAATTGTAATGATAAATCAATGTATTAAACCAAATCATTAAATTTCTCATTTCGCTTCAGTGCAAAAAAGCAATAAAACAATCACAGCTCATTAGATTTGAATCTTTTTCAACTCTTCAAATCAATGTTTTCAGCCATTAAAACAGCAGAAAAATAATATTGTAAAACATATCAGAAAATCAGATACAATTAAGAATAACTGTTAATTCTCGGGATTACAGGATAAATTACTATTTCTTTAGCTTTGATCGAATTAGCAGTTTTAATGATAAAATCTGAAAGTAAACAATCAAATTTTTACACATACATAAACCGATAATTTGTTCACATCTTTCAAAGGATCTATCACATTGCCTGTACATGCATTGTTTTCATCATATTCATTATTCTTCATGTTATGTAATGGACTTTAATCAATGGAAAATTCAATTGAAAACTGATGAAAATGACAATTAAAGAGATGATTTGTTCAACATGAAAGTTGCTATAAAATGATAACATTTCTCGAGTAAATACTTCGTTGGTTCACCCACAGTTTATAACCAATGGTCGTGTGTTTAATCAGGAGAAAAGGTAATTCCATTCTGCATTATATTAACTTTCATTCTGATCATTTCACCATCACCCTGAATTAGTTCAGCATGGCTGCGTCATCGTTACACTTTCTGTTTCCATCTCCATTTTATGTTAAGTTAAATATCTGTTGTATTATACTATTAGATTTAAAAGCTTAACCTTCGTAAATTTTACTGAATAACATGTGATCCATGTGACTATTTATCTGTTGATCCAATAGGATTAAATCAATTGATTTCAGGATATTGTCCACGTGATTATCTATACCAGTAATGGATTGAGATAAGTTGATGAATACATTTCATCTCAACACATAAACATCTCTTCAAATGTTCAGTTGATACAATCCTATTTTGGTGAAACTTGAACCAGGGTAGGGATATCTTAGGATAATATTATAATTGAGAGCAAAGGATACTAACGATAAATCCAATATAATTCATTCAATTTTATTTACAAGCAATCGAAACTAATTGAAAAGGAATTGAAATTGAAAATAAAAATGAACAGGATTGCCTTGTACGATCAATCTCAATTCATCTGCTTTCAATTTGTTAAACTTTATCAACCTCTCATTGATTTTGATCACATTTTTCAACTTTGGGATGGTCGCATCTTGAAACTTGACTACACCTGTCTGGTATTTATACATTGTTAGTGAGGCTAAAACTAGCCATGATGACCTTTCTAGCTGATGTTGATTGATCCTTCATTAATCAAGATTGAACAATGACTACCTTAAATATGGTCCTAAGCCAGTTTGAGAAGCACAGAGTAAAGATAAAGAAGTCAATTTTGGTTTCCCGAAAGTGGCAACCCAAGCTTTATGCTCCAAATGACGAGATAACCTCTGAAGTGCTTCTGTTTCTCCACCAACCCAAACTGATCTATGGTTTGGTTGAGTGGTAAAGCCTAGTTCATTCAAGGTTGGAACGGTATATCTGAAAATAAAGAAAATAGATAAAATTATTAAAAAATATCAACAGAAACAAATAACTATGATATAAAGGGAGTTGAAAGGTGGAAATTTTCAGTTGAAATAACAGAAGATTTGAAGCTACAGATAAGTTATAAAAACTCAATCTAATTGCCTATTTAACCATGAAAATTGAAACATTTTATCATAAACGGACAACAATACAAAAAAGTGACAAGATTTTTGCTACTTTTTCAAATCAAATTGCTTACAATTTGTAAAAATGGTTTTGATATTGTTAAAAAATCTGTGTTTAAATTGGAAAATAAATGTTTCATTTCGCTAAATGATTGAAATGAAACGAGACTTTGTACTAATGCTTATGGTGACACTAAAGTTATGTATTTCAAGTAATCAGTCTTCATTGATTAAAGGATAAAATGAAGTATTTAGCTTGACAATCAAAGATTAATTGAAATAGTACAGTGTAATACTTTTTAGCGTGATCTCTTGGCACAGGAGTGTAAGCTTTTCCAATAACTTCATGGGTAATCGCTTGTGCTGGTTCTTCTGGTTTTCCGAGTTCTGATATGACATTTTGAAATTGTAAATAGGTTAAAGGGATTTCACCACTACAATGATTGATTATGTCTTCCAGTCTGTATAGTGTATGCGAGGTCTCACAGATAACTTCAATGTTCATTTCTTTACACATTTTGGCGATTTTTGCATCACGTATTTTACCAAATGGCTCCGGGTCCTCTTCAAAGCTTAAATGTGTAATCATCCATTCTAGAGTGTTAAAGAAAACAAATGTAACATTAGTTATTTCCAATTGAAATCCCTGAAAAGGAAGCTCCTTCATGTAATCATTTGAAGCTATTACATGGAAAATGATTGAGAATTATCACATTTAATGTCTAAAACATGTATTTCATGTAATCGGTTGACTAAGACGAGATACACTGTAAATGGATTTACATCATTTAGATCTTTTAAAATAACCAAGGACTATGAGTTTAACAAGTATCATTTGAACATGCATGAATAAATATGCTTGCTAAATTTTACATCCAATTTTGAGACAATAGGAAACAGATAATTAGATTTCTGAATAAATTAGAAAAGGTTTTATCTTACAAATGGTTGAAATTAATTTTCTAGGATTGATTACCTTTGAAGAGAAGAGGGAAAACTTCAGCAGGTTGGCCTCTAATGACAAATAAACGTGAACCCAGCTTGTGTAAGTTACTATCTAGATCTTCAAGTGATTGTAGCAGAAATCGCCATTTATTAATTCCACAATTGGATTCTGTTGAAAACCATGGGTCAATAAGATATATACATCGGAAAGTATCACATCCTTGAAGTCCTTTAGCGTTACACAGAGATTACAAATTGAGTATCATTTTTGGTTTTTCACACCAAAGTTGAAATCAAAAGAAAATGGACAATTGAAAATTAATTGTCACAATCAAGTAATTTGGATAAGATATTACATAAATGGTCAACAAGAGATTGAAAAGGGTGAATAAAGCTTACCTTTAAGGAGAGCTGGTTGATCGTGAAGACGTAGGCCTTTCCGAAACCAGTGGACAAGATGCTTTGCTGGTCCACGTGTTTCGTTTCCATTGTTATCATTATAAACTGAATCACTGTGATTATTATCCTTATTATGATTACTTTTAAACACGTAATTATTTAAAACGGAATTAGATTGTTCACTTTTTAGCTGAACAGGCGTTTTGCTGCTGCTTTGGTTTGGCGATTGGAAACATTGTGTTGAGTTGACATCAGGTGAAGCTAAATCTCGGGCACAATCAACAGTTTTATGACTTGCAGGTGTATTGTTGCTGATGGCATTAAATTTAATTGATGCTTGTGGTGAAGTTGAAAAAGATTGGATACAAGGTTCGATTGAATCATCATCAATTAAATCACAGTCAGTTCGATTATTTAGTAACGTAAATTCATTTGCTGTAGTTTGAGGAGAGTTTACTAATTTACTATCATTTTCTCCATTATCATTCATTGATAATTCTAGTTTATTTCCATGAGGAGAATTATCAAATGCTTTGCTCATTTTTCACAAATTGAATAAACTTTAGGTAACATTAAGTTTGATTAACCATTTCTGTTTTTCAGTCAAAAGTGTAGTTTGTTCACACAACTAAATGATGATACTAATAATGTGTTAACAATTGAAAGGCTGAGCATGAAAAGTAAGTTACAAATGACATGAGCATTGGTTAACCAATTGATACAAATACATTGTATCACAAAAGTTTAGGAATCGCGTTTTAATTGAAAAATTTATCAAAATTGGGCTTAATATTTCAAGTCAAAGAACATTATGATGAAAAATTGTCCTGAAAAATAAAAATTCAAGCGTCTGTCTATCCATTGTTGATTGTAAATGCTTTCAAAAAATGACAAAGTTTAGAGATTTTTGATTTTTTGGGAAAACTGATTGAGATATTATAATACATGTAATTAAGGGATTTTTCATTCAGATCCTGTTCATCAGATGATTCAATGATAAACCCGTTTTGGTAAAATTTACATTAGTTTTCTTATTAGGTTTAACATGGGTTTCAATGGGAAAACAAATTTTCACGAATTGCAAGAAAAATTTCAGGTTACAAGTTTAAAAAATGGCACCGAATTATATTGATTCATTGACAATAGCATTGATTATCATTTATCATATTTTCTAACTGAATAGTTCAATGTATATTTTTGGAATTAGAATAGTTTTGGCTTGCAGTTTGGAGCTAAGATCAACGTGATGGCCTCCGGTATCATTATTAATAAATAAATTAAAGCGAAATCCTGATCATCTGAAGCGACTATTTATAAATGCGCATGGAGTTTTTAAAAGAATGAATTAAATAAATTGAATCAAGATAAATATCTATAAATACTATCAATCATATAAATCAACTGATGTGTATGTGAATACACAGTAATAGGTTTAATTGTTTTCATGTTAAGCACACATGAACCTTGGAAATTTAACTTAAATTTTGTGTTGAAAAAATATTAAACTTAACTCATGTTTTAGTATGAAATGTTGAAATTATGACCGGTTTTGACTTTGATTATCGAGGTTTAAGCCATTGTGATGGCTAAATGATGAAAAAAAGGAATAAATTTGAGGCAATTAAATTAACAAAGTGTTTATAATTTAGTAATTAACCAATAAATTGCAGCATTACAATCAACAGATCATTATTCTCTAGTATTTTTTAGATGGGAAATTTGCTGGTATGGCAAATGAAACAGACGAGTAAATGACAAGTATGATTGGATGGTTACTAGTTTCTCTAGTTTGGGCAGCGTCAGGGAGAGAAAAAAAATTCAGAATTACAGTAAACGAGAAAAATCAGTGAGTAGAAGAAAGAGAGAAAAGGAGAGGAGAAATGACGAGAAATCGATTCTCAATCCAAATGAATTTTCTTCATCAATTGTTTATCTCGTTTGCCCTTCTTAAGATACAAAAACCAATCAACAGCCAAAAAACATGGAAAAAGATTGAGGAGGAAATTTTGAAAAGAAACAATAAATATTTTTCATCTTTTCGTCCCTCTTTTTCATTTATCAAAACAATAGATGTATTACATATACACTACTAATTAATTCATCTTACATTCAGCTTTCAAAAGTTATTCTCGCAACAAGAACTTCAACGTTCTTTTTCTTTCAAGACTGTCGTTTTTTCTAAAATTCATGTTTCCAATTAATAAACCTAGCGTTAGTTGTCATCAATTGCTTCGTTTGTTTTGAAAATTGAAAACAAAAAACAAAGGAATTGGACGATAAACAGGATTTTGAGGTGAATAAGGAGATGGGATCATCTGAGCTTGAGGAGGCGGTGGCATAGGACGAGTTCCAGTTATTTGGTTGGATGCGAAAGCACCTCCATTAGTGTTGACATACATTGGTACATTTGGGGGCACCTGATATTAAATAATAAATAAAAAAGATACAAGAATGATTAGAAATTTCATTGAACCAATATAAAAAAGCTATTATTTAGCTGATACTTACTTGCATTGAAGGTGCATATGTCAAATTAGCAGTTGCCAATTGACCACTATTATTAGGCGCAGAAGGTAGCGAAACGTGATTGATTGCATAAGGGAAAGTTTGAGAAGGATTCATCATTCCATTATTGCAAACAACTGATTGTGGAGGTGCTGATATTGGTTGACCAGTGCCATTTGAAGATGAAGCCACTGTGGCAGGTCCTGATGATGGTACTGAGGCAGAGACGTTACTAATCGAATTGAAGGGCACATTTGGCATGCGATTGGTTTGAGGCTGGTTTTGATAAGAAGATACCAAAGATTGTACTTGTGGAACAACCCGAATTGGAGATTGTTGCATGGGAATAGGCTGATACGAGTTATAATTTGAAGTATTGACAGGTAATTGAGAGCCTAAAAGTATCAAATTTGATTTGTTTTGAGGCTGTTGTCTAGACTGACACACTATATCCATGTCAGGAGCAACATTTGCCGAGTATGTATCTGGTGGACGGCCTATTTGTTGATTCTGAGAGTTAACAGCAGTACTATTACCACTTGACAAAGTAGTCATATACCTTTCAGATGTGTAACCTTGCGATGCATCAATCCTGAGGGAACCAGTTTGATTACCTGGATTGGCGAATCTGCTATTATGATGGCTCAGAGAAGGCTGAGGTGCTTGTAATGACGGATGAATGTAACACAGTGGAATCTGAGCAGTAGTATTGGATACGTTCACCGGAAGAACAGATTTTTGAGAATGAAGGTTAGCCGGAATTGGAGTCAAAGCATACCCAGTTGTGCGATAATTAACATCACTAGTTACGATTCCTAAATCTCCTGATTGTATATTACCATAGCGACCGGAGCTATGTCCATTTCGCCCAGAGCTTGATCCATGATAATGATCATTTGAGGATCGTACACGAGATTGACTATTAATTGATAAACCAGCCATTTGATTGGGTAAATACTTAGGTTTGCTTAATGATTGGTTTTTGTTTATTTCATCGTGACTCATATTCGGCGGATCAACAACTACTGACGGTGTTTTTTGTATGAATGGTAGATGATAATAAGGCTGAGCTGGTGTTATATCAGGAGCTAAAACCTTTAATAACAAAAGAAACAAAAAGATGCAAAAATAATTATAAATTCTCCATACTATGTAGAGGATATCAATTTACGAATCGATAGCTCATGAGCAAATTAATCATAGCGAAAAAAGATGATTATTCAGCAATAGTTACATAAATAAAACGATTGAGAAAGAAAGAATATGTTCAGAGCTTTGTAAAAAGTAAATATAGCGAGATAGACATCATCTTTAGATTATATTTTTGACATTGAAATACAAAAAAAATTCTGTATATACCGTTGATTTGTGGCTAGGTAGCTGAGACATGCAGCCGCCAACTGAATTGATAACTATTTGAGGTCCAATCAAAGTTTTTCCAGAGTCTTTTGAATTGAAATCTAAATGAAGAAGAAAATAGTTTGAATAATCAACAGAATTAAAATAAATTATTGTATTCAAAGAGAAAACGAATTATATTGTGATTTCTTACTTTTTGGCCGATCAGAAGAATTAGATTGGTTTCTGGAAACATTAGAATTACCATGGTGTGACTCGTATTTTGATTGCCCTTTAGGTAAGGGTTGATGAGATTGTACATGTTGATTTGACATCCATTGTTTATTTGAGCTGCCTTCTGAGGCACTGCGCCCGTAACTACTGGAAGTAGTTTTAACAGGCAAGGGACTGGGTTGATCAAATGGTACGGCATTTCTGATTGTTTCAGAAGACGGGTCAATTGGTGATTTAATATCATCTTGTTTCTTTCCAGAGTGGTAAGACTTTATTTGAGTTCTATTCCCTGAATCTTGACCTCTGTAAACAAAACAGAATTTTTTTATTAAGATTGATTTAGATATCAAATTGAAAGTTGTTTAGTAAAATAATACTTACCCATGATTAACTGTTCCTTGATTGTTCCCGTGCTGGAAATAGTTCCCACTTGGTTTTGATTGCTTTTTAGGCCACAAATGCAACTGTTGAGATCCATTTGATTGAGGAAAGACAGTTAAAGACTAGCTGGTAAGAAAGAGTATGATTTAGAACATGCGAGGGAGAATAAGAAAATTGTCCTTACGACAAAGTTGTTTACCTCATGATTGGACGATCTAGGTAAACTATCACTAAAAGTTGGGGTGTTTAAAGAAGCCGTTTTAGTAAGCCTTGGCTCAGAGGCAGGACCAGAAGTGTTATCACGACTAAGAACAGAGATGCCACCAAAGCTGCTGGCTTTGGTAAACGTCTGCCTATTATTCGATGAGAAATCACCAATTTGTTGATCTACTAAACAGCTATCTGGTGTTAAAAACATTCCACTAGCCGAAGACATCGATGATGATGTCGTAAAAGAGGTTCTAGCTGAATCAGAATCAAAACTATCTGGTAATCTTTTTTGTCTTTGAAGACGCAAGTATCTAGGCCTATTTGAGCCTTCTGACTCAGTACTACTCCAAAGTCTTGAATCAATTGATGGCCAGTTACTTCCTGGCTTGAGATCCTCGTGACTACAACTGGGACTAGAATTAGTTGCACTAGTTGATACTACGATACCACTGCTAGAGGTTGCCACCGAATCATCAGTGGTTGAAGTATTGGCACAAGTATCACTAGGATTTTCGGTTGAAGATGTTGAGTCTTGATTGAAAATCCGGGCTCGAACCTTTTCGTATTCTTCCTCTCTCTCTTCTAGAGACTTACTTCGTCGACTTTCAACCAAAGGCAGAGTATTATTTCCTCGGCGATCAGGAGATTTGTCTTTAAGACAACCTTTTTCAGATAATTTATCCAAAGAAGATGAATCTCTTTTGATTATTGATTTCACTAACTCATTCGGTTCAGGTTCTGTCGTATTCTTTATCTGTTCACTAAATTTAAATTCAGGTAATCTGGTTGTTCGTGTTTTAGAAACAATCACTGAGTTATCAACACTGTTAACATTATGGTCCATACCAAAAAACGCAGCTACTCTATGAACTAACATCCGATGATATGAAGACATAGGTCCAAATTTATGCTGATTTCGTTTAGGATCTTTGACCAGGTCAGTTAGCTGTTTCTCAATTTTGAACAGGTGAATCCTATCTTTTGGGTTATTTTGCAGAGTGTCCGTAAGAAATTGCATCAAGTCAGTACCAGTATGGTCAGTATAGGTTTCCACTGTTGGTTCTAGAGAAACGATCAATACATGCATGATAAAAGTTAGAAAAATACACCAATTAAAAATCGATAACAACTTGTCTAGAAAATTTCACTGACAATGAGCAAGAAAAGCGTGACTGTTGACTGGGTATAATGTGTATTCATCTGTATGCTCACCTTCAGATAATTTACATTCATCACTATTAGTTGATTTATTTGTTTCCGAGCTGGTTGAATTATCATTTTCATTGCTAATATTATTACTGGTACGGCTACTTTCAATTGATTCTTCTTTTTTTTCCTGATCCGAATTAACAGATTCTTCCGGGCTATTTATAGTGGTCATAGTGGGCTAAAGAAGTCAACTGTTTTTCTTGAACCTGAAATTTCCAAACAGATATGATAGAGATATGATGTAAACGCGTTGAGGGTAGCTAATGGTGAGAACCCAAACCAATGATGAAAACCACCAGAGGAAGATCCGAACGAAGAAAAATAGCCAAATTAATGTCGTCACTAAAAAATTCACTGAATTTACAAAAAATTAACAATAAAAATTGATAAATTACCCAAGAATAAAAAGAGAAGGTCACAACTTTGATTCCACTCAAATGCTTTAACCAGAAACAAAAAAAGAGAGAAGAGATACACAAGATAGAAATAGAAGAGCCGCGGTAAAATCAATTTCCTTTGGTTGCTGACTTTAACCAAATTCAATTTGATTAGGAATCATTTGATGGACCAGATTGAACATTTCGACATTATTCGACCAAACAATGACTAAAAAAGATAGAGACAAGATGTTGAAAGGTAATAATAAGTAAACACTTTTGATACTGAATAAAAAAACCTTTTGAAACAGTAAAAATTGGGTCAAATCATATTGCTAAAAGCATGCGCATTTTTGAGTGATGCTGGAAATCTGGCGACAAATGCCAGAAAACCCCTTTTCGATGAAAAAACTAAAAGAAACGTTCGGCTGCTCAAGTTTAGCGACACTTTTCCATTCAATTAACATGACAATAATGTATTGAATATATTGAAACATTTCGTTTCCTGAAATATATTGATCTGCAAATATACATTATATAAAAATGAGAAGATTACAATAACAAATGAAATATTAAACACAATTTATTTCAAGGTAAATGGGCAAACATTTTGAGTAAGGTTTCAATTAAATATATCAGATAATAAAAAAAAAGAAAGTCAATCAATAAAAAAATTAGGAGTAAACGATAAATTTAAATAGCTATCTGATATAATAGTTCAAGAATAAGAATATGTTTTAAGGTTTAACTGTAAGAAGTTTATCAGCAAAATCCTTTGACTTCTCAACGGCAGAAATGATACTTCCATTCAAGTCGAGATTATTCATTTTATTGATTCCTTCAATAGCTGGTCCTCCAGGAGCACAAACATGATCTCTCAACTCACCAGGATGTTTGCCAGTTTCAAGTAACGATTGAGCAGCACATTGAAGTGTTTTGGCAGCAAATTTAATAGCAATACTTCGATCCAGACCAGCCTTAAGAGCACCATCAGCCATCGCTTTAATGAAACAGTAAACAAACGCCAAACCTGCTCCACAAATGGCACAAGCAGCATCCATTTGTTCCTCTGGGACATGTTCGAGTTTCGAGATGGTCGAAAGTAGAGTTCGTAAGGAAGCTGACAGCTTATTAGAGTCAGGTTCAACGTCGATGGCACAAATACCCAATCCATAAGCACAGGCAGGATTAATGACGATTCGGTGCATTTCAATAATATATTTACCCTTGTGATCGGGATTAAGAAGGACAGTTTGAAGTTGAGTTAATTTAACACCAGAAACCAGTGAAAATATGTATTTATCTTTACTGGTTAAAGGAATGAAATTGGTGCATAATGGATGAGGTCGTTTAGGGTCACGGAGACAATCGAGGACAACAGATCCAGGACAACAGATGAAGATAACATCGCAATCAAATTTACCAAAGATATCATAATTACGTTTAGTGATGTTACAACCCTTTTCCTTGAATCGAATTGAATTTTTTTCGGTTGGAGCAGAAATGAAGATTCGTTTTTTATCAACTTTACCATAATCGATAAAACCATTGACCAAACTTTCAGTCATTTTACCACTGCCGATGAATCCAAGTTTAGCGGTTTCCAATTCCAGTGGTTTAGATGGAGACTTAGATCGTTTACGTTTTGAGTTTGACATTTTGAGTTAATTCACGGAAAGTTCAATTAAAATAAGAATAAAAGATACGATTCGATAGATGAACAGATACGATAAAACAGATTGACTTTTGACAATAAGCCTAATAAACTACTACAATGGAAAGAATCAAAGATAGTGAATGGTCCAACAATAGAGTTAAGTAGTTCAATCTCCTAACAATTAGCTCAACAATTAAGGTGTTCATAATTTTATTGTCTGTTAACAAACGTAGTAAATCAATTCGCTTTTCGTATTCATTCATTTCTTTTTAATTTGGATTTGTTTACGTTCAATTATTGGTCATTTTTCAACTGAAATTTATCTGAAAATTTCATATTCTATTAACTATTCTTGGATTGATTTAAAATGTCGGGCTCTAACTCAAAACGTAAACGATCTAAGTCTCCATCTAAACCACTGGAATTGGAAACCGCTAAACTTGGATTTATCGGCAGTGGTAAAATGACTGAAAGTTTGGTCAATGGTTTCATCGATTATGGTAAAGTTGATAAAAAACGAATCTTCATTTCTGCTCCAACCGAAAAAAATTCAATTCGTTTCAAGGAAAAGGGTTGTAACATCACTAAACGTAATTATGATATCTTTGGTAAATTTGATTGCGATGTTATCTTCATCTGTTGTCCTGGATCTGTTGTCCTCGATTGTCTCCGTGACCCTAAACGACCTCATCCATTATGCACCAATTTCATTCCTTTGACCAGTAAAGATAAATACATATTTTCACTGGTTTCTGGTGTTAAATTAACTCAACTTCAAACTGTCCTTCTTAATCCCGATCACAAGGGTAAATATATTATTGAAATGCACCGAATCGTCATTAATCCTGCCTGTGCTTATGGATTGGGTATTTGTGCCATCGACGTTGAACCTGACTCCAATAAGCTGTCAGCTTCATTACGAACTCTACTTTCGACCATCTCGAAACTTGAACATGTCCCAGAGGAACAAATGGATGCTGCTTGTGCCATTTGTGGAGCAGGTTTGGCGTTTGTTTACTGTTTCATTAAAGCTATGGCTGATGGTGCTCTTAAGGCTGGTCTGGATCGTAGTATTGCTATTAAATTTGCTGCCAAAACACTTCAATGTGCTGCTCAATCGTTACTTGAAACTGGCAAACATCCTGGTGAATTGAGAGATCATGTTTGTGCTCCTGGAGGACCAGCCATTGAAGGAATCAATAAAATGAATAATCTCGACTTGAATGGAAGTATCATTTCTGCCGTTGAGAAGTCAAAGGATTTCGCTTTTAAACTTCTTACAGCTAAACCATAAAACATACCTTTTATATTCTTATTCTTGAACTATTGTATCAGATATTATTTACATTTGAATTCATAATTCTCTCTCTAATAAAATGTCATTCTGATTTTATTACACAATTTATCATTTAAAATATTCAATTCAGACATTATATTATTGAAATAAATCTTTTTAGAACACTTGTCAATTATTAACGAAATTTAATTACAAAGTTAACTCTAATATAAATAAAAGCTCTTAAGATTGATCTTGACATTTCACAGGTTTATCTCAGGTTTAAATTGGCCCATTATTGTATCTCTACTGTGTATCGCTGTTGCACCATGACGTCCAATTCCATCCTCTACGAAAAGTTTCGCTCCTTTCCTCGCATTTTCGGCCATAACAGGTGATCCATTACATAATTCATACTCTAATCCTTCCTCAATGTTTTCAGCCTGGAAAGCTGCCATGTAAACAGATTTACGATCAGCTAACAAAGCTTTTTGATCAAATTTCTGCAAACATGATGCCATTGAGATCGCTTTCCCCAGAACAGAGCCAACAGCACAAACATCATTAACCAGTCCCATACTCAAAGCTTCAGATGCTGATACTTTTCGTCCATTAAGAATTAAATCAAGAGCACGAGAGAACCCAACAATTTTAGAAAGGCGAACAGTCCCTCCATCGAGAAGAGGTATTCCAAAACGTCGATTGAAAAAACCTAGGAAAATATAAGATATTTAATTAAAGTTCAAATGCATGAAATGTTGCATATTTACCCAGAACAGAGTCTTCTTCACATGCTCTGAAATCGCATGCTAAAGCTAATTCAAGACCACCAGCAACAGCATAGCCTTCAATCGCAGCAATGATTGGTTTAGCGATCATCCATTTATCAAGACCTATTCTTTGACGGGAATTTAAAGATGAATCTTGTGCTAACTCGTTCAAATCAAATCCTGCACAAAAATTACCCCCTCGACCATAAATTATCCCAACTTTGGATTGTTCGTCATTCTCAAAATCATCCATAGCTTGAATCAATTTTTCCGCCATTGGAGTGTTTATGCAATTCCGCTTGGAAGGACGATTTAGTTCAATCATGAAAATTCCATCTTCTTTAATTACATTTATTGGTTCTCCTTGATCAGTCCAAATTGAACGGTTGAGGGGACGAATCACCCTTCGAAGTAAAGATGAGAACATTTGACTAATTTAATTAATGTTACAGATGCAAATATGAAAAATAATTAAACAAAAATATAAACTCATCAGCTGGTTTGCACATTGACCAAGTTTACTATCAATAAGTTAAATTGTAGGAATTTATGGCACTACGAATTTACAAGTGGAAAAACAATGAGATCAGAATAACGCCGAAAGATTTATTCGAATGACTAAATCACAAGTAAAAATGAAATAGAGTTTAATTAACTAATAAAAGGAACTTCATGGTCTGGTGTTATTGATTTTAATTTAAGATTCGCGACAAATTATACTTTTTTATATGACCACTAGATGGTGCAGAACCGGCTTATCATCATGATGAATTTGTTCTCGGGTGTAAAAGTGTGCGTTTAATTTAATTAATTTTTTGAATCAAATTTATCTAAAAGTTAATTGACTCTTAATTTTTTTGTGTTATCCTAATTAGTATGTTTAAGTTGCCTGTCTAATTCCATTTGTGTATTTAAAAAATTAAGAGAAAGATTCAACAATGGCTGATGAAGCAGCTCGTATTCAACAGTATGAATATAAGGCGGTAAGTCGTTTTTCCTCTTCCCCTTTGCCAATTGCAATTTATGCGTTTCATTATTGATATCAATTGTAATTCCATTCTCCTTTTTAGAACTCCAATTTAGTTCTTCAGGCTGATACTCGACTGATCGAAAAAAGGCCTAGAGATGAAGCCACCGGTGAGGTTGTCTCATTGGCTGGTAAAATTGGATCAACCAAAATGGGGGATAAATATCAGCGATCAAAGCCTTCAGCGATCAAAGAAGAAGAAGAAAGAAAACGAAGGAAGAAGGCCAAGGCAGCAGCCTCAGACTTCACATCTTCAAGCTTTGCCGGCTTAAGTGCACGAAGCAATCTTTTGACTGATGATTATGAAGAAATGGGGATATTCTACACACCTAAGACACCGGAGACTAGACAAACCTACGAAGCTCTTTTGAAGTTTATTCATGATATTTTAGGTGATCAGCCCAGAGATGTTTTGTGTGGTGCTGCTGATGAAGTATTAGCCTCGTTGAAGAATGAAAAGATGACAGAAAAACAAAAACACAAAGATATTCAAAGTTTACTCGGCAGCCTCTCATCCGAGCAATTCAACATTCTATTCAACTTGAGTCGAAAGATAACTGATTATAAACTTGATGATAAACCAGATATTCCTATTGATGAAAACATGGACGAAACTTATGGCGTTAATGTTCAATTTGAAGAAAATGACGATGACGAAGAGAGTGATATAATGCGTGTCGTTGATGATGGCGATGATGGCGATGGTGAAGGTGAAGAAACTGGAGAAGGAGCAACACTTCAAGCAACTTATCTTGAAGCTTCTAGTGGTCGAAAAAGCTCGGCTCCTACCTCGAAACCTACTGAGGCTTTGCACCCTAGACAAATAGATGCTTACTGGCTTCAAAGAAATCTCAACAAAACCTATGGAGATCCAGTCGAAGCTAAAAACAAAGCTGCCGAAGTCATGGACATTCTTAAGACTGCGTCTGATGACCGTGATGCTGAAAACAAATTAGTTATGCTTTTAGGTTTTAAGCAGTTTGATTTCATCAAACTTCTTCGCCAAAATCGTCAAATGATTCTTTACTGTACTTTATTGGCATCTGCTCAAAGTGCTGAAGAGAAAAATAAACTGCGCCAAAGAATGAGCTCGGACCCTGAGTTGTTACCTTACCTCACTATGTTGGAAAGTACCGATGAAAAAAGTGATTTAGGTGCAAAAGAGCGTGCTGCAAAACGTGCTGCTAAGGAAAAAGAATCCGACATGGAGCCAGATGAAGAAAATTTAGCGCAACTTTCTAAAGTTAAAATGCTGGACTTGGAAGATCTTGTTTTTGCTCAAGGGTCACATTTCATGGCTAACAAACGCTGTCAGCTACCAGAAGGTTCATTTAGGCGAGCTCGAAAAGGTTATGAAGAGATTCATGTCCCAGCTCTCAAACCTAAACCTTTTGACGATAATGAGGTTAGTACTTTTTTTGAAAAGATCCGCATTCAACTTTTCTCTTCTAGCTTACCCCAAGTAAACTGAATTGCAGTATATTTGGTAACGTGAAGAGAGATATTGAACAATTATGGAAGTATACTCGTAATGTTATTCGGTTATGAGCTGTTTTCTAAATTAACATTTTCTATTCAACAGAACTTGCTTCCGATTGACCAATTACCTGCCTATGCACAACCTGCTTTTGAAGGTTTTAGATCTTTAAATCGTATACAATCTAGAATCTATCCAGCTGCCATGGAAAGAGATGAAAATTTACTTATCTGTGCTCCAACTGGTGCAGGTAAAACAAATGTCGCTTTACTCTGTATGATGCGTGAAATAGGCAAACATATTAATGAGGATGGAACAATCAATGTTGATGATTTTAAATGTATATATGTTGCTCCTATGAGGTCTTTAGTACAAGAAATGGTCAAAAATTTTAGTCGTCGATTGAGCTCTTATGGAATCAAAGTTGCTGAATTGACTGGAGATCACCAGCTTAGTCGTGAACAAATTAATGAAACACAAATTATTGTTTGTACTCCTGAGAAATGGGATATTATTACACGAAAAGGAGGAGAACGTAGTTATACTCAAATTGTTCGTCTTATCATTTTCGATGAAGTTCATTTATTGCATGATGACCGTGGTCCCGTTATTGAAACTTTGGTTGCTCGTATGGTTAGAAATCAAGAGACTGCTCAAGATGAAATCAGAATCGTTGGTTTGAGTGCAACTCTTCCCAATTATGAAGATGTCGCGGAGTTCTTAAGAGTCAACAGAAAAACGGGTCTTTACTATTTCGACAATAGTTTTCGACCTGTGCCCTTAGAACAACAGTTTATTGGAATTACTGAGAAGAAAGCTATGAAAAGATACCAACTTATGAACGAAATTTTGTATGAAAAAGTGATAGAACAAGCAGGAAAAAATCAAGTTTTAATATTCGTCCATTCTCGTAAAGAAACTGGTAAAACTGCTCGAACATTGAGAGACATGTGCTTAGAAAAGGATACTCTTGGTATGTTTCTTCGAGAAGGTTCAGCCTCCACTCAAGTGTTGAGGACTGAAGCTGATCATGTTAGGAATCTCGAATTGAAAGATCTATTACCATATGGTTTTGGTATCCATCACGCTGGAATGTCCAGAGTTGAACGTACTCTGGTTGAAGATTTATTTGCTGACCGTCATATTCAAGTCCTGGTATCAACAGCAACTCTTGCTTGGGGAGTAAACTTACCTGCTCACACTGTAATTATTAAAGGAACTCAAATTTACAATCCAGACAAGGGACGATGGACTGAATTAGGAGCATTAGATGTTCTTCAGATGCTTGGAAGAGCTGGTCGACCACAGTTCGATACTAAAGGAGAAGGTATTTTGATTACTCAACATAGCGAACTTCAATATTATCTGTCTTTATTGAATCAACAACTTCCCATCGAAAGTCAAATGGTGGCTAAATTACCAGATTTATTAAATGCCGAAATTGTTCTTGGAAACATCCAGAGTATTAAAGAAGCCACAAAATGGTTAGGTTATTCTTATCTATATATTAGGATGTTGAAAAATCCATCACTCTATGGTGTTGGAGGTGATGAAGTCAATGAAGACCCAACCCTTCAGAAACATTTGGCCAGTTTAGTATTTACAGCTGCTTCTATGCTGGACAAAAGTGGACTTGTTAAATTTGAAAGAAAAAGTGGTTATTTCCAAAGCACTGAACTTGGACGAATTGCCAGTCATTATTACTGTACCCACCAAACCATGTCAGTTTATAATCAATTGTTGAAGCCAACTTTAAGTGAAATTGAACTATTTCGAGTTTTTTCATTGTCCGGTGAATTTAGAAACATAACAATCAGAGAAGAAGAAAAATTGGAACTACAAAAGTTAATGGAAAGAGTTCCTATCCCTGTCAAAGAAAGTATTGAGGAACCCAGTGCCAAAGTTAATGTTTTACTTCAAGCATACATCTCTCAATTGAAACTGGAAGGACTTGCATTGATGGCTGATATGGTTTACATCACTCAAAGTGCAGCTCGATTAATGAGAGCTATTCATGAGATTGTACTTCACCGAGGCTGGGCTCAACTAGCCGATAAAGCTTTATCTTTGTGTAAAATGATTGATAAAAGAATGTGGCTTTCCATGTCTCCCTTAAGACAATTCAAAAAGATACCAGAAGATGTGATTAAAAAATTGGAGAAAAAGAACTTTCCATGGGAACGTTTTTATGATCTAGGACCAAATGAAATCGGAGAGCTTTTAAGGCTACCAAAGATAGGTAAAACAGTGCATCTTTACGTTCATCGTTTTCCTAAATTGGATCTAACTGTTCATATTCAACCAATTACTCGTGCAACTTTGAGAGTTGAACTAACAATCACTCCTGATTTCCACTGGGATGCAAAATATCATGGTAAATCTGAAGGTTTCTGGATTCTAGTTGAAGACGTCGATCAAGAAATTATTTTACATCATGAATTTTTCCTATTGAAACAAAAGTATGCTGAAGATGATCATATTGTTAAATTTTTTGTTCCACTAACGGATCCTTTACCACCTCATTACTTCATTCGAATAGTTTCAGATCGCTGGCTAAATTCTGAAACAGTATTTCCCATCTCGTTCAGACACACTTTGCTTCCTGAAAAGTACTTACCACCAACCGCATTACTCGATCTTCAACCTTTGGAAATATCTGCTCTGAAAAATCCTGTTTATGAAACTTTGTATAAAGACAAATTTTTATTCTTTAATCCTGTACAGACACAAGTTTTCAACGCCTTGTATACTACTGATGACAATGTTTTCATTGGTGCACCAACTGGCTCTGGCAAAACAGTTTGTGCTGAGTTCGCTATGCTTCGCTTATTTTCCAATAACTCAGATGGACGTTGTGTTTATGTAACAGCAAAGCATGAACTTGCCGAAATAATTTTCTCAGACTGGTCTCAAAGATTTGGTAAACTACTTGATAAAAAAGTCGTAATGCTTACTGGTGAAACTGCGGCTGATCTCAAACTTTTAGCCAAAGGAAATATTATCATTAGTACTCCTGAACATTGGGATATTCTTTCACGTCGTTGGAAACAGCGAAAAAATGTACAAAATGTAAATTTATTCATCGTTGATGAACTTCATCTAGTTTCTGGTGAGGAAGGACCTGTTTTAGAGGTAGTTTGTTCTCGAACCAGGTACATCTCTTCACAGATTGAAAAATCTATACGTATCGTAGCTCTTTCATCATCTCTAACAAATGCTCGTGATGTTGCACAGTGGCTTGGTTGTAATTCCGGTATGACATTCAATTTCCATCCAAATATTAGACCAGTTCCACTTGAATTACATATCCGAGGTTTTAATCAAACCCATAATGCAACGCGAATTATGGCTATGTCCAAACCTGTTTACCAATCCATAAACAATTTCTCACCAAACAAACCCGTTATAGTGTTTGTGCCTTCACGTAAGCAAACTCGTGTTACAGCGATTGACATTTTAATGTACACGGCTGGTGATGAAAATCCTAACCGATTCCTACACTGCTCTGAAGAAGATTTGAAACCATTTGTTCACAAATTGTCAGATTCAACATTGAAAGAGACAATTGTAAATGGAGTTGCTTATCTTCATGAAGGCACTAGCAAAACTGATCGCCGAATTGTTGAACAGCTTTTCGATCTGGGTGCTGTACAAATTGTTGTCATATCAGCTGCGCTTGCATTCAGTTTGACTATCACTGCTCATTTGGTGATTATTATGGATACTCAAGTGTACAATGGAAAAATTCATGCTTATGAAGATTATCCAATAGTAACAATCCTGCAAATGATTGGCAGAGCTAACCGTCCATTGCGTGATGAAGATGGTAAATGTGTGCTATTTTGTCAAGCTGCAAAGAAAGATTATTTTAAGAAATTCCTCTATGAACCACTACCTGTTGAGAGTCAATTAAACTATTTCCTTCATGATCATTTCAATGCTGAAATAGTAACCAAGACAATTGAAAACAAACAAGATGCTGTTGATTATTTGACTTGGACCTTTTTATATCGGAGAATGACCCAAAACCCCAATTATTATTCACTAACCGGGGTTAGCCATCGAATTCTCTCTGATAGTTTGTCCGAACTTGTTGAAAATACTCTCAACGATTTGGAGCAATCTAAATGTATCAGCATAGAAGATGAAATTGATGTCACACCTCTTAATTTAGGAATGATTGCAGCCTATTATTATATCAATTATTCGACCATTGAGCTATTCAGTTTGTCTTTGCACAATAAGACCAGACTCAAAAGTTTGATTGAAATTATCAGCTCAGCAACTGAATATGAAAGCATTCCTATTCGTCATAGGGAAGATGCCATATTGAAGCAACTTTTGTCTAAAGTTCCAAACAAAATCCAAAATCCAAAGTATACCGATCCTCATTTAAAGACAAATCTTCTATTTCAAGCTCACCTTTCCAGGATGACATTGCCAGCTGAATTACAATCAGATACTGAAGCAATTTTAACAAGGTCTATTCGACTTATTCAAGCCTGTGTTGATGTTTTATCATCCAATGGATGGCTCAGTCCTGCCTTAGTTGCCATGGAACTTGCTCAAATGGTAACACAAGCCGTTTGGAATAAGGATTCTTACTTGAAACAATTGCCTCATTTTACCTCTGAAATGATTAAGAGGTGTACTGAAAAAGGAGTTGAATCAATATTTGATATAATGACATTAGATGAAGATGAAAGAAATGCATTGTTGCAGCTTGATAATGCAAAAATGGCTGATTTAGCCCGTTTTTGTAACCGTTACCCTAGCATTGAACTGAATTATGAAGTAGTAGACCAGAAATCGATAACAAGCGGAGAGTCTGTAAATGTGGTAATACAATTAGAAAGAGAAGATGAAGTGACTGGTCCAATAATTGCACCTTTCTTCCCTCAGGTATGTATGGTAGCGATTGTCACATACATTTCTTAAATTTTGTTGTGATGCTAATCTCTCCAAGCCTATATTAGCCTATCTATAAGCTTATTAATTTTGTGTTTCATTCTTTTCACTTCATGCATCAACAGAAACGTGAAGAAGGCTGGTGGCTCGTAATTGGCGATCCAAAGACAAATTCTCTCATCTCCATTAAAAGGATAACCTTAGCTCAAAAGCAAACAGTCAAACTCGATTTTATAGCCCCATCATCTGGTGATCATTCCTACACACTTTATTTCATATCTGACGGCTATTTGGGATGTGATCAAGAAGAAAAATTCACCATTCATGTTGGTCAAAGCCGTGGAACCAAGCGTAGAGCCAGTGACAGTGAATAAACGGTAAATTCCATCTGACTATTGACTGATTCTCCATCAAATATCATGTGATATTCATCACATTGTGTCATGTGTGTTTCTAATTAACTTACAAGTTTTACCATAAAATTATTCATAAATAGAAATTCATAAAATTATGTTCTAACCTTTATTTAATCATTGGTCCTAAACTCGGTTTGATGAGTTCAAGTGTAGTATATTGCAAATATTGCAAATTGAATAGATAAACTCATACAAAATGCTTTCGGTCAAGTCAGTCATCTTTTGCACTAAATTTTATGAATTTGCTATCCTTAGAGTAAAATCACATTGAAAAAGTTAGTCATAAATGCATAAAATTTGTTAAACCAGGATCGCGTAATTTGTCATAATCATATGAAAAGCTTCAAATCAGTATTCCATTTTATCTCACTTAGTTTGAGATTTCATCATTTTTATGAGTTTGTGATAGTATGGACATTCTGATTATGGACGATTAGATCATAATATATCACATGTCTATCTAGGATGAGATTTGAAGTCAAATGTTCAAGTTCATGAAAGACACACATCGGACTAGTGAAAGTGAAGAAACATCTTAATCTGATTTTTAGATGATCAGATGCTTAATTAGCTGTGCATCATTCAAAGAGTGTCTCTAATTGACTCAATCTTAACCACAAAATTTTCTATAAATAGTCAGAATCATACTCCTCAACCTGTTTTATCATCCAAGAAACTTCCACGATTAAAAGCCCTTCAAGTTTTATCTGCATTATGATGTAAGATATTTCATTATTACAGACATTTATTTAATCACAAGAGTAAAATAGATAGATCAATGTACAATATATGTGGTAACAAGTTTAGATACGAGCTGATCTAATGTCTGGTGATTGTTGCACTCATAGAATCAACTTCGATGTCACTATTTTTTACCTTTTGAGTCCTTACAATCAGAACATGATATCTTTACCGTGAAATATTTGTCTAAACCTGCTAATGTCCATACCGCATCAAGTTACTTGATAATTGATTTAGACTGCAAAATTATGCTTCACCCCATAATACGAGGTAAAACGATTCGAGTTGCCAAAATTTGACTACAAAATTTAGAGGTGCCTCTGCAAAATTATTTAAAACTGTTTGCTCTTGAGTTTATAAATTTACTTCAATTTAACAACCTTGAGGTTAATTTCATTTTAATCTTTTTTGTTCTTCATGTAAATTACTCGTTAATTTGATCGGTACCTTGAAAAAATCAAACAATTCTTAGTCTGATAAAATATGTACATGTCTAAAATTATGACAATAATGATGAATATATTTTGAATAATTTCACCAGCAAACCTAGAAATTGAAAAAAGTGCGGAAGTCAATTGATATCAACCTTGAAATGAAAAAAAAAATCTCCTCTTCGCTTGTTCCTCTACTGAATCTCTACACTCAAAGTATACTTGTTAGTCTTCCTGGTTACAAGTTTCTCCTTCTCTAGGTCGAACATGATGATCACGAGCAGAATGCACACTTTCACTCATTCCTACTTGGTGTAATTATTGGATTGAAATCCTACGCAAGCCCCATGATGATGTGAAGAAAGAGAGTATGAAAGGATGATAAAAGTAAGGACGATAATGAAGAGATTGGTAATAGCTAAATGTATTCAAAGAAATTATGTTGAAAGAAAGCGATTATTACCAGTCGTACTCGTAGCAACAGCGACTAGTTAATGTAACTTGGTAAAACTTGTAAAACAACCTTTTCTTCTTTTGGTTGCTCTTCTGGTAGTAGGAGTCTTTGATTTTGCTTCTAGTTTGAAAAGGTTGAAGCTAAATAGATTTTGGGAAAAATTCGGGTTGATTATCTGGTTTAGTCGTCAAGTGTAAACTGAATTTTCACCTAATCATTGTAAACATGATATACTTTCAGTGTGCTAACTGTTATATTTATCATGTTTGACATCATCATTGGGTTTGTGCAAATAAAAAGACTGACAGTAACAAGTGAATGGGGAAAAAAGGATGAGAAAAATAAAAACAATCAGTTTAATTTAATAGTGAGCACAGGAAGGAATGAAAGTCAAAACAAAAGGTACCAAAATAAAATCTCCATGAAAACATAAGGTTAAAAAGAGTAGTTGATGGTTTTAATGGTGATAATAATGATGATTATATGGCGATGATGATTATGGTGGCTTTCAGGTTTTAACCTGGACTCCACCTTAAAGGATAATTGAAAAATATATAAAGAGCTAGCCCAAGTCCAACACTTTTTGGGGGTTCAATATTCTGATCACCTGACCAAGATCCTCTTCCGTGCTCTGAAATTGATAAACAAAGAAACAAAAGATACAGAAAGAAAGAAACGGCCAGGCCATAACAACAACAACAACAACAACAAAGGGAAAAAAGTGGACAAGAAAGGAAAGTTGTGAGAGATGGAGAAAGATGGTAATGTTACTTTCTTCTCTGTCTATTTGTTTATCAACGATAGAGAAAGAAGAAACAAAGAAGCAATGAAGAATGAGTGAGAAGGTGAATAAAGAGAGAAAGAAAGAGAGATAAAAAAGAAAGAAGAGAAACAACAACCAGCTGATTTAGCTTTCCCTTTGCCAATCCCCATTGAGTGTCAAACAACAACAACATCAACAACAGCAACAGCAATACAAAGCCAAAAAACGTAAGTTAATCAATTTTGCTATTAAAATCCTTATTATTTAACCTCTAACCAAACTTTCCGATGAATCAAGTTTCAAAAATATTCAAACCAATAATAAAATGTTGAAAAAGTAGCGATAATTAGACTAAAATTGACATCATTTTTACAAAATTAAAGCAACAAAATGTCAACCAAAATATGATAGGTGGACCAAATCCTGGTTAGCTCAACCCAATTTAGCTTTATTTTGTTCATTTTACCCCTCTTTTTCCCCTTGTGACGTTTCAAGCAAAGCAAAAACATGAGCGTTGATTACATGGAAACCAAAATAGACAGTGAACTAGAAAGAGAATAAAGAAAACATTAGTGAGAAAGAGAGAGAGAGTGCGAGAGAGAAGGAGATAGAGAATGAAGAAAGAAAGAGAACGATTTAATCATTCAAATATTACCAAACAGCAAAACAAAAACATTGAAAAATTATTATTAACTTCTTTCTATCTTTCTTTTTGTCATTTTTCTCTCCCTTTAGTCTCACTCAATTTTATAATATAATATATTAATTGTTAATATAAACCTTAAATCATTAGTAGTTATATAAAAATTACTGTAAACTATAATATATAATAGTTATATTATTATAATATATTGTGTATATAATATCTGTCATCAACTAGCAGCCAACCAACAAACCATCGACCAAAACACAAAAGGATTCATTTAATTGTGATTTTTAATTAACTTAAATCTTCTTTGTAACCTTCATTTTTCTTTTCTAATTGTTCAATTCCTTCTTCGCAATTTAATCTTGTTATCTCAAAAAAAATTGAAATTGTGAAGTCAAAGGACCTTTTTTTACCTTTGCATTGTTTACTAGGATCAATTAACCCAAATTTCTGACAAATCCAGTGATTTACATTGTTTGTGTATTTATTAATTTACCAATTTATCTGTTACCTTATCAAGCAATTTTCAAAAATAATTACTGTATTGGCCATTCGCCTTCATCTTAAGCTCAATCATTACCAAATAATTACTTGGTAGCCATTACTTTGTTTGAATCTTATGCTATCTCCTCTTGTCTTTTGTTAAAAATTTTAAAATCGCCAGTATTTCAATTTCAATATCATCAACACAATCGTAAAAACGTAAGATTTAACCAATTTAAACTGTTTTATTTATTCAATAAGCAAAAAAGGGGAAATAGCTAATAATCAATACAAAGTTCAATTTGCCAAAAGAACTCTTTGTTAGGTTTTCATTTCAAAATTCACCAACAGTAAAATTGTAATAAGCTACCCTCTATCCTAACTTAACTTAACCAATCTCCTGTTGCCCACAACAATATCACTGTTATACTTTTCTCTTTGTTTACCCATCCTTCCATTGTAACCAACGCAATCAGTTTGCTTTATTTCAATTTGTTAAACACAACTTGAACTCTCAGTTGCCTGAAATGTTAACTGGCCTTGCGAACTATTTATTTGGATTAAATGAATACTCTGAAGAGGCGCTAGAAAATCTTTTTAAAGAAACTCCAGTTAAAGGATCTGATGGTGATGATTGGATCTTGGTTGAACTGAAGCAACCAAAATCGAATTTAAGTGCTGATTCGAGTGAACAACCAACCGAAGCAGGCAGTGGAAGCCTTACTTCAAGTAAAAATTGTGAATTGCCTGAAAATGAACCAGAAAATGGGATCAGTGCCGAGGATTCATCAAGTGATGTCGATGGAGAGAGTACAAACAAGGAAAATGATAGTGATAATAAACTATTGACTGCCAGTAATTTTCCTACCACAGCCACCAGCGATGACTCGGAGGACAAAGAAGATGAAGAAGAGGATGAAGACGATGAAGATGATGACCGAGATGATGGAGAAGCTGATGGTATGATTGGTGATAATATTAATGCAAGAAACCAAGAAACTGCCAATAAAAGGAAAAAAAGAAAATCACGAGACAATAATCACACTGGAACAATGGAGGGTTCCTGGTTTGTGACACCCCCTCCTTGTTTTGTTAGCCATAAAAAATCTAGCAAAAAAGTTTCTGCTTCACCATTGGAAGATATTCTGATTGAATATCCATCGATCAGCGTTTTCCACTCGCACACTTCTTCGCTGGATTCCTTTTATCCACTTCCCTCTACATCTTCATTATCACCAAGTAGCTCACCCTTATCACTTGTATCACCATCTTCATGCACATCAAACGAATCCAAACCCAACAATGACCAATGTCTTGCGACAAGACGTATAATTGATACAGTATCGATTATTGCTGTTACTGTCGAAAAATTGGCTAGAATGACTTCTGGAGCACCTAAAGGATCCAATCGGTCGAATAGAGGTCATCATAATGGATCTTCATCCAATAGCAACGAAAATAATGTTGAAATGAATCTACGCCAACCACCGAGAGGAGCTGAAGCTCGTGGAGCACCAATTGAAAATCATGAAAGAAATGGTAATAATTTTTTTCACTCTTCTTTCCTTTGTTATCCTTTTATTGCTTTCACCCTAAAAGTTACTTTTCAGTTGATTGATCTTCAATTCTAACATTCATTTTCTTTCTCTTTATAGCAGGTTATCTTTCAGACATCACAAATCACCACTTAGCACCAATGCAAAAAGCTATCAACCAAGGATCTCAAAAATATCTTAAAAAGTCTTTCCTCAACCGACAGAATCTGGTCAAATTTCAAAGTAACCGAAGGCCAACTCGCCGTCAACGCTGCACTCAACGGCCCAGTGGTTATTCAAACAATCGAAAAATGTGTTGACCTTTAATTTGATAATGACCTCAACTGTTTAGGTCTTCTAATTATTCAATTATCAATTTTTTTCTCTATCTCCATCCTTAATATATTGAAACATCCATGCTACCACCATTATATCTGCCTCTATCTCCATTGTTGTCTTCGTCCTCTTTTTCATCATCTAGCTGAAAACTACGAAAAGTGTTATTTCTCGTTCTTTATTTCAATTATTTTTGTTTCTCTTTTAATTACTAAACAAATTGGTCAACACATTCTGTGATTGTAACACAGAACACGCAAACACATCCATATACATATATAAATATAAATATATATATAATCTTACAATACCAATAATTGTCAAAAAAACGTGGGCCTACTTGCATATGTTCAAGGCTCCAACAAATAGCAACAAAACTCAACAAAAACATTGACAAAATCAAAAAAGTATTTACAAAAAAATTTATTAGGTTGTTTGGAGCAAGATGTCACCTTATTGAATTGCAATTTCTCCTAAACTATCTGTTTAATTTCTATCAATTAAAAAATTGAAATCATATGAGATGAAAAATCAACACAATCTTGTGATCGATCACTATCGCGTTCAAAAATAAAAATAATTATGCGAAAATAGTCTGACTCCTTTCTGATTTCCCTTGCAACTTCGTTCTGATATGTATTCAAAAAACCTTCCATTTCTATCCCACTCTATCTATAGAGTGATTTAAAATTACAAGCATCTGAAATGTTTTTATTACTAACATTTAAAGGTCTTAAGGACTCAATAGTTTCATTAATTAGCTTAAAATTAAGTCGTTTTGTGTTTTACAATTGTTAAGAAATAATAATGAATAATTCAAAAATATACCAGGAAATGAAGATTTGAGAAAATATTGACTTTTTTCTGGTTTCCATCTCCTTCTCATAGAGAGCTCGGCATTGGATAGCAACATTTTTAGCCCAAGTTATTTAACGCATAAAGTTGGTTTGGACAAGCCACTGATGAGTCGAGAAATGGCTCAATGAGTTAGGGCTAATAATGGCATTTTTTCAATATCTCTAGGTCAGTTTCCGATTTGTTCAGCTACAAAAGTATCAAGCAATATTCATTTTCTTAAGTTTACAATTTGTATAAATTAATTATATACGAAGGCAAAAGTATTACTAACCGATCGATAGATTGGCCATACGGCTGCCCCCGTTCTTTAAATCTGGTATTTCAAAGTTTATTTAAAACAACGTTTCATGGGTCGGTAACTTAGCCAATACTGCATCCCAGCCTTTAAGTTATAGACGTTAATGTGAATTATTAGTTGAGATGTTAAGATTTCGATATTGTTCAAGCTGATGAATGTGCATCTTCAAATCTCTAGATCAACCCTTGAATACTGAAAAAAGTAATCGATGAAGATTAGAAAGCAATAATTCAAATTGATGCGAAAAGGTTTGTCTCATTTACACAAAATTTGTATAAAAGTAGAGATTTTTCCTTAATTTCTTAGTTTGCGTTGCTCGAATTTAATCTCGAACATATCCAGTGAATATTCCTGGGCTCAGTTCGTCCACTTCTGGAAGGTTGATTGAATTAAAAGGCAACTCCACCTGTCAGCGCAATATGGAGTTTCAATTCTAAACATAAAATAATGAAGAAGGAAACTAACGGACAAACTGAATAAAATTGTTAATAATTAAACTCAAATTAAAAATTAGATATTTGAACTGAAATATTATTCGATATTAAAAACTTCAATTAGTTTAAACCGAGCTCTTACGGTGACCAAATCAAACTAAGCAAAAATGAGACATGAGGTGTCGCTACATTAGTGCCTCGTAGTAACCAAGCTTTTAAGCTGCTTTTCTAAAGAATGTTTATTATTGATCAATGAAATTTATTTTTTGGCTACTGAGATCAGGTGTTATTTAATTACAGATTCAATTGGTTAAACTGTTTTAATTTATTTGTAATTATTCATTAATACTTTCCTAATCTTTGTATTATCTGTACAGTGTAGTGTTGATTAGTTCTTAACTTGATCCATTCGATATTTATTGATACTAATTGATTCTCTCTTCCTTTAAAAATGACTGGTAGAGATTTAAGACTAGCAGTTGTTTGCTCTTCTAACCAAAATCGAAGTATGGAAGCTCATCAAGTCCTTAATAAGAAAGGTTTCAATGTACGATCTTTTGGATCAGGTAATTGTGTAAAATTACCTGGACCTTCATTTGACAAACCAAATATATATGATTTTAATACTACATATGATCAAATGTATACTGATTTGATAAACAAAGATAAGACTTTGTAAGTGTCTTTTTTTATGTTATTTCCATTGAAGCTGGATTATCATCTGAACTTTTGCTCTTCTAACCATGTTAATTCTGTTTATCCCATCCTTTTTAATTTGTTTGTCTGTTTCTTATTTGATTTTCCTTTTCCAGATACACTCAAAATGGGATTCTTCACATGTTGGACCGCAATAGGAGAATTAAACAAAAGCCAGAGAGATTTCACGACTGTTTTGATAAATTTGATGTCATATTTACTTGTGAAGAAAGAGTCTATGATCAAGTAATTGAAGGTGATTGGTAGTTCTGATAAACTAAACCTAAGCTTTATTGTCTATTGGAACAAGACATACAATTTTTAATTGAATATTTCTATCTTCAAGTAGCTTACTTCTTGTTATCAGTTTGCCTTGTAATTGATTTTTGTTTTGTTTATATTTTTCTCTTTTCAGAATTAGCTGCTCGAATACCAACTGACAATAGCAAAGTTCACGTGATAAACATTGATATACAGGATAATCACGAAGAGGCCACTATTGGAGCTTTCCTGATTCTTGAATTAGCTCAATTACTATCACAATCAGACGATCTTGATAATGATATAGATGAATTGTTACAAGATTTTGAGGCTAAATCAGAAAGATCTCTATTACATTCTATCGCTTTCCAGTGAAAGGCTCAGTGATTAGTTTATTCTATATTTTGCTTGCCTGTGGAATTTTGAATTTACTCTACATCTTGTGATGACATTTCTCTTATTTTTAGACAATTAATCGATTGTTAACCTTGGAAATGGAGCATAAGAAAAATGACCATTGATAAACGACTCAATAATCTGTGATTCTGGGTGATTGAACGAATTAAATTGTAACTACAAATTTACTAATAATTTCCATTTTCCCATAATGGTTGCTGAAATCATTAGCTTTGAAAATATTCAAATCAACTTTCTAAATTTCATCCTAAATTTTGTTCCAATTCAATCAAACCGTGAGATAAGTCTTTGAAACGATTTTCTCTGAAATACTTTATGAAATAAATAACGAATGATTATATTAAATATTTCCATTGAGTGTACATATGATTTTCTATGTCTGAATGATTTTATTTAAATTAAGACAAAAAAATTGAGGCATAAGGTTGCACTTATTGTAGCGATGACTCTGTTATTGATGTTGTGGCAATTGGTGACAACGATGGAGGTGATAACGATGATGATGACAGTTTTGGAGAAATTGATTGAAGATGAGAAAAATCAACGAATGTTTGTGCCAATATTTTGCGAGTATCAAGATCTTTACGTGCACTTAACGCAGAAGAGAAGAAATTTGATGATTCGAAAAGTTTCTCGCGCATAGAAATTTGTTCACCAATAAAGCGATGAAGAGAAGCTATCGGATGGCGAAATGGTCTAAAGTTTTCTTTAAGTTCTTCTTTGCATAGGTCTATCAATTTTTCCGTTATCTTAGTACCTGCATGTTCGTGAGAAAATCCAATTCGAGCAAGAATATTGGCCGATGACATCCGACGACGAGCTGAATTGGAAAATGAATCTGGTACTTGAGATTTTGGTTGTTGGATAAGGTTGGCCCAATCAATGTCTAAATCATCAAATGATTCGTTAACTAATGGCGTTTTTGGCGATTCCTCGTTGATGACTGCCTCATGGATTTCACTACCAATTATAGCATCACATTCATCGTCACTAATTGATTCTAATGCATCGTCTTGAAGAGAGGAACAGGCATCTTGAGATTCGATTGAAATACTATCAGAGGAAGATGGCTTTAAGGATGGAGTCTCGGTAGACGGAGCTTTCTCATCGTCTTTCAGTTCAGACCTTGTTATCGAATCTGACGTTGAAACCTTGATTGATTCATCTGTTGACATCATCTCAATAGGGCTGCTTTTTTCATTAGGTTTGTTTAATAATTCATCTTCATCTTCGCTCCATTCACTGAAATTTTCATCGGAAACTATATCATCACTTTGCTTGGCAGATTCTTTCGTCTCGTCAAATATACTTTTTTCAAGCGAGAAATTTGAATCGATGGCTTCCATATCACCAAGGCTGCTACTATTGCTTATGGGCGACATATCTTCCGCTGGTAATATCGTGAGTTCACTCTTTGATTCACTATTGTCAAAGTTCGATAAGCCTTCAGGTGAACCAACAGAATCACAGGGGACAGATGAAATAGGTTTAAATGAATTGCTTGACTCGATTGGCTTTTCAACAGTTAAAGGGCTCTTTGGGTGACTGGATGAAGGACTTTTTGGAAGACTACGAACAATACTCCTCAATCTCGATCTTGGAGGACTTTCTGAAGGCGTTCGTGCATGTATTTCTCCTAAAGATCGACTAGAAGATGATTTTGGACTTATGATAGGACTTCGAAGTGGAGTTAAATCTCTACTAACTTCATGAATTCGCTTAACTCGGCCAATTCTTTCCCTATCCACTACTCGATGTCTCATTTTATCCTTTTCCAACTTTAATAGCTCATTTCGTCTTTCTCTTTCTCTCGCTGTCTCTACGATCCTTAGCCTTTCGTCTTCTCTTTCACGTCTAGATCTTTCTCTTTCTTTTTCTCGCATTTTAAATCTTTTGGATTCTCGATCATCTAGCTTAGAACCATCCCTATCCCAGTCTGGCTTCCTAATAACCAAATTTTTGCGCTTTTCTTTCTCTCTTAAGCTAACTCTTATGTTCCCATGTCGATCCACTTGAACTTGACTACCCTCGCCAGGGTAGTTGATGGCGGGGGGATGTTTACGATGTTCTTTCATAGATAATCAAATGTAAGATATTTAATTAACCTAAAGAATTAATCCCAGTCCAACAAAGAAACAAGACTCACTGAGGATAAACAACACTGTACTGTATATTCAACAGTTTTAACAATCTTGTAAGCACAATCAAATAAATTTTGAATCTTTCTAAAACTGAACTTCTGTCACAAATAATGTTAAAGAGGAAATAACACAAGATTTTAAATTATTCTTAAAAAATTAAAAATTAGTAACTTCACTCAGACCGTAAGCAAGAGTTAGTTATAGGAAAACATTGTGTGTGAAATGCAAGTAGAGCCATCCAACGGTTATACAGGTCATCACTGATATCTATGGATAGAATCCAAAAATTAAACTAAAATGTTTCAGAATCAGATAAAGTGTGATTTGTTATGAATATTCAAGCTTTTAGATCAGTAAATTGAGAAGTAAATTAATTTTACGAGACATGCCGACATATTTATTTTTTTCTACATCAGATAAGACATTTTTTATTAGTGATGATGATAGTTTAAGAGGTTAACTGTTACTCCAACCAGGATAATACGAAATGTGAAACCTTTTTATTTTGATTTCTTCACCAAATGATTGCGGATATCAAAACTCTACGTGAATAATACAGTTAATCCAAGCAGTTATTTCACCCAATTTGACAATGAAGTCGTTACCAAGTTCAAGAAAAATGAGGAAATCTGAGCATATTAATAGGTTAAATGGTGCTCATTGAATTGTATGCTGGGTTCAAAAGTTTGAATTCTAATGACAGTTGAAAATGTGTAATAAATTCAATATTACATATTAAAGTGATCTAGAAAATAAATTAATTCAGTCGAGAGAGATTTTCTTGGGTAAATCGGTTCGTATCCAAATAATGTAAATTTTGTCACAAAGCTAAAATTCACAAATATTTGCCAGTGTTTCTCTCGGTGATGTTTCTTAATCTAGCCTAAGAAGTATGTCAGAAAGGTTTGAATTTTGAGTGAAGAAAAGTGAAAGTTTAAACTTCTGTTCAATTTTGTCAGTTGTGAACAGACGATGCTTCTTGCCAAGTTCAGGACCCAAACTTGAACTTACTCTTTGAGCTAATTCTTAGTTATCTTACAGTCAATCCAGAGTGGAAGTGGCTAAGTTCAAAACAAATGATCCAATGTCAAAATATTGAAGATACTGTTGGACTCTTTTTGGGCTAATTAGCATTTTGAAGATTGTTCTTTGTCCTAATATTTTAAGAAGAAAAAGAAACTGTAAATCTGAAGGTATTGCCATCTATTGGAGTGTTTACTCGTTTTTTTTAAATTATTGGAAAATTAACGACATTATTATAAACTGATCAATTAGTAATTTTATTAAATACGTTTCGAGTAGTCATATAAAGTCAACTTGGTCAATTTGACTCATAATTTAAAGAAGCTGAACTGACCAAACAAATTTAAAAGTCCCTCAACCATATTTAGGTCATATTTCTGTCTCTTTAACTCGATCCCTATAATGAAAATTGAACCATTTATTTTATGGAAGAGACTAAATCTCTACTTCGTGGTTTCTAACATTTCACCTACATTTCGAGAGGAAATGAGTAAATCTCATTCAGGAATGATGGGCAAATGGGACAAGTTCATCTGTAATTGAATAAAATAATTTTATTTAAATTAAAATTGCATTTCATGTTATGAAAAATCATCTGTTCAATGTTGTAAACAAGTCTCTCTCTTTAAAAGAAAGAAAAAAGAAAGAGAGTTTCTTTCTTTTTGCTGAAGTGGAGACCCTACAGTCAAAATATGAAACTAATTCTTTATGGCTTTCTTTCATTGTTGTTTTTTTCTCTTCGTGAAATACTCTCTTTTTGTCTTTGGTAAACATTATTATTTGATTACAATTTATTAATTAAAATTATTATACATTTACAATGTTCTTGTACATATTTCAAGTCGACACTGGATCAACGTTTACTCTGGATCTTAATTTATCCACTGAAACGTAAGTATTTCAATTTTTCATTGTTTTTCTTTTGTCTTATTCTCCTTTTCTCTTTCCCCTTTATCAGAGTAAAAGTGCTGAAAGAAAATATTTATAATAGAACTGGTATTCCAGCTGATAAACAAGCCTTACTATTGAGTGGAGGTGAAACGCTTTTTGAAGATGCTAAGGTTTCCTCATATCGCTCTGCTGGTACAGAGACCAATCCAATCTTTTTGTTTAACAAAGAGGTTGTTGAACATGATAACCCCCCTTCCCCTGTGGTAAACAACATTAATGACGCAGATATGAAGGTTAGAATAAAATCTTGTTTTAATATGGAACCTTCAATCAACACTGTAACAAGCAGAGCAGAACTCGCTCAGCAATTATACGTTATTGCTCAGGCACACTTACAATGTTGCGAAAAGCTGATTCAAGATCAACATCTACAACATCAAGGCTGGGCTGCAGTATTGGCTAATATTGAAGACCTATGGAAAGTTGTTTTAAATAAACTTGAAATGTTGGACACAGAATATGCCAAATTCAAAGAACGGGAACAGGTCTATGACCAATCTATCGATCGGTTAGTAATACTTTTGCCTTCATATATATTATTTTAGACCAATTGTGAATTTTAGAATATCAATATAATATGAATTCGTACTTCTTTTTATTTGAATAGGTTGGAAACTGATCTGGAAATTTTAACAAGAATGCCATTATTACCCTCACTCATTGAGCCATCACTTCAAGACAAAGGAAAGGATCTATCATTAGCAGATTGGATTGGTTTTAAATGGAGTAATTTGAAAGATGTACATACTATGGCTAACAGTGTTCTTGAATTTCAACACAAGTCTCACGATGAGTTCATGGCAGGTATTGACCACGATAAAAAAACTGTCTTGAACGGTATAAATTCAAAAGAAATAAGAGAAATCAGTGGACTTCAAAATCGCTTACAAATGCTTAACGGGTTTCTTTCTAAAGCAAAAAAATTGACTGCTGAACTCAATGAATTTGCTCAAGCTTTTCATCATAACCAGATTAGAGCAAATGTCGTACGAGACAATTCTATTCTTCCTGATCTGTGCAAAACTCATGAAACACAGCTCAGAGTTGTTTCAGATAAATACAATGAGCTCTGTGATATTCGTGATAGATGTATCGCTGCCAAGCGAGAATTTTGTGGTGTCATTCATCGAAGGCTCCAATGGGCTACACATATTTCTCGACTCATCAGTGGCTTGTCCCATAAACAAACTTTATGGGTTAATTCACTTAACCGTATGGAAAAATTTATAAATGTATTTGACCAAATCCACAGGACTCCAATGCTTTACTTATCTTACGTAGCTGAAATCTATCGTAGACGTTTTACTTCACAGCGATTTTTATCATGGGCTAAAAATGTTGCTATTCAATCCAGAGCTTTCTATGAGAAGGAAATGGAAACCAGAAACGAGTTTGAATCAAAAATTTCTCAACATTTTCTCAAGTCTTTATTTTCTGGCATAAATGATCGACCTCCACAATTTGCTACTCAAGAACCCGAGCCATTTGATGATAAATTACCTGAAGTAACTCAATGTGATATTCAGAAGCTAGTTGATTTATTCCCTCAATATAGATCATTGTTGGATGTAGCAATCCCAGAAGCAGTTTCACCGGTATGTTTCCATATATTGTTGTTTTATCAGTGAACTTATCAATCTCCTTTTATCAATAGGTACCTAGTGAAAAACCTCCAAGTGAACCTATTAAATCGATTAAACGGCGTATTGTTCAATTGCCACCCAAAAAAGTAGAGCAACCTGAGCAGCCAGAACAGTCTGATCAAGACAAAATTTCTTATTTTTCGTAAGTACTTTTTAATGTTTACTAGTTTGTCTCTTAAAATTAATTTCATATTTCTCTATTTCAGATGTGATGTTGGAGATTTGGTTCTTTTGACTTTTAGCGCTGTTCACAATTGTTATGTTGCTTTCTCAAACGCTTTTAATCCACATTTTCTCCACCATGAGTGCCATGAAGCCCTGGGTTTCCTCATAGGTAATTATTAATTATCATTTCAACAACCTCTCCAAACTGGAAAGACAATGCTTGGGTCAATGTTCTCTAGTTATCTAATTCTCTCAATTAGCACAATTTTGGTTTTTATTTTCACTTAAAGATATTCATCTAATCATAAAACTGGCCTCTTTAAGCGTTTAAATTGTATTTTACCATATGACAGAATTATCTCTCAGTTAGAGCTGATTTTCCATGAGTTTTAATTTACTTTCACTTTTTGTCAATATTAACAATTGCATCATTTCAATTCCGCCATAGGAGCTTATTTATATTTACTATCGTGATAGAGTTATGATGTCAATTATGATTTCAATATTAATGACATGGTATTTTTTGTTTGTATTGGTTTAACTTTAGTTATTTTTGCAAGCTATTAAGTTTTTTTAATCAACTTATGAGTAGTATTTCTGATATACAATTCATGGATAATTCGTCATCTTTATTGTAATTCAATTGATAAAATTCAATAATAATAATTCTAGAATAAATCGAAATAAGTAAACTTGAACTAAAGTAAATTCTGCTTAGTTGAACCACAAAAAGCAAAGGGCGAACTAGAAAGGGAACTTAATTGAACCACTTCTTTGTTCCAATTTTAAGTCAACGCAAGACATTTTGACAAAAAAATTGACCACAGCAAAGATTTTTTGAACCAGTTGGTCAAACTAGTTTTCAGTAAGCCAGTTCAATAATTTTTTGAGAAAAAAAATTGTCAATGTTTGGTTTTGAAAACTAGCTCGACCACTAAGTGGCTCAAAAATAACTTCGTTGTGACTCAAGTTTCTTCTCTTTGTGATTTTGCTTTTGCTCATCAAATAAAGGCTTTTGTCTACTTGAAAATCAGACAAAGAAGTGGCTCAAGTAATTGCCTTTTCTGGTTCGCACTTAGCCTTTTGGGGTTAAATTGAACATAAATGATTAAATATTCGACCTAGTTTTACCGAAAAGAAAGGTCATCTATGGGAGTACGAATAAAGTACCTTCGTCGAGTTTAAATGTTTGTGATTCTTCTTCTGAAAGAAGGGGTTAGAATCGCTCAATAATTTTTACATCCATTAAAAACCTCATAGAAATATCAAACGTGTTTCTCATACAAACTTGTCTAGCAATAAAATTTTTTTATTTAATCAAAGATTCGTGTAGCGTGAAAAGGGATCATGTTTTTTTCTTAACTCTTTCTGTTCGAATTTAAAATTCTTTCAATTGCAGTCTAACTATTATATAAACCTGATATTCTATATTCTTCCCCTGTAAATGATGTTTTTGTTGTAGAATGGTTGTTTGGTATTTTGAAGCGACTTAGTAGCCATTAAATTTAGTTTTTTATTTTCTTCTTACATTATTACTACTTCGGTTGAAACAGTCATCCAGAAAAGTTTATTATTTATGAATCGATTTCATTTCATAACATACTATTAGAATGGATTATAATACTAAAGCAAGTTTGATCTCTCTGTCAAACAAAATCAAATTGTGCAGCTCAAATCGATTATTACTTATTGAAATGCTAAGAAATTTTATCAAGCTAATTATATTTTTGTTTGTTTTTCTTCAAAGTAAAAGTATGCACTTTAAAGTATTATATCATTCATTACCTCTTGAATCTCTGACCCTCTCATGAAAACAAGCCCTGTAAGTGATTGGTCTTAAAATCATTGAAGACCGTGAAATTCAGCCTTGTTTTGTTTGCTTTTAAAACAGTTTTCTCGAATTTACGCCCATACCTTACAACTTATAATCATCCGATTGTCTACTTGCATCTTAAATCCAGAAATCTTGTCTTTTCATTTGTTTCATTAATTTCTGCCCTCGCCATGAAAATTTCAAGTCAATTTGGAGCGATTTATCAATAACTCAGATGCATTCCTTTGATTGAATAAGATTTTGTCCAAGCATTTGTCTCATGAACATTGTCTCTTTTAATTTATCAACAACTTTATTAATAAATTTTTTCATTTTCAGGAGAAGGCAAAGAAGTACCAGCTTACGGCTTTGGCGTCGTCACCGAAAAAGTATTGTGCCAAGCTTCAAAGGTAAGCATGAAAAAACTTCTCATGAAATTCTCATCATTCTTTTGATAGAAATCTGATTTTCTTTGATCTTCTCGGTTTAATTTCTTTTTGAATTAAGAGTTTGCAATTTTGATCCAAATTTAGGCTAGCATTATGATGTATTTAGGTGGGTCAATCCTAGACAAGTCTTGGCAAATTTGCTCACCTCTGTTGATCTTTAGCACACATTTTTTTAGCCTCTGGCATAAATATCATTAAAGTCCACTGGCAAGGTCAAACTAAGCGTTGTTACTTTTTCTTCGTTAGATTTTGCCTTCTTTCTATCATTTCATTTCTTGTTCTATTTGTCTAACTTAAAAATAATCCAATGCCTTTTCAAAATTGAGCTTGATGAAATGATTAGAAGCTTGATTGTAGCTATCCATCATTAATTTTACGGATCATTTTTCAATCAAACTAAATATATTAGCCCAGCCTTATTTGTTCTATCTTAATATTTTTATAAAATTCGTTCCTTTTTATTCCCTCCTACATTTTTCTCCATCTTGACTTTTTCTTGATTCTTGTTGACCCGTGTTCCTTCCAACCAATCCTTGTATTGTGTCTTTAAACATTTAATTTATCAAGTTAAACTGTTGATAGCCGTGATAATTGGTTATAAACCGATAAACACCAATCAACTTCACACAAATCAGAATGTAAAACAAACAATCTTTCAAGTTAATTTCTCAAGATTAGAAAATTTCTTTCAATAAATTCACTCTTGTCCCGGTTATGAATCTTCATTCATCGTTTTTCTACTCTCTTGTATTGCACTTGTTATCATTAAATCTTCAGATTTATTTATTATAAACTCTTATTAAATTCCACTGACCTATTTATGATTATAATAGTTCTTGTTGCGATAATATTTCACAATAAATCAATTCATGTGGGCTTTTCCACTCTTTTTGTGGTGAATCTTGACATAATTTCATTGCAATGTATTTAATAAATATCTTTTTACTCATTTTCAGGCTCAAAATCGTTATAATGTTCCTATGAATACTAGATTCTATCGATTCAAAGCGAAAGCTTGGAATAAGGCATCATTAAGTCGTCGGCCGAATATACCTCTAATTCCTGCTCCGATTCCAATCAGGAATAGATCATCAGCGGGATCACCAATGGCATCATCATCAATCGAGCAAGCACTTCAAACTTCATTGCTACCTACAGAGTTTCATACTACCAGCCATACTCCTATTTCATATCTTTCACCTTGTATGGCCACTCTTGACGTTATTAAATTAGCCAAAGAAGAAACGAAAGAAGAGCTTGTAAAGGTCGAAGAGCCCATGGAAGAGAGTAAATTATCAAACAAGTTAACCGTCCATGTGAACGAGTCTATGGAAGGGATGAAAGTGGATTCTTTAAAAAACTCAAAAGATGAAACAAAAGTGGAAATTGACTCTGATTAAATCATTACACTTGCTGGCAATTATTTTCATTTTATGTAAAGTTGGACAAACTTTTATCTCTAAATCTCATTCTGTTCACATGTAAAAGAATTACCACAAACTCAATTGGAACTCTTAACCCGTTTCTTCTAAATTCAATTAGAAATCTTGACTGTCAATCATACATCTTTCATCAAACCTTTAACCATTTTACAAAATAGATAACTTTTGTATGATCAAAACTTGCTAATAAATCAAAAGATGAACAATTTTTTGAGTAATTTTTTTATTTTTGGAATAATACTATTGATAAATTTGACCAGTTGTATAAATGTTATACAATTAAGTTATATAAGCTGAAATGCAGGGAAGGAGGTACATAATAATTTGTTATAACACAATATAACTTTCCGTTTGTTCATTAACTATTCGTGATTTCAGGTCGAAATAGTCCTGACAAGATGTCACTTCATTTTCATTATCATTAGTCCAAAATCTAGTAAAATCAACGCTAGAGGAATGATCGTCTACTGAAGAGTTAATATAACAATCAGAAGATTGGACAAGAGCTGTTGATGATTGAGAACATGTTGAACCAGAAGTAACTTGTTCACGAGTGTTATTGTTATTAGTAACAAATGTTGTTGATGAACATTCGTTAGTCAATGTGTTGTTATCATTAAGATTGTGATTTTCATGATAAATCTTCAAGTGGCTGTTTTCATCAACTGACGATTCATCTTGTTTTGGCTGGTGAATTAACCATTTAGGGTCATGATAAATTTGATTTTGGTTATGAAGGTTGAGGTTTGAGACATGTTGATCTTGATATTGGGTTTGAAAATAATTTGGATGGCTATAAGTTCGATCAACTTGGTCAATTGGAAAATTCAGTGCAACAGTTGATTGTAAATCTATTTGAGGTGATTTATCCTTGTTTAAATGTTCCGTATTATTTACAGATAAAGTTGGAGGAGATGCAGATGTACTAGTTATTTCTGCAGAAGTTGGAGATGAAGATGATGGCAATGAACATGGTGATATTATTGTTGCAGATGATTGTAGGAGATGCTGTTGTAAAGCTTCTCGTTGAATTAATGATGGAGATGAAGGCTGAGATGAATGACCGTTTGATAATTGATTCTCTAAATTTGATATCCTATCTGAATCTATGGTCATGTCATAGTCTCCATAGTTAACCATGGATCCATCTGATTCAATCGTATTCATCTGGTTGTCATCACTATTGTCTGAAATTTGGTGACATTGATCTGCATTTACGTTTGGACTAAAATTTGCTTCAGCATCCATATAAATTTGTTCATATTGTTGATATTGAAGATACTGATGGTGTTGCTGATGTTGATGATAATGATGATGTTGCGATGTTGTACTTTCAACTTGCTGATTAGAAAACATATAAGACTGGTTTGTTGAGCCGTTATAAAAAGTACATGAATTATTTCCATTTGTCAGGGCAGTCGACAGTCCATTTAATTGATTTGCTATATAAAAAATTGAAAGGAAAGGATAAATACTCGGTAAATCTACTGTAAATTATAAATTATTGAGCTAACAATCGATTAAATATCGATTACAAAATTTTACAACATCGCCCATCACTAACTTGAGTTAACGAACTCTTTGTTGTCAACTCTTAACCTAATTGGCCAATTACAAAGAGCTAAGCACAAAAAGCGGTTAATTTGATTTAACATTAATTTTTCATTGTTTTCACCATAATTACTTATTCTTATGCATTCTGGTTATATTAACATATTCTGATATACTATTTAATGATTATTAGTTAACTTACCATCAATAGGAGTAAATGCTTCGGTAATAAATTCACCAGTTTTTGTTGAATGGCAAAGATGATAATTAAATCCAAAATAATTTGCTTCATCATAAAGCTTCAGAAAAAAAGATAAAATAATACATTTATTATTATAAATAAATTTGGAAATGAAATGAAAATAGAATCAAATTATAATGTAATAAATAATGTTAATGTTGATTAATATTGATTTGAAGAGGCATCAACTAGAAGCGATACAATAATATGAATGAAAAAAAACAGGTGAAACTTGAATAAATTGATTCACCAATTGATACCAAAATCATGAATACATATGCTACCGGTTATGTATTACTGAATTAATGAAGGTTACAATTAATCATCTGCTTACTTATCAACTCATCAATTTGAATGTTGTTGAACAAAGCATTATTGATGTCAACAAATGGTAAGAAACTTTTTTGATTATAATGGTAAACTCATCAATCTGCTCTCAACCAGAAAAGATTATCAAAATATCAGATGATGAATTAAAAGTAAAATGTAATAAAAAAAGCCTTTTTTCAGCCCAAAACAAATTCATTTTAATAAATTGATCGTCAATATAACCTATATAATGATAAATACTAGCACATTAAATTGTTGTTAAATCATATTTACCTTTGAAAGCAACAAATAACAAAGGATATAAAGGTAATTGAAGATACTCTATAAAATGAGGAAGACCATGTTGAAGATGAGGATGATGGAAACAAATGATGAGCGAAAAGAATCAACGGTTACCCGCATCAAGAGTATACTTTGGATGAAAATTTATCGTCTTCTTTTGATAACTTTACTTGATTGGAAGCAGATGATTTCCTATTGACTATCTTAATATTTTATTGATCATTTTAGCCACGCGAACTTGGCTTATCTATGATAATCATTTGGCTTTCCATCCCTATGTAACTAGATTCACTCGTGTCGGTCGCGTGTACTTACATCTTACATCTCTCACCTTGACGACATTTGACTAATTATCATTATCATGATAAAAGGTATTACCATTTCAACGGCAATAAGAATATGTTTACGGCCTTCAATATTAACCAAAAATTTGATTCTACTTTTTTTCTTAACAAATTTGTTGAACTTACTTGAATTACTGGACCATAATTGCATGAATCAGAGGTTTGATGGTTTGTTGTGCTTGTTGTTGACTCGGACTCGGAATCTAAATAATTTGACCGATGATGATAGTGTCTAAGGTAAGAGTGGCCATTGTCAACGGAATTGGAGTAATGGTTATATCCATTTGTAGAGGATAATGCTGAAGATGAAGTTATTGACGAGGTGTGTGATGTTACTGCTCCTGATCCTGATCCCGGTGTTTGAATTGGATGTGGTAAAGGTGGTGATAATGACGATGTTGAATGGATCGGTGAGGGCTGTTGTTGGAGTTGAAGGTGATGCTGATGCTGTTGATGCTGGAAGGGTAATTGTAAAATCTGGGCCGATTGTTGTCCGTTTGATTGTTGAGAATTGAATGGATATGAACAGCTACATTGAGATTCATAGGAGAAACACGATAAACATATTCCAGGATCTGTAAAACAAAACAAGCTTCTTAATACAAGTCTATAAACAGTTCAACAAAGCAGTTCAACAGTCAATAAAAGGTTAATAAACAGTCGATTAACAGTATATAATAAACCAATAAACAGTGATTAAGGACTTACTAGACGAGTATAAAGTAATAAACAAAACAATAAAATCAAAATCAAAGTCAATTAAACCATCCAAATGAATTGTAAATAAAAGGTCAGCAAAGAGTTGAAACACAACGTGAATAAAGTTGAAAGGTGTCAATGTTTACAGTTAGATGGCGACTTTTGTATTCACACAATTTTTCTTGATTTAAAATTGAAAAATTAAATTTCTTTCGTCAAATTTTAATTTAAATGAATCAACCAAATCGTAAATCAATTTATATATTGATCTTAAAATCTAAATGTTAATTTTAAATTTCCGTTTAACCGTTATATCATCAAATTTTTCAATTATTTAACCATAAAGATTGTGTTTTTTCACTCAAAATATGAACAGCAATTATTAATTTTCAATTTTTGCTGATGAAAATACAATTAATCATAACTCAACTGTCCATTTATTAAAGTGCCTTAAGGTTAAAAATGTAACACTCATAATTGTGGTTCCTAAAACCAATAAATAAATATCAATTTTTTAATCAATTTAAAAATATTAAGTAAAATCTTAATGATTAATGAAAAACTTTCAACCTTTTCTAAGTGAATAACAATTTAACTTCTCATCAGAATAGTTGAAGCAACCATTTTTGATTTTCAACAGAGATTCAAAGTATTTCCTAACCTGATTAAGAATAATTAGTAAAACCAATTAGTTTATTGATTACTATTATCACAATATCATAAGCTAAACATGACTCTTGGTTGAAGGTAAGAGCAGCAAAAATTAGATCAAGTTAAAATCAGATAATTTAAAAGCTTGAATTAAAGGGAGTTAAAGATGAAAACATTTTTCAATATTTTTATATTTATCAAAATCAAGATTTATCAACAGTTGATCAATAATTAATAATGAAATTTGTTTCACTTAAACTCAAAGAAATGTTGAAAATTAAAAACAAAAGATATTGAAAGCAAACGAGAGAAAAAGGATAAAACTGAATTTCTAATCACAGAATCGACTCTTAAAGGCTAACAGAGCTATTAATGGCCATTAAATTGACAGTAATGTTCCTAAATGGCCATTAGATCAAGGAAGGAACAATTAATAGCTGTTTATCGCTTTTTATGGACAAATTTATCAGATTAATTGAAGAAATACTCAAAGTAATAGTAACACTTGAAACATTCAACACTCGCAATGAATGATGATCATTAGACCCTAAGAGCTGTACTTTCATCACCAAAATAACATCAACATAAAATAGATGAAATTGCTTTGATAAATATTCAAATGCTCAACTCAACAGTTAAATCAACTCACATCAGGTGTTTTGATGAAAAAAAGACTGATTTCTGTGACTTTCAAATCGATTTTGAGATTTTACATTTTAAATGATTTTACTGATGATGGATGTGAAGTGGCTTGAGTCGGTCAACAGTTAATATGGATTTACAAATGCAACTGAATCCTGAAAGGAATAGCTTTGATTGTGATTTATTGATTATTGCAATCAATTTAACGGCAATATCAACATCCTATAGAAACAATTCTGAGCAAACTCTACCTTCAATGATTCCCTCACTCCTCCTACAGTTTGAGGGCGGACTTGTACAATGATGATGATAATCATCAATATTATTAACATCAATCTACTGAGCCATGAAATGAAACCTTGAAACAAACAAAAATGTATAGATAAATGGTGAAACATCTTTTGAGAATCATTTTCACTTGTTTCAGTTGTTTTTACATAAACAATTGATTTCATTTTTGAATGAAAATTAAGATGAGGATCCTCTTGTGGTTTAATCAGTGAACGATCATCATTTCATATCAGCAATTAACAACAAACTCATCTTTTTACTGAGAAAACTGTTTACTGTGGACTTTCCCTGAGGGTGAAGACATTTTCAATAGTTTTCCATCAATGAAATGAATTGTGAACTTGAACAGATAAATTGCTTTAAATTTATCTTCTCATTTCATCTTTACTGAATAGTTGAAGGCGCTAACATTAGGAACACCCAGTAACACCCTGAAGGCTGACAATGCTTAAGATTAGCTACCAAATTAGTTTATGGTTCAATCCTCGCACTTAATTGATTTCATGTTTCGCGTTTCATCGATTTAACAATAAACGCTAAATCAATTACAGACAAACATTTTGACCATTTCATTGGTTATTTGATTAACCATTTGATTGAACATTTTAAGTAGCATTTGATTGTACAATATTTAACCAACAACATGATTAGACTCTTTGGGTTAGTTAAACAAATCTGATTGATTAACTGAAATAAAAGGTTTGTTTCTCATTTCTTGTATCACTTGTATAGACTTGTTCAGTTTATTCAGCAAGATTGTTATTCAATTGACATTCACTTTGATTATAATGATTCTTTTATTTCTACATCATTTTGTTTATCATTCAATTGAACCATTTCATGATTAGTTGATGAATAAAAAACGTTTTTTGTTTGTGCATTCATGTTTAACTAAATTGTCGAGTAAACTGTGTAATCAGTGAACCACAAATTGTTGGTAAGCAAAATAGTTACTCATGCTAAAAGACTTTTACTATTTAATGTAATAACTCTCATATTGAAACTATCATTGTTAGCTAATATTGTTGTAGTAAATGGTTTAATCAAATTGTAAATGTTGTTTAATTGCTTATTTATCTGGAAGTATTGCCTTAAATTCATTGGCAAATTTTTCTCTCTTTAAAGTCTAATTAGGAACAAGATTAATTGATTATTTGATAAAATTATGTTGACCAAAAATTAATCTTGGCGCCAATCATTTCAAACCATTGATGTTGAATGAAAAGATGAACCGCCCTTTTAACATGTGATTGCATGTAAGCTTTAAGATTTAACCAAGTTTACCTAATTAATAAATTGTAATTAATCCAATCGTTTTATCTTGTTTGTCTGTTAATCAACTAAATCAATCATGTTTATTATGCTCTTCAAATTTTGTCTAATCAGTTAATGTGCTTCACTTGTGTTTCAATCAGATAAATGTCCATTTTTCAGTCTTAAATCCCTTCCTTTATCTTTCACAGCTGACTATTATCATTGATTTGCTTTTGGACTTAAGATTTTGGAAATTTCAGTGTCTTCGTTCTTGTGAAAGGATTGAATAGCTTATTTTATTCATGATTCTCTGGATTTTCGGATGAATTACTCTAATCCGTTCTAAAGCAAACCTTAAAAATGTTCAAATCAATATGAAAAACACATTGTCTCAATCTTTGAGGTTAGTAAGCCTAAACTTTCACTCTACAGTTATCCAAATCCTGATTTTTTATTGTTTTGTTTTATTAAATAGATCTGACTGGATGTGAATTTTACATCTGCAAACATGAAATAACCAGAAGGGAATGAAACGGCGAACTCACCTGATTTTCTGTTGATCTCAAAGGTAACCAAATCTTTTGGAGTTTCATTGATCGTGGTTGATCCTTTGATGGGAACATTTTCAACAAATGTATCAGTTGTGGTTATGTTTGCTTTATACCAACGATTAAATGTAACCTTTTCCTCGACTTCAATTTTACATTTAACCTCCTTCAAAGTCTGGCTCTGAAAAAAAACAGAATTGTAAATTAATTTGATGAAAAGGGTTTGTTTACTTTGATCCAACTCTGTTTTCTAAATCTGTTCATTTCTCGCAGTTGAATATCGATCCAGACTGTCTTTCAGCAATTCTTGTTCATTTTAAATCAGTGTGAATATTTATATTAATTATCTTTTCTTTTATTTGTTACAGACCATCAGCTGATGTTTCATATTATTTACATTACTGCATTAATTACTTCATCAAGTTATGAATGGTCAGCCTAATTCGTTCATCTCTGCATCGACTTATTTTGTAGGACTGTTGGTTTATTCAGATGAAAACAAGAAGATCATTTTTCACCTTTGAAAGAAAAGTTTTGGCATCAACCTCACGCATCATCAATCTTTTCAGTCACCAATCAACATGCTGAGAGTTGGTCTGTTGATGTTTTGTTTGCACGGAGTAAGACCACGAACGAACTGCTCATTTACGTATGCATGTGTGTATATTAAATGTTAGTATCTGTAAAAGTCTGTTTCTTTGAATAAGTTTCAAAGAGCCTCAAGGCTAGACATATCTTATAAGCATTATCTGTACTGGTAGCTGGTTGCAAGTGAGTAAAAGGTTAGAGTAAAATGAGTCAGTTGTCCATTTTATGAGCATCAATTTATTTGGTCAGATTGAGCACCCAGGTAGAGCGAAAGAGACTGGGATAAGTAGTCACTTTCATCTCAGTTTTACATCTATCTTGTGTGATCAGTAAATTAACTTTGACTTTTACCCTGATAACAGTTGACTTTTGTGGTTGTCATATTATAATTCATATCTTTATCTTTATTTTCAATCTTCTCATTTTTCTCAGGCAACAGAATTACCTATTTATAAAGATTCACTCATCATTATCCAGTGAAAAGCATAAAACAAAAAAAAGGTTGACTTATCTGACAAGGTGATAAAGTCAACAACAATAGCATCGATTGACATGAAATAGCGAGAATGGCCGTCCAATATCATGCTAATATCATCTTTAAACTCTTCAACTTGATTGATTATAATCATGTGAGTTTTTTCACCAATTTCATTCTTTAATTAATCCATTAGATCCAATTTATCTAACTCAATTTCAATTTCTTTCCAGGATTAAAGGTTCATGTGAAAAAAGAGAGGCACAATGATGATGTATTTTGACACTGATTGCCATGTTAATTGGTACAACAATTGTTTCTCGCAAAATTGATGAGTCTTGGTTTCATCATGTTTATGGTTAATTACAAATCTGATTACTTCCGTTTACCGTTCAACTTGTAACCTCATGTCAACACCATCAACCTCAGAGCTTTAATCCTATAAAGATTAATTTATTATCATGTGAATTTGATCACATGATGATTCTCAATCTCTAAAGTAAATATTAACAAGAGTATCTTTTAGGATGAAAAGATACAGCTTTCAGTCATATTGACTATTGATTTTGATCATCTCATTGTTTGATCAATGAAAAAATGTATCAAATGATATTTCAATCCAACGAACTGGAATCCAACAATCTGTTAACCTTGCTCAGTTTACTGGATTTGCTGTTTCAAATATTATGTTTAAGCCTTAGATAGTTCATTGATGTGAAATTCAAGGTAAATATTTTATTGAACCAATACTTTAATATCAAACGCTTTCACTAATTAATATTTTTATCCAAAAGTCTAATCAGTTTTTTTAAAAATTTCAAGATACAAATAAGTCAATTAATCAAATTATCTTTCATCTTAATGGATGATTATTAGCACTATTAAGTTACAGAAAAAGAAGCTAAAATTATAATGATTTATTGATTGAAAAGAGGTTGAATGAAACTATCTAATTACAAGAAATATATCCAATTCTTGGCTCATTTTATTCAATCAAACTAGCTTTTTCAAAATAAAAGGTTACTAAATGCCTATTAAAGATCATAACCATCAATGAGTTGAACTATTTGTTAAAATTTGCTTGTAATTAGTATTTTTAAAGGTGAAGGTAGAAAAGTCTTTCTTTTTTCCTTTCTTTTCACCAACCAATTTGTATTTACTTATAACCTAAGGCATCTTGAACTGTAAACTTAAAATTAATGAATATACTTTTCCTCTCTCACTCTAAACAGGACAAAACTGTGTGATTATGGAATTGGGAAACTGTTCAATTATATTAATTTCACCAATGAAATCATTGAGGATGCTTGTTATCATCTACCAACGACCCGAACAACTCAAATGATCGCTATTAACTCACAGTCAAGTTGACCAGAAGCAAGGCTAATGGTTGTAATGGTAATAACAATGACAACGAAAAGGAGAGCAAAAAATAAGCAAATAACAGGTCGCTAAATAAAGAGAAATGAAGATTCACTTTGTTTTTTCTGTGAATAACAATTATGGTATCATTACAGATATAATTATAATTGTAATAATCAGGACGATAAACATCATTTTTCATGCAGGTATTCATCTTTTGCTTTGTTTTTTCCAACAATCCTTTTTACCAAACAAGTCCAACTCATTTTGCGTAATTAAATATTTTACTCTTCCCTTCATCTTCAACCTGATTTTTGATTCTTGTTTAACAGAAACAATTTTCAATCAATTTGCGTATTTTTACATATTAGCTCAAATAATAGTTTTCAAGTCCTTTTAAAATGTGTTGATCTATTAATTTGTAATAATTATTTAAATTTTTCAGATTTGCCTCTTCAAATGGCTAACAATTGGTAAAGTGTTGACACTCTTAACTCTTGGATCAAATTTGTCAGTTACTGTAATATAATTGAATTACCTGTAATCCAGTTGTCAAAGGCAGTGTTGTGTTGAAAAAGCTATTTGCTAATCGAGATGATTTCAACATTCTCAATGCACTTTGTCCCATTCTTCGAGCTTCTGCACTGGCTTTCGGTTCAGGACGGGGATGATCATGGCTTCCTTTGGCCTGGAAAAATAAAGATCAATTGCAAAGGTTAAATTGATTATACTATTAATGTCAATTATGGTTAGAGAGAAAAGTTCAATAAGTTGTTTGTAAAGTGTTGTTATCGTGATTGTTGAGCGTTAATTTAAGTCAATTGTAACTGTTGAAAGGAGGTTTAGATAGGAACCAGAAAAATGAAGATAAGTGTGATGTATGGTTAGTTGAGGCCTGAGGTTATAAAAGAATGATGAAGAAACTTTAAATTTCATTAATAGCTTGAGTGATTGCAAACCAATAACTCTGTACTAGTTTTAAGTAACAAGTTAATGTTTTAACGAGAACAGTAATCAAAATGATTACCGATAGACAAGTCAATAGGTTGCGATCAATTAATTTGATAAAATAAAAAAGAGAAGTTAAAGGAACAAAAAATGAAGTCTAATGAAGATTCTGGTTTCGTTAGGAAAAAGTTGAGATAATTTGTTAAGTTTGTCGTAATTTTAATTATCATTCCTTCCATTTTATCATGTTGAACATTAGCATTCCAAAGAATCGGATAAACACCTAGAAGACAGTATCTGTATTGATTAGCGACGATTTAAAACATTTAAGTGAATGTTGTTATGAAAGTTAAAACAGATCAGATAACTTATTGGGTGTCCATAAAAGCGCAATGATAATGATGATGACCATGGAATGGTCATAAACTTGACTTTATCATCAATAAGACGTTCTCTCGTAATACTCACTATCATTTGATCATTTACTAATTCACTGATTTTCTATCTTTTTTTCTTCTTCTTCCCTCTTTAGCAATTAGGTTGATCTTTGTAAAGAGCAAGATGATATGAAGGAGATGAACATCACAAATTTTCAAGGATCACCAGAAACATTTAAAGGAGACATTTAAAGGCCTCCTTTCCTCCTATCAATCACCCTGTTACCAGGTTGCTTGTTAACTCAGTGGGTGGCAGGGAACCGTCAACACACATATTACATCCAACATGAACAAAATCAACATGAAAATCAAAATCAAAATCAACATCACCATCAACTCATCTCTGTTTACAGTTGGTTGTCAAAAAAATCGCTTTTCCCACCCCAGAGAAATAGCTTTCACCTTATAAACCTTCTTGTCTTCATTTTGATGTATTCTTACATCTTACATGGCAAAAAGGTGAATCTTTATTTCTTCATCTGTTATTAATATGATCGACTAATAATTATCAGCTAAAGATTACAATTTTTCACTTTTAACTTGATCATCAACTTCATACCTTTTATAATAGTTAATATGCAATTTATAGCAATAACATTCATCTAGCAAAACATTTTGCGTGCATTACTTTTGCCAGGTTAATTATTGTTGTTAATTGTTAACACTATATTCATAAACCACGGAAGAATAGGATAAATAATATTAAATGAGCAACAATTAAAAACGATCAATTGTTGATTTGAATTTATGAATACGGGTTAACGGTATTAACATAATAAGGGTAAATCAACCTTATTTAGATGACCATCCAATAGTCAATCAGCCAAATGTCATTGTTTCCATCTTTTATAACATTGAAGATTTTCAACTAATTAGCAATTATCAATTACTGTTATCATTTTATAACATCAGCAATTAATCAAAATGTAACAATTTTTTTAATCAATCTGAAGCCATCTGAAAGAGTTTACATTTCTTGATGTACTGGAATCAGTTGAGTTTATTTCTGAAGATCATTACTAAATGATCAATTCTGATGGTTAAGTTTTCCCTTTAAGTTCAAGAGTCACAATTTAATGTGGTTATAATCAGTCAAATTAATTTATTTCAAATTGGCAACTAGCAATTGAAAGTTCAAGATGTATTCAAGCAATTTAAATATGAAGATTCTTGTGGAAATTAAGTTAATGTGAATTTGTTTTTCATTTTTTCTTTCGATCTATTCAATACTATCTTTTTTGTTAAATTCAAATTGTGATCAGTTGGGAAATGTAAAGATTTCAAATTGACTCCCATTGAAATCAGCTCCTGTAAACCAAATTAGGGTCTAATTTTAGCGTGACTTGAGTATCATCAACATGATTATCATTATCATCATCCTAATTCATTTTGCTTGGGTGAGTAAATAATCACCTCATTGAATTACTTGAAATTTCACAAAATCATGAAAACTTTGATGATTATATTAGTGAAGAGAAATATAATCTGAATAATAATAGAGAAAAGATTTGAGATTGTCTTATGATAATAAAGCTAAATCCATAAGAAATCAACTTATAGTTATGATAATTCAGAGAAATTTGATCCAACACTATCAAGATAAAGGACAGAGTAAAATGAATACAAACTATTTCAAGAAATTCTAATATCTCAATTACTGTTGAAATGTATTGATTTTAAGCATAAATCTCATTGAAAAAAGTTTAGTCGAACCAAATTATATTTGATTTTATTTGTTGATGAAATGATTGAAAATTGTTACCTGAAAAAATATAGCATTTTCAGTATGTCTCCAAAAATGAGTGACAGGATAACCACAATGTCCTTTACATGGTAAAACCTTTAATTTTCCGGAGCATTTCCTATTGGGACAAGGTTTTCCTTGTTGCTTTTTCCTGGCTTTATCACAAATTGCTGGCCTTAAATGTATTTGCTCTCCATTATCCAGAACACAAGCTTCTGAACAAACTAAAACTCCAAGACATGATTTTTTCAATATATGAACATTATGGTTATTTGTATTCCTCATGGCCCATCCAGATGAATGTCGACGAGCCTCTTCACAGTCGGCTCTGTAAACATACCTACTGTGTCCATCAGTCCATTCTTGGAAGGAATCGAAACTAGTTACCTAATAAATCCAGGTTATCCACAAAATAAAACAAATCAATTGGCAAATGGTAAACAAAAGGTCCATTCAGTTAAACTTACCTTGGGAATATGGTTATCATTGATATCCCACTCTTGGCACATACTAATTAAACACATAGACGTAGTTGATTGAAATTGATTTATAATTAGTATTATTCACTTAAATTGTCACAGTTAGTTGATGGCTATAAGGTTGAAATAACAATGAAAATCAACAAAAATAGCTGGCAATGCATAAAATGTTTACAATGAAAAGAGGAACCTTTCAGATTTGTTTTCATGTGTTATCACAACACGTAAATGTTGGTAAACAAAATTTAGTATCAAAGTATAAACAAAATTAGAGTTAATCATTGAATTTGATTCTTTATCAACCAATGAATTTAATTTGAGGTGGATTGAAACGCCTTTCAATAAGCTGATGTTTCTTTTACTCAACTATCAACACTTTTCTTGGGCTACTCTTTATTATGATGATGAGATGGTAAAGATGAGAGAAAGAAGATGCTCATTTGTCTCTTTCTTTTTTTCCTTAACTGAGGGATGAAGATGAAGAAAGAGATGAAATCCTCTTTCTATAGGTGTTGATAGGAACCTGAAGGACCTTTTTTGGGAGTTTTTTGGTCCGCCTTGTTCAAACTCTGATTGGTTACCATTTTTGACTTGCAAACAGCTTTCATTGTTCATTATTTCAATATAACAATTCATATATTTCTGCTATTAACTGAATATTTCATTTCATTGTGATAACTGTTTATCATTAATTGTTTTTATTACAGTTAAAACCTTTTATTCATTTAAATTAAGGTTAGTTGATGATTTAATTGTTTCCTTCTATTAATTTTTATGTATCTCTTGACTTTTATGTATCATGATGGTTATTAATTTAGGGATATTTGCTGCACAATCAATGAATTTCTATCAATTCAATTTAAATCGTAAACTCGAATGAAGCAGAATTGATTTGTTTTATTAAAGTATTTATTCAAACAACGCGCTTCTAGTTAAAGTGTTGTACAAACGGCTGATTTGTTGGCGTCTTTGTTTGCCTTAAATTACTAAGCTTTTGTTTAAAAACGTTGTTTATAAGGTAAAGGCCCAAAACAGCCAAGTCAAAACAGCCAAGCTCAAAACAGCCAAGTCCAAAATGGCCAAAGTCAGAACAGCCAAATACAAAGCTGCTTAAATCATATAAATTCAAATTGCAAAAAAGTCCACAAAAAACCTTTCTATGGATATTGATAAGCTAATTAATTATAGTTAATTAACTCCGATCGAGTCAAAAAATGGTCTACATGCACCTTTATCGATGCTCTTGTGTCCTTAAAATTATTGAGTCAATTGATTAAATCAAACTTATTCAAAATTGAAGCAAAAGTCAGTGGTAAAAAACAAAAGTACATTTTGTTACCCCTGCTAAATCTGATCATTTAAATAGTTTATTTGATTTAAGCAGCTTTGTATTTGGCTGTTCTGACTTTGGCCGTTTTGGACTTGCTGTTTTGAGATTGGCTGTTTTGACTTTGGCTGTTTTGGACCCAAACCGTTTATAACTGTGAAATTAATAATCTTTTTATTGTAAATTATTATATTGGCTAAATAGTATCAATCAATCTTAATTTACATGTTAAAGGCCATTTCTGCTTACCTATTATCAAGTAATTTTCTTATGATTATCATGACAATAATTAGTAGTGTTTTCTGTGTTGTTGTCATGTTAGTCACTTGAATCTTAAATACAAAATGATAATCTTTTACTTATCATTTAATGGTATAATGAATATCTTTTTTGTTTTTACATTTAATTGTTTGTTGTTATGTTGAAAACGTTCATCTTTAACACGAATATTTGTCTACATTGCAAACAAATTTGTATTAGCTACCAATGATCACAATTACAAGGTATGTTGTTATTTTGTCTTTATTTTAGTGTATCATTTTTGCTCATCATCTCATTACTATGAGAATTATCATTACTATTATTATTACATTATCATTATTGCTATTACTACTTACAAATGAGGTGTTTCAAAGATTCTCTTTCTCTCTCACTTTTAGATAAGTGTTTACTCTAGGATGTAATTGGAAAAAGATTACCTAGGAAATGGACCTTAACTGGCAGTCTGGAAGAGATGATCATACATATTTGAATAGTCAAAGTTAAACTACGGAGGCTAACTTGGTTTTGTATATTCAATTTTTTAACTTACAAGACAAGTCATTACAAGAAGCATCAAGAAAAAAAAAAGTTACCAGAGAAGAGGCCATCAACGAGAAAAATGAAGCCAAAAAGATAAACGGTTAAAATTTTTTAGTCCAATTGCATTTTTCTAGTTATAGTAGTACGTTGTTGTATGGAAACGAACGGTAATTGGCGGATAATATGGATTTCTAATGACCTTTAATAGGTAATAATGAGATGGACAAATTGTTTGTTACCATTTAAACTGCTTAAAGTGAAAGGCAGCAAGAATGGAAATTGTTTGCAAGTCAAACTTGGAAACATTAAGCAATTACAAAGAAGCAAAGTTCGTTCCATTTTACATTGAGGTTGGCTCTTTTCAGATGCAAGTTTAAGAACAAGAAATAATTATCTACATAATAAATGGAAAATCATGCATGGAATTTGTGACTGACTTCAATCTGTTGCAGTTTGTAATAGTTTCAACTGCTGAATTACGATCTATCAAAAAGAAAGAAGCAAAAGAGTGATAAAGGAAATATTATTTCAATTCCAAATTCAATTAATTCCGGTATTTCCGTTCAAGGAGATTAAAGATCAAGGTGATTCAAAGTAACGTCGAGATACGTTGAGTGAAGGTGAAAAGCAAGAAGAAACCACGGAAACGCAGAAGTCAATGTATACATAATCTTATTGAACAATCCTCTGTATGTTCACTTTTCAGCCTAAGGCAGTCTTCCTAATATTACCAATATTTAGACCAAAACTGTGGCCAAGGAAAGCCCTTAACCATTCCAAATCTGAACCTTACCCATTATTTTTCATTATGTTTTCATCTTGCTTTCAACGTTTCACTTTTTTGCTTCAAAAAATTTCTCTAACCTGTCTTCTCGTCAATTTTTTAATACATTTTTTTACAGATAAATTCTTGATTGTATTCTTACATTTGATTGTTAAGAAATGCGATTATTTTTTATTGTAATTATCATGTGAATGAAGCATTTACTTAACTTTGTTTTTTTCATTCTCATTCTTACAGGTCTTCCAGTTTTTTCCTTTCCTTTTCACTTGGATGACAGAGTTGTGAGATTCAACATTACCATGAAGATATGATAAGAATTTTAAAAGGCTCAATAAGACACGTACGAAAGGGTAAAGTAAATTGTCAACTCGTCTTTTTGTGTTCTCTTTATACTTTTGATGTAAACTTTGATAACGATTCTCTGTAAATCATTTTTTTGTTAACATCACTATTGACCTCCCGTCAGGTTAAAAGGTACTGTGCATATGTCAACAATCGACGGGAAGCTTGTTTTTTCTTACTTTCCATTCTTTTATCGTATTTCCCATTGAAAATCAATTGATATATTTTTTTGGTAATTTTGCTCATTTTTTGCTTCTTCTTTTCCTCAGCTTTTATTTCATCAACTGATTTAATTGATTAACATACGTAAAAACATAATATAATCAAGATCAGACCGTTTATTCACCAAATACTATAATAGCTACAGCATATTAACTCATTCAGTTTTTGAATTCTGTTGATTACATCTCTATTATCAACTCTAAATCCGGTTATTGAACACTTATTTGTACACAAATTATTTATAGACTTGTATTTTTTTCTAATAATATGGCAAATATATTTTCTGTATGAAAAAAACTGCATAATCAAGTTAAGTAGTACTTTTGAATGGATAATTTTTTACTACCAACAATGCTTGACTTTTTACCTGTAACCTGTCTCATTGCTTCCTTTTTGCTTCAATTTTTCTTTCTTATTCTTACCTTTGTATTATTATCTGTTTTTGCTTCTTGTTTTGCTTCATTTTATTTACCTTCTCATTGTGAGGTTGTTTACTTACATCAAATAAGACATTATTTTGGTTGATGATTGAAAATCATGACCATGATTGCTATCTTCAAGTCACAGAGATTGAGAGAGGTTAACTTGAATCAATGATTATAATGATAATGATAACAATAATAACAATAATTATAAAGAATTTGTTCACTTTATTTCATCGTTTAGCTTCGTTTTGTAAAAAAGTAACATTTATTAATCAATCATACAATTTAACCCATCAAATTGTCCCAATAATACGCATAATTAATATTAATAGTTGAATTTACAATAGTAATTCCAATTGATTTTACCAAAACTGACCATTGCAGCTTTTATATCATTGCTTAGTGTAATGAAATAAACTCTCAGATTAAGATGGACATCAATGGAAAATTTTAAATTTAATATTTTTCTAATTCATAAGAAAATGTTGAAGTATTTAAATTGGAAGATTGGTGTTTATATTCATTAATTGAAAGTAAATTTATAACTCGACTTGAAATATTTTCAAGTGTAAATGGGAATTCATTTATTCACTATTCAAGATTGTTTCATTCTTTTAGCTAATCCAACTGAATTGCAAGTAACACTATCTATTGACCTTAGGTGATTAGACGATCGTGATGAAAATATGTTAATACTTGTTTTACAGTGATTCATAGTGATATTTCATAGTGATATTTATTATGCTTTTGTCAATCACCATTGGTGAATAAATTGTGAGCTGAATCGGGTAAACATTGATAGATAAATGATGATACCTTTTGTTTCTCAAATAATCTTCATTTGATAATAGACCAATTGGAATGTAGTTGATGTCTTCATCGACATGGAATGATCCTCATCAATTCCATTTATCTCCCATTTCACCAAACCTAACAACTCATCACACTATTATTGGCTGATTCTTGAATGAATTTACTTTGGATGAAATAATTTTTACTTGATTGTTTCACATTAGATAATCAGGATGATCAAATTTTCATGGTTCCAACAAAACATGAAAGTCACCAGGAATAAAAAGTTGAAGTTAATGTATCAATGTATTGATGGCTATGATGAGGATGATGTTAGTAATAATACTGATATTACTCAAGTCACGCCGAAATTAACTGCTAATTTAGATTGAGATGATTTCAATAAGCTCCTATTGAGGATTATTAAAACTTGAATGAACCATGGTTGATTGCAAGTTGATTGACAGTAATAAAAATAATAACAGTAGTAATAATAGCCATCCATGTAAACATAACAAAACAAAACAGCCAATTAGATTGATTAACCACTCAAGAGCGCTTTGATTGTATAATTCAGACTCCAATCTTTCATGTTGATTTCAGCTCAGTTGAATTACAAAAAAAATGTCCACATAATTACTGGATTGTAAGTAATGTAAACTATTCAGGATCAATGCCATTGAAATGTTTAGGGTGAAATCCAGTTGTAAAGATGGATATAAATGATATAACCTTTAACCTTGCTTTTAGTAGCGAAAGTTTTGTCGATAAATGTTAGAAACAAGGTGTAATAATAAGGCAATTTGTGTTTCCATTCATGATTGCTTTTTAAATCTGGTCCATCAATGGGGAATCCAAAACCATAAGCCATTTAATTCTCATTCAAAGGCCATTTCAATGGATTTGCTCCTCTCTTTCTTTTTCCTTTTAATCCGATTGTCCTTCTTAAAAATTAACTTCATTGTGATCCATTGCCATTCAACCATTATCAACTGAAATAAAAAAGGAAAGCAAATAATATCATTATTATTATGTCATCATCAAGTGATTTAATACCCAACAAAAAAGGACAAATTATCGGCACAAAGCAAACCCTCTAAAATCCCCATTTAAAAGGCAAAGTCTCTGATCTAATATAACTGGTCAACCTCCCAGGTTTCCTTTGAGGTTAAGTTACTTAACCAAAGAAATCATTTACTTAAAATTCTCAGGGTTGGTTGAACAACTAGATAACTCATTCAAGTTAGTTTCAAGTATGACAATCTCGTCTTAATATGATAAATCTCACCTTTAGTAAGAATCATCAAAATTTTGTTGAGTTTCAATGATAAAACTCACTTAGAATCATGAGTTAAAAACTATCAACCAGAGATATTTCATTAACTTGAAGAGTTTACCAGACATTTCATCTGAAATTGCCTTCTTTACCTCACAATCAACGTCATCATTGATATGTTTACTCATAATCAAACATGAAGTATTTACTGAATTGAAGAAAACCTCATGAAAAAAGCTACAGCAAATACAAAAAAAGGAAAGCTGAATAAAGCTGTGAAGCTTTATCATTGTAATTACGAAATTCTAAGCGAAATCAACCCAATTTTCAACTATTAACCTTGATAATAGATAATTAATGTCCATATTGTACCCTTGCACTGCTTAGAGATTATCACTTAATCATTTTCAATTAGTAAGAGGGGATAAAATATGGGTTAGAAACAATACTCACATGTTATACTGGTTGACAAGTCAAGTCCCCTGTGGAGTGGTAACCAGACATTAAATATGAATCAAGATTATATTGTTGGCCAACAATTTCACATTAATTGTAACAATGACACACTAGTTGAACATGAAAGCATGAAATCAAATGGTGGGAAAAAAGGACATGTAAAAGTCCAGTAACTGTAGACAGAAAGGTTGTTTACCTTGCCCATGTGAGACTAAAACAAAGAGGCATTCCTTACCTCTTTTGGCGCTCACTTTTCCCGCTTGTCCAAAGAGTTTAAACAAGAAACCTTATTCCAAACGTAGCCATCTTTGTTTATGTTTCTTTATTTCTCAATTTTAATACACATCACTATTGTTATTAATAACAACTTATTATTACTATCGTCTTGATAATTAAATTACCAATTGTTAGCTAATAGAGATATCAACTCTCTCCCTGGATATTTTAATCATCACAGATTTAAATACTGTAACACGACAGAGTCGATTCCATATCAATTGTTTTCCTTTGTCAGCTTTTTTTATCTTTCAATTGATACTTTTACTCTTTGAGTTATCAGAAACTCTCATGATGAAAACACATTTACACATAAGAGACAGATTAATCTGATTGAAAACAAGGATGCAAGATAAATTATCTCATAGGTTGAAACAATACCAAAATATTTACAATTTTGCTACAATTTCTTACTTCAGCTCAAAGTAATCCACTTAATATTCACACAATACAGACTGTTTTTAGTTGTAAACATCTGAACAATCAGAGTGAAATAATCAGAAAAAAACAAAACAATAGATCAACTTGAAGTAACTCATAGGAAACCAGTAATCTAACCTAAATTGTGATAACTCGAATCGTTGCATTATCATTATTAGAAGAAAAATGTAGATATGTCAAGAAAAATTCATGAGAATTGGTGTTGAAAAATCAGTGCAAATTATACTTAAATTGTTGGCCCAGGAAAAGATAACCTTTAAACAATGAAATATTTTGGCGGCATGTTATTTTGCAATCTTTGCATTGTTTATTTAGGAGCTTTAGCTTTTACGGCTGCAGACATAAATGAAGGGAGAGGAAGGAAAGGTTATACTTGGAGCATTTGGAAATACTGAAATGAATTGGGCTTTATTCAGGTGCGTTTCGTTGCTCGACTCAGTAACTTGAAATCATTTCAAAATTGGCGGCTTGTTTTTCATAGCAACAACTGGGAGAGGAACAGCACAATATTTTGCGCAAAATTTGAATTTGCAAAGGCTGTTTTAAACCTAATTTCATCATTAATCTTGCTCTTCGAGCACGAATCTAAGAACTAGAGTTATTTGTCAAGAATTTTTAGGTTGCTAACTGTAACCCTGAAAAGATTCCAAAGCATTGATGATTCCTTTTTAAAGGGGCAAAGCTAGCTACGACTCTCTTACAATGTCAGTATTGTGTTTGTTACGTCCTTATACAAAACTCTGACTTTCCTTGAATTTCTTTATTGCTAACCTTCTTCTGAAGTTTTCAGTCTGTCGTGAAATCGGTCAGCTTCTCTTAACATTTCGACAGCACTTTTATTGGTTGACTTTGCGCTTAAAGTATAAGAACTCAATTTTGGAATGAAAAGCTAGTCAAAATTGAAGCACGAATAGTTCAACATGTGTCAATGTTTCCTTTTTTGCACGTGGTAAAGCAACACAGGCAGAAGACCAAGAGCCATGTAATAGTTTCTTGTCCCGATGAACAAAACTGCGGAATAACAACTAATGGTACTTCTGATTAGTCCAAAGCAGCGAAAGTAATTGCTAAAAGTACATTGACTCGAAGCTAATTGACACATTGGGTTGAATAAAAATCATAAAATATCTCGCTTTTTGTTTTAGTAAGATTAATTAGTTGAAATCCTGTTTTGTCTTTGATTTTCTTTCACAATTTAGATCTCGAGTTAACTTGATTTGGATAATCAGACGTTGATTTGTTTATGTAAATGGTAAAGTCAAAAGGTGAGGACATCTCTTATGCACCGAGTGAACTATTTTGAATATTTATCCGATAGAGGGCAGGATTACTGTCGGCGTTGTAGAAGTTGCCTTTGCTAATAGAAAACCAAATTGCAATGTGGAAAAGCAGGACTGCTTCAACGTGTTTTGTGCTCTTTAAATTGAATTGAAATCATCAGGTAATTTAATTTTGATTATGTTTTTAATTTTATCTTATTTTTATTTTAATTGTAAGCTTATAATTGTTGGTATCTTTATTTCCAGATGAATGGTGGATTTAACTGTTATTTAGTGTTGTAGTCAACTAACATATTTTCCACATACCGAATCACATTTTTTCACTCACTCACTTACACATACACACATTTACACACCACACATACACACACGTTTAGACACACATACAAAATGGAAAAGGAGTTGAAAGACCTTTTTGAGGACGATTTCTTGGAACCATTGTCTGCGTTTTGTGAAAGTTTAGAATCAAATGATATTGACACATTGTTAACCAAATTTGAAGAAGATGACCCTTTTATCGACTTCGTGGATGACAATTTTTCTCTATTTGATGTTTCACTTAGTCCATCATTAGAAAATGAATTCTCTACTAGCAGCCACCAATTTACTTCAAATGTCCACCAAGAGAGGAGAAGATCATCATCTAATTCTATCAGCACAATTAAAGTAGCCGATACTAAAGTCGATTGTTCATCTAGGTGTGGAAATTGGAAAGTAGTTAAACAAGAAACCAAAGTGATCTGTAGTAGTTCAAGGAATGATGTAAAGAAAGTGAAAAAGAAGAAGGTGACTGGAATATCACTACTCGCAAAGCCACCTAAAGTTAACAAGACAAAAAAACAATTAAATGGAACTAGGATATGTCCTACTAGGTTTGCTGCTTACTTTTATCAACACCATGATTATTGCTCTAATCCTAATAAGATAGCGAATAGTTCTGCAGAAGCAACAGCATCATCCCCTTAATTAAAAATCTCTTCCGCTAAATACCCTTCTCCTATCTATTATCTATTTCTTCTTCTCTTGCTCTCTTTCCACTATCTTCCTTCAAAAAAAAACAAAAATGCTTGATAAAAAAAATTGCAACCAAACTTTGGCTAAAAAATATGTTTATGTATTTCTCAAGAAAATAATAAAATGGCATTGGTCTAATTGCTTTAAATACATTGAAGCTGTATACATATTGATAAAAAAAACAAAAAATTGATTAAGAAATAATCTATAGGTTATCAAGCCGGTACTTAAATAGACGCACTTGTGATCATAGTGCTTGATGTGCCATGTGTTAACAGATGTGAGCTGGCAATGAATGGAAAAATATTTAGCGTTTAATGTTTTGATTTTATTTTTTATTTGAATAGGATAACGCATTCTTTTCCTTTGATTTTCATCAAAACAGGCCAAGTTAAGGTGTGATCTAGATTAATCCTGAAAAGCGATCATTTCGGTCTCTTGTTAATTTAAATGATGCAGAAGAGAGAGAAAAATAGGAGAAAGAAAGGAAACCAGTAAGAGAGAGATAGAAAGAGACGCAAGTTGTCGTTCAGTGAGTTTGTTGTTGTGGCAATTCAGCTTTCTTCATCAACTCCTCTTTCTTCATTATCAGAATTTTTCTCTCTCTTTCTACTCTTTCCATCATGACTCACTTGCCGGCATGTTGAGTATTTTTGTGCATAATATTTGTGAGTAAGTGTGTTGTTTGTGTGGATGTAAAATAGTTATCTCTCTCACTTTGACTCCAACGTGGACGAGTTTATTTCTTGCTTCTGTTTGATTATCTTGTCTGCTAGTTTTGCTTGTTTTTGTTTGAAGATGCTTGATTACTCAGTTTGCTGGTTTTGCCGGCTCAATAGCTTCCGTATGACTATGCCACGAAATCAAGAGGACGATTGAATCCACCCTTGCGGTTCATGTATTGCCTGAAGAATAGATAATTCAAAGGGTGTTAAAGACCATTAAAAGATTGGATAACACTTTTTTCATTCTTCAATTTTTCCTCTCTCTCTCACTCTCTCAAGCATTTGTCTCTACATTTTTCAATGAAAATGATTTGTTTCTACTGAAGTAAGCAAAGTTAAATGCTGAACATCAGAGATATTATCTTCTTCATCTTCTTTAACTAACCTATATTTGCGTTTATGTATCACATGAACCGCTGAAACGTTATTCCCAGGAACTTTTTTGCCCTTGATAGAAAAAGATAAAAAAAGGGAAAATGAAAATGGTGAAAAAAGGAGTTAAAGGAAGAGCACAATTAATAATGTTGTGAACACTAAATGTGAGAGGAAATATCTGAATGGCAGTAAAGAAGGAGAGATAGAGAAAGAGAAAGTCAGAGAATGAGATTAATTAGAGAGAGAAAGAAAGAGAAAGAGAAAGAAGATGAAATGAAAAGATGGAGAGAAAAACATAGACGTGGATTGGGAATAAAAAAATAAAACAGTCTGGTGATTAAGTAATACCACCTACTTTTGTGGAATCAAAGTTACCAAAACCCATAAGTTTGAGCATCTCTTGCTCATCCGAAGCGCTTCCCTCTAAATCCATCTCAGATTTTTCTACATTTTTGGCATCATTAACATGGTTGGCATTGTTACTGCTTGAACGTGTTGGTCCAGTTTTCTTTGATTTATCTTCTCTTGAAGGTCTTTTACTAGATACTGAACTGGTCGAATGATGTTTGGCATCGTTTTCGTATTTCCTCTTCACTCCTTCCCGCTCTGAAATTTAGAGTAAAAGAAAATAAAAGTATAAATTATTGTGAGGCTTAAAAGAAAAAAATAGAGCATAAAAAAATTGTAATTTAACATGTAAATAAACTCGAGGAAAAACAGCAGTCCATATCTTAAATAATAGATCTCAATCTTATTCGGTCCTTGCAAAAAGGTTTGTTTTTCACTCAAATCAAAAAGAATTAAAAAAATATAAATTACTAAATAACTTGACAGAGGTTCATATCTGACATATTAAGATATTTTGAGGTCAAAAAAAGTTCAAAACTTTTGTGTCGTTTGGGAATCTTCCTTTGTAAGAAAAGCAGAATATGCAATTTGATAAAGAAATAAGTATGATAACCAAATTCAGAAATTTTGACCTTTTACCAGCCTTTCAAATAAACATATAAAATGGAGATAGAGCATAACACTTCTTGATAATACTAATGTGGAAGTAAGCTATTTCGAAATATTGCCATAATCAATTCACAAGTAAATTTGAAATAATTATTAGCCTAAATCAATTTCAAACTTAAAGGCGCAAGCAAATTTACATCTAATTAATGGAACTGAAAAAACTGCCAAATTTTCAATCGATGGTAAAAAGATGATCTAGGATGGCAACACAGTCAAATGAAAAGAGATGCAAAATTTGGATAATTTGAATCGACTAAATCTGTTGAGATATTAAGCTAAAACTTTTAGGCTCGTATTCACCAACTGAGATAAAATCTCGAATCAACTGAGCGTTTAATCACTTGATTCTTCGATCAAATTGATTTTATTATTCACCAAACTTGGTTACTTGATTCTCAAATCAACAAAACAAAGATCAATCTGATCCAAGAATCAAGATTTATCTCATTTGGTGAATACGAGCCTTATTATTGAAATTTAGCTTGATGCTTGATCGACTTTGCCTAGTTTCGGTGATAACACATAGCCGAAAAATGTTTAGTTTAAAAAAAAGCTTTTAAAATTAAGGCCACTGAAAAGAGATGCAAGTAACAAATCTAAGCTGGATAAAATCGGCATATGACATATGACAATCGCATATAGAGAAGGATCATAAGCATGAGAATGACATAATCTGATCAAATAGAAGTAAAAATATTGATGAATTGATAGATGACTTTGAGTGTTCATAATCATTTTGTAACATACTTCCTTCCTGGCGCTGCGGACTGATATTTCTTGATTCCCGTGAATAGTGGTGGTGATAAGTTTTTTTACTGGAAGATGAACTATGCCGTGTGGAGCTTAAAACGGGACAAAAAGGGAGGAGAGAAAACAAGAGTGACATTAGTGGAATGATGGCAAACTGATTATTTGGTTCACACAGAGAAAAAAAACAAAAATAAGATTTGCCGGTCATCGACAAGCAAGAAATCAACGTATCTTACCTACTATCATTTTCACGGCGACTTTTCGAACTGCCGCGATTCTCAGAAGCATCCATCCTAGGAGATAGACCTGAGATGATAAAAAATAAACAAATAAATTTGTAGATGAAATGTACATAGCGTTTTAACATTTGAGATTCCTATGTTTTGACTGAAGCTGCAATTTGGCAAATAATTTCCAGGCAGCAAATTTTTGGCGAGCTAGTTAAAAGTAAAAACTAATTGTGACAAACATCAACTGTGAAAAAATACTTACTTCGTCGAGATTTAGTAGTTGGTCCTTTAGATTGCGAGTGCATGATGGTTCACTTGGTGGTTGAACAGGTACCAAAACAATGGTTTACAATAATAGATATGATGGGCAGCGTTATTAAATTTTATCACAAAAAAATATATATTATTTGAGCAATTGTTTCATTTTTCTTGAAGATTTAAAAATGGATAACAAACAGCAAAAGGAAGAGCGATATACAGTTCTTATTTGGTTATAGATTTACTGGAAAAACGGAAAAAGTACACTTCAACATCTCATATGAGGCACTCTGTGAATAGCTCTTTAGCTTATTTTAACAGAAGCTATTTTAACGAATGATTTTTTGATCTTGTCTACATATCCGAGGATTTGAATCTTATCCGATATTTTTTGTGCAAATAGGCAATATCCTTCAAGTTGTTGACATTTATTGCTAGTTTACTGTATTTTATTTTTCAGGCCTTGAGTGTCTATTTCGTATTTATCAACTGATTTTTGGTTTATTAGTGCCAAATTTACTCAAGAAATTATGGAACATATTCCTAGGAATAGTTTGTATCATCCAGCAAACATTATTAATCCGAATTGGTACAAAACAAGGAAAGGAATGACCAACATTGCAGTTGTTCTCGCTGTTACTGGTTACACAATCGCCGCTGTAAAATGGAGAAATAACTACTTCTATCAATTCGATAACTCTAACAAGGGCAAAAAGTACAACAAAGTCAAAGAGTAATCAATGATCTCGTCATTAATCTGCATTAGGTAGATATTTGAACCCATTTCTATTAGGATGTATTCATACTTGTTATTTAGATTATTCTGTTCAATATTGAAATAAATAAATTGCGCTTGGTTTGATCAAATTTTAATTCTTACGATTATTATATTTTCATGAATTTGTTGATTTATTATTCAAACGTTTTATTTGCAATGTTGGATAAAAATTGTTTAATGAAATCAAAACAAAGACTATTTATACAAAAATTGCTGTAAGAATAACACATTGTTTTGAACCATGCATTTGATTTGAATTGTGAGTTTACCTTTCCCTACTAATTCAGTCTATAAATATGATATTTCTCGAAAAGCTTTAGTGTTCTTAATCATCTCTAAGTCGTTATTTTAGGGCAATGGGTCCAAGTTTATTGTTTCGAATAAAAACAAAATGGTATAAAGTGAAAGAGACACACTTTTTCAGGTATGGAGTTCCTTTCCTAGCATTCATCGTTGGTTCATCGTTTGCCCTTACTCAGTTTACAAGCATCCGATATGAAGTTACTGCAAGCAAGCAAAGGGCAGCTGGTAATATAAAGGAAGAAGATGCGCGGTTCGATGTGGAGGAGGTAGTGAAAGAAATTCAGTCGGAATTGAAAGACGATTATGTCAATATCCGGGGACCAAGAGAATATGAAGAAGATTCAGAAGCAATGGATTTATTACTCAAAAAGATCGAGGAAACAAAGAAAAAGAAACAAAATATTCTCATTCAAACTATAGATTACATATCTAACAAGTGAAGGAAATGGTACTGCAACGATTTCCAATGTAATCTAATTTCGAGTAAGCTGCATCGAAGTACGCTATACATATTATAACTTTAGTATTCAGAAAGGGTCAGTTTACAATTTAGTCAATTCAAAGATTTTCTGAATGTAAATGTTAATATTGTATAAAACTATAGTTAAATTTTATTTAAAATTAGAGGTTCAAAAAATTTGCCTATCAAACTATAAAAATTGTATATTTTGCAAAGATACATGAACTATGCAGTTGAATACTAAACATTGATTACTCCAAAAATGGCTATTAAACGAAAGGAAACTTCGAATTTTTATCGCTCTCGCATAAATCATTTAACTTTAATTCTTGTATGACATCAGCACAAATTTCTGGAACTGTTATACGAATTGGTTCTTTAATTCGATCAACCTCTGTTAATGGACATATTTCATTACCAAACCCAGGAGGAACCAGTACTTGTCCATCAATAAAAGCAACCTCACCTCGAAGAACAACTCGTCGAACTTTACCTTTTACTTTTCGACCAGCAAATGGAGTCCAGTCGGCTTTTGTGTAAGGCAAAGATTCAGGAATTATCCATGTTTCATCTAAATCTATTTCAATATAAGTATCAGGTTGGTCTGGTAAATTAAAAATGCGTCTTGGATTAATGTAGAGTTTTGTGAGAATATCTTTCAATGATAACTTTTTCTCATGAACTGCAGTCAACAGTAAGGGAAGGATTGTTTCTAAACCAGGGAAACCGGGACAAAATTGTTTATGTTTATGGGATAAAAGGTGTGGTGCGTGATCCGTTGCAAAGCAATCAATAACATCAAGATTAGCCCAGAGAGCTTGTTGATCTGACTTTTTGACTAATGGTGGTTTCACTGAACTCTTTGATTCACCAATATAAGTTACATCCTCTTCCGACAAGAAAAGATGGTGTGGACACACCTCACAGGTAACTTTTTTACCCTCTTCTTTAGCTGCTTTAATCATAAAAATTTCCTCAGCTCGAGCAACATGACAAATATGAACAGATCGTTGGTATTTACTTGCTACCATTATAATTGCTGCTGTATCACGTCCTTCAGCATGAGCAACTATTGGTAAATCTTTAGGCCAATGTTCAAATTGTTTTATCCAATCATCAAAATTAGACATTGTTAATGTTCCAAATGTTTGATTAAGATACATTTTAAGACCTACAACGGGATTTTGAGATTTGGCTAAACTTGGTAATAATTCAGCATTGGAAGGAGTTGCACCAAGGAAAAATGTATAATCACATTTAGCCTTTGATTTAGCAAGTGTACGAACTTGATTAAGAGTATCACCATCAACGATAGCAGGATCAGTATTGGGCATTGCACAAACCATTGTTATACCTCCAGCTAAAGCTGCTGAAGTACCACTAATAAAATCTTCCTTTTCTTCTCCACCAGGTTCTCGAAGGTGAACATGAACATCAATCAAACCAGGAAGTCTAATTATTTTCCGAGCCGTTAAACAATCATGAACAGGCATATCTCGATTAGCTGTAACACTACCTTCTGAATCCTTTTCCTCTTTTTTTGCATTCTCGGCAAAATCAGCATGGTTGACATTGTTATTGTTAGAGTGAACAAGTCCAGTTCTCTTCATCGTTTTCGATTAATTCCCATTTAAGTTTGAGCATCACATTAACCGCTGACACGTTATTACCAGGAACTTTTTTGTCTTGGAAAAAGATAAAAGGGAAAATGAAAATGAAGAAAAAAGGTGTTGAAGGAAGAGTTCAATAAATAATGCTGTGAACACTTAATGTGAGAGGAAATAATAATCAAGAGATGGAGAACAAGATTGATTAGGTGAGAGATAGAATGTGGGAAAACAGAGACACAGATTCAGAGTAAATGAAATGAAATAGACTTGTGATTAAGACCACGTACTTTAGTGGAATCAAAGCACTCAGGCTCTGATAATAATAGCTCTTGCAAAAATTATTTATATCTCAACTTACAAATTTTTGTTATTACATTTTGTTTTGATTTCATGTGTTAGTTTATCAATCTACAAAAATGGATTACTCAGTCCGCATCAAAACATGTATATCTCTTAAGCATATCCATAAATCGGTTAAGATTGAAGGCGAGAAAGAGACAGCTAACAGTAAACTGATTTGCTGAATTGGGTATCGAGTTTTAGCTAAAGAGGGCAAATAAATTTTATGATGAGCTCTAATAAACTTCACAGGTTAAGGAGATCGAGTCCGTTCACAAGATTGATCTGAGTTAATTAATTTAACTCACATCGATCTTGAGGTGGACTGTTTATTTTGACAAAACAATCAGCGAACAAAAGTCATCATGAATGTTATATTTTCTGAATTAAAGAATATTGTTGGTGAAATATTTGGTAATAATCCGTCCAGGATCAGATGATCCATCTTAGGACGCAAAGACTATTCTGTAGCAAGGTTACTCTTTAGCAACCCAAACTACCTGGATAACATCTCGAAGCTGATAAACATGTTTTTACCAGAAAAAAAGAAAGACTACTTGCTTAAGGGGAGAAAATTGCGAAAGAAGAAGTGGAAGATTAGGTCGATTTGATCATCAGTTATGTTTCGCTCAAGGCTATTATCTTCCGAGGTTTCCCTCATTCATCTTAAATGCCAATACTTAGTTACAAGTTGAATTGAATTTGAATAACGTCAACAATTCAACTCTAATTTACTGTTTTGGTGTTTTATTTGTGCTTGAGTTTACTACTTTCATGTGATCTTCTCATCCTCTCTAACTCAGTCCTTAATCTCGCGTTACAATCCTTTTTCCATGAATTCCTACCTGTCACCCTACAAATTCCTCAAAGCCACAAAGTTCTTACCACAATGGGTTTTGAAAAGGGAAAAATTCATCCAACAAGGTCAACTATCAGCTTATTCATCTCTTTCAAATTTACATGGAAATTTTGAAAAACTACAAAAACCACCAAAAATATTGATAACAGGTTAGTATTTAACTGAAATTTTTTTAAAAAAGTTGAAAATTATTTTAGTTGATTCTATTGACTTATGATTTTTCAGAATCCTGTTCTGCATTGAAATATGAAAATATGAAAATTATCAATTTTGAGGTTTTGTTTTACTTTTCAGCTCATCTGATGAACTTAATTTCTGTATTTAATGAATAGATTTTCCTGTGTCACTGTTTTTTAATTAAGTTACCTTTTAGCTTGGACTGAGACAATTTCGTTGAATTTATTTACTATTAATAATACATCGATATACACTCATTAAATGTATCATGAGTTTTGATAAATATCTTGATACTGAGCCATTAGATTTGTAAATAGCCTCAATCTGACCATTTAGTATGATAAAAAATGTTGTAAACATTAAATATTTGATTCACTATCTTTTCAGCCATCATCAACATACAGATCTAGCAATAAATCTTGATTAACGATTAATAATCATTTCAATGAATTTGAAATAATGAAGTAATGAAAATTAAAATTAGGATTCTTATAACAATTACAATAATAATTTTTGCTTCATTCTTTCTTAGGTAGTCTTGGTCAACTTGGAACTGGCTTAGCTGCAAAATTCAGGTTAGCACCAAATTTGAACCTGTTTTTCAATTCCAACAATGAACACATTATCATTTTAGTTTTTGATTTCAAGTTCACTGATTTTTTAATTTTTTTCTTTTCATCCTTCATTTCACAGAGAAATCTATGGTCCATCCAATGTAGTAATGTCAGATATCATTCAAGCTCCTGATCATCTCCTTAATAAAGGTCCATACCTTTTTGCCGATGTTTTGGACTTCAAAAATCTTCAAGAAATCATTGTTAATCATCGAGTCGACTGGTTGATTCATTTTAGTGCTCTTTTGAGTGCCATTGGTGAAAACAATGTTCCTTTGGCAATGAGAATCAACATTGAAGGTCTTCATAATATAATGGAATTGGCTAAACAGTACAAACTGCGTCTTTTTGTTCCCAGCACTATTGGTGCTTTCGGTCCAGATTCACCTCTAAACCTTACACCTGATGTGTGCATCCAGCGTCCTAAAACAATTTATGGAGTCTCCAAAGTTCATGCGGAGTTACTTGGAGAAGTATGAACTATTCGTCATTACTTTCAAGCTATCGTAAACTCATCATGGCTGTCAAGTTGTGATCAGTTTCGACAGTTCTTGATATTTATGAGGATCTCTTACGGATTGACCAGATACTGAATCACTTTTGGTGCAAATCTAATTTCTTTTTACTCTTCTTTCTTCCCTAGTATTATAATCATAAATTTGGATTGGATTTTCGGTGCCTTCGATTTCCTGGTGTAATCTCAGCCGATACAGCACCTGGTGGTGGAACAACTGATTATGCTGTTGATATATTTCTCAAGGCATTGAAATTTGGTAAATTTAAATGCTATCTTAAACCCGATACTCGACTTCCAATGATTTATATTGACGATTGTCTTCGAGCTTTGGTTGAATACATGCATGTACCTCAAGATTGGTTACAAAGACGCACTTATAATATAACTGCTATGAGTTTCACGCCTGCTGAACTGGTTCAAGCTATTCGTAAATACATTCCTGATCTAGAGGTTACATATGAACCTGATTCTCGACAAAAGATTGGTAAATACAAATGTAATCTCAATTTGGTTAAATGTTTCTCACTTTTACTCGTTTTTCTTAAAGCTGAAAATTGGCCTCAAGTATTTGATGATACAAATGCACGAAAAGATTGGAACTGGAGTCATCGTCTTGATATCGATGGTTTAGTTCGTGAAATGTTGGTCAAAATCTTGGAAACTCAATCAAGTCCCTATGTTGATCGCAATACATTAATGGCTCAGTCTAATGCTTGACATAGACCAAACAGTTTATTGGCTCGATGCAAACAAATCTCTTTACCGAATTATATTAATCAAAGCTTTCAATTGGATTATAACACTTTTCAATCAACTAACCTGAAGATATTTTTTATATTGAATTATGCTAATGAAAATAACAATTTCAAGTCTAAATTAATGATTACCCTGAGTTAATCTGTTGTGGACATTTTTGACGCGCAAAAAATTAATCACTTGATAAAAATTAATTGCTTCGTACTGATCCGCTAGCAATACTTTGAAATGTTGAGTTGGCTGTTAGACAAAATGTATGAATATTTAAAAAGCTGATCAATTGATTGCAGTATAAGCGTTAAGTAAGGACTTCCATAGAGTTTACATGTAAATATTTTTTATGGATATCATGAAATCTTTTTAATATGAATTGATTGCAAGAGGACTTTCTGACTAACCTTTTTTATCAGGAGCTAAGCAATTTTTCTGACTAGGAATAGTTGCTAGTTCATCTTGCTACCTAAACTAGAGTGCACAAAAGGTCTTTAAATATGAAAAAATAGCTAAAAAATAATAGCTTTATCTGGAAGGTAGATAATGGTCACTCGAACTCACCTCTGATCAAATGATAACTTTCTTGAAGAGTTATCGCTTAATGCAATTGCTAGGAGAAAATTACTGAGATGTTGATTTACCTACTGGTAGATCCCAACGTGGTATTTTAACAACGCAGTAGTCTAGACTGGGCTCAAAACAGGCAGTCGTTGATCCGGTTACCGAGTTTTTCAAGTCTGAAAGACAGATTCCAAGAGATAATTTTGCTGCTACATAAGCCAACGGATAGCCGGTAGCTTTACTTGCTAAAGCTGATGACCTTGAAAGTCTTGGATTTACTTCAATAATATAAAACTCTTCACTTTTAGGGTTTAAAGCAAATTGCACATTACACTCTCCAATAACACCAAGGTGACGGACAATTTTTATAGACATTGATCGAAGAAGATAATATTCTGAATCAGTTAAAGTTTGACTTGGAGCTACAACAATTGATTCCCCTGTGTGGATTCCTAAAGGGTCAAGATTCTCCATATTACAGATTGCTATACAGTTGTCATAAGAATCTCGAATGATCTCATATTCAATTTCTTTCCATCCTTTCAAACTTTTATCGAGTAAAACTTGATTTGAGTGAAGTAAAGCTTTTGAAACAATCTTTCGAAGCTCTGTTTCATCATGAGCAAAACCTGATCCAAGGCCACCAAGTGCATATGCAGCACGAATAAGAATTGGGTAACCCAATCGTTTGGCAGTGATAATAGCTTCTTCAACTGAATATACAGCTCCTGATGGGGCAACTCGACCACCAATGGAGGCAACTTGGTCAGCGAAAAGCTTTCGATCCTCTGAGTTAATGATAGATTGAATCGGTGTTCCCATCACAGTTATTGAATATTGTTTAAAAATACCACGGTTGTTCAATTCAATTCCATAATTTAATGCAGCTCGATAAACCGCCTTATCCAAGGATAAGTACTTTTTTAGGATATTTACTCGACCACCAACTTGAGGCAACTTGTGCAGCAAAAAGCTTGCGATCCTAGATAAAACCAATGAATCCATGGTCCCATTTTATGGAATCCCTTGATAGACTCCACACATTGTCCCTTTCACGAATAGTCTCCGCTGTTTTATGGGAAAAATAATCAAGCTCATTTCGATTATACGTTGTAATGAAAGATGGAAATAAACAACAGCAAAATGATCTTGAAAAAAATCAATGGTGTATAAACAAAGTAAAAGTCTAGACAAAAGTCTAAACTGCATTAGACTTTTGAGCTAATATCAAAGGCTATATCTGATTACTAATTTTCTAATTTTTATGAGAAATTAGACTTAGCCACAAGTCCCACTAGATTTATAGCTGAAATCTAAGCGTCTAGTATCAGAAGCTCTAGTTTAATCAAAGGAAAACTCGATGAATCAATCGGGTAACAAACCGGTTAAATATAGTACATGCAATACGCTAGATGGAGCTGCAGTTGAAGCAATGGAAAAGTTTATTTCGTTTGCAAAATCATTTTTAAAGACTGTTACAATCGACAACAATCATTTAAACTAACAAGTTGTTTTTATTTCTGATTTTATTTTATTTTTTTTGCTTTTAACAATGGCCTGCTTAACTCTGCAAGATGGCTCGCAATTTTTTGGACATCCTTTTGGTTATAAACAAAATGTATCTGGAGAAATCGGTGAGTAATTGTTCGTCTGATTTGAAAATTGTGAATTAATTTATTTTATAAATGTATTTTTGTTGCTTTTAATTCCAGTTTTTCAGACTGGAATGGTTGGCTATGTTGAGTCATTGACCGATCCGTCATATTTTAACCAAATTTTGGTGTTCACCTATCCGTTGGTGGGCAATTATGGCGTTCCTAATGACGAAGTCGATGATTTTGGGATTCTCAAATATTTCGAGGCACCTAAGATTTGGGTGAAAGCTCTAATTGTAGATGAACTATCTGACTTTTACAGTCATTGGAATGGTAAATACGATTTGAATGACTGGCTAGTAAAAAACCAAGTGGTGGGTATTCAAGGGATGGATACCAGAGCTTTGACTAAGCACATTCGTGATAATAAAACCCAAATCGCCCAAATTAAGATAACTATTCCTGATTTAGTAGTTCCTGAAATTCCTCTTTTTAAAGGAAATTATGTTGCTGCTGTGTCAACAAAATCGCAACGTATTTTCAACCCTAAAGGTCATCCACATATTTTAATGATTGACTGTGGTGCAAAATATAACCAGATTCGTTGTTTTGTCAATCGTGGGGCTAAAGTCTCTCTTGTCCCTTGGGATTTTAATTTTATTGAATGTGATATTCCTTATGATGGAATTTTTCTTTCAAACGGACCAGGAGACCCTGAAGATTGCCAAATAATAGTTGAGCGGATTCGATTGATTTTAAACTCATCTAATATTAAACCGATATTTGGTATTTGTCTCGGTCATCAACTTTTATCTCTCGCTGCTGGTGGGAAAACTTATAAAATGAATTTTGGCAACCGTGGTCATAATCAACCATGCCTTTTTACCAATACTAAGCGCTGTTTTGTAACTTCTCAAAATCATGGTTACGCAGTTGATGCATCAAGTCTTTCTACTGAATGGGCGCCTCTTTTTACCAATGCTAATGATGATTCCAATGAAGGTATCTATCATAAAGAAAAGCCCTTTTTCAGCGTTCAATTTCACCCTGAACACAAAGCTGGTCCGGATGACTTGGAATCATTGTTTGATGTTTATCTAGATTTGATTGCCAACTATAAATCGGGTGACAAAGTGATTGACTTAATAACTAAACGATTAAACATTCCAACTTTCAAAGAGGCTCGTAAATATCCTAGAAAAGTACTTATCCTTGGATCAGGTGGTTTATCAATAGGTCAAGCTGGAGAATTTGATTATTCAGGAAGTCAAGCCATCAAAGCAATGAAAGAAGAGGGAATATCAACTGTTTTAATAAATCCGAATATCGCAACAGTTCAAACAAATCCTGGCTTAGCTGAAAAGGTTTACTTTTTACCAATTACTGCAGAATATGTGATAGAAGTAATTAAATTGGAACGCCCTGATGGCATTTTACTTATGTTTGGTGGTCAAACTGCATTAAATTGTGGAATTGAATTGAACAATCGTGGTATTTTTAAACAATATTCAATAACTGTGATGGGAACACCAATTCAATCTATCATTAACTCAGAGGATCGAAAGCTTTTCGCTGACCAAGTTGCCTCCATTGGTGGTCGAGTTGCCCCATCAGGAGCTGTATATTCAGTTGAAGAAGCTATTATCACTGCCAAACGATTGGGTTACCCAATTCTTATTCGTGCTGCATATGCACTTGGTGGCCTTGGATCAGGTTTTGCTCATGATGAAACAGAGCTTCGAAAGATTGTTTCAAAAGCTTTACTTCACTCAAATCAAGTTTTACTCGATAAAAGTTTGAAAGGATGGAAAGAAATTGAATATGAGATCATTCGAGATTCTTATGACAACTGTATAGCAATCTGTAATATGGAGAATCTTGACCCTTTAGGAATCCACACAGGGGAATCAATTGTTGTAGCTCCAAGTCAAACTTTAACTGATTCAGAATATTATCTTCTTCGATCAATGTCTATAAAAATTGTCCGTCACCTTGGTGTTATTGGAGAGTGTAATGTGCAATTTGCTTTAAACCCTAAAAGTGAAGAGTTTTATATTATTGAAGTAAATCCAAGACTTTCAAGGTCATCAGCTTTAGCAAGTAAAGCTACCGGCTATCCGTTGGCTTATGTAGCAGCAAAATTATCTCTTGGAATCTGTCTTTCAGACTTGAAAAACTCGGTAACCGGATCAACGACTGCCTGTTTTGAGCCCAGTCTAGACTACTGCGTTGTTAAAATACCACGTTGGGATCTAGGTAAATTTACTGGAGTCTCTCGTAGGATTGGAAGTTCAATGAAGAGCGTTGGTGAAGTTATGGCAATTGGTCGAAGATTCGAAGAAGCATTCCAGAAAGCATTGAGAATGGTGCATGAAAACTGTGCAGGTTTTGATCCTGGGGTCGAAGAACCAACAGCTCAGAAACTCGAATGTCCTACTGATATGAGAATTTTTGTTCTTGCTGCTGCATTGAGGGATAACTATTCAATAGAAGAGTTAAATCAATTAACTGCAATCGATAAATGGTTTTTATATAAGATGAAGCGGATTATTGACCATCAGCGATTTCTCAAAACAATCAACTCAAACTCAATTTCATCAGATATTATTTTACAATCTAAGAAGCTCGGTTTCTCTGATAAACAGATTGCATCTTGTGTTGGTTCAGCTGAACTTTTAATCAGAGCTTTAAGGTACTCAAGCTCTCCTCCGATACGTCCTCGAGTTAGAAAGGTCGATACCGTTGCTGCTGAATACCCAGCTTCTACAAATTATCTTTATCTTACTTATAATGCATCTGAAGATGATACTGATAACATCTACCCATCAGAAATCAACAAAAATTCTGTCATTGTCATTGGATCAGGAGTTTATCGAATTGGTAGCTCAGTAGAGTTTGATTGTTGTGCCGTTGGTTGTGTCTCTCAGCTTCGTAAAGTATGTAGCCATAACTAAATGTAAACTGTTAATATTAATTACGAGTAACTCTTTTTTATCTAGATGAACAAAACTACAATAATGATAAATTACAATCCAGAAACTGTTAGTACTGATTACGATGTGTGTGATCGATTATACTTTGATGAAATATCTTTTGAGGTGAGTCCAGTCATCTTATATTTCAAGTCTGTCTTCGTAACTAATTATTTTATTTTTTAGGTTGTAATGGATATTTATGAAATTGAAAACCCTCATGGTATTATTTTGAGTATGGGTGGACAATTACCTAATAATATTGCTATGGATCTTCACCGACAAAATGCTAGAATCTTGGGAACTTCACCTGAAAATATAGATGGTGCAGAAAATCGTTTCAAATTTTCTCGTCTTCTTGACATCAAAGGAATTGACCAGCCTAAATGGCGTGAATTAACCGACATTGAAGGAGCTTTAAATTTCTGTGCGGAAACAAGTTATCCGTGTATTGTTCGTCCCTCTTATGTTTTAAGTGGAGCTGGAATGATTGTGGCCTTTAACGCCAATGAATTGACAACTTATTTGGCTAAAGAAGCCACAGTGAATAGAGACCACCCTGTGGTTATTAGTAAATATATCGTTGGAGCTAAGGAAATAGATGTTGACGCTGTTGCTCGTGACGGTGAACTAGTTAAAATTGCTGTTTCAGAACACGTCGAAAATGCTGGTGTTCATTCAGGAGATGCTACGTTAATTACTCCTCCTAATGATTTAAACGAAGAAACTTTAGCTCGAATTAAAGAAATTTGTGCTGCCATCGGTCAAGCTCTAGCAGTTAATGGTCCATACAATATGCAATTGATTGCCAAGAATAATCAACTTTATGTCATTGAATGTAATCTTAGAGTTTCTCGATCGTTCCCATTTGTCTCGAAAACCCTAGACTTTGACTATGTTGCTTTAGCAACTAAAGTAATCATGGGAGCTTATGAGCCCGATAGTCAAGAATTTGGAACAAATACCTTCAGCCCTGCCGTGACAAACTCAAGAGTTGGTGTTAAAGTTCCTCAATTTTCATTTTCTCGATTAGCTGGAGCAGACGTTGCTCTGGGTGTTGAAATGGCTTCTACTGGTGAAGTCGCTTGTTTTGGAGAGAACAAATACGAAGCCTATCTTAAAGCTTTAATGAGTACTGGATTCCGTATTCCACAGAGAAAAGTAGCATTTCTTTCTATTGGAGGATATGAAAGGAAAGATGAACTTTTAGGAAGTGTCCGTCTTCTGAAATCAATGAATTACAAGTTGTTTGGAAGTCAAGGAACTGCTGATTATTATACTCATAAAGGGATTTACATTGAAGCGATAGAATGGCCTTTTGAAGAGATAGGAAATGAAAATCCGACCGTTAATATTGTCGATGCTATTGTTGCCTCATTGGCAGAGAAAGAATTTGACCTTATTATAAATATACCAATGAGAAGTCGTGGAGCTCGTCGAGTTTCGACTCTTGGGTATCGAGCACGACGTTTTGCTATTGATCATTCAGTTCCTCTAATTTCTGATGTTAAATGTGCCCGTCTTCTGATTGACGCCCTCAGCATGATCGAGGGATCACCAAAAGTCAAAACGAATATTGATTGTTTAACGGCTCGAAAAATAATTAGACTTCCTGGTTTGATTGATGTTCATGTTCACCTTCGAGAACCTGGTGGAGAAGAAAAGGAAGATTTTATTAGTGGTACTTCAGCAGCTTTAGCTGGAGGTATAACAATGGTTTGTGCAATGCCCAATACTGATCCTGCTATCGTTGATGGTGATACTCTTAATCAAGTTCGTACACTTGCTAAATCAAAGGCTAAATGTGATTATACATTTTTCCTTGGTGCAACTCCTTCCAATGCTGAATTATTACCAAGTTTAGCCAAATCTCAAAATCCCGTTGTAGGTCTTAAAATGTATCTTAATCAAACATTTGGAACATTAACAATGTCTAATTTTGATGATTGGATAAAACAATTTGAACATTGGCCTAAAGATTTACCAATAGTTGCTCATGCTGAAGGACGTGATACAGCAGCAATTATAATGGTAGCAAGTAAATACCAACGATCTGTTCATATTTGTCATGTTGCTCGAGCTGAGGAAATTTTTATGATTAAAGCAGCTAAAGAAGAGGGTAAAAAAGTTACCTGTGAGGTGTGTCCACACCATCTTTTCTTGTCGGAAGAGGATGTAACTTATATTGGTGAATCAAAGAGTTCAGTGAAACCACCATTAGTCAAAAAGTCAGATCAACAAGCTCTCTGGGCTAATCTTGATGTTATTGATTGCTTTGCAACGGATCACGCACCACACCTTTTATCCCATAAACATAAACAATTTTGTCCCGGTTTCCCTGGTTTAGAAACAATCCTTCCCTTACTGTTGACTGCAGTTCATGAGAAAAAGTTATCATTGAAAGATATTCTCACAAAACTCTACATTAATCCAAGACGCATTTTTAATTTACCAGACCAACCTGATACTTATATTGAAATAGATTTAGATGAAACATGGATAATTCCTGAATCTTTGCCTTACACAAAAGCCGACTGGACTCCATTTGCTGGTCGAAAAGTAAAAGGTAAAGTTCGACGAGTTGTTCTTCGAGGTGAGGTTGCTTTTATTGATGGACAAGTACTGGTTCCTCCTGGGTTTGGTAATGAAATATGTCCATTAACAGAGGTTGATCGAATTAAAGAACCAATTCGTATAACAGTTCCAGAAATTTGTGCTGATGTCATACAAGAATTAAAGTTAAATGATTTAGGTGATATTAAAACGGAACTAACAGGAGATAAAATTCCTCTACCCACACCACCTATTCCCACCATAACTTCCACCAAAGTTGAACCGGTTCCAACAAAACGTATAAAATCAATTGCTGTTGTTCATGATGATGATACTCTTAGAAACAAAGATATTCTTTCAGTTGACATGTTCACAGCACAGACTCTCCATGTTTTGTTCAACTGTGCCCAAGAAATAAAGAAACTAATCGAGAAAAAAGCTGACCTCTGTGATGTACTTCGACGTAAAACTCTTGGGTTATATTTCCATGAACCAAGTAGTCGAACCTTCCATTCTTTCAATGCAGCCATGGTTCGATTAGGAGGTTCAATAGGAAAATTTGACCCCAGTGAATCATCTCAGCAGAAAGGAGAAACTTTTGACGATACCATGAAAACAATGTCATCTTATTATGATGCTTTGGTTATTAGACATCCGCAAGTAGGAGCGGCACGAATGGCTGCTGCTGCTGCTCAAATTCCGATTATAAACGGTGGTGATGGAACCGGTGAACATCCGACTCAAGCTTTACTTGATGTTTTCACTATTCGAGAAGAAATCGGTACTGTAAATGGTTTAACCATTTCTTTGGTTGGAGATCTTCTTAATGGAAGAACTGTACATTCATTGGCAAAACTATTGACCCACTATAATGTCCGTTTGAAGCTTATTTCACCTCCAAGCCTTAAACTTCCTGACTCTGTAAAAAACTATTTGATCGAAAAACAAATTCCATTCGAGGAAAACACAAATCTTGAAGATGCATTAGCGGAATCCGATGTAATTTATATGACTAGAATTCAAAAGGAAAGGATTACAAGAGACTTGGATTATCGAAATTGGACAGAACAGTTTATCATTACTCCCGAATTAATGTCTAAAGCTAAGAAGAAGATGATAGTTATGCATCCTTTGCCTCGAAATGAAGAAATAAGGTAAGTTTGCATAGAGAATTAAAATTCTTAATCTATTATTAATTGATTGATTTAAATTAACTTTTTGTCCAATTATTAATTTAACAGCCCAGCTTTTGATAAAGATCCTCGAGCTGCTTATTTCCGTCAAATGAGAAATGGAATGTTTGTCAGAATGGCGTTACTCGCAATGGTTTTTGGTCATACCGTTTCATCAGCTTAATCGATAATCATAATCATCATTTTAACAGCTTTTTTAAACTTTACCTCATAATCATTTTGACATACTTTTGTTACTAAATCAATTTATGTTTTAGAAGACCAGAAAAGTTTTATTTAAGATTAAATTTCATTTGATCATTTAAAGAGTTATATTTTACATGATTTGGAAAAATGATGAAATAAAAAAAAGTTTTGACAAGTTGATTTGTTTTGTTTCTTATAAAGTAAAGATCACATTTTTTAGTTGATCTGTTTTCTTGGAAATCAATTATAAAGATAGTTAATTAATCAATTAGAAAAGAGAATAAGTCAAAATGTAAATGGAAAATTCAAAATAGTTAACAAGAAGATTCTTCAGTTTTTGGTAATTCCTTAGTCCTGAGGATGCTGGCCAGATCTTCAAGAATCTTGTTAGCTGATAACATCTTCCTGTAATTAGATTGCAATTGTCGTTGATATCTGAGAACTTTATCCTTCTCATCAGCCCAGGTTTCTCTCTCCTTATTAAAATTAGTTTGTTCAGTAGTTAATTGTTGTTGCAAGGTTAATACTTGATCTTGTAATTCACGTTTCTCATTAAACAATGTATCATACTGTCTACTCTTCTCCTCCAACTGTCGTACCAAATCGGATAACCGTTGACCTAGATTCTGAATCTGTGAATTACAGTTATCCTGACATGAGGCCAATTCTTTTTCCAGGGAATTACTTTTAAACTTTGTTTCTTCCAGAGCTTCAGTAGTGTCTTTCAGTTTGGCCCTCAATCCAACCAACTCGGTTGACCGGTAATTGAGATCTACTTTAGAATCACGGATTTGTGATTTGAGCAAAGCAATCTCACCATTTCGCTCACATAAAGTCCATTTAAGCTCATCAACCATTTCTTTAAGATTTGTCAATTCACTTTTAAGTCCAACATTTTCAGTTTCCAATGATTCAACCTTTTTTCGGGTTGTCTCATAATTTTGTTCAATTAACTCCCGGTCAGCTTGATTCTGTGAATAGAAATGAAATAAAATTATCAGTAAAAGTTGTATAAGTAGGTGTAAGTTGAAGCATTACAAGGTGAAGGAAGAGGATAGAGATAATCATGATACTGCAAGGATGAACACAATCATTCAAATTGCATTGACGTGATTATCTAATAGACAATTGGTAAACAACAATAACCAAGTAAAAATCATGAAACACAAATCAAATCCGGACGACAATCTGTAAACAGAGTGACAGCTTAAATGATGACCTTTTCATTCAAAAGGGATAATGATAATTACGATAATAAAGGTTGTGTATTATTTACCAATACATGCCGGAAACAGTAAGAAAATCATTGCTTCAACTACTAATTGTTACATTGTAAATAGCTGATGTGTATTCAAACAAATACTAATCATTAGGAAACGATGGAATATAATTTAACTAAATTTAGATGAAATCGCTGAAGGTAAGGTCAATTTTCAGGTAGTCTCTCTTGGTAAACAAATAAAGCAATGTAATGAACCTTTTAAATGCTGGTTACACCCAAATAGAGAAGCTTGTTGATTGTGATGATTATTCAGTGAAACAAGTCTAGAAACAAGAATAGCTAACAAAATTCAGATGGTTTCAGTCTAAAAGAAGCTATTAGATGGGCCAAAATAGAGTGAAAGTATGAGGAGGAAAACTATGAAAAAGTAGAAAGTAAAGTTTGGTTGATTCTATGTAGTGAAAAAATTGTAATCTTTTGCTGCTCCGGTCGTTTGTTTCAATATTTTTTTCACTTGTTTGAGTAAATGTTGTTTACTTGTTGATTGTTGTATGAAACCAGATTCTTACCTGTTTATTTTGAAGAGATATCATTTGTTCTGCTCGAGTTGCTCTTTGCTGATAGTTTTTAAGGTTTAACTCGTATTGTGACTTCAATTTTTTAAACTCTCGTTCCCAACTCTGGCCTTTCTCTTCGTAAACTTTGAAGATAACCTGAAATGGAAGAGAAAAATAGATTAAATTAAAATTTAATATATGTTATTAGTCTATTAGGTTGTCATAGATCAACAATTGTGCTCATAAAGAACCTGAAGAAAAAAATTGAAAGCAATGATTGAAAGTAATAGCTTGTGCCTAATATAGCTTGTCCATTTCATTTCTATTAATATTTGACAATAAAAACAAAACAATGTCTTATCTAACCAGTTTAAGTTGCATTAAATTATATTGAATTGAATAGGATTAGAGAGAAATGATCATTTTGAAATTGATCGGAACTCTCACTGGACTTTCTCCGTCTAAAATCTTATATAAAGTTCAAATAGGTTATTCGGTAAAGTTCATGAAGAAGTGAGATTAAAGAGTTAACATTATGATTATTTCATTTTTGATGGAAGGACGTGGCCTGAGTAGTTAGAAGATTACGGCTATTGTAATTGGTAGGATATTAAACATATATAACTTCAAACAAGCATTTTAAAGTGAATCCGATGATAAACAAGAGACTTGTTTAAGTTAAGAAAGTTTCTGTTGGCCACGATTTGATAAAAAATGATAGTATAATTGCAATATCAAAAGCGATATAATAATAAATTAAGGTACACTGCTTCTTATTAAGAAATGGTGGTTCGTGAACAAATTTTAAAAATCATGCTAACTAAATCTAAAATTTTATCAATGATTCCATCAACATAGCCATCATCATTATTTAGTTTTGAGCACAAAAACTGGTAAGATGACGATGATAGCTGAGAAGCTGATGAACTTTTTCTTGTCTCAGGGTCTACAGAGTTTCGACAAGAATAACTATTAAAAATTTTGATATTTTGACATTGTAACTTTCAATTGTATTGGAGCCATTTAAGAGATGAAAATAATGAATTAATGTATTTACCTGTTCATTGCGTTCCAAGGTTTCTCTAAGGTAACTTATTTCTGAATCTTTCTCCCTAAGTAGTGCTTCAAGTTCAACAATAACTGAATCATTGGGCGAAGGAGTTTGACTTAAATAATCACTTGAATTGTACATTAAAGGTCTTCGACGAGCAGCCGTTAAACTGGATAAGTCCCAGTTAAGTGAAGGCATTTTAAGAACCGAGGAAGGTGGCGGAGGTGGATCAAGGTACCAGTGATCATCATCTCCAGGAAGACCCGAGCAATGGGAAAGACTTGCTTGACTTTGGCTTAAATTTGACTTAGTTGTTAAGGTTTCCACACGATTCAAACCGTTCACAATCAATTTTCCAGAATCAGTTTCGGAGTCGATAGATGAAAATGGACTTGAGTAGACTGAACCAGTCCGTGGTGAATGATAATCATTGTGTAAGTGTTGATGGTGGTGGTGATGATGATGATGACTACTCAGAGTTAGATGGTGATGTGGATGAAGTGTTTGTTGTGGTTGTTGTGATGTCACTGTTAGTGGTTGCTGTTGTTGTTGCGGCTGTGACTGCTGTTGAGGCGGTGGCTGAAGAGCGTGAACATGGTTGTTATTGTTATTTGTTGAAACTGAAGTTAGAGGTGGCGGTGGTGGTTGAGATTGTACTTGTGCAGTCTGTATATTTGAATACGAAATTTGAGATGTGTGTTTCAATTCAACAGGTGACATTATTGGTCCAGATGATCCGATTCCAAGTTTGAAAGCAACAGGCTTCAAAATTTTTCGAAACTAATGAGAGAAGAAAGAAAAAATTTTTAATCAAATTGAAATAGCAAAGCAAAGAGGCGAAAATAGCATGAAAAAGGTTAAAAAATTTAAATTAATGAATAAGGGAGGGTAGAATCTAAAGTTATAGCAAAGTTAAATGAGTAAGGTTGAAAAGAGAAAAAAATATCAAAATAAGTTGGTGTAACTTGTAATGACGGTGATGATGATCATCATCATCAACACTAACAACGATAAACTAAATATCAAAGAACCTTCATTCTAATAGAAACAAAAGTTCATCTCTTTTTGATAAGCTTCTGATGAAGGTTCAATCATGATGTTTGTATGAGTTTACTGCAAAAAGATGATAAAATTGAGTCTCAAGAACCTACAAGCAAGATTCTTTTTTCTTTTCATAAAAAGTAAAAAAATTCTAGCTTAACGGGTTCACACCTTGAAGATGGCCTGATTATCAGAAAGATAAAAGAGACAAAAGGTATTCCTGTTAATCATAATAATCACCATCAAGTATTTGCATCTTCAAACACAAGAGCGACAAGGTTAAGCATATTCCGTAAGTGTCTCACTCTTATTGTTTATGATGAAATCTTAAGGGTAACCCTGAATTGAATAGGTTATTGAAACATGATGCAGATAAAATTTGCAAGTTGAATAAATTATTTAAGGAGACAAGAGCTGATGGTCAAATTGGTTGGCACTAGCGTCGAATCGATCACTTTCAATGATGAAATCTTGACTACTTGTGACATGAAATTGGGTGAACTAGGTTGAAGGTATTATATTATCGAGTGAATACAATGAAGAATTGCAAGAAAACCATTGATGAATAAGTAGTAAAAATGAAGATTAACCTTTGCATAGAAATTCTTTGATTTCATTTGAGTTGGTGAGTTAAGAGTATATCGTCCATTGATCACCATTTTGAGAAGCATTTGACAAAAAAATAACTTAATTATGTACAGTGTGTTGAAACAAAATAAAAATCACGTTGTTTGATCATTAACAGAACAAGAAAAAGTAAAGACTGAGGTTTGGAGAAACATTGGAAATGGCGTTGCTCGATGTTTTTGGGAAGCTAAACTTAAGCTGTTTAATCTAACAGATTAGTGGTTTCAGGTTTAAACAGTAAGCGTTTTAAGTAATACAAACAAATAAAAATGTAAACAAGCAAATAAACAAGTAATAGAACGAAAAAAGGGTTATAGGTAGATGAAAAAGTGCAAGTTTCATGACAATTATTAATCAAAAACGTAGATTCATTACTATAAGCTGTACAAAAACGCAAAAAGCGCTGCAATTGAATTGCGACGATTGAACTGTAATCGCAACTGCAATCGCAATAGATAAGTTATCTTAAGATTCAGCAGGGTTGATTGAATCTGAGTCATCAACAATAAACAAAAAAATGAAGTAAACAAAACAAAGTGGAACCAAAACCGGAATTGTTCACTTTCACTTTTCGGTGATTTTTTAAACACAACACTTTAACATTTCCATCAAACAATTGCACAAGCCATAGGAAATGACCATAAACAGACAAACTTGATTCCCCTTCAAAAAAATCCACAATTAATGGTTGACTTAATATGGAAACAAAATTATGGCCAATAACAATTAAAGATTGCACTAATTTGAAAAAAGCGTTAACAATTGTTACCAGGGTTATCAAAGGATTTAAATTTTCAATTTTGGATTTTTGACCAAACTAGACTGCCTGCCATCTATTGTTTTAAAAATTGTCACCTTTCTGTCAATAGGCAACGTCGATTGGCCAATTCACTCAACAATAGATGGCACTTTCAACTTATTCAAATCAATGTCTTATGTTAAATCTTATGTTAACTATTATTTAACTTGTTTCTTGTCGATGTTATTATCTATGATTTCCTGATTGTCCCGTCGTTTAATTGTTATTGTTAAGAGGAACACAATGCTTGAGCATCAAAAGGAGATGGGATCAAAGGGTGAGTAGAAGTGATTGAAGTTTGAATAAAAAACAAGATTATGCTTAGCAATACAATTGGACAGCAAAAAATAGCAAGGCTTGGTTAGTCTTGTTTTTTTTGTGTAAGTTGATGCTTTAAACATGAAAAGTAGCAATTACGAGTTGAATAACAATTTGTTTTTTCTTGAACATTTTGAAGGAGAAAGAAAGGGAGGAAGAATTGAGAAGAATGGAAAATCTTGAAGAAAAAGATGATCAATGTTTTTACTTTCGCACTTCTCATCAGTATTTCCGTCTGACTAACTCATAATTTCCTTTTTCTTAATGATTGCAGGATTGGAGGAGGAGGAGGAACCAGATGAATAGTATCATGATAAGGTGTACAAATTGTTAGATGTTCATCTTAATCAACCCTAAGGTAGCGTCTCTGATTGATCATCACGATATTGTATAAATTGATTAACAGAATCGTATTAAGAGCTGAAAATGAAATCAACTTCAAAACTGTGCACATTGTGATTGTCAATTGTTAATTGTTGTTTGTGTAAATTTGTGTTCGTCGGTTGTGATAGTAAATTTGTATATGCTCATTATTTTACATAATTATAGTTATAAAATTGAGTGAAACTATTCTGTTGTGTGAAAAATTGTTACAAGCAAAAGAAGATAGAAACGTGTAAATGATAATGATGATGATAAAGATGAAAATGATACCTCGGTGGTCCTTAATTATGATAGTAATAGCATTTAACCTGATAATGAATACCAATGGATTTAACGTTGAACGATCATCATCATCAACTCGCCAAGGTAAAACACCAAAATCATCATCAAGTAATGGTCAGTTTGGAAAGAATGGTGTTGATTCAAATCATGGGTCAACTCATTGGAAAGGTAAACAATACATGGAAACCAATGACGATCATCATGAATCAACAGCGAATCAAGAAGTGCCTAAAGGAGACTATTTAACTGATGCTGAATTTCAAAAAGCTCGGGTGATTGATTAATTTGTTTATAAACCAAATCAAAATGTTAATATTCAGTCCATTGTGAAGGTGACATGACAAGAAAGTTATAAGGCTTTTTCATTGAGTTAATTTTGACATGAAAATTGTTTCTTCAACATAATCCCGTGTGTTTCTAATTGATTTTGTTGATTTACCGAAACGCACTTCAAATCGATACTGACTTCAACTGATTGTATCTCGATAGTGTTTATCAGCTTCTTAAGTTTCACCTGAGAAACCTTGTTTACCGCTTAAAATGTAGTCATCCTCATCTTTTTCCTGGATAACATGTTAACCCCATAACCAATCGATCATCAGTTTTCACCTTACTTTTTACTTGCAAGAATTTTAAACCCAAAAAAGGCAACAATCTGTTTCATGTTGAAGGTTGCGTGTTTACGCTTTTTCATTCACACTGATCATTTTCAATGTTGACAACTTTTGCTATTAAATCATGATGAACAGCTTACAGTTAAACTCAGGGTTAATAAATTGATAGTCAAATGGTTATCATCACAGTTTGAACAGATTTCACCTGAAAACTGTTGAGTCTGTGTTGGATTCAGAAATATCTTGAAAATTATTGATGTTCAGTTGATGAAAATGAAGCATCATTTTAACGTTCATTAGATATAATTATTTTTAAGAATCCTGTTGATAATAGAAACAGCAAAAACATATTGTATACTAATAGGTGATTGGTGATTTATTTTAGGTCAAAATATTGCTTTATATTGTACAATTTAATGCTCCATTTCCTTCATTGATGCAAGTAAAATGATGTTAATGACTATTATTGAAATCAAGTAACTTATAAGATTGCATTTTTTCAGTAGCTCATGTTAATTAGTGAATAATAGCAGCTTATGAATGCGATAGCAGTACAAATGCATTTGGTTTTTTTGTTGTATTTTCATTGAAACATTTTTTCTTCTTATTCTGAATCAATTGATGAAATTGAATGCAAGTTAGTCAGACAATAAGATAATCAGATTGTTGACTTGATGTTAGTTGATGAAAGTGAATCATTTGAATGTGAAAAGCACAAATGAGCAACAAAACGAGATTTTTTTTCTTATTCATTCACTGTTTGTTTCATGACAATTTAAAACTCAATAATCATGGTTGTGTGAACAATTTAGAGAAGCAAGCGAAACTAATCATCAATAATGAGAAACATTCACCAGTCAATTGATGAGAGAAACTGTTATGATTAAGGTTGATGAAAATGAATGAATGTTGATTCAGTTAGATGTTCATCATACAACTGAATCATCAGAAGATGATGCAAATCATTGCAATCAATTGTCCAGTTTATTTCAATTTTTTTAACCATCAGTCGATTGACGTTAAATCTAATCATATTGATGATGATCATCTTTACAAGCCTCGCAATCAATTGTTTAATCAGATTTGTTTTTCCATTCATCATCAGATTGATTATTTTGTTGCGTATTCAAAAAGCCTTAAAGCTTTTCTCCTCTCAATGGGCTATTCTTTTCATCATGCAAATCACTCTTTTAAATATATATTGATTTAAGGGAAATTAAATTTATAAATTGTTATTTTAATTTAACAGGATTGGAAAGGTTTTGTCGATGATTGGGAAAGGAAAGCTAAAGATGAATTGGCTGATGCTATTAATGAAAACATGAAAATTGATTCAGGAAAATCGGAAAATGAAGATGAATATAAAGGTCGTTACGATGGTGGACATTATCAGAGTCGCGATCATAACGATGAGCATAAAAATGTTAATAATAAGCAAATTGGATCCATTAAAACTGGTAAAGCAGATTCAGATTCAAAATATGGTAACACACCAACCAGTTGGGATTGGGATAAAGAGGTAAAAGTTTATTAATTATAATGGAAACTAAATTAAACAAATTGAATTATAATTGAAATGTAATCGAAATGTAATTGAAATGACATATTAAGGTGAATATGAAGTTAATTGAAAAAGCAATCAACTTCCGTAGTTTCGAAGCATTTACATATAAAGCTAAATTGTCGCATTAATGGGACTAATTGTTTATCCCAATTTAGAGACTGATCAGCATTTATAAATCAAAATTGATTTAACCATTATGGCGAAGTTTATCAACCTAAATACACAAATACATGAATAACATGATTTGTTAATTGTTTTGTTTGTTATTTTTATTCAGTCTAATGGTGCTTGGACAAAGAAATCAGATGATGGACAGAAACACGATTTTGGTAAATTTGAAAAGTACCATCAAAAGTTTGCTGACCATGAGCAGGCTAATCAAGGAGATGAATTAGATGAAGTTACTGGTCAAAATGAAGATAAAACAGAGAACCAACAATATGGTGAGTAACTTTGTGTTTGTAAGAAAATTTAAGATGAAAAGTGAATCACTTTGCAGGTAATTTGACAAGGAAAACAAACTAGCCCATAGTTGGGTGGTTATGGGGTCAAGCAAAAGATAGCAAATGAAAACAACATTGACGTCAATGAATATCAAGTTAATGGCAGAGTCAAGTTCAAGTACTAGTTTTTGGTTACCAATTGAAAACGCAAGTTTTACTTTTTTGACCTTTTTTCCCAAACTTTTTCAAGCTGCTCTTCAATTTAATGCACCTTTGAGGATGAAACTAGGCCAATAAGACAAATCAATAGACAGCTAAAACAACATAATACCAGAAAAAAAAAGGAACCAAGATGTTTACAATCCATTTAATCGTAATGATTTGATGTTTCCTAGTGATACATTTGCTTATAAAGGTATCGAGGTCAGCTTTTTACATCATCAGAATTATAATTTTGTTTACTTTGTTAGCTTTATGAGATTTCAGTGATTTAGTTTTTTGGGATTTTTCTGGAAAAAGATGCTCTAAATGGTTCTAGGTGACCTGTGGTGATCTCATTGCTTGGTTTTTCGGGTTTTTGGGTAAATTTTGAGCTTGTTGAAACTCTTGTAGTCTGTCAAGCACAAAAGATTCACTTTAATCAATTGAACAGTTAAGTGAGTAGTTAATTTGTTGACAATTTAGTCACAGTCGGATCTTGTTTGATGATTACCTAAATGACTCAACGAATTAACAACAATTAAGTTTCCCTTTTCAGTTTCAATCATTACTTTATTCCTAGAAATAAGCGTCTCGATTCAGGTTAATTACAGGTCATTGGTTGTACAGTCTTGAAACAATTGAAACGTTTTGTAATAAGAAGTTGATTGTAAATATAAATAAGTTTGATGTCATCTAGCACTTTAAGAATTTTGAAAGTAAAGTTGAGGCCACTGAAAACGTTTGCAAAGTGTGGCTGAATGATGATGCAGATGATTTAGTTGATGAAGGTAATAAAAGTTAACACAATTAAACTTTATTTTGACTGAACCACTGTTAGCTGTAAAAATTAGTAGCTACGGTTAACCGTTGTCTAAAACAATTAACTTGGATTGAATTAACTGTTGTACATGTTGTATGTTAATTGAGATTGTTTTATGTCAAAAAAGTGTTCACGATGTTGACAAGAGATTTGATAATATTGCAATTTAAAGTTTGAACAGTATTAAAATGAATAATTTAAATGATGAACGTGAACGATTTGTTTCAAATGTTAATCAACTTGTAATAACAGTTTTTATCATTGAATTACCAGGAATTGTTTCTAAACTTTTCATGATATAATAGAGATAATAAATCTAAAGTTATAAGAAACAAGAAAACAATGAAAGAGTTTAAGTTGACGTTTAATTATTCTTACAAGTTGACTGATTATTTAGCAATTAAAACAGGTTATTACAGTTTGTTTACAATAATTGGTTATGGATTGTTTAGATGACAATTGACGGAGAGGAATTATGATCAAGTTAATTGAGAGAGTCAATCAATTATTATTTCAAACTTTGTAACCATTAATTGCAGGTGAATTGAAGACAGTTATGCAAACTGATGAACAGGTAAAAAAGGTAAATGTTTAGTAAATGAAAAAAGATTGAAATTGAGGTAAACAGGCTTGGCTATCATCTAACTATTTCAATTGATCAAGATGATAGTTTTTCTTGTTAATCACAATTGATTGATTTGAAGAAACAAAAACAAGCAAACAAAAAAGTGATTCTAAAAATGAATTTTTGATCACAATGATGATACGATTATAAATTGACAATTAACTTTTCTGTCTTAATAAAGGTAAAAAGTTGGGTGGTTGGGATAAAACTGGTAAATCAGGTGATCATCATTTCCAATCAGGACACAAAAAGGAAACCTCACACAATAATAAATTTGATGCCAATGATTCTTGGAAAGGTTGGGATTAATTGGTTAATCAAAGTGAATTAACAAATGGATAAAATCATAAATCGATTGCAATCAAAACATTTGGACAATTGACAACAACAGGCTGGTTCCTGGTTAAAATTCAATTGTTGAAATTCAACTTTCTTTTCAACTGTTTACTTTTTTTTACAAAAATATTGTTAGTTTTGATGAATAATTAACAATCACAAAATAACAATTTACAAACATTTAAGATAAACACAGTTCATCATGAGTCTTCATATTGGGTTGAAGATGCTGTTAAACTGTTTCTGGTTTCATGAGAAAGTTTTTACAACAATTTACTGATAATTTGCAATTAACTATTTAAGATAAACCATGTTTTTTTACGATAATTTTCTGTGAAAGTTTCAATTTTGTATAATTTAAAGTTATTAGGAATAAAATTAATTATAAACATAAACATGTACCGTTAATTTAATTAAATGGTATTCGTGATGAAATTGAAACCAGTTAATCTAAAATGAAAAAATGTAATTGCTTAATGTAATCACACTTTGGTTAGTCAAAAAGTAACTAAAAATTGGGGAAACAATGAAATTGTTTGATTGGGTGAAACTAAAAAGTTAATCATAAAATTTACACTCAGATACAGAATAATAAAACTAGAGTTATCAGTTCAAAGGCAAGAATTATTGCTCCTAACATGATTTACCAACGATGATGATCAACAAAAACATCAAATTTGGGTTCTGTAACCAAAACCACAATCAAAATGAATCCAAGCGTTTATTTTTTGCTCCTTTCTCATAACTTTATCTCATCTTGATCATCATCTTGTTGGCAAATTGTTGGTACATTTTATGCTCTTCCTTGAGATAAATCGCTTTTCATAGTGAAGATGAGTAGAGAAATGAACAGAATAAAGTTGTTTTCAAGATAATGAATACATGGAGAAAATGATAAGGTTTGCCGGTGAAAGTGGGCATAAATATTGTTTCGGACTGTTGAAATTACAATAAGATGAGACTTTCATTACTGGACACTGAATGCAATATTTTGAAGGTAAAAAAACAGGTAAAAAAAGAAGTGAAAAAATGAAAGTTTCATTCGTGGTTGTATCATTAGTGAGATTCAGACGGAATTGGAAAGAGAAGAAAAGTTAAATTAAAGAATAAAAATCATCTTCATTGGTCATTTTTCATAGTCTGTAAGTGTCCTGTAACTTGATTATCATCTTTATATCATTCTCATGATTCAGCTTTTTTTTAACACTCATCATGAATCAAAAAAAAGGTCTAACCTCATAATCATTTTTTCAACTTTTACATGGAAAGTTCATTGAATGGTTCACTGTCTTTGAGTTTCAGAAGGAAATTGGAATCAGCTTTTACAGGTTTTACTTTGGATTGAACACTTTCCTTTTGATGAATAATTAAAGACTATGTTGAAGTAATTAAAAAATTAACTATTTTAACCCAATTTACATGGATAAAGTGCATCCTACAATATTCATTACAATGTATCAAAGCTGTTTACAATCAACAAGTTGTCATGATGAAGATTCCCATAAAAAGATTACTTCTTAATCAGTGATTCTTATGATTCAGACAATAATTTGATGATAATTTATTTGTGATTCATGACAAACTGAGTTTGTTGAAGCACAATGTATCGTGAAAACAAAAAACCTTGAGTCTTCATTTAAGGCAATGAGACCGTTGTTTTTTTCATGATGAACAAGATGATCGATGATTGAAAATGATCATGATTAGTCCAGATCTGTCAATTAAATAGGTAATACAAGATGTACTTTTGTCACTGTAGCCATCTTTATCATGTTTTATTGTCTTCCAAGGATGATTAAAATTTATCCCAATTTCTGGATGATTGAAGGATGGGTTACATTGTGAAGGGTTCAATTGACAACTATTATTACCATAATAATGTCATTAAATTTTGGTCATAAAAAGCAACTTTTATAACATCTTTTGTTCAAAGGTCAAGAACACTTTTGTTGACAATTCATCAAATTACAAATAAACATTTGATTGTAACAATTAAACAATATAAACATCAACTTCATTACCAACCAACAACCGTTTTTGTTTCATTGAACTTTGGTCTCCTTGCAATTAGGCAATTCATCAAGTAATCTTAATCAATGTTTAAACTTTAATCATAATTAATGATATTGATGGTGCATTGATGAAACAAGGAATAAGTAATTCATTTTATGGTGAATATGATAACTGAACTTGTCTAGACCTTAAAAATGATAAAAGTCATTGAGAATGATCAAAATCAAGTAATTCTTGATGAAAATAAAACAAGTTGTAAATTGTTTGAAATCTTGTTTTTTCAATGCAACATCAATCTAATCAAATGTAATTCATCATTTTGAGGACCAAAAACAACTAATCGAGTAATGAGATGATAAAGATGCAAATATTGGGTTGTTGGTTGGTTGTGGTTAGCTTCTTACATGATAAGGATGCAATCGGTATTGAAGGAGGGTTTGGGTAAGAAAGAGAAAAAGAAAGAGGAGTCAAGGGTCAAGAGATGGGCATAAACATTTAGAAGTGTTTTATCTTACATTGGATGATTCAAGAACTCCACTGATTGGTGCGATTCTTGGTGGACCAGATTTATCAATGTCTTCGTAAATATGTCCTAATACTTCTTCCTCTTTATGCTTTAAGTTGGTCTCATTGGTCAAAACGTCTTGAAAGTTTGTTGGACAAGCATCTAAAAAATAGACATGACAAAGAGAGACAAGAAAATTAGGAATACTCAGTTTGAAGAGGAAAAAAGTTTCAATAGAATCTTGATTGGATACAGAAGATGATCTTTCTTTATTCAAGATTATTGCTTCATTTCATTCTGTTCTAGGTTCAGGGTTTTTTTTGACTTCATGGGAACTTGATGGATCCAAGAAAATGTTTATTTTCATCAGCCAATGTCTTTCTTTTTTGCAAGTCTTCTTTCTTTCTATTCAACTTCCTTTCTTCAAAGCTCTCCCATCTACCATTTTAATTTCAAAAGTTGAGACCTTTTGAAAAATGGTAAAAGAGAGAGGATTGAAAGAAGAAAAAAATGAAGATTGGAAAAAAGTGATAAGAAAATAACCAGGAACGTTGGTGAACCTTCAATTGACAAGTTCTCGGATCTATCGGATAATTAATGCTTTGCTGAGTTTCCCAGAATATATCAACACAGTCAACGGTTTTGTAGGGTAAACATTGACAAAAAGTTGATAATTTGATTATTATTAATGGACAAAGTGATGAAACCCAAGATGACAGTTAATGACGACATAGTTGAAAATATTGAAAATTACTAACCTAAAGACAGATCCGATTCATTTATGGCAGGCATCACTTTTAATTCATCCGAATTGATGTTCAAGTAAACATAAAAGTGTCAAAAAAAGAGGTAACAAAATCGATGGATAAATTCACTTGTTGATGGTTAACTTGAAGTTGACAATCACAAGGGATCTCGATGTTAAAAAGAAGATTAGATGAAAATCAAGAGTTGTATAAAATGACCAAATTACACAAGGCTTGAGAAATAAACAGGAACCAGATTTGTCATAAAAACTGGACACTCAACAGTAAACAAATTATTCCAATTGGTGAAGAAATTATAAAAGCCAAAGAATTATAAAAGATGAACACCGTAAATGCAAATGGAAACCAAAATGATACAAAATGGTAAGGATTGAAACAATAAAAATTGACAGTTAGTTGGCAATGATTAAGATTAATAAATAATCAACGATGAAACATAAACTAATTGTTTAAGCAAATCAGTTAAAATGATGAAATAAGAAAATGTTTATAACAAAGTAACCAAAAAGATTTGGTTTCTCATCTTTAGTCATCCGAGCAACATCTCAAACTAACCTAATGTTGCAACCAGACTTGGAAAAGTGAGAAGAGGCAAAAGTGCCCTCTACTGAGTAAAGCGAGAAATATTTAAGTGAAACTGTTAGTTGAATTTAATTGAGATAATTAAGGCTTCAAATTGCGAATTAATTACCAGCATTAGTGATAAAACTTGATTGATCAATTCATGTGTTATTGAGAATGTTTACTTGTTTACAAAAGATTTCAATACTTTGGTGAGCAATTGTTTTTATCTAAATCAAGGGAAATGGTTAGGTTAAGATTAACGATAAACATTACCCTTTGTTGCCATATTGGTGACTTATTGATGGTTATATTTGTTCAGCAATAATTTTGATTGTTGTTGCTGATTGAAAAAACGTTGAGTTAAGTTCAATAATAGTTTGACTATCATAATTACCATGTAGATGTTTAGTGATAAAATTGATTGGCTGGTTAATCAGTAAAGTTGAACATATCTCATTATCTAGACTATCAATGAATCGTTAAATTGAATTTCCTGTTGATTAATAAAACTAACAAGTAGAAACATGATTCACATAATCACTCCTGTTAGCGATGTTAATTGTAAAATGGTTTATTGTTATTGTAAATTTTGCATCCAGACGTTGGTAATGACAAAACTGGTAACTTAAATTACTAATATTCCTACTTGTCTCAACTAATCAGTTCCAGATGATATTCTGGTTAACAACAGATAACCAAAGTGCACCGCTAATTGGTAGAGTAAATAAATAAATTATTGGAAATAAATTGTAAGTCAAATAAATTTAAAAATAATCCAATTTTCTTACAAGGGTTAATTAGCAGATTGTCCCTAAGCCGATGACACTTTGTTTTCATTTGTTATTGTTTCTCCCTCCATTTTTATCCAAACCCATGCAAGTAAGTCTAATCAATTAAATTACTCTTGAATAAATTGTTAATTTTGGTTCTTAATTTGTTTTTATTCTTCCAAATGTTCAGATTAATGATCGGCTAATTTTGAATGTGAACCACACACAAACATGGTTAATAATGAGGATAATAATGATGATACATTAACAAAGGGCGAAGTCACTGGAAAGAGAGAAACTTGTTTTCCATAAATTGGCCCAGTTAACAAGGAAAAAAAGCTTAACCAAAATAATGGATAAATCGGAGTTTCACTTCATCATCTTCATCTTATTCTGTCCTGCGGTATTGTTTCAAGCTTAATCAACCTTTTTCTTTATCAGCTTCAGGGCACTCCTCATGGTAAAGCCTAAATTGTTATCTCATGCGTGTCTACATTTATCCTGAGCCCGTGACCAGAGTTGACCTGATTTACGGTTCAACATGATGATGCTTTTCCCAAAAACAGAACCAGATTTTGTTCAATGCTAATTCACATGAAAGACTATCTTTTAACAACATGGCTGAACCTTATGAAGTGATGAACATTCTAGCCAACATCTCCATCAACTCTTTTATTTCCACCCTCAATCAGTTCTTGCAACTAAATGAATTGGGTTAAGATTGGGTGATTGAGGACCTCAAGTAATCAAGTTTACAATGAATCAAATTCAAAGCAACAATTGGTCTGCAGATTAAGATTAATGCATTCACATTGGACTCATCTTTTCGAGTCTTCCTAATTATTTTAATGATGATTTCAACTGTCGTTATTATAATCATGTTCAAGTTTCCCTGTTTTTCACCAACTCAATTGGTTAATCAATTGATTTGTTGTTGGACTAGTTTCACCTTTTTGCTGGTAAATTTAAACTGATGCTTATCATTATTATTAGTCACATTAAAGTTGTTGGAATAATTGTATTCACTGTTACTTTCTGTTCTGTTAAAGGCTGTTATTAGCATTTCTGATTATCTCGATACTCTTCTATTCATCAATATTAATTGTTGTTTCATTTTATTCATGGTTGACTTGAAAATTGCAGTACAGCGTGATGTAATGCTTAATTGAGAAGTGGAATTTTCTGCCAATTACTGATTAAATGCATTACTTCATTTCGGTAAATTGATGATAATGAAAACTAATTTCTGATTAATTGGCCTACACAAGTCCAATAAAATTGAATTGAGCCTTAACTCTTGCAATTGCTATAAACTGAACCAATTGGTGTAAAAACATCTAACCAAATACTATTAACCCGGTTGTGTATTGAATACAAGTTCATTAAGTTAATAAACTAGATTCAACAAACAAAAGGTTACAATTTAAATCAGTTACAATGAAAGAATAAAATTAGGTTCACATTAAAAGTTAAATATGCGAAATAAAATACAACCTTCAATGGCAAATGTAATGTAAACTTTCTCAGCTCTTCAATACCGTTTTAATTTACCTGAGTTATCTCTTGTATTATCTAAATAGATTGTACTAATTGCACTCAAATTAGATTAATAAAATGAATAATTGAAATGGGGAAATAATTCCATTGCCAAATCAAAGTTAGTCATTGAAAAAAGAGAAACAATCTCGAGGTAACTCTTTTTCCGCTCTTTTTCACCCAACCTTCAGTTGTTGTTATTGTAAGTGCAAGTATTGTATTCCTATTTGCTTTAATTGTGTTGATTACCCGTTTCAATCGACTTTGAATTTGTTTTTATTTATCTCTATTGAACTTGTGAATGTTAATTGTCACCAAATTGTCACCAAGATTCAATTGATTGGAAAGAAATATGGAAAAGAACTGATCAGATGATTTACTGTTTGAACCAAATGTGCTTTTACTTATGCATATACATTATGTAAACAAGAACCATATTAATTTTAATTATGCTGATCAACTGATAATGATAGAAGAAATTGGATTAATGTTAAAATCATCATGCCAACAGTTAACTTGAACATTTGATTCCATGTGTGCCTCTTTTCTGGATAATTATCAATTTAATTTGTGTCCCGCTGATTTATAGTATTGGTTTTTACCACAAGTGGCTACTGACAGGCTTGAGCAAAGAGGAGCAAGAGATAGCACGAGAATAGAAGACCTCAAATTGAGATAAGGGGCTAGCTCCTCAATCGGTTGATAGATGGGTCTGATTGAAAGAGAAAAGAAAGGGGAAAAGAAAGTAAAAATTAACCTCTTTGAATTATCTCTTCAAATTAAAAGTTAATTTTTTTATAATTTTTCACAATTCTTATTTCTTGTCTTTCTTTAATTAGAGCCATCTATCAACCGATTGTTAACTTATTTTTATCTCAATTTGAGGTCTTCTATTCTCGTGCAGTCTCTTGTTACTCTTTGGGCTTGAGCCTTTGTTGACTTTCAATATTTTTACCATATTTGCTGTTAAAGATGTTTTTTTAATTATTTTTTCCTCTTCAAATTGTTATTTATTGGATTTTCTTTCGGCTTTTATCTGTCCCATCTGAGAAGCGGAAATGAAATGGAAACTCATTGAGAGTGACCTTTAACCTTTTCAATGTGAAGTCACTTTGGCATGTAAAACTTGTTACAGAAGGAAGCTTTGTTTCCTGTTGTAACCCTGAATACCGACTTAGTTGTTGATGTCTCCGAGATTGTCAGTTGACCCTTATCAAAAGAGAGGCCCACTTGTTGTCCACAAGACAATTTGATCTACAAAAAGGCCTACTTTTACCGAGTAAAGTCTAAAGAATAATCGGAAGTGGAAATTAACTGCTGTAAATTAAGTTTACTCGTTCAAAATTATGTCCTGTTTTCAAATCATTAGAGCATGAGTGTTAAAATTTCAACTCAAGTTTGTTAGCTTGTTCACAGTAATATCGATGAAATATCAAGATTGTGCAAAGAATAATGTTTTGTTTTCTCATTTTTTTGCTCTTCAAGGTTTTCGCTTGCAATTTTAGCCATCAATGTGGTAAATTGATTGCCTTACTGAAGATGAAACTGACATGGAAAAACAAATTTACCAATTGAACAATGAAGGAGCCAAAGCAGCATCAACAAAGAATAATTTCAACTTGGTTTGTTTAACAAGGCAAATATGAAAATCAATGAAGCGTTGTGAGAAAAAAAGAAGGCCCATGGTATTCAATTAGCTAATCGAAAGATGGAAACCATCAATATGAAAAAGAAGTTAATCGAGAAACAAAGCAAGGGATTGAATGATACAATTTTAAGGTCAAATGAGGAAAAAAAGCAACCAGAAAATCTTGCCGAGTTATCCTTGATTATATTATCCAGGTAAACAATGATATGGAAACAAGAATACAAAGGAGGAGGAAGGTAAAGAGAAGAAAGGAGAAGAGATGAGGAGAGATGAGGAGAGATGAGGAGAAACGGGTCAGGAAATTTTCAACAAAAACATATGGAGATACAAATCTTCACCATAGATGAGCTACAAGTCTACAAAGTCCAAACCATTTTCATCTCTGGTAACAGTTTTCATCCAGATGGAGGACGCGTGTGTGTATGTTGATTGTATATAAATGGCCCTCTAAACCAGTCTCGTTTCCCTTCTCTCTCCTCTAATTTTCTTATAGACTTTTCTTGCATCTTTCATTGCGCGTGCAAAGCTACATAGCACGAGCTAAACTTGTCCAGTCAACTTTTAATGATCCTTTCTTTGCTTTCTCTTCCAGAGCTTTCACTAAACATTTCAAGATAGTCCAGTTGATGTCCCTTAACTCACTTTTTCGTGCCTTTGCCTATGAGGATAACACGAAGGTCAACCACAGACTTGAGTCGACCGTACTATTAATACTATAACACTGGGTCATCACCATTACATCTTGATCATCTTGGCTCTTTCGCTCCTCGTTTATGCACTATTTGACCCTAACCAAGAAACTGGTTTGGTCAAGGTTCGCTATCTATGATTGTCACATCTCTAGTTGCACAGCTAATTTATCTCTAATGAATGAAATAATAGCATAATTAATGGTGAAGTGAACACAATTTCCTCGATGGATACAGCAACATTAACCAAGGCCAATAGAGAGATAATAATGAATTTATATAATTTGGATAGTTTTACAAAATTATAATTACTCAAATTATTTTCTTTGTTTCTTCTTTCCGTCATTTTTAAACATCTTATAGCTTCAAATTAAACGAGGGAATTAAACACAAGGTGAATGAAAAGTTTCCGGAGTCAATGGTTTCTATTCTTACAATATTCCTTGTACTTGTGTTGATCACTTTACGAGATGCCACAGGAAGAGAAGAGGCCAAGTAAGGTGATTACTATTGTAAGGTGGACTGAAGTTTGCCAGTGCTTGTGTTTTGAAAATGAGCCCTTTTTACACTTCCAATAAGTATGCTTTTTAACAATACATTTGTCCTTTAAACTTGACTCAAAGTATTCTCCATTTCTCTTTCCTCTTCCTTTAGCCTGTACCAGGAGAAATAACCTTTCTACATTCTTAAAAGCCAGGTGAATTATCAACAAAAGGCAAATTTGGCGATCACCTTATTTTATAAGTTCCAGAGGAAAGTTAAATGTGAAGAAAGAAAGGAGAAGAAAGAAAAGACCATCAAGTTGAAGGAAACAACGATTTAGGTCTACTAGACAACACCGAAATAAAGTCTATTCACTGTTTTGGAGGAATAAAGCATTGGATAGAGATGAAAGTATATGAAAGGTCAAACCATCTGTCCTTTGGTTACCTTCATTTTACTGTCATGTATGTATTTAGGTTTACCTGAGGTCACAAGAGAGTCACGCGTGCAAGTTACTTTGATTGAGCCTGAATGTTTGGTTAATCATCAACTTAGGGGAACCCTATGTCTGTTATACACAAGACTTTAACATAATAATCGCTTTCCTGGTTTAGCTCAACCAAATTGTTGTTGCATTGCTGCTGTATCTCAAAACAAGTAAACATTTCAAGCTTAACAGTGGTTAACCGTTGATGGTGAACGGTTTATCCGATTGACCAAAGCTGTGTAAAAAACAAGTCATCCCTGCTGTTAATTTATTGCTTGATTATCGAATCAACCAATATGTTTTTAGAGATAATTTCTGTAACTCATCAATTCAACTTTGATGGACTGGCTATTCACATCAAATTTAAGTCCTTTTATGCAATATGGCATTACCTAAATTTGTTGGGTTTAGTATTACATGAAATTTCACTGCAGTCATTTTGATGATTGAATGAATATTTATAATTTGTCTATAGTACATTGTGTATTACAATTCTGAAATTTCTTTCGTAAAGTATTTACTCTAACATTTACTGTAAGTACAGTTCAGCGCTTCAGCGTTCAGTTCTCTTTCCGCTTTCTAAGAAGACGTACAAAACATACACATATTTGTAAATTTGTACAACACCCGCACCTAAACATTCTTCGAGAAAAAGGCTAAAGGCTTAATTAGGATTGATATAAAGTATGGTCATAATCCGAAGTCTATGTCAATTTCACTTTCTTTCACTATTCTGCTCGAAAAATATACAAAACTTAAAATCGTAAAATATGAATCATAACAATATCTCTTAACGTTGATAAATTGTATACCAGAACTTTGTTTTCCTCTCTGTCGACCATTTATCCAGTTTTTCCGAAAAAACGAACAGACTCACTTGTTGATTAAAAATATTGTACTTGAAATTAGTTATTCTAACTTTAAATATTGATGTTTTAACGCAACTTTTCTTTTTTTCAATACGTGAGCTGAAAAAATTTCAACTCTGAAGTTTCCAGTGTCTTTGAATCTTCCAATAACGTAAATTTAGGTCCACATAAAAGAAACATCCGTCTAAAAGTGCATAGCTATCGAGAATGACGATGAGATAACTGATGATGAATAAATCTAAAATAATTGCTTTGGCTGCAATAACTATTCGTGTCTTATGATTCGCGTAGATGGTCTTGGTGTACGTTTTATCTCTTCCTCAGCTGGTGGCACATAAATTGCTGGATCAGGAGTAATGTACTCATCACTTGGTTCGTTTGTCCTATTTTTTAACCACGATACATGATCATCATAGTCCGCTTCGGATAAAATGTCATCTCGATTACCAGTAAGTATGCGTTGACTTCCTCTGAATGTGATTGCAGATGAAGCCAAGTTTTTTCTTGTACTCTTGATATACATTGTGAACAAATAATTAGTAATTTGTATTAATTAATTTGTATTAAGGGACTCACCATTCGTGAAAAAGGAGCAATTTTTCGACGTCTATTATAAATAGTTCGTTTTCTATAAATTATACCGATGATAACAATTAAAATCAACAAAACAGCTCCAGCGACTAGACCTAAAATTATCGCCAAATTATTTCTACCATCACTAAATTCCGAAGCATTAGACTTTTCTGGACTTGATGTAGAAGATGTTTCTGTCTTTTGGTTGCCTTGAACTGTTGTTGGCGGTTGTTGAACATCAGGTACCTTTTTGTTGTCATCTTTAATTGCAACAATTGTTTCATTATCCAAACCAGTAAAATCAATTCCAGTGGTAAGCAATTTTTCTTGGAACTTTGATACTGTCTCTCGAAATGAAGACAAAGTTATGTTGCTGAAATCATCTTGTTCAGGCCAGTAAACTAGATCGAATGATATTTTAAACGGATTCTTCAAAATAACCAAATTTTGTATCGAACTCTCTGGAAGATTTAGATTTTTCACCAACTGACGTTTAATAGATTGGATAAAGAGTCTCGAACGATTAACAACAGCAGTTTCATAGTCATCTTTAAAGGTCAAAACAATCGGAATAGTTACCACCAAATCAGTAGAGTTTGCATAAAATTCATCTTCAGGCAAATTGTCAGCTGGAATGTTGTCAATCACATCGGTTCCATTAAGATCAAAAAAGTTAATTGTCCCATCTGTAGTCTAAAGATAAAGGATAAAAACATTTTAACAAAAAGACGGTTAAATTCAATTCAATTGATTAATCAATATGATAACTCTGATATAAATACTCTAATAAATCTCAGACAATTTCTGTTTTTTTTAATTGCTATTGATATTCAACATTTGATAACAATATTAAAATAATTTAAAGCAAAATTTTGTTTATCAATTCAAACTACTTTAAGACACATTAGATGGCACCATAAACATGATATGAAATAAAATTTTTGGAGGCAACTTTTAAAGCGTTTAAACAATTTGTTAATTTTTCAGTTGAATTAATTATTAAAATAGATGACTTTACCGGTATCGACTCTGGACTAGTGGAAGGACAATTTACAAGGCATTCATCGGTTTCTGGACAGTAAATTGTCCCGTATTGGCAAGAATCGATCTCTTCAATTAGTTTGTCTGTACAAATAACATCTAAACACGAGAAAGATGAGGCACAAAATAAAAACTCAGAAACACAAAGTGAATTACGTCTTCTTGGTAACAATCCTAATCCAGTATTAATCTGTTTTTTCACGGGTTCATCATTGCTATCAGAGTCATAATCAATATCAGATCGATTGTCTGATGACTGATTGTCTTTTGGGTTAACAGTTGGATAAATTAACGATTCAATATCTTGTTTAGATGTTGATTTTTCCTGAACAAACACAATCACAACCATCATTACTGTAGTGGCACAATTGGATAGTCTCATAATCAATTAATCACCAAATCCAGGCCATTGGATAACCACTGGACAATTTACCCGATCACGTATGATCAAATAATTTGTAATGTCTAAACCCATTTGCAGCATCATTATTTAAATCAGTAAACAGTAAATATAAAAATTTGCTCTTCTATTACCATTGTAATACTATTAATGAAAATTGAAATTTTCAACAATCAGGAAATAAATGTCATGAGTGTTTATAATTTCATTGCTAGGGAAACACTAGAAAGCAATATTATTGTTCCCATTCTTGACAAATTATTTCCCATTCAATTCAATCGATATTAAAGTAATTCAACAACAAGTCTATGAAGTCATTACCAATTGATTTGACTTATAAAGGAAAACACATCGATTTGAATTGCTTTTGATTGATTGTAAAAGTAAAGGAAAAGTGACAAAAATAAATGAAACCTTAAAATTGAAAATCAATAATTCCTCAATGAATTTTGTGCAAGAAACTGAACTTCTAGACTAAATTTGACATTTAGCTTGAATTTCGTTCTGTAATATTAGCACTTGAACTCACTAATTAATTTCGCCTAAAAATTAATCATTTAATGATGAAATTATAAGCTTAATAAATCAGATTAAGATCTGGTAAACTGTCTAATCAGAGGTCTGATCTTTATGCTAATTCACTTGCTCAAAGCATTGATTGCACTTTCTTTGCGTACCAAATCTTGGTTAACAAGATTGATTGCTGTTTAACAATAAATGGCAACTTATTAGTATAAGCTCGAGCAAAATGTCGAAGATTAATGAATGATGAAAATGTTTTACTTTTTTGATCATTTCATGATTAACAGTTTATGTCAACACAAGTTAATCTGATTGTCAGTGTTGGAAGCAAATCATCAATATTTCAACCTTGTTTTGGATGTAAATGAAAGCCAACTAATTTACATTGAAACATAACGCGAATTAGAGATTTAAAGATTTGAATAAAAGGCCAAAATTGACATTAAAATTAGATGTAAAATTGAAAACAAATGACTATTGAATAGTAATTAACATTTTGTTTAACAGCTAATATTGATAAATTATCCGTTTCACTTTTGTCCCTCAATCATCGATCACTTTTCGCAATTAAATCTCAATAACACACACCCAATAAACTGCCTGAAGCATTATCAGATACAATACAATAAAAAGTTCAAGTGAACACAATTTACCTTGATTCAAATTTACATCAATTAAGCCATCAGAGACACAAGTTTCATCGGACAACAAGTCCACAGTTGAAGTCACTTCTAATGGTCAACTTGTAACCATTACCACTAAAGGATAAGTTGTCCTAATCAAAGGCAATTTAGTTGCTTCCAAATTGTTGAAAGGTTGATCAATTTGTTGAAACCCATCAAAATACATCCAATTACATGAAATGGATTCAATCATCAAGTTTCTTCCGAATGTAAAATCAATGAAATCTTGTCAATCAGTGAAAGTTGACTTTTTGTTGTTTATTTGGTCAATCATTTTTGTACACTAAAGCTGAAATCAAATTGTTAATTAGATCAAGGTATAACAGTTTAACTTTTCAATCGATAACTCAACGGTAAAAATTGATTAAACATTTAATTGATTAACTTGAGCTGTTCAACATCATGTTGAACATGTTGTTAAACATTTTACTTACGATTTTGTTTTAATGTTCAACATTTGTTCAGATCAAACAAGCAATTAACACGAATTGTTAATTTTCAAAGCGTTGGCGGTAAAGATGCGTGAGTGAAAAATTCTTGATTCAAATTATCCTTTTATTGTAATTGTCCAAATCAAGAGTGAAAGGTTTATCAATAGACATTGACTTTGACTGGAAAACGCAAATTAATTTGAAAATAGCATTTTCAGGATTAATATTGATTTGTTGTTGATAACGATCAAAATCAATATCAGTAATAATTCGTTAATTGTCTTTATGCTTTAGGCTTTGATTTGTGTTTCCATGCTAAATGGGTGTTCATTTTTTGCTACTTAACTTTACCTTCATGTTTATGTTTTTTTGTACAGCTTTCAATATGTAATACAAATTGGCTGGACAGTTTGTGAGTTGATTTACTTTATGTTCATACTTGGTGTTAAATTAAATTAAGGCAAACCTGAAATTGTTTGACCATTAATTATAAATGGACAGAAAAGCAAAATCAATAAGTTAACATTTGGCGTGGTTTTTTTGAAGGTTAACCATTAGAATCACTTTTCCTTCTAATTATTATTATCAGCATAATTAGTTGATTCCAGAGCATAATCATGATAACATTCACACATTCAATCACTGATTAACATGTCCATAGTTTACAAAAATTATGGCTTTCAATTCAAGTCGATTGAAGATAAAAACAATGATTTATTCATTTGAGGCCAAAATCATGTGTTACCTTGTAGCTGCATGTGAAGTTTTGGCTAATCAATGTAAACTCAATGATTTGGTTCGGACAATTTAATCACAGCACTTCAAGTTTTGTTGAAGCTAAAAATATCAAGAGTTGAAATGAAACAATAAAAAACCTTGTAACTTATTTTAATCATTTTGCTGTTATTAATCGTCTTATTGTTAAACATTTGTAATTACTGGTTTAAATCGGTAACAGTTTATCTGGGAAAGCGTTTATTTATATGAATTATTACTTGATCAGATGATAATAATTCAATATCAGAATCAAAACTGAGATTATCTTGCATCAATTTGGTAAGTTAATCAACAACAAACAGTAGACATCAAAAGGCTAACCTTAATCATTGTTTTATTTCAATGATTTATGTTTTGATTAAATACTTCTATGGTTTACTTGAATTAAGGAGTCAGGTTTATTATAATCTGATTTATGTAAAGTAGTAATGACCATAAATGAATTTGATCTGTTTTTGATATTGAAGTGGCTTTTAATGTTTTTTTGACAAAGACAGTTTGATGGACGAAATGAAACAATTAACTAATCATTAAACTTATTAAATGAGCGCTAATAAGAAGGCGAAGGATGGATAGGTAACGAAGGACAGTTGATGGAGCTTGAGTAAGCCTGAAAAGGTTGATATTGTGGTAAAAGAAGGAGGATTTAATATTGATTAGTATCAATAATGGTATTAGTTGAATACATATTTTAGCTTTTCGTTTTCCGTCTGTTGATTGGGAGGTGACTACAATTAATGGTCAGTCGATTGTCCCTCGATGAATTTCATATAAAAGGAATGGTTAATCGACAATCAAATATCACTTTAAATCAATTCATTTCTTAATCAACTTGTAAACACCAACCAACAAACCAACCAACAACAACCATGAAGGTAATGAAAGTTTACCATTACAATTGTGCTTCCATTATTATTGAGCCATTCATTTTGTTTTCCAATTGGATTTTAAAAGCTAATTTTCTAATTGTGATTCTCTTTGATAAAATGTTTCATTTAATTTCGCCAGGTTATTGCCTTATTCGCTCTTATTGGTCTTGCCACCGCCGGTTACGCTCCAGCTAACCTTGCTAACACTGGTTCATCAGTCTCAACCCGAACCCAAGACTCTGTTGGTAACTACGCTTTCGCTTACCAAGAAAACCATGCTACCGGTGGAACCTCAAGAAAGGAACAAGGAAACGCTTATGGACAAGTTGTTGGTTCATACAGTTTAGGAGTTATCGATGGAAGACAACGAATTGTTAACTACGTTGCTGACCCAGTCCACGGTAAGTGAAGTCTGATTGAAATTGATGATTGAGTTGTTGATTTTTGGTTTGATTTCAATCACTCCAAATCTGGCAATCACAACAGTTGATAGTGAAAGTTTATTCATTTCAATTGATGGATAAATGGACCATTCAAGCATCCATCAAATGAAACAACTGTAATTTATTATAACCATTTCAAGTCAGTGATTAGCCACAGTCACTCGATCCAAAAGCCTTGTTATGTATAATCTATCATTCATAACCATTGATTTCAGGTTTCCGCGCTCAAGTTATCACGAACGAACCTGGAACCGCTCCAACCACCCAAACTGTCGCTAAAGTAGCTGCTCCAGTTGTTGCCGCTCCTCAATATGCTGCTCCAGCTCCAGTTGTTGCTGCTCCAGCATACGCAGCTCCCCAATACGCTGTTCCCCAATACACTGCCCCACAATACGCTGCTCCAGCTCAGATTGTTGCTGCTCCTTCATACGCAGCTCCAGTCGTCACCAAAGTTGCCGCTCCAGCATACGCTTACTCTGCCCCAGCTTTGACCTACTCTGCCCCAGCCCCAGTTGTAACCAAAGTTGCTGCCCCAGCTTATGCTTACTCTGGCCCAGCTTTTACCTACTCTGCCCCAACTCCAGTTGTTGCTAAAGTAGCTGCTCCAGCTTACGCTTACTCTGCTCCAACTTATGCCTACTCAGCACCCGCTCCAGTTGTAACCAAAGTTGCTGCTCCAGCATACTACTCAGGCTACTCAGCCCCAATCGTCCACAAAGTTGCTCAAGCCCCAATTGTCCAACAAGCCTGGTAATTGTCTCGAATTAATAATGATAAATAGTAGTGATTAATGTATTTTTATCTCGGCTCAACTAAACAGATATAAGGTTAAAACCACATATCATTTAATTGTAATATCGATTGTTGAAATATTGTATTTTGTGTTTCTCTAAGTCCTAATCCTTAACGAGCCTTTTTTAAGCAAATTATAAAATAAAATCATTTTTTGATTAAAACACTTGTTCATTTTCAATTTATTTCAAATTGATACTTTTATGATGATCAACAGAAATGGCATACATCAAAATGTGATACATGACCGAATACCCAAAAAATATTCCATATAAATTTTAAAGAATAATCAAGCAAAACTGAATATTTCTTTATCCAATGGTATTATATTTTGTAATTTTCAGATCGACTGTGAATCGACAGACCTAAAGGTGGAAATAACTCACTCGAACAAATACTCGGATAATTAAGATAAACTTAAATTGCATGCAAAATCAATCTGACTCAAACATCACTTTATTGGAGAAACTTGAAAAGTAAAATTTAAATCTTGATCACCAAAATTTCATCAGACAAATCTACAGATACAGAGTAAATGATTATTTTTTGAACAAAAGTACGATATTACGAAATGAAACTTTCTTCAAATATTTTGAAAATTCATGATACAGAATAGATAAATCTGATAGTAACTTGAGATGAAATTTCCGTGTTGAAAATTTCTTTTCATTAACTTCCAGACTAAATCAGATAATGGGAATGAAAGACTCGTTATAAATTTAAATTTAAAGGAAATATGATTTGTTTTTGTTTGTTTACAACAAAACTTTTGTAGTTGCCATTTGTTAATTGGTTGATCATGATCGACAACCAGATCATTCTTTGACTTATTTTAAAAAAATGGCTAATTTGTTAACATAACGAATATGAATATTGAGAAAAATCTGAAAGAAAATCGACATCTTGGAGAAAACACGAAAATGGTCAGATGAGTCTTTTACTTTAATGGATAACAGTCAACAGTAATTGGCCAATTAGAGAAGCTAGAAAGATTGAATTTGCAGTTGAATGGATGTTCACTGATTATTCACATAATAAATTCAAACTAGAATGCTCGTTAATTTTGTTTGGAAATTTATTCTTGATTAAAAACATCAAATTTTTATTGATCTTCTTGTCCATCGGTCTAATTGGGTCGATACTCTATTAGGTTTGATTTGCTAATTTATCGTTTCGCATTGATTTTCTGAATGCTTTGTAATACCAGTTTATCGAGACGATAGCTCAGGTAATATGAGCACGAGTTGGAGTGACCATTATCGTTAATCATAGTCTAAATAATGGTTCTCTGCGCGCAATACTTGACTAGACTAAAACGCGTTTCAATACGTCCGTTTTTGAGTACGACTTTCACCACTAGGGGCGTCTCCGGATAAGATGATACATATACGGTATTTGGACTCACATGTCAGCTTGTTGAGGTCTATAAGCACACAAAGTTTCATGATTCAACTTTCATCAAGAAACTTGACAGGTTGGATGAGGAAGTTCAGCAATTTTCTGATTTTATTTTATTAGATAAGTTTATTTACTCTCTATTTAACTTTACAACATTTCCAATTTGTGATTCATTTTATTTTTGCATTGTGTTTAAATAAGTATCAAATTGTAATGGGAAGGATACGAAAAGATGCTTTGGATCTCGAGTTTTTACCCGTAACAAGTAATGTTAGATTTATTGGACCAGAAAGGATTACAAGTTTTTCAACCTACTATAACAAAGAACGTGAAGAAGTATATCGCTCTGATAATTCATCGCAGAGGTATCTAGACGCGACCAAGTTGAACATACCAATCAATTGTCTTGAAGGATACAATTCTGAATCTTATGTATGTGATCTTCCAGGCATATGGGAGTATTTCATGCACTGGATTGGGAAACATGAAGAAATTATTAGAGGTCCAAATCCTAAAAACGATCCACAACAGCAGATTGATTTCATATGTACAAATCTGGAATTGAAAAGAATATTGCTTGCATGTTATGAAGAAAGTGACTGGACTATAATTGCATTCAGGATCGAGAATGAAATTTTCATGCATTTAGCCGATGGAGAGACTATTGAAGACAACATACGTAAATTACATGGGGTAGAGCCCACACCCCAATATAATCCTAGGAAAACCAATAAAATGAACTATGCAAGATTGAATGTTATCAGAAAGATAACTAAACGAGTTGAAGAGCGTGAATTGAACTCTGACACTGATCAGGATTTATTCAGTATTATTACATCTTCAAAAATTGGCCAACATCGTATATTACACACTGGTATTACAGAGTTTGTGGCAGATAAAGATGATGTGGATAAGCCAATTGATCAAGTTAACTTTGCAGCTTTGAAACTCATACCCTACCTGTTCAGAGGACGTAACACAGGCTTTAATATTTCATTTTATCGTCACCTGTATTGGTGGGCATCTGCACTGGTTACTGGCCTCGAAACACTTATTTGTGGAGATCTTGATGAGGATTTTACTCTCAGTAAATTGAAAGTGCTTCCAGCCAGTATACTTAAAACAAAATATCACGCTACAGCTCAGAAAAAATGTCTCATTACTTTAGACAAAATTTTACATTTCATCAAATCTGAAGTTAAAGAAAAAAACATGGCTTATGAATTTCAATTGAATGCTGAAACTCGAGAAGTCATTGTGTCTCCTCCAAAAAAATTACCCATAAAAGCTATCATTACAAAGTGGAAATTACCATATGATATTCAAGAATCAGCAAAATCTTAGCCATGCAATGCCAAATTGTCAAACTACTCATTACTTTTTAATTGATCTTCAATTATTGCCCAGCTCAGTAAAAAATCAAAATTTTAATAAATGAAAATTAACGAAGAAAAATTAAGTTAACTTCAGTTTTGATTCATTTAAACTTATTAAAATAATATAATGAATTAATTTCAACTTAAATTCTTGACAACCTATTGAATTATTGACCTATCTGATTTTTCATGACAATTTGTTAACATAACTTAATATAAATATTCAGAAAAATTTGAAAGAAAATCAACATCTTGGAGAAAACACGAAAAATGGTCAGATGAGTCTTTTACTTTAATGGATAACAGTCAACAGTAATTGGCCAATTAGAGAAACTAGAAAGATTAAATTTGCAGTTGAATAGATGTTCACTGATTATCCATATAATAAATTTAAATTAGATGCGTGAAAGAGTGAAGAATAAAATAGAATTGATTGACATTGGGATTTTAAGGAAAGGTAAAGGATAAAATTGAAACAATTAAGAGTTTTCTCAGATTAATTCAAACATCCATATCAATGAGGATGATGATTTTTACATGAATATTCAAAGTAAATTCAGTTAATGAAAGTTTCCACGGAAGATATTCACAGATGATCAAAAGATGGGCAATGATTAGCAGAAAATGAAAGAAATGAGGAAATTAAAGTGCGATAATTATGTGAGGTTTCACTTAAATACCAGGCATAATGAATGAGATGTTATCCATTAATTTATCGTGTACTTCTTTGGGACATCCGTTGGAATGTTCAACTAACCTCGTTAGACCAACCAAAGATCCCATAGCACAAATTGTTGAATCTAGAAGTACCGATAAAGAAACTGAACTAGCGAGACCTGGACGGTCATTTAGTCTTTGACCTATGTTGGTAAGTGAATCTCCAATGAGTTTTAAATGACATGCTACATCGACGTAACCTCCATCGTTTTTACGAGTTGAGGTCGATTCTTGACTTTTTGTTGAGTATTTAGGCGTCACAGTGGATGAAAGTTTTGAAATTATTGAAGATTTAGAATGACTTGAGGTAGATTTAGATGGTAAAGAGCTAATTGGATCTGAAGCTCGATGCATATTCTGGGCCATTTTAGCCGCTTTCCGTTTCCATTGCATTTTTTCCTTATTGGGGAGAGTTTGCCACACTTCACCTAATCTTTTACTAACACCAGCGAAATCTAAATGAGGGTTGCTTTGAGCTATTTTAGAACGATTTTCTCGGGCAAAAAGTGTGTAAGCTGTTATTAACGGACCACGTTTTTTCTTTTCAGGAGTTTTTCCCTCTAATGGTGTTTTCAGTTTAGCCTTGGTTTGACGTTTAGGTTTCTTTTCTTCCTTTTCTTCGACTTCCGGTACCGGCTCAGCTTTAGGTGTTTTCATCTTGTTTACATGAGCCATTGCTGATGCCAAAGAATCTTGAGGATCATTAGCTATAACCAAAGATGCTTCGTCTGAGTCATTATCATCTGAACCAAAGTCAACATTACCAACAATACCATATTTGAACTTCCGTCTGAAACCTTTACGTCTATGATCAATGTGAGGTTGACCAGATGTGATCTGTTCAAATAATTTGTTTGCCGCAGAGTCATTTTCAACCATTTTGCGACTAATCTTTATGGGTTTGATGGCAAGTTCACTAAATGAAGTATCTGAACTCGTAGACTTTTTGGGTGATTTATCATGTTTTTTAGCAGCCAAAGTTGATATAGCTGGTAAGGGTGTTGAAGAGGGGATGACAGTTGTGACAGGTAAAACTCCAAGAGCGGTGCCTACATTTAAAAAGATTAAAAAGAACAGAGCATTTTATAAGTTCGAACAATATGAAAGCCCGCGTAAAATGTGACAAAAAACGAAGTCTAAATAAACAAAATGTTTTATCTGGAGCTTGTCTGCCAAATAAATACAATTTAAGTAACAAAAAATTTTTGGCGGTAGATTTATCAAGTTGAAAATAAAATAATTATAATTTTAAAACTACATAACAAAGTTTTAGGAGGCAAAATTTGCTGTAGTCTGAAACACTCACAACCTTGAATTCAAGAGTCGATTCTAGGGGCATTGAAAAGGCTATTTACCTGAATTAATAGGTGGAGATGTAGAGTTTATAGTTGGTGACATGTTTAATCCATCATAATCTGTATCATCAATGTTTTCGTCAGCAATATCATCATCATCACCTTCCATCATCACGGTGTCTTTGAAATTATCATTTATAGGAGGTATTTTGATTTTAAGACGCTTGGAGCTCAATGAATTGGTCAAATCACGTTCAATGAAAGTCTTTTTAGGCGTTACACCATTGTTCGTGATTCCAATCGGTGTCCGAGCTGGTTTAGGTTTATCTACTGATTCGACAGTTTTCTCAGTTTCTTCCATTTCAATAACTTTAGCCGATTTCTTACGGATCCGACCAGACCGAGAAATTCCCGCTGTTGGTGTTTCAGGGCTAATTACACCAGCCATTTTGATTTATTTATTGAGACAATTATAAAGAATAGCTAACTAGCGATATGCTGTCAAAGTGAGAAAGACAATCGATGAAAATAAGATTTTAATTCACTCAAAAAGATAAAAGATAAACAGAAAAACAATAACATTTGACAAAATTAGCAAACCTCTTCCAGCTTAATCTTCAAGCAAGGATCCATTCCTTCAAAGATTGAATCCACAAAAGCGCCAAATACAAAACAAGGGAATTTTTTTCTCTGTTTTAATGTATTTTAATAACAGAATGTTTAATTGCAATAATATTTAAATCATAAAATAAATCAAAATAACTATATTATTTGATCCAAAGATAAATTAATCCACCTATCTTGTAAAAATAACAAACATTGAATAAGTCTTAATAGTATCGTAGGCATCGTAATTCACTTTTACAATGATTAAAATTTGAAATGATTTAAATATCTAGACAACTAATGCAAATTAATTAAAATCAAAAGATTTTTAAGGTAATAATTGTTGAAAAGATTGTGCCTTTTCGATGATTTAATTGGGTTAATTTTGTTTAAATGTTTAAGCCGAAAGCAAGAAGGCGAAATTAGCTGACAGTTACTTCTCAGCCTTACCAATTGACATCAAATAATTTTCAAGATGAGTTGAATAAAGAATCGGTTCAGGTCGATTTAAATTTCCTGAGATGGTTCATCATGTTTGCTAGACGATCGACAACTACGGAGCGTTTGTTTACAGCTTGATTTGAATTGAAAAGATTATTTCTTGAAGCTTTCTGTCGATAGATCGAACTCTTTATCGATAGTTGTTTACTAAAATTTCAACATACAGATTATTAATCTGTACATCTTGACTCTTCTCAACTTTCAAGGAAATGGAAATCTAATCTAAATCTATTGTAAAGCTACTTTGATGTAGCATTTGATTTTTTACCATATCTGCTGCTTTTATCTGAGAGATCAATATCACGACGTTCAGTAGACGACTTTTCATGTAAGTTCATTTCTTTGCTCTATTTGTAACTTTTTGCTTACGATTCCTCAGTTTTTTTTGCTAGACTTGCACAGTTCGTGTTGTCTTCCCTGTGTTTGTTTACAGTCGACCCATTCATTAACCTTATTAAATTTTCATTATCATCCAACATCTTTACTATTTTATCCACAGCTTTGATTAAACATGGAAACATCGAGTTCGGTTGTCCAGAAAAAGATTGACATAGAGTCACCTCGTTATGATCAAAGTACCTATTTGGGAAGAGCCAAACATTTTTTCGTCGTAACTAATCCATTGAATCTATTTAAGTCTCCTGATGAAATTAAGCGAGCAAAGGAAATTGTTGAAAACTACAGGTAAGATACTATGAAACTTAAGATTTTTACTTGTTTTTCTTTCTTTTTTTGTCTTAGTGCTTGGTACATTTCTGTTAAATTGTACTTTTAAATTTAATGCCAGAAACATTATCATCAATCTAAACTGTTTCTTTTTATTTTAGGAAGGGTCATGATGTAGGCCCTATTACTGAAGATCAACTATGGTACTACAAATATCTTTATGATAGTGCTCATCATCCAGAAACTGGAGAGAAGCAAATCTTAATTGGACGGATGTCAGCTCAAGTACCAATGAACATGTTCATTACTGGATGTATGTTAACATTCTACAAGTGAGTTTCGATTTACTTGCAATACTATCTTGAGATATTTTTAGAGGCTAATCACTTGAAACATTTTCTAAATCATGTATATGTATATCATGTTAATCGAAATTGTGTTTTGCTATTATTTTTATTGCAATTTAGGAGCACTCGTCAAGTTGTCTTTTGGCAGTGGTTTAACCAGTCTTTCAACGCTGTTGTAAATTACACCAATAGAAGCGGAACTTCAGACATACCACTTTCGTACGTTTTCATTATTGACTATAAAATAAAAAATCGTTTGATTAATTTGTTTATTCTAATTTCAGGCAACTGGGTACATCTTACGTTTTTGCAACCAGTGGCGCACTTGTTACTGCCTTAGGTCTTAATAGTTTAGTGAAAAAAGCTCCAGCTCTAGTTGGCCGATTTGTACCTTTTTGTGCAGTCGCTGCAGCCAATTGTGTTAACATTCCCATGATGCGATCAAAGTGAGAATCATTATTTGCTCATTTTATCTCTAATTACATATTGACTCATAATTTTCTCATGCTATTTTTATGAAAACAATTTTAGAGAGCTTAAAGAAGGTATCGCATTGTATGATGAGAATAATAATCTCGTTGGCGAATCTAAAGTGGCAGCTAAAAAGGCTATCTCTCAAGTAACTTTTTCGAGAATTGCAATGGCTGTTCCTGGAATGAGTAAGTATCTTTCTTATCAAAAATCTCATTATCCATCCATCTTAAATCAAATCTTTGCCCTAATCGAGCTTATCTTTTCTTATTGTTGCAAACTTTCTTAGCCTTACCGCCAATTTTCATGAATTATTTGGAGAAACGAGGAGTTTTAAAAAGAATGCCATGGATTAATGCTCCTTTGCAAGTTGCAATATGTGGTTTCTTGTAAGTATCAACTGATTCAAATACATCTGATGTGAATCTATGTTATTTATCTAATTTTTTGTTTTCATGTTTACTGATCTTTTCACTTTAAATTATTTTTATTTACTTTTTCTAGTCTAATATTTACAACTCCTTTGTGTTGTGCACTTTTCCCGCAAAAAAGCTCAATAACTTTGGATCAGGTTGAACCCGAACTTCAACAGAAACTCAAGGAACACAAGAGTCCACCGCAAATATTGTATTACAATAAAGGACTATAAGGACAATTGAGTTGGCCTGAAATTCAAAACACAAACAAAAAACCAAGACCAATTGTTGTCTATCATTCACACTAACTAAGAAATGGCAAGGGAGGGAATAGCTATGAGACCAATGTTCATAAGAGACTGTGATTTAGTTAATTTTAAATTAATTTTTCCCTTGATTTTTGATCAACTGTCCTTAGACAGTTTTTGTCTTATGATTAATAACGCAACTCAATTCTTTTGAGAATAGATTTTTCGTTTTCATTTCTCCATTTTATCTTTGAATGTATCTTTATTTTCATTTGCCAAGATCTGTTCAAAATAAGTGGCTAGTTCAGTCTTCTTTCCATTGTTCTTGCATCGTTATTTACATTTAACCGATATCTTGTTATTGATTTTTTCAGTGTTCCTTTTTCAAAATACTAATTTTAAAGCATATCAAATTTGTTGGATGCAATGTTTAAGTGATCAAAGATCCATTTATAATTAGATTCTGTTTTCCAGTTGAAATATGTATTTGTTCAGGGCTGTGTTATCTATTGTAACAATTTAACTTGTTGATTCATTCAATCGTCTTTCATTGGTGTTTAACTCAACCAACAAAACTATTATTCCTGTTAATATAATAAAAAGGAGAATACAAGAGTCCATTGCAATAATGTATTACAATAAAGGACTAAGATTTTTCCATTTATCTTTGAATGTATCTTTATTTTCATTCGCCAAAATCTGTTCAAAATCAGTGGCTAGTTACGTCTTCTTTCAACTATTGTTACATCGTTATTTACAATTAAACCACTATGTTGAAGGTAACCAGTAATTAATCAAACATTTGAATTAGATAAACTTATATCTATAAACAATTTATCAACTTCATAGTTGCTTCTCATGGGTAAAAAACTTGAATGTTTAATTTCGTTAAAAATTAGCGAAAATCAAAATATGTAAGACAAAATATTGTATACAATGATTATCTTTAATGATCAATGACCAGGGTGATAATACAATGTAAAACTCTAAAAAATGGTTAAAAATCTCAGTACGATATTCTGTAGCTTACCATGGCCATGAAAATGACCTAAATAAGTCAAAATTAACTGAATATCTTGTGAGTCTTTCAAAGTTTACATAGTTCAATAGATAATCTCAATCAATTGATGAAATTTCTGACATCAAATGAACAATTATTTGACATCATATAAACAGTCACGATTAAAAATGACACGGTATATATGAATATTGAATTAATATAAAATAAAAGATCAAGGTTCGAATAAAGTACAGAAATAATAATTAAAATATATTAAATTGGTAAAATGCGAAATGATGAGAAATATGGTGATGGATGAATTTGGAAAGATTTTGTACACGTGAAAGTGGATAATTCAAGATATTCATTCAGCGATTTCAGATCCGGCTTCGGATTCATGCTCAACTTGGTCTTCTTCAGCACCTTCTTCATCTAGAATAAAGTGGATAAATTGAAAAGATTAGCGGTCAAAGTTAACAAAAATTAAATAAAAGTAAATTACCATTATCATCACGATTTCTTTTCCGACCTCGGTACTGACGGCCAGGGGCACGATTGAGAGGAAGATCAAATTCATTGTGTTGAATCAAGCTACTTCGATAGCTCATCAAAGGTTGCCATTCATCGTTATGAATACCAGGTAACGCGCTTTGAACACATTTGTCCAAATAGCTGAGGCTGTAAGAGGGATGAGAAAAAATTCAATAAAAGATGATGAAAATTGTCACTGGATAATGTGAATTTCAAATACATACACAGTCTTTTTATCCTGTTTGATAAGCTTGTTTGAAAATTCACTGAGAATTTCAAGGAAAGGTAAATTAGGCGGAGGACCAAGAGGATCAATAGGATTATCCAGTTTATCAAAACTGAAATGGATTCCTTCTCGATGTAGAGATGCAACTGCGTCACGATTCTTTTGGTTATCTAAACCGAATGACAAAGCAAATCTTTTGGCTAACTCTTTCAGAGCCAAGAAGTTTTCATCTTGTTTTGTAAATGCATTAGGATTTTGGTGCGATTCAACCTGCAATTCCTTGAAAACTTGAATCAAAGCACTAGCCATAGTTTTGGCACAAATAACTTTATTCATTTCCCTAAGTTTACCAAGTGTTGTTTTGATAATGTCTCCGAAATCATTGAAGAACTATATATTAGAAATAAAATACATCATTAAATATACAAATAATTATCATGAATGAAAATCAAACTTACTTTGACATAATGACGAATGACACAAATAGCATGTCGCATAGGAATTACATTATAAATAATTAATTTACAATATCCAGCCAGTAAATGTCTTTTCTTGTGCAACTTCTCAACAGAGTTTTGTATTCCAGGTTCATCTAAATTTGAAGAAATAAAACGTTAAATTTCAATTATAGTTAAGAATGAGAAATAAAAAGTTTACCTTCAGATTCTTCATCATGAACGAATACTCGCTCAACAATGAAAGATTCCAATTGTTTGATGAGAGTATTATTAGGTCGGTAAACCAATTGTGCTACAGCTGGTGAATCGTTTTCGAGTTGATGATCAAACATCAGTAACAAATCACAAATACTGAAGTAGGCCTGTGGATTGAAGAAATTTTATTAAATTAAATGAAAAAATAGCACTAAATGTCAAAAGATTCAGTTAGATAAGATACGTACTTCTTGGGCTATGTCTTCATTAGGATGGCTCAATGTATCTCGCAATTCAGCAATAAATTCTATCAAACGATTACGAGTGTAATGTTCAACTGGTCCTTGATTTCTAGCTTCAGAAAGAGCATGAAGTTCCCATATCAAAGCATAATAACAAATACTGATAGAATATTTTATGGCATCTTCGGGAACATTATCAGCATTTTCAGAGCCAGCACCACGGATCCACCGTTCGAAAACAGTGTCCCACATTTCATAGGAGCTCATGTCGTGGCAAGATATAAAAGCAGCAATCTTTTTAAGAATCATTACAACTGCTTCTCTCTCATCACGACCATTAGGACGTTCTGAATATGCTTCAACAGCATCTTTATGCTTTTTCAAGACAAGAGTATCTAACAATGAGCTTTTAGATACCCAAACCTCTCTTTTGAAGGTGAAATTCTCATCGTATAAATATTCATAAGCTTTAGCACAAGCTTCCAATACCTCTGAATCAGAATGAATCTCAACCAAAACATTAACCAAACGAAGTAAAGATTCAAGTTGATCATTGTTTTGTGAATAATAGCTCAACTCAAAATATTGAGGAATAGTCATGAGATTAGCTATCTTTTCAGGATCAGTCTTGTACTTGTCAAGAAGGAGAGGAAGTGAAGCAATGAAATGCTCGGAAATACGATTCTTGTCATCAGCAACCTGTTTGGCTTCTTTAGTGGATATTTGTTTACGTACTGGACCTCTTCCGATAGGGTATTCTCCAGTGGCAGCTTGTTTTATTGCACACACCATCAGTTCAATCAAACTTGTCTCTTGTCGATCATCTAAAGCTTCTTCTTCTGGACCAGGTTCTTCTAAGAGCAAATCGGTCATACATTCCCAGTCTTTCATCATTGGGTGACTTTCAATCAAACTGTCGACTAAATATGCACCGTGTTCATGAAGTTCACTCTCAATGAAGAATGTAATTAAATCACGTATCAGTGGGGTGTGAACTGAACGTTTTTTACCTCTTCGAGAACACAAGTTTGAAGTAGCTTCCTCGTCTACTTGGAATAATTTTTCATTTAAAAACTCTCCAGCAGCTTGAGCAACTCCACGGTGAGTCGCATAGACCAATTCATAAACATGTTCACAATCTTTATCCGTCAACACTTCTCGGTGGTATTTATGTATACTGATTATCAATTTGATAGCTTGAACGGCAACCTCGTACTCTTTGTCCAGTGTCATGGCAACAATTCGTTCTTTGAATTTGTTTGTAAACAGCTCCATTTTGCGAGCGATTTCTTCAGTTTCATATAGAGGAAGTAGAGATTGTAAGCATTTAAGCCTTACATCACCAACTTTATCATGCAATGTCCAACCAACATACTTAAGGAAAGAATCATCAAGAAAATAATTGGGGAATCTTTTCATCCATGTACCTATTTCATACATGCATAAGGCTCTTATCTCTGGAATGATATCCCGATACCTGTGGACAAAGATTGATTTGAACAAGTAACCAAGCATCGTTTTAATATCCTCCATATTGTCATCAAGCTCTTGACGCTTAAGGACTAGATTATCCAGTCTATCTCCTCTTGATCTTTCTTGGCGAGCTTTATCTAGCTGTCGTTGGGTATTGTCGATGTTGATACTTAAAGTAAGAGCTACATCAACAAGAGCTGTCATAAGTTTCATAGCTGCTAAGGTTGCGGTGTGTCGGAAAGCTCGGACTTGAGAGTCCGACAATGTAATCAGAAATGAGATCATACTTTCCATCAGGTATTGATCGTAAATAATACTGTATTGACACTGGCGAATCAGTGTATGGACAAATTCACAAAAATTGGCTCTGAATTTCTTCCATTGGGGTCCATTAGTGATTATTGGATAGTCTCCTCCAGCTTGATCATCAAATTCTTCAACTAATTCTCTAATTATTCTTGCATTGTCCATAGTCTCCTTCATTTTAGCAGTAATTTTTCCTTTACAACCAGAAGCAAGGATAAAGAATTGTAACAACTCGAGAGTTGCAGCATCCCTATCCTGGCGATAAGACTCAATCCATTCATCAACAACAGACTAATGAATGGAAGGAGGTAAATAACAAGTGATTAGAAAAGATGAATGAAGCTATAGTTAATTAGGTTCATATCTAAAGATTTAATTCTTACCTGCAATGCTGCACGACCCTTTTTGACACTGGAAAATAACGAATTACCTTCATCACCAGCACTTAGCATTGACCCATCAAGAGAATCATCAATAACATGGGCAGCTGTGCTAGGTAATCCTGTTGGTCCAGGTAAAGGCACTGATTCCCCAGGTTGAACAGCTTCTTTACCTCGAGCTTTGCGAACCATGTCAGCAAATTGTCACACAAATAATAACTATAGAAGATAGTAAGGATAAAATTAAATTAAAAATAAATAAAAACAAAGACAATCAGAAAAGATAGCAAGAAGATAAAGAAGACATCGGCGGGAAGTAGATTGACTCAAACTTGGGAGGATCCTATCTTGGATCAGAAGTCCTCTATACTCATTCCAAGATACAACTCTCTCTCTCTCTTTCTCCCTTTTGTCTCTTTCTTTCTTTCTGAATGAAATCAGTCTTTTTTTGCGTATTTTTCAGCAAATCTATACACAAATACACAAGAACTGTATAATCGCTCTTTCTTCTGTCTTTTGCTATCCATTTTTAAATCTTTAATAAAAATTGAAACAATTGCTCAATAATTTATATTTTTTGTTATAAAATTTAATAACACTGTCCATCATACCTATTCTTATTGTAAACTATTGTTTTGGTACCTGTTCCACCACCAAGTGAACCATCATGTACTCGCTATCTAAAGGACCAACTACTAATAAGGTTTTAGTTAAATCTCGGCGAAGTAAGTATTTTTTCTTAGTTGATGTTTGTCACAATTATTATTTATTTATGACTAGTTCGTTGAAAATTTGCTGTCTGAAAATTGTTTTTGCGAAATTGAAGTTCTAGTCAAAACATAGGCATCTCAAATGTTAAAACGCTATTTACATTTCATCTACAATTTTTTTTGTTTTATTTTTTATCATCTCAGGTCTGCCTCCTAGGATGGATGCTTTTGAGAATCGCGGCAATATGAAAAATCGCCGTGAAAATTATCCCATTAATGATATTAGGTAAGATTCGTGGATTTCTTTCTTGTCGATGACCGGCAAATCTTATTTTTGCGTTTTTGCTCTGTGTGAACCAAATTATCGGTTTGTCATCATTCCACTAATGTCACGCTTGTTTCTTTTCTCTCCTCCCTTTTTGTCACGTTTAAAGCTCCACACGGCATGTTTATCATAATTCATCTTCCGGTAAAAAAACTTATCATCACCACCACTACCCACGGGAATCAAGAATTATCAGTCCGCAGCACCAGGAAATGATCAGTTATATCCATGGAAGTATGTTACAAAATGATCATGAACACTCAAAATCATCTATCAATTCATCAGTATTTTTATTTTTGTTTGATCAGATTATGTCATTCTCATGCTTATGATCCTTCTCTATATGCAATTGTCATATGATGTTTGGCCGATTTTATCCAGCTTTGATTTATTACTTGCATCTCTTTTCAGTGACCCTAAGTTTAAAAGCCTCTTATTATTAATCTAAAAATTTTTTTGGTATGTGCTATCACCGAAACTAGGCAAAGTCGATTAAGCATCAAGCTGAATTTCGATGCTAAATTTTTAGCTTGATATCTTGACAGCTTTAGTCGATTCAAATAATCCAACTTTTGCATCTCTTTCCATCTGACTGTGTTGCCATCCTAGATCATTTTTTATCATAGATTGAAAATTTGGTAGTTTTTTTCAGTTCTATTGATTAGATGTAGGTGTGAAATTGATTTATTCATCTAGGCTAATAATTATTTCAAATTTACCTGTAAATTGACTATGAGAATATTTCGAAATAGCTTGCTTCATATTAGCATTATCAAAATATGATGTGCTCTATCTTCATTTTACATGTTTATTTGAAAGGCTGGTAAAACGTCAAAATTTCTGAATTCGGTCATCATACTTGTTTGTTTATCACATTGCATATTCTGCTTTTCTTAGTTTGCTTTCTATAAAAATAGACAACTATTGATATGTATCACTGAGTTATGTAGCAATTTATATTTTTTTAATTCTTTTTAATTTGCGTGAAAAACAAACCTTTTTGCAGGGACCGAATAAGAATTGAGATCTATTTAGCTTGGACTTTTGTTTTCCTTTAGCTTATTTTCATGCTAAATCTTATATTATTTTTTATGTTCTATTTTTTTCTTTTAAGCCTCAAAATAATAAATACTTTTATTTTCTTTTACTCTAAATTTTAGATTGGGAAGGCGTGATGAGGCAATATGAAAGCGATGCCCAACTTCATTCGACCATTCCAGTATCTAGTAAAAGACTTCCAAGAGTTGCTTACTATAAACACAGTGAAAATATTTCTCACCACTCACCAAGTAAGAACTGCTTGGTAAGTCTCAAATGCAATAATGTTAATAATACTCTCAATTGTTTGTCACCTAGAGATGGAGAGATCGGGAATCGAGACATTTTGGGGACAAAGGATCTTCCACCAAAACATTCCTCACCATCAACCCATTACCCGACTATGAATCTCCCTAAATAAGTTGACCAATTTTTTTGCTGATTGCGCGTATTTATTAAAAATTCACATCTCGTTGATAATATTATTTGATCTATCAAATTTTATTCCATTAATAATAACCATCGCTGGAACCAAGGTCGGCTACTTCTTTGTCTAGGGAAACTATGCCAAAGGCAAATTTGAACCCATGCTCAACTTGTGTAAAGAAAATTCAATTCAAGGTTAATTCAAGTTTTGGCGAGTACTTGGGTCGTTGCTACGAGTTAATTTTGTCGTAAATCTCTGCCCCTCTGATTTCTATTAATATTAAGGATCATTATCTATATCGCCTTGAATAGTTGTTTTTTATTGGCTAATTAACCTGTTGTGTAGAAAAATGAATCACCCTTTTAGTTTTTTTATATTTTCCAAGTTCTATATTCGTTTTAAAATCATTGTTATTTAATTCATGTCCAATCCTTTTATTGTTCACTTCTCAAACAGCTTTAAGGTATTATAGTTATTGATGCAGATAAAGATGCAATCAAATTTAGCTTTATTCATTGAGTAATCATGATTAGCTTTTCTTACTTCTTCATTCTCTGATAAATTGCCAATAAATTAAAGCTTTATGTAACAGCTATTTTTTTATTGTTAGTTGGCAATTCGTAGTGAAAATTTACAACTGAGGTGGATTAAGGTCGCTGTAATTTTTTCATAATTTAGTTAGATTCTTAATGGCAATAGTCAATCTTAGGTTCTGCTGGTAAATCGTTTTATATTAATATTCTGTAAAAGATATTTCAGATGTGATATCGAGCAAAATTCTGACTTGGTAAAATCAAGGAAATTCAAGTGTCTTGAGAAATTATTGTGAAAATGAAAATTATCTGATGTAAAGATAAAGATACTGAATATGATTGGTGTAAATTCAACGATTAATGTTTGATAATATTGATTGTTTCTCTTGATTGTCAATATTCTGCAGTTTTCTAATTGTTGAGAGAAAACTCCACTTTAGAGTAATTAACATCAAATGGACATTTTCAACATGCTTTGAACACGTGAAAGACTTCACTTTCTGAATGAGACTCATTAATTTTAACCCTAATTCAATTAGATGAAAAATTTCGATTCCAGATTTCAATAGATTGCTGAGAAGTTAAAGGATATAATCAAGGTCGATTTCTTTTGTCATTCAATTGGCCATTTGATTCTCTCTTTGTTTCATCGGCTATTAGCAGTCATTGGTAGGATCACAATATCAATCGAGTAGGTCCAAGTTGATGAATGAAAAATATGAATGAATGAATTATTCAATGGATTTTTCGAGGTAAATGGACAGATTAAATATTACTTATTTTTATTGCATAGAACTATAATTAGACAATAATTTGGGTCTTAAATATTAAATATTAGTAATTTATAGTCAATTAAGTAAACATTTTAATAATAGATTTATCATTAAATAAATATTTCTAACATTTGCAAAAATCGCAACTTAATTTTCAATAACATGATTTACTCTGGATGTACAATAATTAGGAGATTTCGATAACCAATTTTAAGTTGGAGTGAAAGGACAAAAACTAATCCAGTTAATGAAATTCGATCGTTGGAGCGAAAAAGTATTAAAATTTTGCGAAGATAGAGATGGATGAATTCAAGTGATGAATGAAAATTCCGCTTTAAATAGACAATAGCCATTCAGATATCTTTTTAAATTTTTCTGCACAGTATGCTTTATCTTGGAACTTATCCAAAAATTAAAGAGAACACATTTTGATTCTCTGGGTTTCCTTTAATTTATTACTCAATCTTTCCATGCTTTCAATCCGATGGTTCTTTGCGAAGATACTCAATCAACGAAGATGGAGGTATAATACCTTTGCAAATCATCGCGACAGCATAGAAAAGTGGAAATCGGTCGGTTACATTTTTAGCCTCTAACAAATTCAATACTTCGTATGCCGTTTGCGGTCCTTGAAGACGTTGACCATTTAACAATTCTTTTTCCAATTCCTCAATGGTTTTACCAGAAGTTACAAAAGCTTCAGATATTTTGCGATTACGACCACCATAACAAGTCGTAATCAGATCAGCAACACCACATGATTCAAAGAAAGTAGATAGTTCAAAATTGTCACCATAGAAAGTCTTAACAAAACGAATCATTTCTTTTAACCCTAATCTTATAACTGCAGCTTTAGAGTTATCACCGAGTTTGAGGCCATCACTAAAACCAGCAGCACAGCCAACAATATTTTTAAGAGCCCCACAAACTTCAACTGTATAACGATCACGAACAATAGTTACTCGGAAATTTGGAGTATCTAAGAGATCTTTCAATATTTTACCAGATTCTTCATCTTCAGTACCGATTGTTGTTTCACAGAATTTTTCATCGGCAACTTCATGAGCTAAATTGGCTCCCATAAGAGCAGAAACCTTGATGCCCAGTGTCTCACTGATTAAATCGGATATGAGCACCAATCCTCCTCCAGCTTTTTCACCAAAACCTTTGATCAAGCTAAGACCTATGGCACTAGGTTTAATCTTGTCTTTAAGTGGAGCGCAAGTTCTTTCAACAAATTGATGTGGAACGACAAAAATGATTACATCAGCGTCTTTGGCAGTTTCTAGTGCATCTGGAACAGCAACAATGGTTTCAGGTAATTTGTGTCCGGGCAAATATTTAACGTTTTCATGGTCAGTATTAATTATCTCAGTTAATTTGCGACCATCAACAATCTCTTCGTAAACATACATTTTAACAGTCTTGTCAAAGTAATCAAATTTAGTGACATTATGCCCAACGATTTTGGCAATGGCTGATCCCCTGAAAGATTATCAAAAATTGAAATAAAATATAACGAAACAAATTCAAATGTTATTAAGCGGATACAAAAAAGGATAAAGGAAAATGTGACGAAAGTATGGTAGAAAAGAAAAGAAAATATTTAAAATGAATAAAAATAGCATGCAGAAGGAACAGAAGATAACTTACCAATTACCGGAGCCAATAAGACAAATTTTCTTAAGTGCAGACATGATACAAAACTGTTAAAAAACCAAAATATGAAATTGTAGAAGATGACTTTAAGAATGGAATTAGGTATAAATGAATATCGTGGTAATAACAAAAATCGGTGACTGAAAAGAGTCGAATAGAGGTGAGTTGAGACTGGCTGAAGGAAGATGAAAAAGGCAGAGAAGGCAAAAGAATGCAAAGAAAAGAAGAGAAAGAGTGAGAGAGAGTGAGAACCAGAAAATGAAAACAAGCAGAGGAAAGATGTAAAGTCAGTTTTCCAATAAATCTACTGTTTTACTGTTGACTACTCTATTTTACGATTGGGTTTAACGAAAGAACCCGTTTTGGATCACTTTTCTATGGAAATACAATCAGCTGGGGGCTCTTTTATCACGCATCCAAACGATCCTTTGGCATGATTTTGATATCTTCGGGAAACCATCTAATAGGAAATCCCTTCACAATAATTTCAACTCATATCACTACCTTATTTGTCCGATTTATCTCGTCATTGCCAATCGTTATTTAGGTATTCTCTTTCACGTGTAGAACCAGTGTTTGGATATGAAATCAGCTGGAGGTAGATAATAGATATTAAATTAATGAAAGCCTATACATGTACATTAGGTATAAGTGGAGAAACGGATTAAAACAGAGAAAACTGTCAATCTTTTATTGATTGATTTTTGATCAATACGGAATGTATTAATAAAAATACTATTCATTTGAACAACTAAAGTCTCGGCATAGGTAATCAAAATGTTAGTAGGAGAGCAAGGCGGAAAATAATGCAAGGACATGACTTGAGATTTGTGTTTGTATAATTAACCATATGAATTGAATAATCTTGATTATGGTTAAGTACATAAAATCCTTGAAATATGGAGTTGTACTATGATATTAAAATCTAGTCTAAACAGAAATACATAAAGAAAAAATGTTTCTCACCTGATTTAAAGACGCAAGTAACAAGTGGACTAGGTAATTATCTCCTCCAAGATAACCAGCCAAGATAGTTGAAAAATCACAGTTCAACAGTTGACGATTCGAAAACCATCATCTACCAGACTCCGTGGATTAAATCTGCACACCAATGTTGATTAAAACCCATGAGGCTTCCATGTAATTGAAATTCCATTGTTTAACTGTTTGATAAATATTGCGTTGAATGAAAACAAAAAACGATAATGTTGACTGTTTACATCATCTTGAGATTCCCCAGTTATTGACTGAACAGCTAATCGTGAAAAATATGGCAACGAGTGAATCTGCTTCCATGTTACAAATTATTGATTGCGTACCAATTGATTGTCACATATCTGTTTGAGCTGTTTACAAGTTAACAAACACTTGGATTTGTCTCCCTCTGTGAATCAGCTTTTTACCTCAGTTTTCCTTGTTTGTAACTCATTTTGTTAGCACCTTAGCCTGCGTGATTATCTTTCCAGCTATTTAATCTTGTTGGCATTGATTCAAATCGACATATTTCCAGGGAATTAACAAAGATAATAAAGATATAATACAATTAACAACAAAATAATTTGATATAAAAACAAGACAGTAGCTTTATCTTTCTTCACCATCGGTAAAGTTATCTCACTGATGTCGCTGTTTCTCCTCATTACTTGACTCTTTTTTAGGGTCAATCAAATCAAGTATTGCGAACACAATAAAGCTATCGATAGATCGATAATTGATAAATGACGATCAACAAGATACCAATAGATCAAGGTAATTGAAGACAGGTCAAAATGGTCGATAACAAATTAAGTGTTCAATATTTAAGTGTAATGTTTACATTTTTAGGTTTTGAGATTCTTACAAAATGAAAATATCATTAAATTGCCTATTTTTACCCTTATCATGTTGAGTGAAGTCTCTTAATAAATAAAACAGTTTTATTAGTTGATCTAATAACGGTCTTAAAACATATTGATACACTGATTATATCAGATAATTTCAATCAAATTTACTCTAGTCAACCCATTATTTATCAACATGAGGAAACTTCAATCAATTTTATTGCAATGTTTTTATATTGTTACAATCAAAACTCTCAAATCAATTCAACTGATCAGACAAAATCTCGATTACTTGATTAATCTTAACCAATAAACCAATTAATTAAACAATAATGCTGAATAGCAACAATGTTGACATTAAATTGATACCAAAAAACAACCCAAACAAGATATAATTCAACCCAATTGACCAGATTTACCTTTAACCAAAAAGATTTCCAATTTTTACCAAATCCAAAAATCCTAACCATAAATGCTGTGATAACCAGATTCTGGTTGCTTTGTTAATATGCTTAAGATGGCTTTACTCTTGAATATCTTATTTGACAAATATTATTGTCTAACCTCATGTAATCATAGTTGATAAGCATTCATGGATGATAGTATATTGAAGCAGATTTGGGTGAAAAAAAATGAATTAAATGCTATTTTCCAACCAATCCTTCTAACGAAATGAAAGTTGAATTGGTTGCAATTGATTCTGTTGATAACTCATAGTAATATTTCATCTTTAAAGTAAGCAAGATAATTGACTGATTGACTGATTGTAAATTCTCGGTGTAACTGTTGATTATCTCACTTCTAACTGGCAGTGACAATCAAATAACATTAATACCTCCACCAAAGAATCAACTTGAAACAAAACCATCTCATTGGTTTGTTTCATTGATCATTAAATGAGATTTGAATCAATTGAACATTCCAATTGTTATTAAATAATATTTTCTTATTTCCTTTACTTCTCACTCTCGATTACAAGATCAATGTAATCCATTCTGTGATTTAACTGTTTGAGTAAAGTTAAATCATCATTCTGATCATTCCAATCATTTCTCTTCCCATTTCATTATTTACTTTGCTGATCCACCAACACTGAAAATGCAACAAACTAATAAATCGGAAGTAAAAATTGATCATGGGAATGAGACATGATTAGGATTAGCTTCTTCATCAGCATATCGTCCATCACCATCATGATCAATGCAGGAGACAATCAAAACAGTCTTGGGAAGTCGTCAATGGAAGCACAAAATGTCCAAAAACTCCGATAAATCGGCTTCTCTTCATTTCATCTCTTCAACAATCAAACGTCTGGAATTGTAAAGAAAGATCTAGCTAATTGCACGAATCATTAGCAATCACAATTTGATCCAAATTAATTCTTAGACACAATTTGTTGTTGATTTCAATTTTGTAAAACTGGGTTTTCTAAATCAAGTATTGCGATCAGATCAACCTTAATCAGTGTCATCACTTTGATCAGTCCAGCTTGTCACAATTTATCGTCACAATAAGTCAAACCTTCGAGCGTAGGAAAAAAACAACTTTAGTGTTTACGAAATGAATACTGAATTTATGATTCTGATCATTTCAGCAGAAGTGTGAAGTTGAGTGATTTGTCTGGTTAATTCCGTCGGTTGAAAACTCTTAACCAACTCAAGGAAACAATTCCGTATAAAACATGAATTTGAGTTGTTAAGCGATTCAGTTTTGCAAATGCAAATATAATTCAATTTCAAGCAGCAAAACAAAACTTCAAATGTTGGGTCACTTTTGTCCCAATAATAATGTGCAATGAGTTCAATCTTTAGTGTGATCTAAACAGCTTAAACGAGCAATTATAACCAAACTCGAGTTTGAAACCTGTATCATGACAAAGCCGTTATGAGATAAACGATGAATGTGTCTTTGAGCACTAAACCAGATAAAGACACTTTCTGATGGTTAAACCAATACTAGGATTGGATAATTGAAAATAATAATTTTGCTTTTCCTATCAAAACTTAATCTAATAACTAGTTGACTTGAAATAATAGCAAATCATTATCTTATTAATAGCGACCATTCAGTTGGAAGATGAAACTGAATGAAACTTGAAACATTATCATGTTGTTGAGCGTTTTTATCAAGAAATATGATATTCTTTCCTTCTAAAGCCTTAGATTATAATTGGTTTGATATGCAAATAAAGTTGCAGTTTGTAATTAGACTAAAAGTCAAAAATTAGTCTTAGAAGGGCAATTAAATTTGACCGATATTGATATTCATTAATTAACCGAACTTGATAACCTTGAATCAGGTGCTCATCAATTGATACTATTAATAAACACAAAGGAAAGATTGAGTTCTGAAAAAATTCAAGAATCAAACTGATTCAGATAAAATTTTATTTCTGTATTAAAAAATTGCTTTCGCACTTTTCACTGCAAACGTAAACTGAATCAAGATTTACTTTCTTGAAGCTTTGCTCATTTGTTGCGATGGTGATCAATTTGGTAACTACAATTTAGTTGATCATCAATGGCTGATTGTATTCAGATGAAAGGGATGTTAAATGATAGACAAATAATAGTAATTGTAACCCTGATTCCTTAACTCAATCAGTTCAATTCTTTTCAACATTTTCTTCAATCTAAGTATGCTATTAGCAATGAAGATATAAATTGTTATCACAATTGAGTAACCAAAATTGAATAAATCAACAGAAATTTCGATTCTCCAATCATGACAAAAGTATATCAAAATGCAATGTTTCCCATTTCAAGGTTTGGCGAAAATTCGTTGAGAAATTTGTGGAAAAAAAAACATAATTTTAATAATCATTGATGTAACAATCAATAAATCATGGAGAATGATTAAAGACAAAACCTTCATTTTAAACTTGACCCATTAATTTGAATGTAACCTCGAGTCCTCGGTAAACAAACTTGAATTGAAAGCAAAATCCGAGGTTAATTTGATTGAATAACCTTCATATTTAAATGTAAAAGTAATTGAATCTTAAATTCAATTAATAGATTGAAACATTGGGGAGTCACAATTAGTTGACAACAATTTCATTGTAATTGTTTCTTCCAACCGAGTAACTCACAGTTAAATTGACCACATGAAGTTGAAGTAGATTGTAAATGATTAATCGCAATTTGATCCCAAAGATCAATAATAATAATAATAACAATTATAATACTTGAATTTTATCATTTCTTAATCATCTAATCATCATCTATTAATACATAACGATTACAAGCACAAAATGACTGTAATTACAAAATGTTTTTTCACTGACAACAATCAACTCCAAGTGAACAGTAAATATCTTTTCATTGGAAATGCAAATAATTTTACTTGCAATTGTACATTAATTAACATCATCCTGGGAGAGAGACTTGATTCTAGTAAATTAACAAATGTCAATGCAATTACAATTAAACTGCACCTTAACAACACTGACCTTAACCTTCGTTAGGTATCATTGTATCTTAATCAATCATAATCATCATCATCATCGTCTTATTGCAATTCAACTCATATTTATCATCCAAATCTGGTTAAATCCGAATTCATTTGTTACATCAACAGTTCAAACTGTTAAGTTAACTGTGAAAATTAACTAATGCTGTTAAGGGATGATCATCTTAATGGTAAACAAATGGTTTGAAAGAGTTGTCTTCATCATCTCATCATTATTAGTTAATTAGCTGCTTCCCCATCAAGAGGATTAATTACATAACTATTAAGTGATAACAATTTAGTCTCTGGTTTAGAGCGGCTCGGAACAAATCAAAATCATCTTCTTACTCATCTTCATCTATCTTCATCTCTCTCTCTCTCTTTCTCCTTCCCTTTCTGTTTCTCTCTCTCTTTTCTCTCTTCCATCTTCTCACTCTCACTCTCTCTAACTGTTAAACATATAAAAAGTCAAGTTTGTAGCTGAGTTATAATCTGAGTGAAGTGACATTGAAAGCAACGAACAAGTAATCATCATCATCATCATCAGCCAACGCCATTAACGGCATAAGGCTTAAATCTCTTCCCTTTCTCATCATTATCACCATCATCTTCATCATCAATTGCCTACGATCTCTACCTTTGTATTTTGTGGCTACACCAATTGTCTTGATGATCTCAACATTAACAAACATTAAAATGTTTGCAAACCTCATCGATTCTCATTTTCACCGCAATCATCATCATGTTAACCATTCCTCATATCATCAAAAACATCAAAATCAATCAACAACATCAACACCTCAACCATCGCTACCTTCAACCTCTCGATCAGTTAACTACTACATCAAACTATTAGCCGGTAAGTTTACTTCAACAGTTGATTATTTCATCGTAATATGCATGTGAGTTTATGAACAAATGAGCTTTAAATTGTCAGCCAACTAGGTAAACCAGAAAAAATGAAAATCCTGGTGAAAATGGGTTACTTAAGACCTTCTTATTTGTGAAAACAATAGGGAAAAAGGTCAACATTGAATCATGTTAATGAAAGATATCAATGTTACCAGATTTTATCATGCAAGCATGGATTGTTGATAAGTATAATTAACATGAGATTAGCTGATATTTAGATAATGAAAATTGGTGAGAAAACTTGAGCAAAATATTGAACAAGATGATAGTCCAAGGTTAACTGTTAACTTTCCCATAGATGAATTGCGTGTAAATGCTTATATTTGCTGCCAGTGTTAACCTTTTGTCACCATTTTAATCAATCATCAATTTAATTGGATTATTTTTCTTTTCTTTTTTTCTTCTCTTAACCAGTTATCTTGTCACTCTTATTTATTCAAACAGTCAACTGTGACAAACTTGGATTAATTGACCGGAATGATGAATCCTTGTTAGCCGAGATTAAAGACCTTAACAATAAGATTGACTCGTCTGAAAAAGTGTTAACCAAGTTACTCCAAAATAAAGATGTTCAAGCTTCAAGCGAACTTAAAGAACATGTTGAAAAAATTTTGGATTATCTGAGATTCCGTAAAGATGGAATCAACACTTGGAAAATTAACTACCGACAATTTGAAACAATGAGAGATGGGATTAATAAGGATTATGCTGCTTTACCTTTTAAAATTGTCCACATCTTAAGTCAAGCTTCTAAAAATAAGATCCTCCATGTTGTCCCATACAGTTAAACCTTAACCTTTACCCAAATCTATGAAAACACCCAAACCTAAAAGTAAACCCAATCCCAAACCTTAACCCAAACCCAAATCTATACCAAAAATCAAATCTAAACCCAAACCTAAACCCATTTTTATTACTGTTGTTGCTGTTATTGTTGTTTATTGTTTTTGCCAACTTATTTTTTAACTTGAATTTAATTTATTATTGTTGTTGATTGTGATGTTACAATACTGACAGACTTTGCTGTTACCAATTAGGTTTTAACACTGTGCATTAGCAGGATTAATTAAAGGAAAAAACAATCAACAAAATACCAACATCAACAAAAATCAATAGAAATGCTTTTAATTTTCTTTTGATTTTCAATTTGTATTAATTTTCATTTAGTTTGCTGTTGTTGACGATCACAAGTTAATTAATTGATTCGTCTTGACCAAATACTCAAAAATCTCAAACCTTTTAATTCCATCTCTCGTCAGAATCGCCATTCAAATTACCAATCAAAATTATCATCAAAATCATTGTCCTAACCATCATTGACATCTTAATTTGTTTCTCCTTCAAGCCTCATAGACCAAAGGCTTTTTAATCACATTACAACTTACCTTTAAATTAAAATTATACTTAAGTCACCAAATGGTTAATCATTTTGATCTCACCTTTAATTTAATTTACCATACCGTGAATAACAATAGTATTCAACAATTGTAATCTTAATTATTAGTTCAGAAATTGTTTATTCATTAAACATTTTGTTTTTTTAATACTTCCTATGAGCCTATTCATTAATATAAATATTCAATTCCTTTGATTAGTTCAATATTTCATTAACATTGCAACAAAACAGTGAACACTTTATCACACCATGACAACATACATGCCTGTTGCTTTCCGATTTATTATTTAATCATTTCATTTAGTAACTCACACATCAAAATCACATATTATTCACTTTGGTGTAAATTGTTATGAAAGGTTACAAAGTCGCCATGAACAATGAACTATTTGTGTCTCTGGTTTCTCGGAGAAGCTACCATAATTTATTATTAACTAATATATAAAGGTTAAACGATTAATTGTTTAATGAAACTTGCCAATGACAGGATCCTGGAAATGGTAAAAATGAACAGAAACAAATGTTTAAATCCTTTATGAACTCAATATCAGGAGCTTCAACACATTAATTGTGGATACTTACAATCCTATCTTCCAGAGGATAAGTGAGACCAAGTTGTAAATTCCGATCTAATAATGGAAATAACTGACTCGGCCAAGTGACTTGAGGTGGGTTAGACCGGGTTGGTAAATCAAGTTGACCATGAGGAAAAATGTAAACAAAAAAACCGGTTTATCAATGGAGCAACTGAAAGCATGTTATTTTGGTAATATGAAGGTGAAAATACAATAGAGTTGGACACCAAGGAATTTGACTTTACTGGACATGAAGTGGTCGATTGAAAACCTTAATTGACAAATTACATTTTGATTAAAAACGGTAATTTTTAGATAACTTACATCAACATTAAGCCGTAAATTAAAAATTGAAAATGTCGATAGTATCTAACATCGGTTCATAATTTTTCAACCTGACTTTCAAATTATCCATATTTCGGGTCTTGGATCTTTATGAGTGACCAAAAAATGGAGTGTGCTACCATCGGTTTCCATTCTTGATCCTGCGTCGATAATTCGTCAAAATATTACATCAGAATCCTTGAACTCTTCAAATGAAAGATATTAAATAATATCTGACAATCGCTTGAACTTTTTAACTTAATTACTGAAATCAGCAACATTAAATTTACATTATTAAAAGATACAAAAATATGTTCGGTTTATTAAGAACTTCTTGCAGATGATTAGAATCTTGTAGACTTGGTAATATTTACTTTGACAATTGTAGATTAAATTTTATAAAAAAAACTGTTACTAAATATTATTTGTGTTACATTAACAAAATTAACAAAAAAATTTACAAAAGTGCATTTCAATTCTCACAGATGGAGCCAACATTTAATGCCACTTTTAGAGCTTCTCTTTGGGTTAGGTTGGTGTTTTAAACAAAAGTAATGATAGCAGCTACTCTTTAATGATTTCCAACTTTTCTGAACAATACGTTTTAATCTTGTGATAGTTTTTACACCTTTTCAATCACTCTGTAACTGGTGGTAGTGCAATAAAAGAAAAAAGGAAAGAAAATAATTTGGAATATAGACCAGAACACGCTTCATCGTCATCATTATCGTCACTGTCAACATTTTTTTACATCATATCAACACCATTTTGATCATCTGTTGAAACCAAAGAAAACAAAAGGATGAAACCAGCTCGTCGCACAAGTTCTGAAGTGAATAGACTTCAGAGAAACATTAACTATCTGGAGAGACAACCTTTATTACGACCAATAAGCAATAATCAACCTAACAACAACTCAACTTTTAATAGCAACAGTGTTAACTTGAGTAGATCGGTTGAAAAAGGACTCCCTAGTGATAATAAAATTTCTTCAGAGCTAATTGTACCAACCATAGGTCGAAAAGGTCATCTCAGTGAAAGTTCTGATTCCTGTGATAATGTGACTTTACCTTTAAATCATTCTCAAAAATGGATCCTACTTTGTTTGTGTTTAGTCGATTTCTCGGCTTTTGCCTCTATGTCCATCATCGCACCCTTCTTCCCATACGAGCTGTATCTCCGTGGTCAAACAACTTATGTTGCTGGTCTCGTTTTCTCAATCTATTCATTAACAGTGGTGATATCTTCAGTCTTTTTTGGCCCACTTTCAGCCCATATTGGGCCCAAATTTATGTTATTAACGGGTATTACTGTCGCCGGAATAGCCAATATTATCTTTGGTCTCCTAGATTACATTTCAAATGATACAACTTTCATTGCGTTGTGTTTCATAGTCCGGATCGTTGAAGCGGTTGGTGCAGCTTCTTTTAACACTGCCAGCTTGGTTTATGTATTTGAGATATTTCCTGATCATGTCAGCTATGCGTTTTCCATGACAGAAACATTTACCACTCTTGGAACCACATTAGGTCCTGCAATCGGTGGCTTACTGTACAGTTGGGGAGGCTATGGTTTACCCTTCTACGTTCTTGGAACTTTTGCATTCATTACGATACCTTTATGTGTTTCAAAGTTACCAAGAATTAGTAGTAAGTTATATTATTATCTTGGTTAGAAATTTTTCCACTAATGAAAGTTGTTCTCGATCTGGTCATATGTATGTCTGTGTCCATTTCTAGGATAAACTAGATCACTTTAAGAATGAGTTTTTGAAGCTTATCAATGCGAATAGCTAAACACAGCAGCTAGCGTTGAATCTCTAATCTCTAAATTTAAACCCGAGATTAGATTTTTTCGTTGAATTTAGATTTCGTTCGTTTTTATCATAAATCATCTGAATCACCATAAGATTAAATCAGGAAACCTTGTAAAAGCCTCTGTATTTTTCAAAATTATTTCAATGATCTGTTTTCATTTGTTTACATCGCATTAGAATGTTATCAAATTATGTTTTTGTCATGTAACTGCATTTATCTGTTTATTTCTAATCTAGTTCTCAATTAGACCAAAATTTTCTCTCTAGGATTCGTCTGAAATCAATCACATTGATTGCTTTATCAGTAAATTGATTGCTTTTTAATTTTGAGTAGACATCTCCCTGACTGCTAAAACAATGATCAGGTACAATTTTTGATTGCGCTATCAAATTTGTACAATTTTTTCTACTGAATGTATGTGAGATTTTACAGCATGCTTTTCAATTTATCAGATGTATCTGATTAGAGAATAATCAACCTATTTAACATAAGATTTCTCGTGTTTTCTGACACTTATTGGTGTTTGTTTGGGCAAATTATGGTTTGCCTAAATTTTTGTGAAAACAGATGAAAGTGGAGATACTCCATATGTTTGTTGCCTTAATTGATTGGTTTGAGTTACTAATAGATACATTATCAGTAAAGGAAAATTTTGAATCATTTAACTAGTACATTTGATAATATTGATTGACTGACTAATGCACCGTAATATCGTTAAAATTCTAGGTAAAATTTAATCATATTATCGATAAACTTTCTTTTTCAAATTTAGCATGAATCAAGCTATATTCAAACTGATTTATCTGATCCTAAAATGAAATAATTAAATTTTCTTTTCTCTCTTGATATTTTACAGAAGCCCGACGAAATATGACATCAAGTGCAAGCTATTGGCAGCTATTAAAGATACCCAAAGTAGCAATGATTTGCTTGATTGTATTGGTCTTAGCTCAAAGTTTAAGCTTCCTGGATCCAACTTTGGAGCCATTTTACCGCTCAATTGGTTTAGATGTTAACTACGCTTCCCTTGCCTTTTTCATCATGTCAGGAACTGTTTGCATTTTTCTGCCCTTCTTCAGCAAACTGGTTGAACGAGTAGAGAATGAATTTCTTTTCATGTTCTTAGGTTTGACAATAAATGCTGCTGGCTTGATTCTCCTGGGTCCATCCGATATCCTTAATTTAAGTCCATCTCTAGGTTTATCATTAACTTCGCTGGTCGTAGTCGCATTAGGTTACGCTCTTGCTTTTTTACCAACTTTTGAAAATATCCTATCCATTGCTATTTCTCGTGGAATGGAAGATAATTTAGCTACTTATGGAACCGTTTCTGGTCTTTGGAGTACCATGTTTGCCTTGGGGTATGTAAAGTTGTAGGATAACATTTTAATTTCCTGATGAAAATTGGTAATAATTAACATATTTCAATTTTAGGGAAGCAACGGGTCCTATTCTTGGTGGTTCATTAACTGATGTTGTTACCTTTTCTATGGTATCTTCATTTATGGCTTTATTTTCAGTTGTTATGGTGAGTTTAGCAATTTAATTAAAACGCTATTATGCACTTGTCTTGAAACAACAATAGTCATAATAGAAATCAATAGATTATCCAGGTTTTCCAGGTAAAAATGATAACTCATTCTCAGATAACTGAAAAAATATGTGCAAGAACCATTGTACTCAACTTTGTTGACAATCAAGGAACAATGAAAAATTTGAAAGTAAAACTTTCCAATCCAATCTATTGATTTCAATCGTAAAATTGTTTCAAACAATATGTTTTCAAATTGATTTAATTCCTTAAGTAATTAAATATCTAATTTACTGTTTTGTTCTTATTTTTTTTCTAGGCGATTGCTGCTGGCATTGCTATGACAATTCGTTCCAGTAAGAAATTATAATCAACTAATAACTGAGAATCATGATTCTATTTTCCAGAATTTGTAAATAGTAATACCAATGGACTGTATGATGATTGTATGAAATCCTATTTTTACAAATTTAATTAATTTATCGCCATAATTTTTCTCAAACCAACATTTCAATTAACAGTTTTTTTATTCAAGATACTGTATAACTTGTGCCTAAATCTATTCCCAATTGTTTTAAATCTTTTTCTACCTATGTTGTTGATTAGTTAAATGAAGTTGTGTTTTGTTTGTAGCTTATTGCTATTTCAATGAATTCATAGACTAAATTTACATAGAAAAAAGGTTTAAAAAATTTATAAATAAATACATTTTTTAAAAGTAAATTCTCTTTTTCTTAGAAAAACATTGGAAATGTCATGAGTGAAAAATACGATCTTAATTCGAAGATAAAAAATTGAAAAATTGGAAAAATTTTCATTAGAATCAATCTTGTTTTACATGATTAGATTCTTCATTTTTAGACTTTAATCCATCAATGTTATTATTATTCAGATTAGCGTTTTTTACTTCTGATTTAATCTTTGATTCCATTTGAGATTTCATTTCAGATTTCTTTGATTGAACCTTTCTTTGCCTCATCGAAGACGCAAGTAAATTGGATGTTGGAGCTTCAACCGTTAGATGTAATATTCCGCCAAGGATAGCACACATCACTAGAGATATGATTCCATAAATTAACTGAGGTGGAGAAAAAGAGCGATGAATGGTGTAATTAGTTGTTCAATTAATTGATTGATTACCTATCTTAATTTATCTATCAAATGTGTGTATAAAGGTGATCAAATTATATCATTATGCGCACATAATTGTGCCTACAGTTAAAAGATATGTTTTGGTTTATTACCTGGTTATAAGTGGTAAAAACCAAAGGTTGGCGTTTTGTACCAAGATCATAAAACATGTACACAAATTGAATCAAGACAATCGATAGTGACATGTTTGATATTGGAGTGAAAAATTTCCAATCGAAAAATTTCCTGAGCCAAACTGAAAAAAGATGAAAAACAAAAATCAAGGTTAGATGAGACAACAGTGATAATGTAAATGACAACTGGTAAAAGCTTAATTCTCGATTGTTCTGACAATTAATATCATTTTTCAGAGCAAACGATTGTAATGATCCTAAACTAATTAGCAAAAAACAACCAGATTGCTAGACATGTAGACATATCAAACATGTGACAATCGCGTTGGATAAGTCTGCTGTCGTATTTTATCACGATTTGAATTTGTGACTTCTACTCTGTTTGTGGAGATAATCATCAAAAGCTTGCAAACCTCCAGAATCAAATGAAAAGGCATAAGTAGCCCATGCAAAACCAACTACAACCAGGATCCTATGGAAACCAATAAACAAAAGTTCACCAAGTCTTGAAACATTAGGATCAAATTTGATGACATAAGCAAAGTAAAGAGTAGATAGGCCCATAGTAACGCTCACAATCCATCCAATTGTGAAAATTTCCTACAAAATGAGTGAAAAATAATAGATTAAATTGTAAATATTGATTATCAAAAAACAGTTTGAACAATCAGATAGGGAAATGATTATTCTTTGGATAATTTATGTTTAATAATTTTCAAGATACTTTTGAGAAAGGCTCTTTTTTAATGGCAACTGCATAACCAGCTAAAACTCCCATGATATAGCTTTGAACATGCAGATGGAATGGGAAATAAAGATCAGAAATTCCATTGATTGTAGTTCTGAAACGAAAAAAATGAACAATTAATTTTGAGAAATTGAATTAGACCAGCTAAAGAATTTTTAGCTAATCGAGTTTATGTAATAATCTTACATGGTTACTTCTCTCATATCAATCAAAGGTCTGAGATTTCTCTGAGTTGCATCGTACATCATGTACAAACCAGAACCCAAAATGTACATGAAACACGTTAAAAGTCCGAGTTTAGGACGACGATGAAGTAAAACTATTGGTAAGTAGCTAATAGCGTACAATTGAAAATCTGAACTTAAATACCAAGTTGCAGGTGAACACTGAAAAAATAACGAGGAAAATTAGTAAAACCGCCGAAATCGCAATCAAATCTATTCAAATTCTAACCATATCAAAAATGTGTTGATAGTTATTTATATACAGCAAATTGCGCCACCAATGTTTAATACAATTATCAGTCTGTTTGGTGGCCAATTCACGAAAAAGTGGTCCAGAACCAAGTCTTGGCCATATAAATATCAATAAAATTGAGGCAATAACTGTTGGGGTCGTCCTGTGAATAAGGTAATAAGAAAATAATTAGAATCAAATGATTAAAATAAAAATCAATGATGAGTCAATTAATAATTGATCTAAGGTCCCCAATAAACTGATTGAATAACACCTTGAAAATTTTGCGGGATTCATATTGAGATTATTAAATTATTATAGTTATTATACTGTTAGTTCAAGGTTTTTATAACCAATAGTTACTGTTATTATTATAATTATTTTAGACATTGTAAAGACGTTGAAAGACAGTAAATGGAGAAAATTTCGTGATGGATTTATCTTGGCAATGAAATTTCAGAAGTAGATTGACGTCAATTATAGCATTTAACAGATAACTACCGCTTCACCGAAAAATCAGGTAAACTGAGGTCAGAAAGATTTTGAGTTTTATAAAGCTTTGGTTAAATTAATAAGCAAGTTATGAATCTATTGATATCAACCTTGTTAGTATTTGAGTAATGTAAATAATGGGTAGATATCAAGATAGTCAAATTGAATTATCATTGGTGCTGGATAATATTCATGGAAATTTATTCCCTTAGATCAATATTTAAAGTTAATTAATCGCTTTGGTCTCTAGCCAAGGATAAAAAATGAATTTGAAAATGCAAATGAAAACAATGAGCTTTGCATATGAAAATGAAATTAAAAATAAGGATAAATTATGGGTTAACATTAATTAGCCTGAGTTTTCTTGGCCTCCTCAACAATCAAGAATACTTGATTCTGAATTAAATAACTGGAAAAAGGAAATAATCTACTAAATTATCGATCCTGTTCAAGTGAGTATATTGTCATTGAGTTCCAAATTGCTATTTGATGATAAAAAATGCAGGCTATTAAAGTTAAATAAAGAGATAAGAAATTGTAAAAACATTGGATCAATAAAGTCTGATTGTCTCGTTGAAACACGAATTGCTATTGATACATTGACTTCCAGGATTGCGATGCATGCGATTATTTGATTTAAAATGTCAAATTCATCAACAGTACTTTAACCCTTCTTATTGAGTTGTGGACATTATTCACAATGTTTCACATCTCAACACTTGTTGATATTAGTACACTTCAAATTTTCTCAGATGAAATGGACAACATAATTTTCAATGACACTTGATGTTTTTTGAGTAAACCTCTTTACAGGTTATGAAACAGTGAGTTGTGATCATTGACTTTCATTGGTTTGGTGTTAAAAGTGGCATACCTTAAATAGCGAACAACAATGTACTGAATGAAAGAGAGTCGTCCTCGAGTTTTCTCCAGAACTTGATAACAGGTATACATGGTGAGAACTCCACTGTTGAGGAAAGAACATAGAAAAATGTTATGAAAAAACAAGTGAATCACAATTTTTAAAAAGAATAAAGGCGTTATTGGATGATAACCTTGCGGTTTGAGAGTAGCATGGAGAGGGAAACTGCTGTTTCGATTGGATATTGACCTTTATTGTTACCTAAAAACTTGACTTACCCAACAAAAATTATAATCTCAATGAAGAGAAGACAATTTGATGACAACTCACGAAGTATTGCAGAGTGTGATAGGTTGTAAGAATAGATTCCCACTGTGAAGTTTACAAAAGAAAAATTAATGAATGTCCAGTTTTTTGTCCAGCCTCAGTTTCAATTTGGACTTCTTAAGCCTGATTAATGATGCTTACTATACATTGGAGGTATTAAAGTGCCCATAATATACCAAATATGACCAGCAATTGAAAGTATGAGATAATAGACTTTGCCTCCGTTGATAAAGTTGAGTGTCAATTTGTCTGAGTTGTTGGTTTGCTTGACCAGACGCTCTATGTTTCGCAATGCGGAAAAATGAGATAACCATCCTTGATCGACGATCGTTCCAAGGATTGTTAATCCAATAAAGATTCCAATGATCGCACTGTAATAGAGTAGTGAATAAACAGAAAAATTGATTGTTAGATTATTATTAGGAAGAAAGAAGAAAGATTTATCAATGCTTTTCATGAAAATTTATATTTCAAGGCAAACCAAATTGGTATTGAATCACAACTGTACTGGCCTAATACATTGACAACTTCAAGATGATCAACATCTTCTGTTTACATGAAATCAAATTATTTAGGGATAAATAATGAGAAAATAAAATTGTATAGTTAAGTTGATTTCATCTTACAAGGCAATCTTTTCAATTGTTGAATAAGGTTTTTGGTAAACATCTTTGGTATCACAAAATGGTCCTAATTCAACTGTGAGGCCATTTCGATGAGCATCTGAAATGAAAATGGGAAAAATTAAAAATTAGAGTTTTTCGACAACTGGTTGCAAGGGAGATTGAGTGACCATCAAGGATTAAACAGTTAACTGCTGAAAAAATCAGAGAAAATGAATAATTATTCAGCTTTTCCATTAAGGAATGCATTCTTGCTTTGAAGGCAACTAGAATAAGACATTGAGATGTGTTAAGACATAAATAAGTCTTTTCAAATCTCATCAGATTGTCTTGAATAAGTGCATGATTTATAATATTCATAAATAAATATGATAGGAAAGAGCTGATTTGCTGTGGTTATCGGATTTGAAAGATTGTGTGAAACAGTCTAGTATCTAAGAAAAATAATTTAATATGGAAATTTTGAAGAGATAAACTGTCTAGATCTGTGATACACTTGATGAATTCAGTCATTAAAATTCATGGTTTAAGATTTGCATTATTTAAATATTAAAATCAATCTAGAGATCAAAATCTATGAAAAAATTGAGCTGTCAAAGAAACAATCGAGCTAATTAAGCATGCAGGTTGAATTAAGAAAACAATCTGATTTATTTGTTCAATTGAAAGCTATATTGATGAGAAAATCCCAAACAAAAGAAAGGTCAGAAATAAGGATTGAATTACTGGATGGGGTAGAAGGCAAGAAATCAACTTACGCTTGTTAATGGCTGAAGCTATTTGACTGGGTTCACATGTTGATGGAAGACAAACTCCGATTTGCGGCAAACTTAATTTCAATTGTTCTTCCGAATTTTTCAAAAATTCAATTAGAGTTCCATTAAAATTGCTTTGAGTTATATCACTATCCATGATTGGCGGAGTATGTAGCTTAGCAAGACAGTATTGACCATCAAATGTCACTGGTCCTGACTGGGTTTGTTCGTTAATAGACAAAGAAAGGCACTCATCGTAATTTCCTAGATCGACGATATAATAATTGAAAAAACCTCCGTTTCCATGACCAGAGGCGTCTAAAACTGTGAAAGGTTTAAAAAAATGGATCAGAATGGAATAGAACTAAAAAAGCTGAGAAAATAAATTTTGATTCGATTGTCATACTTACATTTCATTGCCCATATTGCATTGGCTTTGAGTCCTTCTTTTAATTTATCCAAACTCTGGACACATGGTTGAGTCAAATTGAGCTCAACATCGCTGACAATAGTTTCCAAGTAATCAACAATTAACTGGTTGTGTGGATAATAGATCGTTTTGAATGTTTGCAATGTCTTTTTTAGGTAACTTGAACTTGAATCATTATTAATCTCTGGTGATGACAAAGAGGTTGAAGTTGCAACCAACTGACTAAGAAGCAAGGTGAAGAAGAGGTTACTGTTAAGTAGATGATGAGACACCATGTTAGGAATTAACTTGATTAAGCTGCTAGATGGTTGATAATTGTGATCAACTGTTAACAGTTGATGATGCAGAATAAAATGTTTAAATAAAAGTGCAACTTTTTCCTTTCTCCATCTCTGTCTGTCTCTCTCTGTCTCTCCATCTCAATCTATCTCTCTTTTTCTCTCTCTCTTCCCTTCTCCTTTAGCCACCAATCATCAGATTCTGCTTTTACCAACATTTACCAGCTTAGCCGGTTTCATCTCTGGTTAAATTTACAGTTAAATGAAAATAATTTTGTGATTTACTTTCTAAATAGTCTCTAAATCATTTCAATTAAAGAAATATAAATTTATTCATTGTGTTTTTACTATTGGTCACCAAATTTACCATTAATTATTTGTCATTTGCTTTTAAATTAAATGTAAGTTTAATTTCCTTCAATATTTCAATGTTTTTGAAAATTTATCCAAAATTTTAATTTCAATTGTCATTTGCTCATTGGTCAATTTTTATTTGTTTTATTTTGCTTCAACTGTATCACATTAACCATCCTTTGGTTCCAATTCGAATTAACTGTTTTAAAGCCTCTATGCTTACATTACACTACATTGTATTTCTTAATGTGTGAGGTGTTAATTTAATTTTTGTTCGACTATTTTATCTGATTTTACTTATGAAGTTTCAGGGATAATCCTGATAATCAATGAACATTGTTACCATTTATTTGCTCTTCAAAATTATCATCTTGTCATTAGGTTTCGACATCAGTTAAGCATAATCTGTTCTTTGCTATGACTAAGCAGTTGGGAGCTTGAGTTCCCCTTATTTCTTCTCCTTTTCAACGTGCCTTGTCTGGCCAAGTCTTGTTTTGTTTACTTTTTTGTGACCCTTATTCCGAGGATTTCTGGCCCATTTTACAGGCACATTCATATTCTAACCCCTTCTATAATCTATCATTACGTGGTGAAACTGTTCTTTATTCTTCCATTTTATTCCAATGTTTTGTTAATCTCAACAAATGATCTCTTGAAATACTGTATTAAACATTCCAACCCGTGCAAGTGAAACCTTTATAATTGAGACTCTCTTGTGCACCCAATACTGATCAACAATCACTAGGTGTACTTTAGCAACTAATCCTTTGGATTTTATTGATTTAAAGTGTGATACTCAGTTACCTGGAAAATAATCATGATATCCTGCGTGGTTAGGCAATCGTCTATTTTATTTAGATCAAATTTCCGCAATTCATCGATCTGTTTCAATTGTGAGTTCCATCAATATCGTTATTTTTAAATGCAGAAAACCTATGGCAGTGTTAGTTATCAATTTCCTGGACCAAATTGAATTAAAACTTACATGCTCGCTCGATCAGCTGCTCCATTTCAGCTGAATCAGACAACCACTGAATTGGTTTTTATATCCTATTCAATGTATTCATTTGCTTTCTGGGAAATTTTATGTGTACTGGTTTTACTAGTTTAACAATTTATTTCCTTCAGTTGATTTACAACTCTATAGCCGGTTTACGTAACACATATCATCAGTAACTGGCTATCCTAATCCCCATTTAGGGTCACTCTTTATGATATTCTTTGTTAGTTCTCTTGTTCATGTCAGCTAGTTAACAACAATATCTATCTTTGCAAACCATAATCGATATACTTTGTTACATTTTTGCATTTTGATACATTTGCTTACTGTTCTTTTTTTATTTTATCCAATTCTCAACCTATTTCCATTCCTAATCAATCAGCGCTAAGAAAGATGTCATTCGAAAAGATCAAGTGCGGACCCATCGTTGAGATGAAAGGAGATGAGATGACTCGAATTATTTGGGAATTGATCAAGGATAAGCTGATTTTCCCATTTGTAGAGCCTGAACTCCATGTTTATGATTTGGGAATCGAAGAAAGAGATCGTACAGATGACCAAGTCACCATTGATTGTGCCCATGCTATTTTGAAGTATAATGTTGGAGTTAAATGTGCCACAATTACACCTGATGAAGCTCGAGTGGAAGAATTCAAATTGAAAAAGATGTGGTTATCACCAAATGGAACTATTCGTAATATTCTTGGTGGAACAGTTTTCCGTGAGCCGATCATTTGTAAAAATATCCCTCGACTTGTTCCTGGATGGACAAAACCCATTATTATCGGTCGTCACGCTTATGGTGATCAATATAAAGCTACTGACTTTGTCGTACCTGGTTCTGGAAAATTAGAAATTAAATTTACACCTACTGATGGGGGTGAAACCATTGAAAGAACTGTCTTCGAATTCAAAGATGGCGGCGGAGTTTCTCTATCAATGTACAATACCGACAAGAGTATTGCTGATTTCGCCCGAAGTTCTTTCCAATACGCTCTTGCTCGTGAAAAACCTCTTTACTTGAGTACTAAAAACACTATCCTCAAACGATATGATGGTAGATTTAAGGATATTTTCCAAGAAATTTACGAGAAAGAATACAGAAGCCAATACGAAGGAAAAGGTAATCTCCCGATTAATGATTTTTATGGCTATTTGTCTTTATTTCAAACCAGAATTACACCTCGATAGTTTTATCTGCACCAATTTAGCATAATGCTAATTTTATATCTTGGTGAACTATATTATTGGATAGCCATTACAATTAAATTTATGGTTTGTTTCAATAAGCTACTCGTGGTAACTACGTAATCAGTGAGCTTAGTTTATTAAACCATTCATAAATAACTGTTTTTCTCGTCAAAAACTGTTGACGTAGCCAACTTTGGTACGCCCAGTTCTTAAAAGGAAATATATGCATTTTATAGTCGGGAAACTTTTTCATTTATCTTAACATTTGTTCTTTATCCTTCTTTTCATTTCTATAATCAGGAATTTGGTATGAACACAGATTGATTGATGATATGGTTGCTCAAGCTCTTAAATCCGATGGTGGGTTTGTTTGGGCTTGCAAGAATTATGATGGAGATGTTCAATCTGATTCAATCGCTCAAGGTTATGGAAGTCTTGGAATGATGACATCTGTTCTTATCTGTCCTGATGGTAAAACTATTGAAGCTGAAGCTGCTCATGGAACAGTAACTCGTCATTATCGACAACATCAACAAGGAAAGGAAACCTCAACCAATCCAATTGCTTCTATATTTGCATGGACTCGAGGTTTTGCTCACAGAGCTAAACTAGACAACAATGAACGATTATCAAATTTTGCTGATACTTTGGAAAAAGTGTGCATTGAGACAATTGAATCTGGCTTTATGACCAAAGATTTGGCCATAAGTATCAAGGGAATGGCCAATGTCACTCCATCTGATTATCTCAACACTTTCGCTTTCATGGATAAATTAGGGGAAAACATGCGAGTCAAACTTGGCTGTTGACTGTTTTCACCAGTTTCAAAACTTTAGGAAGTTGAAAAAAGCTGGAAAATATCGTGAACTACGCTTTAATCTTTCTATCTTTCTTGAACCTAGAATTTGGTATCATTGTTGATCTGGAACAATTTATTGTTAAATTTAATCCATTTCACCCTCATTCATATATTTTGGTTAAAATTGTTTTCCTTCATTGACAAACCGCTTTCATATAAGTTCCATTGAGAATTTATTTCTTTTTTGAAAGTCTGGTATTTCACTAAAGTGGTTAGAGTTAAATATCAATAAATTTATTTATAATTTTCACAAAACACGAATCTTATGCATGTGCCCTATGTGTCTAATCTATAACAAAAACTATTATTGATTGAAATAATTATTTGGTTACATTTCTCATGCTATTGCCATTAATTTGACTACTCAATTTTTATTTAAAATAACTTTTATTTAGCCATATCAATTAAAATAAAAACCAAGAAAATTATATAATATATCTTGTAAAAAATTTTTTAGAGGAAAGATATTCGCCTAATTTTGGCCACTTGAAAAAAGTAGTAAAGAATTGTAAATGCCAACAGATAATTCATTTGTATTCGTAGAAACCTTTTCCAGATTTTTTTCCGAAGCGACCAGAATCGACCATTTCTTTAAGAATTTTCGATGGCTTGATGAGGTCAGGATCTCGTTTCATCCAAGCTTCATTAATTAATTGCACAGTATCCAATCCAACATAATCCATTAATTCAAAGGGTCCCATAGGGTAACCAGCACCCAATTTCATGGCAGTATCAATATCACGAACTGTAGCATCTCCTCTCTCAAGCATTTGAATAGCTTCAGACATATATGGCAAAAGTAGACGATTTACAATGAATCCTGGTGTATCTTTACATTTCACAGATACTTTACCAATTGATTTAACATAATCAACAAGAGAATCATAAGTATCATCGGACGTGTTATCTAGCTTGACTACTTCAACAAGCTTCATCAAAGGAACTGGATTGAAGAAATGGAGACCAGCATAACGTGAATGGTTAGTAACATGGATACCAATATCCTTGCAAGGCAATGATGAAGTGTTTGTAGCTAAAATGACATTTGGACAATCCTTGAATTGTTCACTTAGATTTTTGAACAAATTTTGCTTGACATCCAATACTTCCGTGATAGCTTCAATAACCAAAAGATTATCAGTTGACTTTGGCTGGATATTTGTTGAAAATGTTATCCGTCCCATAATTTCATCGACATTTATGGATGAATTTTTAGACTTCATCTTTTCCAAATTAGATTTGATCCTAGCAGCAGCTTTATCAAGAGCACCTTGGTTAACATCCTGAATAACGATTGAATTGAAATGAGGTCCACTTTGAGCTGAGGCTTGAGCAATTCCTGATCCCATTAGGCCACTTCCAATAATCAACATATTTTCAACCTTCATGGCGTCCAGTTGTTTACTTGTAGAAATTGATCTACCAAAATAAAGGCAAGATTGGTTCCTTAAGGTATAGGATGTTGACAAAATTCTTTTAAACATATTGAAAAATTTAATTGTATGATATTGAATTATTAACTGTTAGTGTGAGTATAGAAAACTAATTGATTATCAGCTGGCTCTGTTGATAAGATCACGGCTCTCAAGAAAAAAAGCAACAGCTAACAAAGTAAAAGCTCATTCTCTTGAAGAGACCTCTGCTGTTTGTAAACCCAAATTGGGTGATACAGCAGAGATGCTACACTCCGTTTCAAAAGTATAGCACCCATGTAATTTTATCGTTTTTACTCATTTTTTCAATTATGAAACCGTTTTGAGTCTGATTTCCCATATAGATAAGTTAGCTCAATGACTGAAAATGAATAGCAAGTTTTGACTGTAAGTTATTACAGTAAGCTTTACACAACTTTTACAGTTACTGTTTCAAGATCTGAATTTCCCACTTCTTTTAACCTATCAAGGTTATTTAACTAAACAATGTAATTTTGATCACTGGTGAATAACAAAAATCAGCAATTTTCACCTTCAGTCTCAATTAACCTTTTCATATTTTATTAAATATCGTGATCCTTGATTTAGTCTTGGGAACTTTCACTTCGGATGGAAATGACAAATTATCCAAGAACATGCAATTTATCCGTTCGATCATCAAAGATGACAATCTGATAAACTGATAATGTAACTTATCATCAAGTTTATGAGATCAACTCATTACTTGGTCTAACAGGTGGACAATAAATTGACAGCTCATGTTATGACTGAAACTGATATCTTCCATTATAATCAGACTAAAGTTTTCCGTAAATAATTTTCATTAAGACTGTCCAGACAATAGTTAAAACAAATGAATTTATTCTGCAATTATAAAAATCAGATGGAAGATAGACAGGAAGACAGATGAAAGCTAAACATAATCAGGTTGTTGAGTTGTTAATGAAGATTCAGACGAATCGTTTGTTCGATGTTTCATTTGTTCAGTTGAAATGCCCACCATAACCAGAATCATGAGGTCAATTGAGGCAATTGTGAGGCAAACAATTATACCAATAATGGCTTGTTGTGAATCTGGACCAAACAGAGCTGATGACAAAAGCATGGCAATGACAAAAATGAATTCAAAGACAACGTATAAAGCATAGAGTGTTATGTCCAGAACGAAGAGGAAAACTGTCAATAACAGATTCTCTTGACCAATACTGTAGACCAGGGCACAATGAATAATAATTTTAACCAAAATAAAATCATTGATGTTTCCATTGATCACACTGAGCAGAGCAATCTTGGAAAAGAGTGAAATAATTAAGGCAAACATTAAATTAACTTTAAGACAAACTTTGATGCCCATAATTATTACAGTAGTTGGACTATTTTTGTTCAATGATTAGTATTAGATTCACAAAATTTAAAGATGCATAGCATTTACAATTGAGTAGAAGTTCAAAATATCTGGTAAAATAATGAACAAGATTAATTTGGTTGTAAAGGATTGGGTTCACATTGCATCATATAACGACTAGTTGGCACCAACAATTTAAGACATTTTGGGTGAAATGGACGAGATGGATCCAATCGAAACTGAGATCGACTAATGCTTCAGCAAAAGTCTTGTACATCCTTCAATTGAGTTACATTCAGTCCTTTCAGGTTGGAAGGATCACAGTTAACATCACAGAGTCATTGAATTCAACTGTAAATTAAAAGAATTTACTCATTTTTTGAAATTAATATTTCAACTGAAGTTGATTTTGCTTCAAGAAATTTAAAGATGCTATTTGTATTATGATGGACTGGACAGGATAAAATGAATAACAAGTATTGGATGAAAGTGTTACAAAGAGTCGGTTTAATTAAATTGATGATGAATATGGATGGACCAACAATGAGAATGACAAAAGAAGAGGAAAGAGACAAACAAGTAAATATCAAGTGAAGATGAGAATGGAAATGGGAAGATCATTCTGTTTCTTTGAACATGGAAGACTCATGACTGATACATGAGAGAAGGAACTAGCTAGTTCTGACTTACGCTTTGGAGCATCCTTTATCGATCCAATGTTTACTTGGAACTTTGTGGGAGTTTTTGTTCTCAAATCTCAAGTAAAGAGATGAAATGATGGGAAAAAGGAGGACCACAAAAGCATCAAGGATGAGTTGAACGATGAAAAGGATGCTCTGCCTTTTGCCCTTTCTTGTCCCCAAAAATGTTTTCTTGGTCCTTTGGTGATAATGTTTTGTGAACCATTCAAAGAATGGCCAGAAATGTTGATTATTTTACCTTTTACTTTCTTGGATTTTTAATTATGAGCTTCAACTCCAATAATTTGTGTTTGGATAGAAGTTGATGAAAGTGGAATGAATTTAAAGTGACTTTCAACTCTTCTTTTGCTTCCCTTACAACTAGCATTAATTAGTCTTCCACCTTAATCATGGATTTATCAGAAAGAGGAGGAGATTCTGGTCAAGATAATTGCAGAGCTGTGGCAATTGTTACCGCAATGACTATGAAACTTTGTATTACTGTGACTGTTTTGACTGTTACTATGATGTCAACAGTTTCCAAAGTTACTTATCAATGTGCCTTTTTCATTGTTCTAGATGTTATTTTATTTCTGACGTTGATTGAAAAGTGGCCTGGATTGATTCGCTTCATGAGGATCCTCATATTTGGTTTAATCATTTGTCTAATCTCACTCCTAATTTGGTCTCTAGTAGTTATATTTGGTCGATTGTTTGTAAAAACCTCTTCCACTTCTGATCAAACAAATGTAATTGCAGTTTTCCAATTAACTTCTGGATTTCTTATCATTGATTCAGCGTTGATCTGTCTGATGGGACGCTACCGAGAGACCGTTAGTGATGCGAATCAACCTCACTGTCATTATGGCTGGTCTGTAGCACAGCCTATTAATGTTTGATTGAAAAACATCCTCAAATTCATTTCTCATATTAAAAGTGATTGTTTGAAATTAAAGAGGTTGGGAAAAACGAGAGTTTTCATAGAGAAAGCAAACAAAACTGTAAAGGAAAGAAGAAAAATGGGTAACAGTTTCGTTTTACGGACAAAGGCGTGAACATTAAAACATATGATTTTTTGGTTAGGTAAGTTAGATCAAGGGGCTGTTGGTTGGTCGGTCAGGTTAGGTTAGGTTCGGTTAGGTTAGGTTAGGTTAGGTTAGGTTTGGTAAGGTTAGGGTGGGCTTAGGTCGGCCTGGGGCCTTAATTAGCTTCATTTAATTCAATTGTTCATAAAGAGCGCCCTTAAAAGACGTCTACCATTGGATGATTTTTAAAGTTCACGCCTTTGTCCGTAAAACGAAACTGTTACCGAAAAATGAATATCAATTTAAGGCAATAAAACAGCCAATCTCCGCGATTCCCCGCGAAATCATCACAAAATTAAGTGAAGAGTATACTTCGAATCTTAGTTTTATTTCTAATTCTTCTATCGTCATTGATTTATGATTTATTGATGATTTACAGTAAATCCTCAGTTATTTAATATTTGAGCGCCACCAATTGATAATGATCAATATACTCAAAAACAGGTGAATTGTTTAATTAATGACAATGTCTCGTTTGAGTCTCGGAGAGAACAATTAATAAGTTCATATTATGATGATGATCAACATGATAGTTTAGCCAAACTAAACAATATTTCACAGCATTTGGAAAAATTCTGGTTTTCTGATGTAAACAAGTCTAAATCCCAATTTTGCTGCGCCATCTCTTGCTTTCTTTTTTTACTCAACATAACATAATAAAATGAAGGTTTTACTGTAGTTTAAATGTTGAATAACAGATGGAAGGCCTTTGCTCGTTATCCATTCCCAGTTCATGGTAACATTCAAAATGCGAAATAAACTTACAATTGTTGGACTGATGGTACCATGGAATGATTGGTACACATCACCAAAGATACCTTTTTGGGAGTGATCAATGAAAAGATTCGTGATTATCTGAGACGAAAGCTCAAACTGAAAGATTGGCAAAAGCCTTTTACGAAAACTGTTACAATTTATTTTATTAAAGTATTGAATATTTTGCACTCAATTGTTAATTATGATTATTGATGATTATTGAACATGGTCAATAGAGACAATAACTTCAAGAGTTAATTAGATAATAAATAAGTTTATTGCATAACCATTAACATCTCAATTTGATAAAAAATATTGGAGTAAAAATGATTAAATATTTATGTTTGATTGTCAGTTTGATATTTGATTTGATAATAAATGCATTGAATCAACAATTACAATATAAAAAATTGTATAATTTTATACAAAAGTCAGTAAACACATTTATCGATATAACATTGAAGCATAAATTGTTCACAAAATAATGATTTGCAATAGACATTCATCTTCGACACTTAATTACAATAAAGTGTTTGATATAAACGATTTAATAGTTGGATTGCATGTAAATTATTGTCAATTTGCTTCCATAATCATTCCTTCCGTTGATAACAATCAAATAATCAGATCCTTCGATGTTCCAAACTGTGTGAAAGATGAAGTAAAAGGCGTTGATTGTCGATAACTTTAAGATCTTTAATGTACTGGTCAATCTTGATTAGAGCAGCTTTACGAGTCGATGGAATGATTCCTCTGTTGGAATAATTAGAATTGGATGATCCATTGATCAGTGAATCCAATTTCATTGGTTTACTTCGACAGAATCTGAAAGTTCGTAAAGATTGAGATAGCATCACCTAAATTGAGAAACAATTGAAATTATTAAATTGGTCGATCATTAATACTTAACACGAACAATGAAATCAAGCAAAAGATGGATTTCGGTGATTGAATCATTCATTATGAATGAGATGAAATGCCAACGTGATGATATTAACAATTAAATAACAATTTACTTTCAATTCTTACCATTTTTTCAAAGTTTATTAAATTATTTTCTAGATAAGTTTTGTTCCCTTCATGAGAAAATGTCATGTCTTTGAGTATTAAAGGAGTAAATGGTATTATCGGTGCTTCCAGTTTCGATAAATAGACTCGATATTTACGATGATTTCGCGAGGGATCGATCAATGATTCGTATTGAGAAAAGGTTCGCTTCAGTTTGTTCGGCAATCGTTCCCATGTTTGTGTTAATCGAGAAACTGCAATGTTACTTAAACCCATTGTTATTGCGAAAAATATGCTTAGATTCTGATGTTCCTTGCATCTGAAAACAGAAAAATAAAGTTAAAGTTTGATGAAAAACGAAGCAAGAGGTTAATCAAGCGATACTCACAATCCAGCAACTTTAATGAATTTTCGTAATATTTGCACTCTTTTAGATAGACTCGTTGTTAAGACGATCTCGGTGACAACCCAATATTGTATTTCATTGAATAAACGTAAAAATAGATCCAGATTTGCCGTGATGTGTCCAAATTTGACTCGCCCAAAAACATGATAAATAAACTCATACTGAAGAAGAAAAAAGATTGAACATAAACTGAATGATAAAACTGTTTGGATCAAACTGCAAGTCAATGAATAGCTTTGCGTGACTATTTGTTTATACACAAGAACTGAGGATATCATGCAAAACGAATCCGCGTTATGCAACATTTCATAAAGGTTCAGATTTACTCAACTTCTATTTTCACGACTTCTTTCAGATCATCTTTTAAGTCAATCGAAAGACAGATTCAGAAAACACTTGAAACGATTAGGAAAACATTTCTCAAATGATGTTGATTAATGAAAAAGATGAACGAAAGTGATTAATGAACGAAGTTGAGGGAAGTGAAGCAGTTGACCCGAACAGATTTATAACAAAGCTCACCTCATGAACGTTCTGAAAAAGTAACCAAGAATAGTAAGTTAAATAGTAAGCAATATCTTGAGATGAGATGTCTTCCAATGCAGATGAAAATGATTCAATTTTGGGTCCTTCTTGTTCGGGCAAAGGCGTCAATGCATCAATGTGGTCAATCAAGGAAACAAATATTCGCCCATTAACACTTAAGCCAGTTTGTATGGAAACGTCTTGATTGTCGAACAGAACTCTTTCTCCAGTCGATTTAACTTCAGCCAGAATCAATTCACCTTCTTCCTTGTTCAATCCAAGCTTATCGGCTGCAGCAATTTTAATGGCACCAGCAGTTGAGTCGATTGTCATCTTTAGAGTTGTATAAGTATGATCGGCACAATAAATGCGAGAAATGACTGAATAAGAAGAGTACAAAAGAAACAAAATAATCCGTTAAACTCGCAAATGTATCATTTCTATGAATGGAACGAGATTTATTGATTAAGAATCAACTAAACCAGGTAACACAACAATAGGTGAATGAACAAGTAAATAATGATATTCATAACATCAATAAATATTATAATATTAATAATATACTTTGCATGAAATATTCATAACAGAATAATAACCTTTTTTCATGTTTAACATTCAAGGATTTAACCTGTTATTATTATTAACATTGCTATTAAACAAAATTCACTGAAAGACGCATAAATTTGAATTATATTCCGTCAACTGAATGCTCGACCTGAACAAAAGTTGAGATTTGACTGAAAGGAGAAAAGACTAAATGTTTTCAACAAACAAATTCCCTGAAAAGTTCATTCTATGCAAGTTGTTCAATTGTCAGCAAACCCACTCGTATTCAATCACATGAAGATCCCGAGATACTCATATTGATACAAAGCATATTGACCTAAATTATTTGATAAAAGATCAAAATTATGAGTCGAATGAATACGGGCGATAACTGAAATCGAAAGTAGATTTATGTCACAAAAACCATTAAATAAGTTATGGTGGAATCCAGTATTATCGCATAAATATCTACTCATTGAATATTTTATGGCTTTCAATAGATTCTAAAGTGTTGCTAGTTCCTGTAAAAATATCATCCATTTACCTTATCAGTCGTGAAGTAGATTAAAGTAACAAGGAATTGTACGATGAGCATAAGTCCAAATTTATCATTTTGTTTCATTAAATGCACAAACTCGACCTTTATCCACAAAATACACTTTTAGTGTTAAACTTTGTTAGTAAATAGTACAACCTTTTGAACAAGTAGCAGCAATAAAAAGCATCAAGCAATCGTTACTCAAAGTTACTGGTCACAACATTCATTTATATCAATGCAGCTTGGAGTTTCAGAGCATACAAAGTAACACAATTTACCAAAGTTTCACTTGTTTTCCTCTTCATAAACTTCAATTAAATCTTTTCAAACTTTGTTACCTATTGAGTTAATGAAACTTTTAGACCAAACAAAATATCCAAAACAAATCGATTTCGACTGACAAAAAGTTGCTTCATTAGACTCAAATTACGAGTAAATGGATCAACAGTTTTAAAATTTTGAACTAAATGCATCAACTGTGCACATTCCTTGATTTGGATTGTATCACATCGAAATGCAAAATTGAGTTTCTCATCACCAAATCAATTCGATCGACTAACTCGATTTCAGGAGTTAAAGTTATTCTAGTGCAAAGTAACCGTTCTGTTGAACACGAAGATTAGTAAATGAATCGAGTTCTGACTGAGCTGCATATTTCGGTCAAGAAATGGTCAACATGAATGAAGAATAAATCAGTTTGCATTCGATTAATTGAGATAGACTTTGAGTGCTAAACTTGAAACAATTTTTGCTCTTTTATTGATCATTAAATAATGTTAGAGTAATCAAGAAAAGCATTTCATGGAAACAAAAAGCATGTGAAAATTTTATTTATTAGTTGAATTATGAAAATACTGAATAATAAGAAGATTACTCCAAGAGAAAAACATTTTCATGATCATTCATTATTAATGTTATTAAGTTAATATATTTAAACATGATGTTCAATATTGTTTGTGCCCTTTCATGGTAATCTATTCAATATTTACAATTCAATATTTAATGTTTGCTCCAGATTACAAGTTAACTAACTCATAATAGTCATTTGCATGTTAATCTTGAACAGTAATTTGATTACAAGAGGAAACAGAATAAACTTATTAATGATTGAACTCGACTGGGAAGCAACTTTACTTTTGTTTCGTCAACTGTTCAAATTGATTTAGAATCGAAAAGAGAAAAGTGAGGAACAATTTTCAATTTTAATTGAGTTTAGTTTTGTCACAGTTTCAGTCAAAATGAGTGAAAACTGTCTCTTTTTGATTCGCATTGAATCAACTTTTAAACAGACGTCATCAGCCATTTTCATTATTAATATCATTATAAATATGCCATGAAATTTGTTCAACTACATTTCTGTATTTCTTTTGAAAATGTTTCTTTTACAAAGTCGATTCCATCATAAACAGACCTTTCAAAATGAATAATCTCTTCTGAGCTTCTCAAATTATCAATATTTCAATATCTGCAATCGCTGTTCTATTATAATCATGTAATCAGATTGAGGTTCAAAAAGTTACATTTGTTCATCAGAATTTGCATTCAAAATGAAATATAACTAAAGCAATTCTCGATCATCATTTGTATCTATTACAATCCATGAGAATACATCTGTAAGTTATTGAGCAATGAGAATTAGAATTTGAGAAAATATCTTTAGAAGATTTTAGAACACGAATAACGAATTCGAATCTGGTTTATACATGAATTAATTTAGTTTAACTTTGTTTAGTAAGAACGATAATATGATAGAACTTTTTGCTTACTTTCATCTTTGGGTTGAATTGAGTTGAAGCGAAGATTGATCAAGAGCCAATCATCAGGAATGTTGGTGAATGCAATTAAATTATCAGTTAAGCCGTTGGTCGACAATCGACGAATAGGTCCAGGAAGATCATTCTTCCACTTCTGAGTTCCACGTAGAACGAGATCATCTTCGAATCGTTTCCTGTCTTTACAAATAGACTCTAAAAGAGCCAATTCATCTTCGAGGAAACCTTCATATTTGATTAGATCTGACTTGACCAAGTTATAAAGTTTATCAACAAAAGTAGTCACATAAGAATCTCGATGAAGAACTTCAGAAATGAGATTGAACCAAATCTTAACGAAACGAATCACTCGTTTCTTATTGCCAATAATAAACTCCTTTTCTTGTCGAGTATTAAGTAAATCAATTTTATAGTGTTTCAACAGGTAAACACAAAGTGCATCAGTTTTTAAGAAGACGATGTGAGTTAACACGAAATCCTCAAGAAAAGTGTCCACTGAATAAATCAATTCCAATGGTCCACCTCCTCGAAGTTGAACAGAACTGGGTAAAGCACAAGCAATTTCAGGAGGTGAAGTAACATCTATTCTGGTCTCCAAAAGATGTTCCAACATTTTCTCAGGAGTTCCAGCCAAAACCATGTACTTATAATGTGAACACGAAGATGAATATTTCGAGGTAACCTTTTGCTGTTCCACTTGTGGGTTGACTGTTGGTTGAGGTGAACCCGATGTTACAGGTTGAGCAGTCGGTGGATAGTGATGACTGGACCCATTGATTGTTGATGAAGTCGATGATGGAATTACCTTGGGAACCATTTTACGAAGCAATAACACATCACGTCCATGCTCCTTCAAATGGACAGTGTTGGCCTCGACATCCCTCAAGATGCGGTTAAAGTTATCCTTATCAACCCTCAAGAAATGGCAATTGTCTTCATTGGTAATTATTGTCGCTGCTCGAGGAGCATCATTGACCAAAGCCAATTTGCCAAAATCATCGCCTTCACAAAGAGTACAAACAACTCCTTTACCAACAATGACAACATTAACAGTTCCTTTCAATATGATGTACCAACTTTTACCTGGATCACCTTGATTAAACACTGCAATTAAACGAGATAAATTGGAAGCAATTGATCAACAAAAGGAATCATGAGAAAGTGAAAAGGTTGACAGAAAAGGTGGAAAGCTGGAAACAGCAAGATTTAAACTTATTTCTCGGCAAATGCTCAGAATAGCTATTATATTTATATCTTCAAGGTAAGATTATTTGTTTGCTTTATCATTTCACTGAACTTTTCTTCTTCATTATTTGGTTAGATAACACTTGAGTTATAATAAGATTTGAAAATATTTTCATTCGTTTTTTTCGTATTTTTTGTTCGATCCTTTCAGTTTAATAAGCTTCAAATGTTTGCTTCATTGATTAACTGTTTTTTTAATCACTCAATTAGAATCTTTTTTCTCCTTTCCGGAGATCGAAAGTGATTGAAATAAAAGAATTTCACATTTTTCTTGGTTCTTCAAAGCTTCTCAGTTCTCTCAACAATGAAAAGGAAACACAAGTTATCAAAGTATATGAAAATGACAAGCGAACAATTGATGGGGAAAAATTTTTTCTCATCATTTTCTTTTCCTGCTCTTCTTATATAACGTAACAAAAATATTGAAGAGATGAACAAGTGCGGAATTATACTGAATAGCGTAAAGGCAATGTTCAAGATAAGGAATAGTACATCATGGGAATTGAAGGAGAACTTTTATTTAAAATTGAATTGACTTTCAGGTTAAGGTTTACGTTGCAATTGCTTCTTTCCTGTTTTTCCAGAAGGTATAACATGTTGAAAGGTTGGATCAGATATAAAATGAAAAAGTAGAGTAAAGAGTAAAAAGGTTTTAAACATTTCCCTGTGAATAAAAATAATATTCAGTTCATTTTCAGTGTTTTCTTTGCTTCAATTGTTAAACAAGATTAATTGCTAAATTGAACTAATAAATAAATCTTTCAAGAGCAATAATTAGCTTTACTTTGCAAATGGTTGATGCAAATTGAAATTTACTAATTTGACATTTCAAGTGATGAAACAAAAGCAAAGCTAATTTTTGACTGACAAACCAGAAGATTATATCGCAACATGGGAAAATATGCAGACATGGTTAACACCGAGAAAAAAATGAATGTTCATTAATGGGATTAGACTGAATGTCAATTTGGCTGAAATTAAACTCCAAATGCAAATTAATTGTTTGTAACTCCAACGAAATTCAACTCCAAGTTTAAAGTTGCTCATTAAGGAAGATTCCGAGCATTCGAAACTGAATAAATCTTGAAACTGAAAAGCTGAAAAGCTCAATCTTATCTAACTGTTAAAGTAATGAATTAAAGGAACTCTTGTAAATATCGAAATTAAATCAATGCTTAAGCTTTAGTTGATTGATACAAATAGCATTTGAATGACTTTAAAAGTTCTGTTGGTCAGATTTGCCAGCAACATTCGTTTAGATTCTTGAGATAATTAGATTTCATGGAGAGAATAAAATGAAATGTTCTATTTGTATTCGTTTAATTGTCGTTTTAATGGCTGATTTTATAATTCTTTATGATTCCTTTTCAATGTTTTTTGTTTGCTATTTTTGTATCTGCTTCTTCATGTCATTTCAATGAAACTTTCATTGAGTTGAAATCGAAGGTTCATGGTTGATTTATAACTGTAATATTACATGACATTGTTATGATGTTAGTCTGGATGGATATCATTTTATCTTTTACAGTATTCTTTAAAGTTTCAACAAAATGAAGAGAAACAAAAAGTAAAAGAATTTAAATTCAAAACTTTATATGGAACCAAATAGTGGTAACAACAACAGGTAATCATGATAAATGGCTCTTGTAGTTGCTTGAATTACATTAAAAATCAAATGAAACAATTCTTCTTCTTTACATTATTCAAGATAAAACTATTTTCTCATTCACTTCAAACTGAATTTGTTTGCTATTTTTTGCCATTCATTGAATTAGAAGATTTTATGAAATATAAAAATGACGAAGGAACAGATGAAAATGGAAAAATCGATATAAATTCATTTATTCAGAAAAGCTTTTCAGCTGACATTTAATCTCGATATTTCATTCTGTTACTTGATGCTTTGCCAGTGAAAGGATGAACAATGAAATTAATTTAAATTAGTTTGAGATTGAAATACTCACAAACAGTTCCTTTCCTTGGATGCTTTTCAAAAGCAATAACCGAAGCGAGTTCTTTGCGCACTGAATTGCCCAAATGTGATAGCGCCTTGATGTGCATCAACTCTTCATAAACTAGATCCACTTCTTCTGCACTTCGTTCTTTTGGACTTTTGCACAAGATGAGTCTGAAGTTGGCTTCGGGTGCAAGTGAATGGAGGGTCGTTAAACAATGGACAAGGGCACTTTCGGTTCTTCGTTTACCCTCAAAACTGGGTAAACTTGGTAAATCTTCTGAACGCAATGATTCGTCTTCTCCGTCAAAGATGAATCGATAGAACAAGTATTTGTCCCAAAACTGTGAATCACCCGTCGGTGAAGTAAGAACATTTTCTTCCAATAAAACTTGCAACATTGCTGCTGCTTGAGATCGAGAATGAATCCGTTTAGGTGTAACACTAGAAGCAGATATAAGCCAATCAACCAACTCTGAACCAACCAGGCAATTGCGATAAACAAGGCCAACATTGTATTTACGATCTCGAATCATAGAAGGGTCATGGGCAATGATCAAAGCTCGCAATATGCGCCCAATCTGAAGCAGTTCGACGGATTGATCCTGCAAATAAAGATTCCAAGCAAGAATTAGTCTATAAGATAAATACGAATACGAATGAATATGAATGCAAAACAGCATTAGTTTGCAATAGTTGTGTGTTTCGAATGTCGACTTTCTTTGCAACATTGGATGAATGGAGTTAAATGCAAAAGTGCATTAGAATGGATTTCGATTTGACCGACTTATTCGAGTATCAATTGAAGTTTTGTCAATAAATGTATTGCATTCTCTTGCTCATTCTCTTGGTCAACTTGCTAATCCTTAGATATTTCTTGATCTTAAGCAATTAATATCGATGAAGTTTTACTCAATTGATTATTGATTGTGTTGCAACTGAAGCAATTCAGTTCGGTTGTTGATATTATTTCTCGATCAACAATTGAAATCACCTTTCATCATTCTCATGAATACAAAGTAACAGAAAAAAACTGTTCAACTCGACTGTAAAGGAACTGAGGGAATAACAAAAGCAATCATCTTTTTATCACATTATAAAGAATTATTAATACGACAAAAGAAATAAGGTTTCCTCTTCAATCCATTATTATTGTTATTCACTGAATAATTGCTTTCTTTATGAGAATAATTTGAATGGAAATATCATTACAAATACTATTTATCAAAGAAAATGACGAAAAGAATTAAAGTTTGATGTTTAAATCATGAAATTCAGACAGAAATGGAAGGGAATTGTTCTACTTTCAATAAATCTCATCGAATTAATAACTGTTCAATGGTTGTAATTAAATAAAAGACTGAAGAAGAAGAAGCAAAAATGAATAAGACAAGAAGATTCACAATCAGATAATTGTAACTGAACAAGTTAAACCCCTAATATTATTACAGACAATAAACAAGAATTATGTTCATTCTCATTGGAATCATTCCTTGGGCTAAATTGCAGTTATTTAATTATGAATATCATTTCCTTAAGGAAACGATCATCAAAAGTATCATTTTGCATTCATCAATAATTAGATGAATCAATCTCAAAGGGACGATTTCGAAGAGTAAACTCGAAGATCTAAACAAACATTTCTTAAGGAAATAACTTGAACAACATTTGAACCAAACAAATATTTCGTCGCAATAAAATCGACTTGTGATCTTTGGTTCTACTGTTTTGAGTAAAGACGGAAAAGCATTAGATTTGAAGCTCAATTAATCCAGAACAATGCACTTGATTAACATGATTTTGGATGAAATTGTTATTCTTTCGCATTGAAACGAAAAAATCAAAATGATAAATCTAATTTTGCTGAATTTTGATGGAAACTTCTGTTTACTTGGCATTGTTGATTCAGTAGTTCATTGAAGCAAAAAGATTTACTTTTAAAAGTCTTTTCAAATCGTTCTGAATCTGAACTACAAAAAAGGGAAAATTGTGAACGAAATGCTGAACAATTTGAATATCCTCTTTTCAGTTGGAATTGAATTAAATGATGAAAAACGGAAACAATTTAATTGCTGTTGACCTTTATTAAAGCTCTGAAAGTCTCTTCAGTTTTACTCTCAACTTATTCAGTTAATGAACACAATTATTGACTGTTAATGTGAATAAAGTAAAATACTTATAAGTTTATGAACAATTTCATTGCTCAAATGATTAGCTTCATTACTACCAGAAACTGGATAAGCAGAACATTTAAGCTTATTTTGCAGTAACCAGGTAAAGAGGGAAGAAGATGAAGACAAGACGAGAATAGCAAACAAGGCAAAAATAACGATAATAAAAAGTTAACAAGTGACATTTTTTCATGTTATTTAGCTTAAGATCATTTTCTCGAGGGAAATCAATGGAAAAAGTTACCTGTTCAAAGTGAGCGTATAAAGATGGAAATTGAATAAAGAAAGATCAAGAAAATTATGATCCATGGTAAAGTAAACAATGTCGACGTTAGTCAATATATTCAAATCTTGCATCGTAATTGATGAACCTTCATTTAGAGCTTCAATATTGGGTTAAACGCATAAACTTCATGATAAGTCTGATTCGTGTTTCATATTATAGTCATTAACTATGATAATGAAATAATAAGCATTAACATTACTAAATCTCATTAATCATGAAAAGATTGAATCGACTGTAAGTTGACTTGTTAACAGAATTAATAAAAATTCACTCCCAGTCTAAAATGGATTTTTGTTTCCAGAATCAGGAAAATGAAAAATTGATTTCTTCTTAGAGTTATCATTCAATCAATTTTCATCAAAGTCTCGAGTTTCTAATTTTGCATTTCAGGTTGAGAATAAACTTTTCAAGATTATTATCGATACAGAAACTGCAGTTTTCTGTCAAATAGTTATTTTGATAAGCGTTTTGGTTCAACAGCTGGGATTGATTTTCCCTTATTGTGTTTCTATTCAACAAGTTGCTATTGTAAATGAGAGTAAAGTTTAATGAATTTCATGATTCCCTCATTATATTTTTATAAACGACTTTTTTGCTCATGGAAATCCTAATGTTCATTGTTCTCCTGATGGATATTTAATCAAGAAAAATTTAACTTCATGAGGTAAAATAAGGTGAAGATGAAGACAAAATGAGGTTAAATTAGATGAAAGGAAAAGTAAAAGTAACCAGATTGTCAGGTGCAGGTAAAATAGAGGTTAGAAAATTGTAAGAATGCTAAACACACAGCATTATGATGAAGAAAAAAACAGTAACCAGAATAGCTGCTGATGAAGATGGAATAAGAAGATAAGAAAATGGCGAAATAAGAATTGTAAGAATCATGATATTATTACATGAGTAACTACAACTATTATTACTTATCTCATCTATTTTTTTATCTCTTTTCAAGCTACCTTTACCTGAACAAGTACATGTTTCCATGGACACTTAACAGGGAATGATAAAAGGGAATGATGAAGAATGATAGATAAAAAAAAGGATGAACAAGATGAAGAGCGATGATAATGATGATTGAATGAGTTTGGCAAAAGAGTAACACTTACCCGTTGGATGGACTTGAATCGATAAGACAAACTATCAAGAGAATTGTTACTTTTAGTTGAGTTTTTGGTTGTGATGATGTTACAGTTGTTATTGCTGCTGTTTTTGCTGCTGTTGTTGCTGTTGTTGTTGCTTTCAGAGCTTTGGTTAGTTGAGTTGCAATTATCATTAGTTGAAGTGATTCACGAATGCTCAGCGATTTATTGAATGAGGCTCTCTTCAGACAACGCAAACCCACCAAAGGTGTAACAATGTCAGTCATTAGATGTGAATTTTGATCCCATATCTCTTGGAATTCATCTTTTCGCACTCGAAGAAGAGTACAAGGTTCATTGGTTATGATGGAAACCGAGTGAGGTTTACCTGTTAACACTGATTCACCAAAAGCAGTTCCAACCCCAAGAGTGCAAAGAGTAACGACCTCCTGATACAAAGATGAAACATTTCTTAATTAGCATCGAAATTTCATTAATCATGTTGATGGAATATTTCCATGATTCGAAAACAATTTTCCTTGCAGCAAGTGAGATAATTAAGGGAATGAGATGAAACAAAGAAAGCGAGAAATTAAAAGCTAAATTCATTAACTGTTTCAGCTAATGAACATGAAAATTGATTCAATAAAATCAATAAGTCGATACAAGTTGTCCATTAACAGTCATTTTTTGCATCTTTAAGCAATAATGTGATCAGTAGAATGCTTTTATCTGAAGTTCTGAGTTTAGCTGTTCTGGTAAAGAGTTCAACTTTTTCGTTTTATTCAATTTAGTTTTGAGAAATTGGTTGAAAATCAATTTGAATAATCTTGAATGGACTTTAAATTTGGTAATCTTTCAGTTAATAAACGTCAATTTGCCTTAACCTTACATTGATTTTACTTGAACATGATATTGCCTTTCAGAAAACTCTTCTTGGAACAAGATTTCTGCCATGATTAATCTGAATGTTACTTTAGGTTGACTAATAGTGGAAAAGCTTATGCATTATGACCTTTAGTGTGATCTTGTTTCGCATTTAAAGTGCATTTCATCATTTATCTTTTCATAAACTTCACACATTTTCATAGAAATGTTCAGATCTAAACACACAGTTTTCAAGAACCATTCAATGAGTTATGCCATTGAACGATGAAAACTTTCTCTCAACTATAAACCATTATTAAACTAAAAAGCAAACTCAAACAACAAAACCAAATAAGTAAACAGTCTTTGATTTATTATTAAACTAAAGCCAAAAATAGATTCAATCAGTTTACCTTAACATTGAAAATAAGGAAAATATTCAAAGTAAAAATAAATGCATCATTCCGTTTCATGCACAACAACACCAGCCAATTCCACAAACAAAGCTTCCACCGTCTGTGTCGAATTGCATTTCGAGATGAAGACCAACTTGAAAATTCCTAGCACTAACAGCGAAATAAAAATGATCCCAACGTCACAAGTGAAAAATGCTTTTACGCTATTCATTCAAAGCAGTAAAGTTGAGTCTAAATCGGTTTAATCAAGAGTTAACCTTAAAGCTGAAACACGAACACTTTCTTGGAATGGCTCATGTTAACCCAAATTCAATTATTTCGTTAGCAACACTGAACTATTTTAATGGGAACAAATACTTGCGGTAACGATTTCAAGGCAACTCAAGAGTACAAATAAGCCACAAATGCTAATAAATGCAAATTGCAAAGTTGGATTCTTGGAAGCAATTAAAGGTTTTATTGCTCAAATTAAAAACTAACTTAAATTGGAGGATCTTGAATGCTACAAAATAGCATTTATACATTCATTAGTAGCTTAATTGTGCAAAACTTAATAAACTGAACAACTCTCAAGATAACTTGATCAAATGCATTTTATATCTTATTATCCAATGCTTTTACCGTTTCAATCGATTTGCGAATTGAATGAAAAATAGAAATTGGTTTTTCAATTTAACCTTTCAATGTTGGCTGGTGGATGGAATCAATCAAACTGATCTTTTAAATTAGGAAACAAGTTTGGTTACACTTGGAAATGTTCAGAAACTTGGTTGAATCTATTTTCTTGCAGGTTGAGGCCAACATGAAGTTCATTTGATTATTACTGAATTACCTTTTCTCGTTTCAGAAGCAACTTCTTTTTTCATATCATAGTAATACAATATTCATATTATATTATTTGAAAGCATTGAGAGTCGAAACTAACTCAACTTTACTTTTATCAATATGCTTTTTGAAGCATGCAACTGAAATGCTTAGTTGAGTAAAGTATAAAAGTATCAAAAATAAGAATTGACAGAACATCTTCGTCATCATTTCGAGACATTCAATGATTTCCAGCGAAAAGCTCAAGCTGATTGAATTTAATTTGTTTTCATTCATGTCAGCAAATTCAACATTTGAATTGCAAATTAGGGTTGAACAAGAAAAGGCTTTAAGAAAGCCAAGAAGCCATTTTGTTTTCTTATTTTCTAATTCAATTCATCTCAGAATTCTCAATTAGCTTTATTAACAATTCTACAAACATGAGAAGAAACTGTTTAATTGATAATTCCAAGAATTATTATTCGTTTGGTTTAAGTAGAAGTCATTTTATCGATTAGCAAATTGGAACAATTGAGTTTCTCTTCGCTTTCTCTTCGATTCAAAATTGATTCGCAATCAATTTGATCAAGTTTAGCTTAATTCATGTGATTACACAATGAAAACAATGAGACAATCAATAAACTGAATTGAAATGGATCAAGAATTGTCAAAAGGAATGGAATAAGTTATTCAAAGTCGACAAATGAAAAAGTTTTTTGTTGACTTCAACTTTGATCCATCACAGAGGAGAGTGAAAAGTTAAATTGAAAGTTAATTAAATGTTCAGAGTAGTTATCATGTTATGAGTTGATAAATGGAAAGATCTAATGAAAAAAGAAACAATTTCTCAGCAAAAACAACAAAAGAGATGAAATTTTCGGTAAACTCATGAAATTTACATGAGCAAGAGAAGAAAAAGTTCAATGTCAAATCCCTAATCACAAACTGAAGAGCAACTTGTCAATTCATCTTCAGTTGCCTCAATAAACGATGAGTTAATATTTTGAACATTCACTCAATTTATTTTCATTTAAGTTGATAATTAAATTCATGTTGCACACAATCACAAGATTCTGTCATTAATAACTTGACAGCATTGTTCCATCAACAAGTACAATTCATTGAAAACAAGCTCAAATCAAATTCTGCGAATGTTTCGTGATTTCTGTTATAGAAGGACTGAACCATTGACGATATGCACCTACATTGGAACTTCACGAATCGATGAATCGATATAGAGATTTCATTTGTTACTATCGTCGGACCTTTTCAAAGACCAAAATAACGCTTTTCGATTTTTTGCAGAAAAGTTCGCAAAATTAGAAAATCAGTAAAAAGTTCAATTTTCTTCATTTGAGATTTGATTCGACTTTTTGTTGAAAGAATCTTGAGATTAAATCAACTTCAGTGACCAACATTTGTCAGTGATTCAGCTCTGTTCATTCTTCGAGAAAATTTCGAGAGTTTAGCTGTTATTGATCCCAATTGACAGAACTTTAATTTCTTGTTATCCCAAATCAATACAGAATTTTGACTGAAGACCATTGAGAAAAATGACCGGAATTCATTGCATGACAGATTGACAGACAGAAGATAACTTAGCAGTGAAAAAATGATTCCCATTCCAAGTTATCATAACGTAGCATTTTTTGTGAGTAGAAATATTTTCAACTCATTCTGTTCAATAATTGATGGACAAAATGGCATTTAGTATCTACGATGAAACCATCAACTGAACAGTTGAACAAAGTTTTTCCAGTCAAACCATAACAAGCTAATGATGAATCCATCAAATGAATAACCTGATGATTAACCGAAAAGTCAATCAACTCAGTGATTTGCCTTTTAGTTGAGATAATTTCGCTGAATATCGAGTTGAAGTGGCCGTTAAAAGGAAACGAACGAATTAATAGCTGATAATTGAATTTGAAGCAACAACTAATGTTTTGTGAAGAGATAATGTTAACCCTGATGATGATGGAAATCTGGTTAAACATGAAACAATAGAGTTACATGTCAAATCATCTGTAACTACAGAAAACGTTAAATCATAATGACAATTAAAGTAAACTTTGGAAGATAAAAAAACTGTTGAATAAACAGAAAAGGTAAAAAAAGGAAAAGGTAATCACAATAAATAAGTGAAAAGCAACAAGAATAAAGCTGAATAATCAAACATTTAAACTGAAAAACAATGGAAAACGAAAAGGTAACCTTGATCTCATTTGAAGACTGAAAATGAATAAATGCTTTAAAGCGTTTTCTCGAGATTCATTTTTAGCCTAAACACACCTTGAAGATTCTGTTTACTTTCACAGTTTCCTGTTTCAAGATATTCAATCTTGACTGTGACTTACACCGAGAATAATGTTTCCCATCTGATTAATTCAAGTTGAGAAAAGGTTAACCTGGTCAATTTCATTTATCGATTTACTTTTTTCTTCTTCTTTTCTCTGAATTACTCAAAGAACCATGAAGATATGGGTTGGTAAACATGATAATATTGAATAATCAGATCAAGTCACAAGTTATCTTCAACAGATTAAAGCATAATGATGAGTCAAAATGAAAAGCTAAACTCAGTGAACATGAACTGAACAAGATTCAAATTGTCGATCATGAAAGCGAAGTTGATTGTAGTTGTGATTGAATTATCAGAGGAATCATGAATTTCCTGTTTACTAAACTTGTTAATCTTATCATGACCATTTCCAATGTTTCCAATCAACATTAACTTCGACTTTTTATTTCCCTTTCAACTGTAACTCGGCGACTTGATGAGCGATCATTAAATGAACATTTTATTTCATCTGTAATTTGCAAACTGATTGAAGAAGGACAATTGATGGAGAAACTGAGAAGATGAAAGTTTACCTGGAAAGATGTTTATTAAAGTGAATGAAAGGATAAGGAAAGGTTAAGAACAATTGAAGAGGTTTTATGTACTTATGTAGTTGGACATCCAATAATATTGGAAAAGGGATTTATCATGAAATGAAACAGAACAGATAAAAATGTTATTCAAACCTTTCGTTTACTTTTCCTTTTACTGTTGACCCAATACACTTTCCTTCGGTGAAGCATAATTATATGATTTAGTCAACATTTGATTAAACCTTTTGTGTGGCTGATTATCAAGTTAACATAACAACAAATTAATCACATTCAGGTAACCAGATGAGACAGTTGGAGACACTTTTCATGAGACTTTTCCGTTAATTACACTCAACAAGTAAATTCAAGTCAAACTGAATTACATCAAGATTAATGGTCACTTTAAATCCAGATAATACACACAGAGTTTCATGTAAAATGGTTATTAATGTCTTTCCAGTTGTGACATTTATTGATGAAAATGGTTAAACAATTTATTCAACAAAACAGATTCAAGTCAATGTTGCAAATGAACAAATGTCAAAATGTAGATTAAAGCTCAGTTATGGATTGACTGAGGAAAGAAAATGAATTTTTCTCTTCAAGCTTTATTCCAATGATGATGAATGAGAGGCGGTTTATTCAGATTGTTCAGTTTCCTTCTGCTGTTGCCTTTTATTGACAGATTTTCATTCTCATTCAAATAATCAATCAGTTTAGGGATGAATTTAATTGTCACCTTGTTACGTCTCCATCACTTTTTACACGTGTCTTTCCCTGAATGTATCAATTACCTGAACACACAATTGGAACAAATAATTGGCTTTCATTTTTTCTCTCTCTCTCTCTTTAAAATTGTCATTTGTCCAAAATACAAGTTGAACTTTTTTGCTCCTCCAACTCAACAACTCTCCATGTTGAACATGAAAAGGTTGAGTTTAAAAGCGAATGAACATAACTGAACAAATCAATTGAAAATAGTAAAGTGTAATTTAATCAAATTGTTCAACTACGCTGTTGCTCTCATTATTCAATCTAGTTAATCATCATTTAATGGAAACTCTTGTACAAACATTGTTCAATCCATTCAAGAATCATTCAAATGTTGCCCTCAATTTTTCCTCTCAAATCTCAAGAGTTATTGCTTTTCACTTTTATATTTAATTACGTGACTTGATGCTCAACCAAATAAAAATTATTTCAAAATATTCTTCTAATTAAAATGCAATTTTCAACAATTGCGTTTATTAACATCATTTTAACAATCGATGACTTTTTTCGAGTTCATTGCTGCACCATAAATCGACTTATTTGTGATTCTGCAAAAGATTAAAGATCTTTGATCGATGCACATTTATTTTACTTAAGCATAAAAAGTTTTCCGTCCAATATCATTCACTCGAAGCATCTGGATTTGAACCACAATTCCCAGAGTATTTCATTCTTTAGCTCATTTGCCGATGAATAGATAAAGTGCCTCAAACCAAATCAGATTAATCACTGAGATAATTGTCGAATCAAAGTTCATCATTTATCATCAAGAATAAGCTTAATTTCATGTTTATAAGTTTTCTGAATCGAATCACATTTGCGTACTTTTGGGAAGGAAATATTTGTTGCTAAAACTAACTCGAGGAAATCATTGAAAATGTTTTTCTTCTCAAAAAAGTTCTGCAACATTCAACAATTAATGTGGGCCCTGAAACGCACTCAAAAAGATTTTGTAGAAAGGAACGAAAATTCAGATTCACTTTTGACTCCCAAGTGGCTGATCAATTCAGGCATTTCGACATGATGACAACCTGAATTTCATGAGTGAATATATGTTTTTAGAAAATCTTTATTTAGAATCATTGCAATCGTTCCAATACTCTGATTAATCTTTCTTTTACCTTTATCGTTGGAACCAAGAAACAATCATCCCGATGAAATATTCGTAAAGATAATTCTTGAAATAGAAATGAACCGAGAATGAATAACTCTGAATGGTTCAACACTTTTTCCTGATTCATCAAACTTTTCAAGTTTCAACTATTCATTGGAAATGAAATTCATGATTAATGAAAATGTTTGAGCAAATATTTATTCAAATTTATCCAAAAGAGAAAATTATTAATTGAATGAAACTGAAATCGAAGGCGAAATGAAAGATGAATGAAGAAAAATAAGTTGATCATGAAATATGGAATATTAAAAAATTAAAAACTCCATTTAAACTGAGTTCGTGAAAATTATTGATCAAAAGCATGAAATGAAAAAGCATTTTAAAGGTTAATCCGGAAACAAATTTAATGAAAATGATAAAGCATTTCATGGAATAAAATTTGACATTAAAAAAGATACAAAAAAAAGACTCGAGGCATTATTTGAATTATCGCCTTTGAAAGGTTTACAAATCGCAATTTGATTCACAATGCTTATCAATAAATTAATTACATTGAAATACAAGTAATACATGAATATGATTAATTAAATGAAATGATGAAACATGTTCGATTCTATTCATTTTATTCTTTTCTTTTCTTCCATTCTGATAACATTCAATATATTGCGATGAATGAATCAATTGTCAAGCGCCATTGGAATATGCTTCAGGGTAAATTCATTAGAACTTGTTTGCTTTTCATTTATTTTCCACTCAACAGTCAAAAAGCTTGCTACACTTAACAGCCATTTTCTTATTAAATTGTGAATGAATATTCCCCTGAATGATATTCATGAATCACACAGTTGGAAGATCATTCCATGATATTGATATAAAAAAATAATCATCAAGAACGAAGAATCACAAGAGTTGAAATGATTGATCAATTGATTGAACCTCATCTTATTAGTTCTGATAAAACGAAATTTCTTCTGCAATCAACTCGAGATATTCAGTATTAATATTATTCTTCCATGAAATTGGCCAGATTTAAAATTCAGTCGAACCAATCATTAATAGAAGGGAAACTTGAAAATTATTCATAAAGCACTGAGTTCCAACAGCAGTTAACATGTTTAATGAGCTCAAGTAATGAATTTAGAACAGAATCAAGTCAAGATCCAAAGACGAATCAGCCATCATATTCATGAATATCTTGCATCCATTAAGTTCACCTTTTTAATTTTCTAGATAATGGGTTTTCTGAATATTAAATGAGTTCGATAAGAATGTGATGTCAACAATCTTATCGCATTTATTCCAACTTTCAAATTCTTTTCTCAACCGATTTTTTGATTCTCCTTGAAACTGGTTTTCCAAGTTAGTCAAATCACAATTAGATAAGTCTAATCATTTCAACTCAACCTATCAAAATTGACTAAATATCATGTTCAACAGACGGATTGTGTTCTACCTTCAGACTTAAAGGATTAGACTTTATAATCTGTAATCTCATTTAATGATAAACAATTAAATCTCCTGAGGATCTGATAAAGGTTTGGAAACATTTAGATTTCAATGTTTCTTTCAATGTTCATTTGCTCAATGTGCTTATTGGGTTCACTTTGTTTCTCTAATTTGTGTTCATCTCTTAAATTTTAAATCATGTTCTTGTTTCAAATGTGCATTTTATTCCTGTAAATGTTCATGAAATGTTCTGAATCACATGTAGTTTGACCCACAAGAACAAATTAACTGTAACCTTGGAGAATTTGTTTCTTTTTCTTTATCCATTGTGAGTATTTTGTTTCCATGTTATTCACTTGACCTGCTATTCTTTCAAGTCCAATGTTCGTTTAAAAATTAATTGACTTGATACTTTGTTGCTCTTTGAATCATTGATCTTGTGAACTCCATGTCAACCTGATTCTCCATTCTGACATTTTCTATTATTAGTCATTCGATTTTTTGGAAAGGTGAAATTTTACAAAAAGACTTTGAAATATTGTCAAACTTGCCTGTTGCTCCAAGAATTTTAAGAATGGAAACTGATTGAAGTTATCATGTTGCAAGATGAAAATACATAAAGTGTCATGAATCTGACACAGATTGCAATGGAAAATGTGGATTCGAATTTCAGGAAATTTTAAAAATGAAAATTTCCAACATTACCTTTGCTTTCGCATTGACTTGAACATCCAAAGATCCTGTAACAACGGCATACCAATTGAATGCTTTATCTCCTTGCCTGAAAACTTAAGACGAACAAATGAAAAACAAAAAAAAATGAAAAGATGAAGAAGAAGATCAATAGAGATCGATTTGGATGATGAATGAAAATAAAAGGTAAAATCAAAAGTATCGTGAAATTTTGACAAAAAATGGAGAAAAGAACAGAAAAAGGATGAAAAAAGCATTTCTTTTCATTTCTCAAAATTCAATGAAAGGTAATGAGAAAAATATGGTTGGTTAAATTGTTGTTGAATTACAATTTAATTAAAATTGGGTTGACTTGATCAACAATCCAATAACTTTAATATCATTCATCATTACTTTCCTTTCCTTTAATCGGCTTAATAATGTAAGCCTTAATTTAATAAGGTTTTATCATTTGTTGAACGTTAAGAAGATGAAAAGAAATGATGATCATCATGATAACTGTAATCATCATTAAAGTTTGATGAATTCAATAGCAACCTTTGTCAACAATTGAAAGTTTCACTGGCATTGTCACTCTTATTGTTTCATTTTTAATTTGCTTTTTCAACTTTTCTCTCAACAGGTTATTTTGATCAACTTACCCACAACTGATTTATCAAGTCGCTCAACAATTGCATGTTTACATATTTGTTGGAGCAGAGATGGATGCATTCGTTGGAAGAATCGAGTTAATTTCAATTTACCAACAATGTTGTCAACGTCATCCATGGTTTTCAGTTGAACAAAGTGTCCATGAAACAGTAAATATTCACAAGGGTTTACACAGTTGGGTCAACATTTTGATGGGTCGAGTATTTGGTCCGAGAAACTGGCGAATGGGAAACATTCAAGTTTATTACAACAAATTAACTTAGCATATCATGATTCTCATGATGAACTGTAACCTGAAAAATGTAGATGTTTGAGTAAGTTTAATGATCGACAGCGCATGTTGTACCTAAAGTACATTTACAGTCAATTTAAAACTCGATTAGGTGCTTATCGCCATCTATTGTGTTCATCTTGGGTCGAAATGTCGATCATCGAAATTAATGGAAAATGAATTTCTTTCAAATTTCTCTTCTTTTAATTTTTAAATCGATAAAATTCATAAATTGAAATTAATTTTGAATCCAATTTCATTCAAAATTCAATTTTTCCTTTTTTTAGGATTCATTTATCGCTTATAATAATGATCGATAGATGGAAGCACATCTACCAATTGTATGTGGAGAATGGAAAACGACACCTGGTGAGTGGAGAAGGAAGTTTCTTTACTTCGGTTGTTGGCTAACAAGTAATTTTAGTCAAGTAAGTTTAGGTTAAGTGAAATGTGTCTAACCATGGATCTAAAGTATGTTCATGTAACAGTGTTTGTGATAATCATATTGTTTGAATTTACTTCATCGACCGCAACCTTTTCTTCACATGATGATAAGCTATTCATTGAAAATGTGATTGGAGTTGCAGGTGGTAAAGTTTCCTTACCCTGTAACATAACACCGCCAACTTTGGACGACGCCGTTTCCCTCATTTTGTGGTACAAAGATGAGTCGACAACACCAATTTATAGTTTGGATGCTCGTAAAGGCAAACTTGATCAAGCTCGCCATGCATCCAGTGAAATCCTCAGTTCACGGTCTTATATGAACATTGACCGAAAGCCAGCAACTTTTTCCCTTGAACAACTTCAAGAGGATGATGCAGGAGAGTATCGATGCCGAGTGGACTTTAAAAAAGAAAGGACAAGAAATTTTGTCGTCTACCTTAAAATCTTAGGTATGTTTCCAATTATAAATTGTTCCACTTTTAGTGATTAAAATACTGTGAAAATTAACGTCAACTTGATACTGTTTCTGTTAATCACACAACTGACACTTTCATGTTTACTCACAGCGTTTTGATAGATTGTTACATCAACTGTTGCATAAACTATTTTTAATTAAAGTCAACACTTTAGTTGGCAAAAGCTTTCATTTTAAATGAATCATCAACAACTCATTAACAATAACTTTTCTCAAAGTTTAATTAGCAACTTTTACTGATTGGAAAAACATGATGAGACAAAAAAATCGATTGTATTCAAGTTTGCTGGACTCTAGACATTGCAATCAACATTATTTTGATCTAAACTTGACCCAAGATTTGATCGCCTTTGTCCTTTATCCTTTGATGTCTCATATTTGTTTAATGATTACGATAACATGCAATCAAGATTGTCATTTAATATTCACTCAATGGCTGTTACCTGACAAAAGCAATAACTTTACATTCACTAATATCGTGATTCAATGTCAACCGATCAAGTAAATGATCAACCTTTTTGCACCAAATCTCACTTTTGTCAACTTCATGCAAATGAATCTGAAGTTTTCCTAATTATGATGAGTCTTTAAATTGCGACAAATAATTGAGAATAGTTATTCCTTGCAAGTTCAGGTCAACATCTATGTTGACTCAATCAAGACTAAGGAAGAGCAATAAAGAGTGAATTGCATTTAATTAGTATTTTAATTGAACTTTTCAGATTAAATATTTATTCTTTCCATTTGATGGAAAAATTTATTTGAAAATAAAGTTTGAATAGACAGTTGATTTAAGCAAATGGTTTTCATCTTTAAATGAAAGTCCATTGAGAAGGGTGAAAATGGACTTAAGTAATGTAGAGACAAAATGTAGATGAAAACATATGAGACATTTCAGACTGGTCTGTCATAAGTCAAATAAATGAGCAAATTTAGTTAATTCAGGTAATCATTTGGTTTTCAGTGTGTAAGAGGACAAAAGACACTCCAAAAACATTTCCCTCGAGTATCATTCAATCTCATTTAACTCATATTCAATACCATCCTTTATCCATTTGTCCCTTCATTTGGTCAGTCTCTTTCTCTTGGCTCTTTCGCTCTCCTCTCCCCTCAACTACCCACAATCATCGATAATAATTGCCATCAACTCCCACTTGCTCCCATTGATTCATTAATTGTTGTTCCCTGCAACTCAATACTCATTCCTGTGGCTTTAAACCATGACCCTTTAGCCTCCCTTTTAACCCTCTTGGGCTTTAGTCTACTCGACTCTTTGCTCGACCCATTATCAATGCATATTTACTGTAATAATAACATTTACCTTTACCCTTATGCTTATATTGACCTTGGTCAATGGAAAGGCAAATGAATCATCGAAAGTTGGTGATAAAAACGGACAACAAGATGAACTGAAAGCCATAGAGCAATCACCATTGTCGTGTTGTAAAAGCATTGAGTAAACATTTTCCTACTTTTCACTGTTTTGTCCATAAAATAGGAAACATTGAATAGGTGAGAAACAAGAAAAGGCCAAAAAACGAGGGAAATTGGGTGGAGCTGGATACTCACTGATATTAATAGCAATGATAATGATAATCAATAATTGCAATTGTAATCATAAAAGTAATAACAGCAATAATATTATTAGCAAGGTAATCTGGGTAAATCCAAGCTTTTTAATAACATTGAAAGCGTGTAAATTTGATGGACTTGAGTCAATCTTTACAGTCTCATGAATAGCAAGCTCCCGTTGTCATGAAACTTATTGTTTTTGGTTACAATGTTGAACTTGACAGAAGCAGATAAGTTGTTTATGATTATTATCATTACAATGATTACTTTGATTATGATTATTGCTTTTCCCTAATAAACTTTACTTATTTAAAGCTGAAAACTTTTCAATGTAAAGAGTAAATGAAGCTAAATTTAGCCCAATTCAAGTCCATTCAGTTGAACATAGGACCAAATCGAGAGATTGGTTTGTCTTTTAATATGTCAAGAGTTGTTGACAAGTGAAAGTGTATTTTCACTGAATATATATCATTGATTTCACTTACAGTAATACTGAATAAAGTTAAGTTTAGGATTTCCGTTTTATCCATTTTCATGAACAGACAGACAGATAAGAAAGTTTATGTTCATTTAATCATCATCTCAATGCTATTCACACACTAAAAGTAAATGTTAATCAAAGTATCGCCATCATCCTTTTTGCTCTTCATTATAATTAGAAACTCTTCTCATCATGTGAACAGCAGGGAATCCTGACTATCTCCTGTTGGTTAATCTTGCCAGTATAACCTTTACTCTTTCAATTCCAACACCTTTACTGTAATTTACAGATTTTCACCTTCTTTTCCCATTGCTTTTCATCTTCTTTACTTTATATTGTATTACCTTATTACAATATTTATAATCACACAATAATGCGAAATAATGTTTCCACCATTAGCATTGATAGTAACTGTAAATATAGTTTTGTATTAATTCCCAAATCTCTCTTTACTTATTACTATTATTATTACAATTTGATCAATAATCTATTTCATTAATGCTGTCCATGTGTGAACTCTTGAACCAAAAACTATTCATTATTTGTCACAATAATAACCAACACAAAATTGGATAAACAAAACTCTTTTTACTCGATAATCATTTTTACCGATTATTATTTTCACATGAAACGGCCAAGTATTTCATCGATTATTACCTTTCAATGTTCACCATTTCAAAGTTCAGTAGATTCACCAATTTAAATGATCAAAGATAGAAAATTTCGAGTCAATTTTTTCGATTTTAGTTCAATGTTGACGGACAATTGAGTCTACTTTTCAATCTTCTCGTATCAATTGGTCATGGAATAATATTGATCTCATTTTCACCTCGAAAGTGAATATTGAAATCCTTTTAAATGTCAACCTTATATTTTGACTTCGAAATCAAATCTAAATTCTTTGCACCAAAGTTTTCCAAGAAACATGGAAAATACAAATTCTCAGTTTATTTTTCGTGAAATGTTCGATATTTTGATTACACTTATCGATTTAGCTTTGCAAAGTAATTTAAATTTGTTTTGATTTGGATTGTTTAAACTCCATGTTCCTGGATGGTGACATTTCACGTATTTTAGTGACTTTTAGCTAATTACTTGAAGATGGCTTAAAGTGACTGATCGATAAATCGAGGATGAAAAATGTCTTTTTCATTTAACTTTTTACCTGTAAAAGTTGCTAATTAACTTATTTCCCTTTGAATCATCATTTACTTTTATTAATAGATCGATATCAATTTATCCAGTAAATTATATGGTAAACTCATTTGAGGACAAAAAAGCATCTAATGACGATCTAAACCATAAACAACATTTGTTATTGTGTGAATGTTAACACACTTTGAACAGCAAACCAATTTTATCAGTTTATTAGTTACGCTTATTTTGATGAAATAATTTCAATTTGTTTTTTGGCGCAATAAAAGTGATGAAAAGAGAGGTAAAAGAAATTGCTCTTGAAAATGGAATTTCACCATTTTCTCGATTCCATTGACAAAAATTCCGCATGAAAGTGAGGGAAAAAGGAAAATGATATTACAATTTTGTTGCTTCCCTGTTAATCCAAGTTTACCTCCCAGTAAAATGTACGATATAATTGTGATGTAGTCTTGTTAAGTTAAATCCATTGACATTGATTCCGAATTCTTTTTCTCTTCTCATCTCATTTTGATACTTGCTTCATCCCTGCATCTTCTTCCTTCTTCTTCCATCTTCTCCACTGAAAGAGAAGACAAAATAACCTCAAAAGTAATGAGCCCCAAAAGCTGACAAGCTACTGATTATCTTGTTCTCTTCCCTTACGCCTTGTGTTATTTTATTAATATAATGTTGCTTACTCATGGCGAGATAATATCCAACAAAAGTGATTTAACATACAGTAAATGTAATCTCTTGCCACATTTTGCCTTGAATTTAATTTCAAATTAATCAAAATGCGATTCTCTTCTTCTTGACGGTTACATCAGTTTCAACTTTTCCTGATCAATAGTTTCATTCCTTTCTCCATTTGCCATTAAATTAAAATTATCCTAATAATATCCAATTGGAAGCATATGATGTATATCATGTATTCCTGTATTTAATCTAATTGTAATGATACAGTTTTGGGTCAATAAAAGTAGTTTTGTGAGTAATGTCTATAGATGAGTGTTAGACATGGAAGGAGAAGAAAAAGTTTCCAATGATTTAAGGTTAACCCCAATGTAATCTTATTATGTCGTTTATTGACTCATAATGATAATTTAATAACTGATAACAATCGATTCTTTAATGATGCCCTTACATGAGTCAATTTTTTCTTCAACTTTTCTTCCAATCAGTTCAACTTGTTGACATTTCTTATCTAGTCTTGAGTCGAGCATCGAGTTGAAACTCCGTTTAGTGTCTAAAGCGATCGAATGCTTCTTCTGAAATTAACTTTTAAAAGTTTCATCTCTTGAGTAAAGTCTTTCGATTCATGATTTGCAAATCAACTGTTAAGAGCTTCTTGAGTAATGAAAGTGACCGTTTGACCAATCAACGAGTTTATCAGTTGAATGACAATAAACCAAATACTCGATGTCAACTCATGTCGAGTTACAGGCTGATTGTCATCTGAAATGAAATAAACCGTTAATGTGATATTTTTCTGTTCTAATAACTTTAAATCTGTAATTCAGGATGAGAGTTGACAATAGGATAAATGGATGATAACAGATTTGAGAGATTGCAAGATTCCATGTTGAGTTTGTTATATTTGATATAAACTTTTGCTTTTCTTTTCCAATTCAACTTTTGTTTCTTCTCTAAACGAGAACTCATAATGATTATTATCCACTTTCTCTCCGCCTTTTCATCATTATTATCATGTCAATAAGAAACTAAATAAGGTAGATATGATATTGATTATGATTGAGAGAAGAATTATCATGAGAGAGAGAGAA